CCAATACACACTATGCAGAATTGCTCCCGGTGTGTCCCACCGCGTCGTCGGGAAGCGAAGACATCTCAAACGCCAACAAGAAAGAAGAAGAAGAAGCACGATTTTGAATAAAATAAAACAACATGGGTGGGGGAGGGAGCGCCGTCGCAGCCGCCGCCGCCGCCGCCGACGGGCGGGTCCTCCGACATTCACGAGAAAATGAGCTGGTTGGGAATATCGCCGGGATCACCACCCCCCCCCCCTTTTCAACCTACTATTCTCGGGAATCCTAGTACAATGTACACGTGCGCCTTTAAACAATCCCAAAAAATTGCAATTTCGATACACATTTAATGGATTTACTTACCGTCTCCATGAGTCTACACTTTTTTGCATTCATTGTTTTTCTTGAGCGACTTTTCTGCTACAGTACCCAAAACCTACTAAAGTCCGCAATTTGGCGTCGGTGTGCAATGTGGTGGGCAAAAACAATTGGAAGCGAGATTATAGCTTCTCTATTCGCCAGACATTACTACTATCATCAGTTGTTTGCTACTAACACTTTCCAGCCAATAATGTTTTTTTTCGCATGGTCACTTCGACATCTTCATCGTCTACACCTGACATTTGTTCGCCATCATCCACCCTCGACTCGGCGACCAACAAAAACAGCAACAACGACAACAAAACAATAACGAAAACAAATGTGTATTTAGTGACCAGATGGCGAAAAATAAAACAAATTATCAATTGTCAAGTGGCAAAATTTTTTCTAAAAATTTCCAGATGGCAATTCAAATCGGATGCACAACACCAACAAAAAAAAGCAATGCCTGCTGCTGGAATCGAACCAGCGTCGCCACGGCCACAACGTGGAGTACTAACCACTATACTAAGCAGGCCGAAAGCACTCGTTCACAATTCGATAGAAGAGATCGCTCGATGGTTAGCAGGGGCGAGGGAAGAGGCGGACAGCGAGGTTCGAAATTTTACAGTGACATGGGACATTCACAGAAAACTTTCTGAATCACGGCTGATGTGTGGCCTGGAAAAGATGGTCGACGATTTCAAAAATGGAAAATGGAAGTACGGCACACAGCTGAGTCAAATTTAAAAAAAAATTATGTCCAACGCCAATTCACGATTTTCTTTGATTTTCACGAAGTTTTGACTTTCATTGTGCTCTTTGATGTTGGAAATCACATTTAGTTCGTACACAAGCAATATATACGTATAAATTTAGTTCTACCCAATTAAACTAAACAAGGTGTGGCCGTGGCCGAACCAAATTCTTTAGGAAAATTTTCCTAGGCCGCCGCGTCACCAAAGAGAAAAAATATGAAAAATGCGCTACACCTCGCATTTTTTTCTTTCTGTTAAATCCTTGAATTTTCTTTTTTAATATTCCAGATTAATTAAAAATCCGCGGAGAAAAAAAAAAGGGGGGGGAGGAATGATCTCATTAAAAACATCTGGCCTCACAACAAAAAGGGTCCTTTGAGGTCAAATCACTTCAGCATTTCGCTAAACATTCAAATACTCCCATATATAGCTCAACGACCGTAATCAGACTATAAAATTGTGCTACCGTAATCTCTCCCCATGAGACCACCCATCACGCAAAAACCCCCCTTCGAACTATTTGATTGATATTTGTGTTATTTTTTCGCAGTAGTCAATTTTCTCTATATATCTCTTCCTCGTTCATCCTTTTCGCAACGGACCAGCTGATTGGGGGGGGGGGCGAGAGGTGTCCACTATACGGACCATGATAAATCAATGATCAAGTGGTCCCGTCAAATTGAACAACGGACCTTGAGAAAATGATGTATCCAAGCCCCCAAAAAATGAATTATTAGAGAATTGGCAAAATCTAAAAAAAAACACCTTTCAGCGGTCTCTACCGTAAATGGGAGCCCGATGTCACCTGCTCTCATTCCTCTCGGGACACTCTTGTCGGCATACTGTAGCTGTCAGTCATCCATTGAAAATGTCCATCATCGCGATTCGTCAGGGTGACGACGAACATGACTTGCGGCATCAAAACGCGAAATGCCGAATATGGAATATGTCAATGTCACACATACTATGGTAATCGAATGAGCCGAAAAGGGAAGAAATTATGGAGAAGGAGGGGGGGGGTCCGCAATTGTGCGTCAATCATACTGTCTCATCACTACAGTTTGAATTACGCGTCTACCAATATTTTTGCTTGAAACAATTTTAAAGCGCCATCATATTTTATTTTTATTTTTCGAAAACAAAATTTTGTGTTTTTGATTATCAAATTAGCTTACGGTATAATATTTTCAGTGTGATTTTGCGTATTATATGATGTACTTTTTTGAATGACAATTTTCACACATTTTCTTCTGCTTTATAAATTGTCAATTGTTGTGCAATATTGCGTCACCGGATTGCGGAATAAATTCAAAAATTCGATACGCGAGATCTTTTAAATCAATCAAGTCAACATAATTCCATTTAATTACAGTATCCTAATTAAAGAAAGCATTGAGTATTATTTCAAAATATGATTTTTTTTAATTGGCTAGTACGATAATTATTATTCCTTTAATTTAATTACACTTTGAGAACCGAGCAGATTCAATGATTACGAACACAATTGTGTAAACCGGATTACGGTGTGTGCATTTTTGCGTCAAAATTTCAACGCCCGCCTCAAATATGGTATTTGCGCGCCATAAACGCGTTGTAATCGGATCTGACTCTCAAAATTTTGTTTTTCAATCAAAAAAAAAATATATTTTCCGTTAATTTTACCTATCATTTTCTCGACTTCAATATTACTTTTTTTCCCCCGAAAAAAAAAAACAATGATTATAATAATATCCCAAAAAATAAGACGTGGTTTTCAATTTTTTTCTTCTCCTTTTCAAAAAAAAAGAAATGACGAATTTCGAAAACGATGTGTATTTGCGATGTGATTCCGATGATACAGAGATCATTCGCCAAATTTCTCGAATATCACGGGACTACCGTAATCGTGAGTATTTTGGTGCCCCCCGAAAAAAAAGATTAATACCTCTTTATAGCGTTTTTTTTCAGAATATTCTAAAAGCTTAATTTCAAGTTGTCAGTTATTCAAATCTTTCTTTCAACTTTTGCATTTTTTGTTGTTGAAAATTTTCAATATCGACAAAAACATTTCTACAGTAATCCCAATTGCTCTAATTTAAAGGCGCAGCTTCGAGATTCGTTCTCTTCCGTCCATTTTCCACTTTTTTCTATTATGCGTCATTCTTTCACCATTTTCCATTTTCCATACAATTCTTCCGAGAAATTCATTTTTCCCCCTAGAAAACTACAATTTTTTCATTCCTCCTTTTCCGGTTCATTTTTCAATTCTCATTTAAAGGCACATAGCCAAGTTAGTCTTGTAGCAAAACGACACATCATGTCAATAGAAAAAAGTGCAAAAAATAATAACAAATTCTTCTATGCGCCTTTAAACCATTACTGTAATTTTGCTCGTTGAGCCTTTCTTTAATGATGCTATTCTCATGCGGGCGAATTTTTCGTGCCAAGACCGAACTAGGTACCCACAAATTCCGCATCAAAAGCTTCCCTCCTCCCAATTCCACCAAAAACACGAATTCGCCTTTTCGGAACGTCATTGTAATCAAACAACGACGACGACGAAGAAAGAAGAAGTGTGTCGATCTCTTATTTAACTTTAAACTGCCAAGAAGCGCAGGCAGAAGCTGTCAAAAAATCAAGTATTTCGTTCGAACAGTTTTTGCCAAAAAAAAAACTACGTGGAGGAGGTGGTGGGCGATGAAGGCGAAGATGCTTATCTAGGCCTCGTTTTTGAAATGAATCGATTCCATCAATTTTCTTTCTCATTTATGTGCAAACTCAACAAACATCAGCATTGTTCGCTTTTTTTTCGCTGCAAGACCCTTTTATGGCTTAAATGACTTCTGTGCAATCATCGCATGGAAACTCCACGGACATGCATTTTAATCGACGCCTAAATACCGTGAGCAGAATTTGCAGAAAATCGCGTTTCGGCTTTTATGCTCCTTTAAACAGTATAGACAAGGGATGGAGGAGATTTAAAAAATAAATCCCCATGGGTAATTTACAGTTAAAAAGACTAACTAGGGATCAAAATTTCAACAAGCTTAAACTGCTCCTTTAAATTACTGTCAAATGTGTTGGAGTTCGCAAAATTTAATTTTGCAAAAAAAATGCGCCATGAAAAATTTTTCGCATTTTTTTGCAAAACAAAATCTCGCAATGCATTCTTCTTCTTTTTCTTCTTAAAAAAAATGAAAAAGCAAAGAATCCATTGGTATTTTGGTGCGGCGATCAACGAACCATGAGCATGAGCCTCATCAGCAGCAGCAGCAGGAGCAGCTGGCATCCGTTGCGGGTATCCGGCTTCTGCTGCATAGCACACTCGACCGGTCGAACTATTTGTTGTTTTGCTTTCCTCACCTCCCCCTCAAGAAAAGCCGCCATTCCGCAAAAAAGTTCACATTCCTCGCCATTGTGCTCATTACAAAATGTTCTAGTCGTGTCGAAATTGGCGAGAGCACCGGAAAATGTTTTGGAAGAAACCAAAATGCATGCTCCTTTAAACCCAAAACCCCAATCTTCTTCCTCATCCACAATGACGCGCTCAATGACCATCAGCTGTCCCTCTTCTATCCCATCGCATCTCATGTGATATTCAACTTCATTTCTATGTGTGTGTGTGTGTGTAAAATCTTTGACTCCTCATGGTCTCGTGACGAAACGTGGGCCCCATCGTCAAAACCCCGCCCATCAAAAATTGTAATACTCACATCTCTTATATTAGAAGCTTTCACTCGGAGGCGAATCATCGAGGTTTCGACTTCCGCCCTCACGTCATTTTGATTTTCGAGTTCAAACTGTTCTTGGTGTGTACTTGGTACAAGACGGCCTCAATTCTCTCTCTTTCAAATCAGAAAAAAAGACACGAATGAAAAACCGATTGTTTCAGAAAGGAAAGCGCTGACGACGAAGTTTTGATGCGATTGGCCTTGGCGCTCGTTTTCGCAGTGATGGTGAGTAATCAAAAAAAAAATCCGTCTCTCCTGTAAATTTATCAAGACAATTTTTGAGGCGATCGGCGCCGTCGAGCCGCTAACACCCGGCGAGAATTGCGAGATGTGCCAAATCGTGCTGCGGACAGTCTACGGTCATTTCTCCGCAAACATTCCGAGCCGCAAGAAGCTCGGCAATCAGCTCAAGCACGAGTGCAAGCGGCATTTTCATGTAAGCATTTTTTTGTCAAACCCACCTACCCCCCCAACTCAAATAATTACAGTATCGCCGACGCTGTTTGATGGCCGTTAAGGATCAGGAGGAGTTTCTGTATCGCGAGATGACCGGCGGCGATTTCAAGCCAATCAAACCATGTTTTATATTGAAGGTGGGCTAGAATTCAATTTTTTTTGAAAACTACTGTAATTTCCGAGCTTTAAAATTCCAAAATTTCAGGAATGCAAACGCCTTCAATCCCCTCTGCCCGAAGATTTCAAAATCGACAACTCGACGAGCATCATCGAGGCTTCAATAATTGAAAACACAACCACCACTACGACAAATTAGAGCAAAAATATTTCGATATATGAGAGCCCCCTCATCGCCACTGACATTGTCCAAATTAGGCGCCAATTTCGATATACGGGTTCCGCAATTCAGGGGTTATTTTTTGCAACTTTTTTCTCGATTTCTTAATTCGCGCATTTTTATAATCAAATTTTCAACAGATAACAACGATAAAAAATTTACAATTTTGCCAGCTCCTTTTCCTATTCTTTCCATCGATGAGCACACGCGTTGTTCGCGCATCGGTAGAAAATCGTCATCGGCTCATCAGCCGACCTCGTCTGGAGCTGCATGAAGTAGGCTCGATCGCACGAGCAAATCGGACATCGTTCTGGAAGAAAATTGTTGAAAAAAATTTTGCAAGATCTTAATCTTGGCAAGAAAATGCGCATTTTAATCATTTAAAAATTATAATAATAGTTTTCAAAAAAAAATAATTCTTATGTTCTCCTCGTCCGCTTACCATCAGTGATTTGTGCATTCTCCCACGCTCCCGGACCACCAAGAACATCATCGATATCCTTGAGCTTCGGATAAATTCGACTCGACAACTGAAATTTGACAAAATGTATTTCATACACGTTCATTTTTCTTATCAGTTTTTCCAAAACTTGACGTTCTTCTTCAAATTTTCTTTATTTTTTTTAATTGCATTATTTCAAGTTTCATGCTTACTAAAAAAATATTAATCAAATATTTGGCCTAGAAGATCCCTAGAAACTCATAATCTTTTAAAACGAATCATATAGAATTCAATAGACAATACCCAATTGTAAACCTCATTGTTTTCAAACAATTTCAAGTTCTTTTGAAATAACGGCAATTCAATTCTATAGAATTTCCGATTCAAAAACAAAATTTAGCAGCATTCTGATATTTGGCAAAGAAATCAAATTTCTGATATCAAAATCGTTGAATGTAATGCTAAATTTCAGTGGAAAGAAGAAAAATTAGCTTATAATTGAAAATTCTGCTCCTCAATTCCATTCTAGTCGTATAATGCAAATCACGCAAAAAAATATCAACAATAAAAAAAAACCAAAAATCTGCATAACTGTTTAAAATTTATTTTAGAAAATTTGGTGTTTGTGCGGATTTTAAAAATAATTTGTCAATTTCGAAAATTAGGCAAAATGCCAACAAATCAATTTTTGGCATGCGCCTTTAATGCATATTGTCATTCAGCAAAAAGAAAACTAGAAAGTAGGCTTCCTAAAAGAAAACTGCACAAAGCTTACCGGACCAGTAACCGGACAAACATAGGGACAAGCCGGACACGAGAATCTCATACATTGATCGCCTTCTTCAATTTGCATAACGGATCCGCATTCGGGACAAAATGTGAGCATCTAAACAACAAAAACTTTTATAAAATTCGGGAATAAAAAAAATAAAGGGACAAAAACCAGGAAAATTGAAAAAAAAATACAAACCAAATCTCAAAAACCTTTTATTTATTTGATCAATTCGCTTTAAAACAAACGGAGTACTGAAATTTACCAAAAAAGAACGCAGAATTGAGTAAAAGGAAAAGAAAAGTTAGAATATTCAAAAAGAAACAAGATATTAGACGAAAAATGGTTTTTTTTAGCAATGAAGATAAGGAGAAAATTATTGGTAGGCACTACGAGTACAAAAAATAAAAAGAAAAGAAGCAGTGGCGAAAAAATGGAACAGAGATCCAAACAATGGAATTACAAGGCAGAGAATATCTCGAAAATCAATTATTTCCAAATTTAGTCGTCGTGGGGGCTCTGATTGGCGTTGTAGAAGAATGGCTGTCTCGAATTGCGGTGATCCTCTTCGGCTTGATCGTGCTGAACGGTGCGCTCCGCTTGCGAGCTGCTGCTTCCCACCTCTTCGGCGATCACTTCCTCAACATATTCGGCAACAATGTTCTGGCCATCGTAAATATATTCCTCTTGGTTTCCTGCAATTCATAGCATTAACAAGTTCGTAATTTATTGATGGTGGCCGCGGCCGTCGGCAATGGCCGTAGACCCATTTTCTATCGTCCTCATCGCCTCGCTAGTGACGCCCGTTTCGGATTGTTCGATTTTTTTCCTTCATCAGACTAAACACCAAAAATGGGAAATTTAAGAATTCTAAGGGAAACTCGTAATGTTCTCGATGAAGATTTTTTTTTATTCTGAATAATCTAATCCACGTCCCAGGGTTTTTGAATTTCACTGTTTCAAAATCTTAATAAATATCATCGGCTAGACGCAAACTCTCCTCAATCTCTTCAATTTTTTCTAATTATCGCCTTTCCGCTGAACAAATCGTCGCTACCGTACTCTATTCGCCGCGAGACATAAAGCGCTACTACGGGAAAACGAAAATAATTTTAAAACTAGCAAAATTGTTCCGTTTATTGATGAAATCAATGAGATTTGGGAGATTGAACTAATTTTGGTTGAAAAAATTCAACGGCTCGTATTTAATCATCTTTTTTAAAAATTCACCGTCAAAATCGGCCGACGCCTTCTTCAATACATCATGCTCCACAATATGGCGTCTCTTCGCCGGCGGCTCGTGCGACGAAGAGCTAGCCATTCCCTCCTCCATGAATTCCGTAAGAACTGATCCATCAGCAGCGAGAATATCCTAAAAACATGATCCAAAATCCAATAATTTCCAAAATCCTCTTACATCAAGCTGCTTCCTCATCGATCCAACAACATTATTAATAACAATGTCAACATCATCCGAAGTTGACGATGTCAACGCATTGATCCATTCGCCAAGTTGATCAGCTTGTGTCTAAAATAATCCAAATTAATTCCAATTTTCATTGATCCCATTTCCCCCACCTGAAGTTCAACATTCTGAAGAATTGGAACCCGAACAGTCGTGGTTTTCGATGGATCAATGCCAAGACGACCGTCAAGCATTGCCGAAATTCGGCTTTCAAGCTTTCTACAAATCAATCTAGTCGCCTGAAAATACAATTTTTGTTGGTTCGAATTTCAATTTTTGCCTACATCTCTCGCAATTCGAACCGCATCCGATGATTGCGCTCGCGATTCATCCTCATAGTAGACCGTCTCTTCGTAAAAATCGCCGTTCAAATCATCGAAGAACATATTCTGGTTTTCGACTACTTCGAAATTGCGTTTCGGGCAACGCGCGCGTTTCCGCTGAGCCAATCGACGCATTTCCATTGCCTGCGCCACCGAGCGAGTATCGCTGTACAATTTCGGCGTTCGGCGGCATTCGATCGGCACGTCCGAGACGAAATTCACGTGATACTGGACGAGCACCGGACTCGCTCGGACACCATCAGGGCAAGTCTCCAACCAGCACACCTAGAAAAGACAAAATTTTAAAAAGCAATTTCTAGATCCTCTAGAAAAAATGTCGGCCCATCCCTTACCTTCTTTGTCAATCTGCTTTCCAAATTCGAATAGTACCAATTAAGGACATATGGTGCGGCGGGCACATTTTTTCTCGAGGTCTTCACGCGATTTCCATCGACCTCCACGTATATTCGCTTTTTCGAGCTTGTCGATTTTCCGCGATTCCACAAATAATTATCTATATAATAATCGGTGTTGCGGAGTCCGACGCGCGGCTCGACGAGAAAATTTTGGAATCCCTTTCGATTATAATCGATTGTCAATGGAAACTCCTTTTGAACCTCCTTTTCATCATAGCTGGAAGAAAATAATGCATATTTGGACTATTCTCAAGCAAATCTTACCATCTGAAATAAAGAAAATGCGCCGCCTTATTGGGAATGCTCAAATCAGAGGTTTTCAAGCTCAACGTTTCTCCAGCATCATCAAAACCCTTTCGAGCATGCTTGATTCTAGACTCAACATGTCGCCTCAAGGAATTCTCTTCTTCTTCTGAAAATATAATTATTTACATTATCCGTCGAAAATTCTGTAAATTCACTCATAAATAATTGAAATTTATTAAGATGTTTTCCAATTTGAAAACATATTGCCTTTGTTGACAAATTTATTGATAATTTTTCTTCCATCAAACTATCTCTCTGTCACATTCTTGCACTTTTCAAGGTCTTCTATCTTCTCTCGAAATTTCTCACCATGCGTAATCAATATTTGCTCTTGTTTCACATTTTCCACATCAATTGTCGTTTCCGCATTATCATCCGCGTCATTCTCATGATTCTCAACATCTCCAACTTCGATGAAATCTTCCGGCGATGGTGCCTCATTCTCAATTTTCCGCTCGGGAGCATCCGGCGTTGTCTGCCGCCGCGGCTGTTGCTCCTGACCTTGCTCCTCTTGTCCGTCAACGCGTGGCTGAAAAAAAAAACTATTGAGATTCAAAACCAACTCTTGAGAAATTTTACCTTTAGCTCTCGAGTACCTTCAGCTGGCCTAGAACTGGCTCTGAAATATATTTTATTAAAATAAGTTGGCATAATGTTTTTCTCCTACTTTTCTTCACGAGTCTCAACGAAACTTCTCAACAAATCAGGCATTTTAATCGACGACACGGTATATCCGTCATCCAATCTAAAATCACGCAAAATTAATTAAAAAATATTAAACAAATGATGTACGCTGCTTCCAGTAAACGTGCCGATGGTGTTCGAACCTTTCTCGTCTCCATAAAGCGTCTGTAACAATTATCGATTTTTTTTGGTTAAAACGATCAAAATGAGTAATTTTTTCGAGAAACATGGTTGAATTGATGACATTCGAACGAAATTATTCAAGAATATACCGAAAATTTGAATATAAAGGACGAGGTACGGGGGACTAGGAAAGCGAAGCGTGAGCGGTTTATGCCGGCCGCTCGGCGCGGACGCCGTCTGTGGTCGTGGCCGCGGCCGCGTGTCCAATAGAGCGCGTTTGCAGCAACTACAATGTCGAAATACGTGGACTCGTGTCGATTTCACTCAAAAAATGGTCGATTGCTCGTCAAAACAGATATTCACCTTCGTTATTGCATTGTTAGGGTAAAGAATAAATTTTAAATATTAATTGCTCAACAATCTATTTTAGGTTCTCCATATTAATATTTTTCATCGAAGAATACACGGAAGAGCACGAAATGCAAAGTGAGATGGAGATGAGAAAAGCGTATTATGGTGATTTTTCTTCAAAATTAACTGTTGTATTGTGAAATTATTAGAAAACGAGCATAAACTGGGCTCATCGTCTCCGGAGAAGACAACGACGAAATATCCTCCAAGCGATTGTTGGAAATATGAGAAAACCGAAATAATTTCGCCGTGTGCGCCTTGTAAAGAATTTGAAATGAAGGCAATTAAAGCAGGTTTTTAAAAATTAAAAATTTTATTGAAAAATTGTGTTAAATTCAGATCACTGTATTTCAACCGGATTCTACACTCGCGTGAACTGCACCAAGTCCAAAATAACCGTTTTAAGACCTTGCCAAGCGCCAAAGGTAAATTTGTGAATTTTCATTAATTTTGCGAAATTAATTTTTAGAAATCTAAAAATTTACAAGGCTATTGAAAAATAAATTTTCATTCCAAAGGAAGCAAATTCGTACTTTGCTAAAATCACAATTGTGGAATTATAGTTTTTAAAAAAGTCGAAACTTTTTTTCAAACACAAAATGTAATCAGAATATTGTCAAGAAATTTCCAAAACTACAAAATTAACTTATTACGATTAATAAAATTGTTTCTAATATTGATTTACGAGAAATTTCAATTTTAACCGCCGCAAGACCCAAATCAAACTAGTTCAAATTCGAAACTTTCAATTGGCAAAGATCGTTTCAAGACCAAAATTCTAAGATAGCCTATATCAAGGCAATATAATATACGAAACATAAATCGTCTCAAGACCAAAATCGAATTTTTCACAAATTCCAGGAATCCCGTCAAAAGGCTTTCAACATTTTCTCAATCATCAATCTTCTGATTCTCGTCTCCAGCTACTTTGCGGCCGTCGAACGAAAGAAAATCTTGGATCAATACGCGTACAGCCGAGTTGCACAAAACTTTTGAGCTCCAAATCCAATTATAATTTCCGAGAAGATATGAAAAAAGAAAGAAGCACGGGTTTTATTTGCGAATAAATTGTGAAATAGCACAGAACATTTTATAAATTATCGAGAACGGGCACCGATTAATAGTTTTCGCAAAAAAAGGGGCGTGGCTTGGAGATGCATATATAGGATACTGTAACACTAGATTCTCGGTGGTTTGGGCTGGGAATATGAGCAATTATAAGTGAATTTCTCATTTTTTTTTCTGTTCGCTTTTTTCCTTTAAAGACATTTCAAATAACACTGGCTCGTAATAAAAATTTTAAAAAATGCGCATGAATCACAAAAATCGGGGAAAAGAAACAGAGGTGGTTGGGTTGGGTTAGAGTTAAAAAATAAAGACAAAAACACAGAAAAACTTTAAAAAAAAAAAGGGAGAAGATAACATTAGAAAATATTAAAGCTAATTTGCGCGATGAATATTATTATTCATCACAGCAGAACAAAAGAGAAACAATAATTAATTTAAAGCGGATTTTTTTCGTTTAATTTCCATTCATCATTGGTTGTATAGGAGCTGCTGATTCTTTGACGTCTGGTATAAAATCACGGGCCATTAAGCACGCGAATACGGTCATCACCATTTTTGGCTTCACCTAAAATCGAAAAATTTTTTAAGGGCCTATGGAGAAAATAACAATTATTTGTATTGAAATATTCTATATTTTTCTGTTTTGTTGAGTTCCCTATAATAAAAATTGAAAAAAAAACCAAGAAAAATTTTTTTAATAAGGGTCCATATTCCGAGAGCTGAAAAACAAAGCATCTTTTTGTTTTTTTCCTTATTCAGCGTGTAAATATGCAAAAACATTTCAAAAATAAATCCATTAAAAAGAATGAAAAATAGAAAAAAATTTCCGAAATCCTAAAGCGTTTCCTCACCTCCACAATATCCTCCGGCAGTGCGTATATCTTGGCTCCAATTTTTCGGCCGCATGTGATTGCATACTTCGCATTCGACATTTTATCATCACTGCTAGCCCCATTTTTAATCTAAACACTCAAAGCAATGAGCATTTTGTCAACACTCAATAATTACCAACCAATGAGTAATCAATCACGTTCGGTTTGATAGCGTCAATCAGGTCAAGAACAACTTTTCCACTCGAAATCGCTGGATCTTGGAAAGATTTTATCGACGAGCTTTTGCCGGACGAAGCGAGCTTCTGGTTGACCCATGTGACTATATCCTTGTCTCCAGGCAAATCGCCGCTTTGTGTGCACTGCGACAGAATCGTCAGCGTGTAAGCGCGCATCAACTGCCAAACAAGAGCTGAAATAAGAAAAATGTGATTTTTCTTTAAATAAAAAAATCATCAAAATGCAACCATACCCAGTGTGAGCGTCTGATTTCCATCATAAATATCTTTCCCCTGAATTCCGACCAGCGAGAATCGCAATTGTTTTCCCAGCTCAACCGCATAATTGCAATTTTGTATCTGATCCATCATTCCTCGCAATTTGTGGAACGTTCGAACCACACGCTTCCACGAAACCATTCCCGGGCGGATAATGTCGTAGAGCTGCAATCAAACAATCTCTTGTCATTTTAAAACAGTGTGCGCCTTCAAAATCCATTCAAGACGCAAAAAAAGAGCAAATTCTCCTAATCAATTACCTGGAATATCACAACACCATTCTGTAAATCGCCATAAAGCCAATTAACGTATGGATCGACGCCCATCGAGTTCATCCAATTTCGGTACGTCTTCTCTTCGCGCGTCTCAACAACAGCGTCCTCAACTAGAAAAAAAAAGAAAACGAGCATTTTCAACTCGTTAAAATTCCAATCTCACCAATCTCATCTGCTCCCGGATCCGGCAAATTCGGGTGCTTGTTGAACAAATTGGCGACAAATGCCAAATTGAGCTTATAGTTTCCGGCGGCGACATCATTCGGCGTGACAAACTCACGGCATTCAAGCTTGTCAGCCTCCCCGAGCATGGCTCCAGCTCGTGGGATGTTGCCCTAGAATAACGAGAGAAATTGTGAATTTATTTCAAATTTTGCCAAATTCACACAGAGAAAAAAAATCAAGTCACCTGAACTCCCAACGGCGCCAACGTCACACCGCTTCCAACCGGCGCAATCTGATTCAACAAATGCGTGTAGATCTCGGAATTGACAATGTCGTTCGTGAAATTGTGACATCGCCGACTAATTCCCGCCTAAATCAAACATTTTCAAAAAAATTGAAAAAAAAAAAGTCGTATATCCAACCTTTTCAAGATGATAATTGACCCATCTGAGAAGAATCTCCTCGGGCGAGAGCCTCCTCAAATCATCGAGAGTCTCACCATCGCGAAGCAATCTGAACAATCCGGGACAATGTTGAAGATCGATTTGGTTGAATAATCCGATTCGAATGATTTGCCATAAAAGACCGAGGACCAAGTGCGGAGTTCCTTTGCTCAAATCGATGTTGTCGATATTGATAATATTGCAACCAATAGCCTTAAAAAATATTTCATTTCCGAAAGAAATAAAAAAGAATTTGAAAATTTTTCCAGAAAAATCGAAGAAAAATGCAAATTTTGAGCCAATTCTTAAAACTGACTCCGAATTTTTGACAAGAACACTTTTTGCATTAAAATTTTTCAATTTTCAGCGCGCCACTAACCTGCGCCGAACACAACGCCAACGTCAAATTTTCAAGCTTCTTGTAGGTGTTGAAATTCTTCTTATTGATAGCTCGTTCATCAATTGTTCCCGGTACAGCCAAATTAATCAATTTGCTGAAAAGGAACAACAATTCTTCCAAAAATGGAGAAAAAAAAGTACCAAATAATTAGTCCATCTTCGACTTTCGTATACAATTCACCGCCTTGCGGATTCACTGGCAGCAACCGCTTCAAATCAGCATCATCCGACAAATTGCTGTTGATCCAATTCGAAAACGCTACTTCTTCCTGAAAATATTTGACAAATTTCGATGAAAAATAATGAGATCGCCCACTTCAACGCGAATCGTGTGATGAGCATTGTCTTGTTTCTCACTTTGTACTTGATACGCTCCACTAACTTGTCTGAAAATGAGAAAAGTGAAAAAAAATCTATTAAGAAATTGAATTTTCTCTAATTTCCCTCCAAAATTATCCAAACTTTTGAAATATTTTCGACTTTCCATTATTTTCTTTAAAACATGTGCTTGTATATTTCAAAATTTCCCCCTACTTGGTCTGATGTTTCCACTGATTCGCCTCCTGATTCCTCTGCGCATCCAATTCCTCATACAACTTGGCGAATTGCTCTGCATTAATTTCACTGTTCTTGCCAAAATGCGTGTCAAGCATCTCCCTCATCTGGAAAAAAATATATTGTTCAATTTTTCGTGAAAAAAAAAGTGAAATTTTAGGTTCCAAAATAGTCAAAATCCCACTTTTTTTTTAAAATTCAATATGCATATTCCAAAAATGCTTATTGATTCAATACCACAAAATTCCCTTCAAAAAATTCGCCTCAAAAAACGTCACTTTCTATGACCATCAATGATAACAGCAATCATCATTCGCTCAAATGAATCCTATTGTGCAAACAGTATGACCGCCGTAAACCAAATTTCCTGGAGCCAACTTCCTGTACTAATTGGTCGTCGCACTGCGAAAGACAACAGTTTCCGGTCAAGTGGCTCAAATGAGCAAACAGAAATGAATCACGTCTTGTGGCATTGTTTTTTGTTTTCGCGACAACACATAAAACCGCGGTTACCCAAATAAAAATAGAAAATCTCAAAAAATTTGGAAAAAAAACGTCAAAATTTTGAAAATTTTCCATAAATTTTAAACTTTGAACAAATCTAGTCTGAAAATTCTTCAAAATATTAATTTTTGAATTTTTCAAAATCAACTATCATAAGGAAACGGTCTTTTTTTTGCTCAAATAAGTCCAAAATTCACGCGCCAGACATCAATGTCCGACGAGTATCCGCCAAAATCTCAAGTGGTTTAGCAAATATTGCCCAAAACTGAGTCACCTTGTATCCAGGAACATCGATTCCAAGCACTTTGAGCGCCGTCTGAATGTCGTTGCGTTGAAAAACACCATTTCCAGTTTCGCTAACCTACAAAAAACGATCAACAATCGTTCAAAAATGTCTCAAACCGTTGGAAAATGCTCATGCAAATCGGTCCATTGCTCTCTAGAAAGCATTCTGAAAACAATAGAAAATAATTTTCGGATAAAAAATTTTAGGAAAAAAAAATGGGACGATTTGACAGCGATTATTATCAAAAGAATTTTATCAAACACGCCAATTTTGGGCGAAAAATCAAGAAGTTGTTGGTTGAAAATGCCCAGGGCCTGATCGAATTGACAAACAACTAAAATTGATAACCAATTGATTATAAAAATGTTGCCAAATTATAGATCAAATCAGATTTTTTTGGAGGAAAAGCGAAAAATTGAGAAAAAATATCATGAAACTCTCAAATTGAACCAAATTGTTCACATTTACCTAAAAAGCATCATATTGTTTCAAACCTTATATGGAAAATCTTATCGGAAAAAGAAACAATTAAGAAAAAAATAATTACATTGTATTTCACTTTCTCACAGTGAAATTGAACACTTCTCGGAATAACTTAATTTTTTTAATTCCCAAAACAGAAGCGATCGATTTAAAAAAATTTTAATTGTTGAATTAAGACGATTTCACGTCAAATTTCAACATTTCTTGAGGTTTCTTAATTTATTTTCAAAAAAAAAACTAAGGAATTTCAACATTTCAAAGGTAAACCTTGCAATTTGATACCAAATAACAAGAATTATTCCATTTTTTCACCTAAAACGGAAAATCTCTTAAGAAATACAAAAAAAAGAGAAATAATTAGTACAAAAATGCGCGAAAAATACAATTTTCGAGCTAAAAAATTCCAATTTCCAGTAAGAAAAAGGTCTCAAATTTCACAAAAAAAACATAGAGCAATTCCTCAAGTGGCACCTACAGAAGGTATCTCGATCAAAGTCCGAAATACACCAGAGTCGACCCCCATCGAAGAGGGAGGCAAAGTGGAATTATAATGAAGATTGACAACTTCATGGGAACACCGAAAAAGGGAGGCAACCTCCCCCCAAAAATAACAACGAAGGCGAATTGAGGAAGACGACGATAGATATGACGAAGAGGGCTTAAAAAACCACACGGAGGAACGGACGAACTGAAGGAAGACGGTGAAACGACAATTGCGAAACCAGCAGGCGATCCATTCGCCCTTCTAGGCGCCCAGCGTGCGCACACCACACTTCGACAATGTCGCGAGATGCGCAGACAAGCAAAGCGCCTGAGAACTTCGAGGTAAATGGGCATCGAACGACGAATGAGAAGGGAAATACACACACACACACATATAGGCAGCCACCGATTGAAAAAAACGTCTCTACCGAGCAAAACACAGCCAAAAAACCGATTTCATTTTTCTGCTTCGCGTTAACACCTTTTGCACACAAACTGTCCTTCTACTCCCATCTTCTCCCCACACAGTCCGACGCGTTTTCGACTCCGTCCCCCCCACCCCCTGCACACCAGAAGGAGAAACAAAAAATGTTTGCAATTCTGTTTTTTTTTCTTCCAACATTGACTTTTCCACCCTCGCCCCATCCGAAAGGGCTAATTTTATTGGAATTAAAATTGACCAAAAAAATTTTTGAAAATTGAACATTTTCTACGTGGATACTCGAAATTTATTTGAAATTCTTGAAATTGAAAATTTCCGTTGCAGTTTCAAAAAAGAAATAGAAGAAAAAACGCGAAATAATTCAATTTTGTAGCAAAAATCAAAAAATTGTTGAGAGATAACTTAATTTTAGCGACAATTTCGAAGAAAAATCTATTTAAAATTCTAACAAAAAACGCTCACAGAAATAGCCCAAATTCAGCGAATCCAGTCAATTTTTGAAGATTCAGTAGTGTATATTTGAATCGACCACTCGCGGGAATTTTCGCCATCGCCGGCCCATATGGCGCCAGTAATTAATTGGTGATGAACATTTTCAAACACCCGCCTCACATTGTCGTTTCCTCAAGGCTGACTAAACCAAAGAAACGCTTTCGAATCAAAAAATGTTCAGGAAGTTTGCAAGGAAAACAAATTACAAAAAGGAAATTTCTTGGAAATGATAAAACTGAATTTTTTGCTCAATATTGAAGGGAAAATATTTGGCTGAAAAGAATTTTTTAAATTCTGGTTTTTATAGTGCAATGCAGAGAAAAAATAAAATGCAATAAATGATTATTTTTATGCAGTAAAATTTTGTCCATATCTCATTGTTCATTATTTCTGCATTGATCCTTTAAAGAAAAAATATGTACTTAAAAACATTGCCAAAATATCCTGATGAGACCCTTCAAGCGGCCCCACGAAAACAAAAACACACGCCACGCCCATTTCCGAAAACCAATTCGAAGCGAACACCTCAAACAATTGTCGAAAAAGCAATTTGAATTAAAACTCAAGGCCAAACCAAAACCGATGAGTAGTAGTAGAGGAGGAGGGGGGGAAGCAATTTCGGGAAAAAATGAAAGAAAATTGAAAATCAAAATCGGCGATTCGAATGTTTAGATGATGATGTCGGCGAAAATATTCGAAACATTTTTGACGGGCGGCCGTCGGGTTATTGAGTGGCGGGAAAAAAGATTAGAATCGCGCGCGCCAAATGGTCGAATGGCAGCCGAACAATGGAGGGAATGAAGAATTATTCCAACAATTAATTAGTCGCGCACAATATACACAACACGCTTTGGTTTGCCCAAATATGGCTGTCAAACTTTTTTTTTTTTGAGAATAATACGAGAAAGATGAAATGTAGATAAGAATCGACGGCAGTTAATGTGTATGACTGACTAATCATTGGGAGATTATTTCCCAAATTTTTATTCTGATAAATTTGCAAGAAAATAACAGAGCTATAAAGGAAGTCTTAAGATAAAATCTTTCTGAAAACTTCAGTCCTTCTATAAAATACTACAGTTTCTTAAAATCGCAAAGCGATTAAGCAATATAATGGAAAATGGTGAGAATTTGAGAAAACAACGCAGGCAGACCACGTGGTCCAATGGAGCGCGTTTGCTTCGAATAAACAATATGTATTTTGAAAAAAAAAACGAAACATGTGATTTTTTGATAATAATTACTCTACATATTTCGCCTGCAAAATTGACAGAATCAATTAAAATACTAATATCTGGAAAAAAATGAGTAGATAATGGAAAAGCGCGTAATTAAATAGTGAAAACACCCACACACAATGCACGTTCTTTTTTCAACAATGACTAAAAAGTTTGATTTTCTCCTAAAAAGGTCGGCAAACACGACCAAGTTCATGATAATCGCTCGCTTTCGAAGTGCGACAATTATTCGCGTCTTTCATTTTTATATTCTCGTCGCTCTCGTGTTTGTTTGACGTATGTTTTACATGGAAAACGGGTAAAATTGAAATTGCGAAGAGTCATTTTTATCAAAGGACAATTCCATATTAATGACCAATTTCAATTTGGACCGCTCATTTTTTCGATGATAATTTTACCGAGGGCGAATTCGAAACATTCTCGAGAAAATGGAGAATTCTTGATGATTTTTCCATTTTTAATCTTCCAAACTGACGATCATTGAAAAATTCCAAGTTGAATTTTTTTTCTAATCAAAATTTCCTGCGGCTAAATTTTCTGTGAGAACAAAATGTGATGTTACACCACAAATTGTCATATTTTTTGTGTGTTTTACCAAATAAAATGAGAATTTTCCCCCAAAAATGGGGTTAGAGTCGAAAAATTATTTCAAATAAGGTAATGAAAAGAAAATTAAAAAAAGAAAAATGAAGGGAATATCATATCATTTAAAAATTTTTCCAAGGGAAAAGTGAAAATTTCTACAATCTTCGGCTATGTTTTTCAACTTTCAAAAAAAAAAATTTGAAATTAACAAAAACTTACGAGTTCTTCAAATGTTGTCGATATTCAACAAGCATCAACCCTTGAATTTCAATAACAAAATTTGGATAAGCAACAAGGAAAATAAACCAAAACTAATCAAATACGTCGGATCGAATGCAATCTATATAAAACCCAATTTTCTCTCTATGTAGGTTTATATCTTTAAGCTTCCGGGGTGGCGCAATAAACTCAAAAACATTTATAAAAAAAAAGAGAAAGAGAGTGAGAATGGTTGAGATGGCATGTCCGACAATCAAACAGTCGATGATGAGTCATCGCCCAAAACAGCCAAGCGGATGACTCATTTCGACTTTGGATTGATAACAAACATAATGCAACAAATAAATATTAAATATGCAAGGTGTTTTATAAAAAAAATGGGCGTTTCTTTAGAATTTCGCAACGGAATAATTCAACATTTTCGCAGAATCAGGTAAAAACTAGCATTTAAAGCCAACATTTTTATTTTTCCAAGGTTCGGTATTTTAAAAACATTGAAACCTATTGTCGGCGTCATGCGACTGGAGAAAATTGGCTAAACAGGCAAAAAAAGAGAGCTTTGCCTAAAGTTTTTTTTTAAAAATCATTTAGCCAATTTTTCGCAAATCGACGGTAGGTTTCCCTTAAGTTTCCAGAACATTGGAATTAAAAATTAAAAAATATGTATATATATTTAAAACTATGAAATAATTGTGTTTTAAATTGATGGTGGTGGATTTATTTTTTTCAATTTTCACATTATTAATTCAAAAAAGAGTAAATTTAGGCGTTGGCTAAGAAAAAAAAAATAAATAATTGGCGTTCCTTAGTCTTAGTCTGAAAAGAAAGCCAAAATTACAAATTGCATTTTGAGAATTTTTTGGAAATCTCAACTTCAAGTTTCAACACAGTTCAACTAGAAGCATTGCCAAAAAAGGGATTGATGCATGTTTCATGTTAGGTATTGTCTCGCGAAAACTTTAGCATTGGCCAATCGAAACCAGTTCGAGTCCTCCGAAAAACCTTATATTCTCAAAATGTTCCCCATTCTCAAGACGTGTTTGCTGACGACTGATCTGCACTTGTTGCAAAAGTATATAATGAGGATGGCGCCGACGGCGATTATTATTCGGCCGGCATAGGCGATGAACCGTTTTGTGTCGGCGACGGCACACAATTTAAACGATCTTTGAAATTTCTCAAGGTGAAATTGGACAATTTAGAGCGAAATCTTGAAATTTTCCAGTGCAAAATGGCTATTTTCGAAATGAATTGAAAAAAAAAATACATACAACATTTTCGTCTAGAGACCACAAATTTTCCGGAATACCACGATTTAAGTGATTATTCAAATTTTTACGACAAAATTTGCATAGTTTACAAACGCGTTTCTTTTTTTTTAAATTTCCCAACTCAAATGAGGTCTTGGCTAAAAGAATAGATTAAAAGGCGCATTTCGCCAATTTTTCTGACATCGTCAATACAATATTACGAGTTCGGCACCAAATATAGGAAAAAATCACACGGAGAGTCGTTAATCAAACAAAAAATGGAAGAGGGCATGAAATACAATACACCTCGGCTATTTGCCATGGGAAATGCGAACCAATTGACCTCATATAGTAACAATGCAATGGGTGGACAGTTTGACTCATTAGGAGGACAGTAATTGAGGCGACGGTCGAAAAAAATGATGACTAATTGGTTTGACAAGGAAATGGGGTTGAGTTAATTAAAAAATAAAAAGAAGAAAATAGAAAATTCCCGAATAAATGAGTATTCAACATTTTTTTTCAAAATTCCTCAAATTTTGACCATTATAGAAAAAAATAGAACTCGGATATCTTAGTAGGCTATTCGAAAAAAAAAACGAGGTCTACACTATTTTTGAAGGCGACTCTTCAGCGAGAAAGAATGAATAATTGGAGCTCGGAAAAAGCTCATTTCGCAGGGTCGGAGTGATGGGGCAGACCAAGTGGTCACTTTACATCTCGTACGGACCACCATATGATCTTTTATGCATAAATTGCCGTTCTCCGACGGCAAATGAAATGAATAAAACCGATAAATCATAGTTTGGCTGACGCTTCGTCGATGCTTCGAAGCGATGACTCACACTGCGCAACTCAAGATTTCGCAACCGCTCCGCTGAATAACTGCGACGACGGCTCTAAACAAGAAATAATGGAGGAATTTAAAACAATTCTCGGGCACGAAATCGAAATCATAAAAGCGGACGATTAAATGAATAAACAAAATGCGCGCATGAATCGGGTATTTATGAAGGAGAGGAGTCAAACAAACACTAATCTTTTAATGATCGGGCCCGTTTTCGATTTCTGCAAAAACAAAACTGTTCATCGTTTGGCGAAAACTTGACTTTATATGGTGATTTTAAAATTTTGAAGCGACTCTCTGCGAAAACGAACAAAGAAAAAACGTTTGAGTGAATTGCAAACCAAAATTTGAAAATACGGTGCGTTCACAAAACGCACTAATGCACACAATCTGTATACAGTAGAGTGCCACAAAAATAGAAAAGTCGAAATTTTTCCCAGAACGGGAAAAAAATGGCGAAACTGAACGCGAGCAGATGGCGAGAATACATCAAAAGTGATGTGCCCATTCCATATTGCACAAGAGATGAAGAAAGAAGCTAAGCGCGTCGAATTTTTTATGAAATTATCGGCCTACTGGTCAGCGAGGGTCAACAATTTGGGTTTTTCGCGGAAAATGTGTATTTTGAGAGTTAAAAATAGAATAAAGTAGCAAAAAACGGGAAAATTTTATTAAATAACTTTGTACATAGTGAAAAACAATCGGGTATTTAAAATTTCTGTCCTGGATGGTCCCTAATCAACCTATAACTGCTCAACCCATTGCTGCACGCCTCCAAACAAAATCTGCTCAACTTTGCTGGAAATGTTAGCGCTCTGAAATTTAATAATTGAAGAAAAATGTTTGAAAACAGGGTCTGTCTACCTGAATATCGGTATAAACGCACATAAGATCGCCCATTCTCTTGGCGTAATTGTCCATTTTAATCTCATGCCGATACAAAACATGCAAATCGTCAAACAATTTCGAGCGCGTCATTTCCGCTTTTCGTTCCGCTTCGCCATTGAGTCGATGATTTCGCGGAGCCCAAATGTTGAGAGCCAACAGAATCGTGAATTCCACTTCTGTCATGATCAAACTATGCATCGGATGAAGCACAATATTCTGCATAGTTTCGCTGACAGTTTTGAGAGCTCTGTGATTCAAGAACGATTTGAAAATTAAACGACTTCTCAATGGTACCATTCAATAATGCACGAATTACTAGCCTTCAACTGGCATTCAAGGAAGAATTCCAGATCATTGAGATCAATAAAAGTTGTTTGGGAGGTGATAAGCCTAAAATGGTCCACAATTCCAATAATTGACGCCAAATCCTACTTATCAATTCCATGCTCCTTCGAGAGCAATCGATACGTCCAATAGCACGATTCGATCTCCCAAATGACCGGATAGGCCATTGCACAGATTCGCTTCTGCTCGGCGGGCTCAGCGAGCCGATAATCATCGAATGAGTCGGCGAGGAATATATGGAAGAATGGTAGCTCCCTTTTGAATATCTCCGACAATCGGCTATACGTCGTCTTGTTCATTTTCTGCAACGGACCATTGAAAACAAAAAAAAAGGAAATTTGAGATAAGAAACCTTTCCGTTGATGTTAAACTCCTGATCATTTCTCAATTCCACCTCGCTCTCAATAATGTGTCGATTTTTGCAAAACTCCCTACAAAATCCGGCAATTCGATATTTGGGTACATTTTTCGCCGCCACGCAACCTGTAGTGTATGAGAACCCGCTGATGCGTTTTATCAACATCAATGTTCAATTGGAGCGGTTTCGGCCGGCATATTGTCGTCGCCGTCGAATTCTCATCACCATAGTCCTTTTCCGTCGAACTGCTATCCTCCGACTCATATGGCGTCTCGTCGTCGCACTCGGGTTTCGACGGCGATGATCTCTGCCCGCTCGACACCACTGCAACAAAATTCACGTTCGTGCGAGTTTGTGATAGCCGAAAACACAAATTGGTTTTTTCAACGAATTAAATGGGAATTTTCGAAATTGTCCGCAGATGGAATTCCATTTTTTGAAATGAATTGCTCAACTCACAATCGGTGTGGAGGCCGACTTGAAGGCAACGAACCCATCGGCATTTCTGGCATGTCACTTTTCGAGGGGCTGAAAACGAATGATTAAATTGGATTAGACGGGCACACTACAAATTATACGCCAACTACACATATTCATTCCCGCTCGTGAATATCAATTAAATCGCGCGGCGGACGCGGAATTAAGCAAAAGTTCAATCGAGACAGGAAGGGATCAGAAGCACAGATATTCGCAAGATACTGAACTATTCGATCTCAACAAATCTTCAAGCTTAATCTAGATTTTAAAGAAGTTAACATCTAATGTTCTCAACACCACGAACAATTACGATCAGCTAATGAATTTCAAAGGGGCACGATAGGAATTGTTCCATTGTCATATTTCGGCTACAAATTAAAAAAAATAAATAAAAGCCTACTATCCAATCGGCATTTATTCGCCCCTCTTCGGCATACAAACGTCTTCTTGACGTGAACGGATCGTCGGAAGAAAGCGGCGCAAGCGCGACAAATCTGAACCAAATGTCTCGTAATGTGTTTCGGAAATGCTGAGCTCACATCAATTCCGAAGTGTTGCGAACCATCGTAGGTGCGCTCGCACACTCGACACCGATTGTAGCCGGCCGAAAGGCTTTCAGACGACGACGATGACGGTATCGGCGCGTTTCTTGAATTTGTTCAATGATCATATCAAAAAAACAAATCCCCAAAATTCTATTTGGCTTACTTGTTACTGTCGCTGTTGGTCGCGTTCGGTTCACTCAGCATTCTGAAATAAATGAGGATGAACAGAATTCAATGCACGAGCATCACAATCTTCATACTGTTCAAATAGACGCGAATGAAAAAATCGAGACAAGAGAAAAAAGGAGAATAAGGCGCGGAACGGTGTCGGCAACTTGCCAGCGATAAAAAGGGAAACGCATTTTGATCTCCACAATTCATGATATAATACCAAACTGAATCGTTTCCTCTCATTCTGACCCTACAAAACGCTACACATCAGTGGGCGGGGCTAAGAGATCAAAAAACAATGATGTATGTTCACACAAATTTATTGCGGTTCGTGATGTTTATAGTTCATTTTATTATTATTATTATTATTAATAGAAAATCTAGCATGTGAATTTAACATTGGCGGTGGAATGGAAGAAGTTTGCACCAAACACCTACTAGGCAATTATGGGCGGGAATCGGGTACCGATTCAAAGATTCTTATCGAACCCAGATCGAAAAATGATCTAGGATTTAATTTGGATCTAGCAAAAAATCGCGGCGATAGTTGATTTTTTAATTTCTATGCAATAAGTTTGTGCCCAACAAAAAATTCACAAGACATTATTTTCAGCTCAAAAAGGGGCTGGAAGAATGTTTCGCTGTAAGACTTCGTAATTCAGATGCGTCATGTTTATATTAAGATGGTCCGCACGCGCCTGACATTGAATAATTACGGTAGCCGCTTTTATTTTAGGAAACATCCTGTAATATTGTTTGTCTTCTGCTTTTCACTACCTAACAAGCTTGAAAGCGTACTTTAATTGAAAAAATCTGAAATTAAAACACATATTTTGTTATAGTCCACAAACGCGCTCCATAGAAATGTCTCGTTGTTTAGCACCCTCTCACTCTCCGTCTATCTACGTGTTTCTCGCCGCCCCTTTTTTCTCTGCGTCTCTCACAGGTCGAATCCGCGCAATTTACACCTTATGCTTTATTTCTTCGAAGACAAATTTTTGAGGAATTGGCGTTTTAAAATGGAAGGTCTATAAATAACGAGGAAGGATGACAAAAAATTTTGCGAACTTTGCATTTTAATTGACGACAAAATACACATATTTCTTCGTCTTTAAAACAATAATTGCAAATAGCCAATATTTTGTTTTATCAATCAAACATCGGCTTTACACTCAAAACAAAGGAAAACTTGAGAAATCGCAGAGATCAACAAGTGTACTCCCATCGGGTCGCGCATGCGAGACTCCGCCCATTTTTTTAATATCTTTATACAAATTATCATCATCATCATCATCAAAATACAATGGACCCGAGTGCAATTATTTTTGGAATGAAAAATGAAGGAACCAAAAAAAAATAGAAGAAGAGGAGAAAATGAAGAAATTCTAAAGCTTTAATCAATTATTAGTTATCGAAATTCGAAGATCACGGAATATCGCCAGTCCTGACGTAGTAGCGTAGTTGGTCTTCAGAGTTGACGACGACGAGACGTCGTCGGACCACATGATCGCCGCCGAGCGCGATGCGTTGTTGTTCCTCTGAAAAAACGAAATAGAATATGTTGGGCTGTTTGGTCTCGCGGCGATCGGACGCCTATTGCGTCATCAAACCACAAATCATCATTTGGGCTTAAATGTGACCTACAGTATTATTAATAGATAGTAAAACTATTGAAACACTTACGAACGACACTGTTGAAATGCCGATTCTCCGGCGATTCGCCTTTGCGTTGCGCGAACGCGTTGGGCGAGATTCCGATTTGACTGGCCAACTCGGGATTCGCTTCCAACGCGCGCCGAATGTCCTCTAGCGACAATTCTCGCTTATAGCGATGCATATGGTCGGCGTCGCATCCTTCGACATCATCGCAAGTCGCCTATAAAATATAGATTCACTCAGTATTAGATCCACTCAACACCTTTGGGCACGGCGCGAACGGGCAAATCCTAACCAGACATGAATACTGAACCTGTCCGGTCGTCTGATATCTGAACGCCTCCACCGAGACCTTGGCACCAAATTCGGATTTGGTCGGCGGGCACACGAGCCCAACACCATCGGCGGGACATCCGTCTCTTATTATGAACAGCGGCTCGTGCTCCCAATCGTATTTGGGATCAATCGGCTCGACCTGACAACCTCGAACCGATATGTACTCGGCTGAAACGTGCACATTTTGCCAGAGGCTTCCCAATGGGTTCTTACGTGGAATCGGATAGTGCGGCCGGAACGACAATGTGATCTTTGTACCGACGACGACCGCTTCGACGGGCTGCCCGTTGTGGAAGATATCAAAGACCACTGACGTTTTAGGTTTCGCGGCGACATGTACCCTGCAACATTCTGATTTCACTCAAAATTGTGACCGGTGCTGATCAATGTTACGCGTTCGGTGATGTCACTGTTGTCGCTGATCCCGGAGCGCCGATATGAATATGCGTCGATGGGTTGGTGGTGATTCTCGTGGTGGTCGTCGTAGTCGTGGGGGTGGTCGTCGTCGTCGTGGGGGTAGTGGTCGTCGTGGTGGGGGTGGTCGTTGGCGCAACTGTCGTCGTCGATATGGTGGTAGTCGGCAGAGGCTTTGGTGTTGTCGTCGTAGGAGTCGGACTAGTGGTAGTAGTAGTCGTCGTTGTCGTGGTGGTTGGCACCGTACTAAACAAAAATTATAATTCTCGAAAATTTCAGAACGAGCTAAAAATAGGAGGGAGCAACTTAGCATTAAAAAAATAAGTCAACCCAATATTTAAATCACTTGCATTTTCAAAGTGCTCGGATGACGTGTGGTGAACACCTTGGCTTTCGGTGTTGTCGGATCCTTGCCAACAACGATGGCGATGTGGGGTTGGCTGGTTGTGGTGGGTTTGGTGGTGGTAGTAATAGTAGTAATACTAGTGGGTCTCTTAGTAGTAGTAGTAGTCAACCTCGCCGTAGTGGTTGTGATGGGTCTATGGGTCGTGGTAGTTCTACTAGTTCTCGTTGGGGTCGTGGTTATGGGCCTCCTAGTAGTTTTTGTAGTACTAGGCTTTTTGGTGGTAGTGGAAATGATGGTTGTTGGCTTCCTAGTCGTAGTTACTGTGGTGCTGGTAGTGGTGGTGGTTGTGGTGTTGATTGTCGGCCTCGTCGTTGTTGCACCATCATCACCCTTGGCAAGATACTCGAAAAGCGCCTTCGCCGACGCTTCCATCTCTTTGTTTCTACAAACACAGGAAGCTGAACGGATGGAATAGAAATGAGTGAACTCAGCGAAAAAAATATCTATATAATAATGACAACATCGAGAACAACAACTCACTTGGCAGAAGCCCTCTGTAGTGCACTCGAATCCCGCACTTTGGCGCCGGAAAAAGGGCAACGAGCCTGATACGTCAAATCATCCGGCGTGATGAAATAGAGCGGCTCAATTCCGTCTGTCGAAAGGACCACTTCAAGAAGCATCTCATTTCCCTAAAAATGTCTCGAAATTTCAAAAAAATCACTTACAATTAAATCCACACCGCAGTTTTGGAAGTGGTGCATTTTTGCGGAAGGTGTATACACAGTTGGTACAGCACATTTCTATGCGTACAGTACGGTGACAAAAAATTAATTAATTTCATTTTTGCATGAAAGCGCTATTTGCGAACTTTTTTTTAAATAGAAATTCAATTCACAAATCGTTCATTCATATTTTTCATATGCAAGTTGCATAAAATTATCAATTGTTAAATATTCCGAACAACGCTCTTATTTCTCCCAATGAGCTTCTTTTTTTTTCACGCCAATATGCACCACTCCGAAAACTGCGGTGTGGATTTAATTGTATGTCGAAAATCTGTTATGAGGAGCCGATGGTATACGGTACACACTGCGGTGAATGCACACACACAATAGTTGACGCGCATTTACGGAGTTTTTGATTTGAAGGCTGGTTTAGAGCCATGACCATTTTTCGTGTGCTGCATTGCAATAATAGCTTAACTAAAAATTAATTGTCCGCAAAACAAAAAATTATTCATTCCGCCCAACTCGGGTTGGTGAAATTAGTGAAAAAAAAAGGCTCACATCAGAGTTCGATTTTACGGAATATCAACTTTTTAAACCTTAAATCGAATCGAATCCGAGCAATTTTTGCTAATCAATGGCGACGGGAAGAAGTACTCAAATCTCGTCGATTCCTTCGGCTCAATTCTGCATGTGAAGAAGTCGTAGAGCCCATAAAGTGCTCCGGTATACGGTAGATGAGATGAGACCTAGAAAAAGAACGAATTCAGTTTTTCTTTAAAAAACCATTGCTTAACAACCTTGACCAAAATTCCGTCCTCTTTACATTCTGAGGTGAAGCTGAATGAGTCGGACACTGAAATATCTTGAAGAATGCGATAACACGACGAAATGAGATATTCGGGCGAGAACTCACTATTCTGACAATTGTTCTCATAATAATCGATTCGGAAGTTTGGATTATTGTTGAGGCGAATCGCGTCGGGCTTCGTAATCTGCGAATCCGTCGACATGTGACAGCCGCCATCGGTACGATTGAAGGACACCGAACGGCATTCGAATCTAGAAGCAATCATGATACCACGGTGTTTAGTTTCAATTCGAATTCGAATTAGATGAACCGATTGCAAGATCAAATTTCGAGGGAAAAAAAAATGTGGCCGCTCAAAACCGATGGGAGGCTCATCGGGATACGACCCGAAATTCAAAGTGCCGATCAGATTGCAATTGCTATCTACAGGGTGTCATTTAAGTTCCCGCACATCTTTTAAGACGTATATTTCTGAGACTAAAAGTCCAAATCAAACGAGACTCAAAATATTTTTTATGTATAGTATAACAAATAATTATCTATTAACTCTTTTCGATTCGGCCTCCTTTCGCAGCTATGACTTCACGGAGACGCTTCGGGTATGATGCGACTGTGGTACGCAGGTATTCGATGGAAAGATTGTCTCATTCCGCCAGTAATGTTTTCTTCAGAGACTCTACATTTGAGTGGGGTTTTGCGTTGACCTTCTCCTGCAAGACCCCATCACGGAAAAGTCAAGCGGGTTCAGGTCTGGGGAGCAAGCAGGCCATTCGGATGACTTGATGAAGTCGGGAAAATGGGTCTGGCACCACTCCTGAGTAGTTTTGGCAGTGTGGTCGGGTGCTCCGTCCTGTTGAAAGACCCATTTCTGCCCACCGAAATGCGTTTGGGTCCAGGGCATCACATGCTTCTCCAAAATGTCCCGAACGTAGACTTCTTTGTTCACTTTCACCCCCGGATCCACGACAACCAGGGGCCAATTCCCGGTTGAGCAGATGGCACCGAAAATCATCACACTGGCAGGATGTGAGGCTCGATGAATTGTTCTGCCTTTCTCAGAAGCTTACTGGGATGTCTGGGCAAGTACTCGATTGTTTTGTGAGTTGAATGCCGCCTCCACAGTGAACAGCTTCTCGTCGGAGAAGACAGTGACGAGATGTTCTCCAGACCGCGTGCGAGCAAGAAGTCGTTTTGCTTTTTTGAAGCGTCTCTGCTTGCTGACGGCAGATAGAATTGCCGCTTTTTGGACACGATATGGGGTCAGTCCAAGCTTCGTTTTGAGGATTTGTTCCATAGCGTAGATGCTCATTCCCATATCTGACGTCATCTTTTTCATGTTCCTGTACGGGTTTCGCCTGATCCTCGATTTAGCAGCGTTGATCTTCTGACGAGTGGTTACCGAGACGAGTCTTCCTTATCTGGGACGGTCACTGGTCGTATTTAGCTCTTTGAAACGTTTGGTGGTGTCGCAAACCGTTCTACGAGGCACACTGAGGCGTTGAATTATGTCTCTCGGGCTCACATTTTGCTTATGAAGTTCGATAATGGAAGCGCGATGGATGTTAGCCTTCGCCATTTCTCGGAAACACATCCGATTGAGGTGAAACTTGGAAAGTAAGTAGAATATACCTTATTTAACAAAAATAAATTATATTGGTGCACGAAAAGTGCGTTAGCGAAGCTCTTCATAACGTCAAACTTTTGTGCGGGAATTTAAATGACACCCTGTAGTTCACTGTGAAGAACTCAATCATAATCTGCATTTTGGATTGTCGTCAAATTAAATGCACAAGTCCGCAATAATTATTTTCAATTCTGTAATGTCATTTATTTTAGGCTTTTTGCTTCCTAGCAATTCTGAAAACGTATTTTAGTTAAAAAATACTGTGAAATTCTGAAAATTGAAGAAATTCTAATTTTTGAACACTCAATTTTCAGAAGTTAGAATATTTATGTCTAAATTCATCAGAAAACAGGTGTAAGAAGGTATTGCGGACTTATGCATTTTATTTGACGACATTTCTCCTCAAAAATAATTTTGGCGTTTTTTTTTCAATCTTTTCTGTTCATTATCAAATTTAGTGTATTTTTATGGACCCACAATCGATTTCAGTGTGTTCACCGCAACGCCAAAATGCACACAAAACTATAAAAATCAATCTTACTGCTTCTCTTCCAAACAATCCGATAGGCATTCCTCCAAATTCTCTTTCGTCACAACCTTCCTAACCGACGAGGCATCCATATAACGATCCGACAGGTATGTGAAGGCGTACTCCCCAGAGCATTTCCTCTTCGCTACAAAAAACAAAATCAGATCATCTTGAAGCTATGTTATGGCACAATGCAGATTTCGCCAAAAAACCAAACAAAAATCGAAAATTTTCCGATTTTTCTTCCCAAAATCTGCATATCGCCAATATCCGACTTACAAGCCAAACAATATTTCCAATAGAATGTGTACCTATCATCAGCTTCCACATAGCCATCGACATTCTGAAGTTGATGCGGTTGAAAGACGTCGCAATGATGCGAGAAGCCGTCGGGACTATTCTGATGATTAATCGCCGCGCACTCCAATTGTTTGCCTGTGCGACGAGATTCACATGGATTGGGGATTCGATTCGTCGCCTACCTGGATTGATCGGATCGTCGCCTTGGGAGCACGCGGTTTGGCACGCCTTCAGCGACATTCGCGCCTCCGACACCGCTTTGAAGTTGAGGCGAACTCGCGGCCAACGCACATAGAACGGATTGCATTGCGGAAAATTGGCTACAAAAATAATTGTCAGCAAATGAGTTGCAATTTCAATTCGACTCACCATTGACGGCGGCCTGGATCAGCCATAATAGGAGTATTGAGCGCATTTGGGCCTGCAATCGGAAATGAGTCAGCAAAAAATCGTTCGGGTGGCAAAATCTAGGTCGAAATGAGCCTAATCTCAAGATTATTTGCATGAAGGGGGGGGCAAGAATTGCGCGAATCGCCCAAAAAAGGAGAGGAATAAATTGAAAGTAAAGTGACACAATTCTCTTGAATGATAAGCAAACACACACACACAAGAAACAGTCAATTCGAGAAACGAGGTCAAAATAACCGTGTGTGTGTGTGTGTGTGTGAGTGTCGAATTCCATATATGGCTGACCGGATTTTGTCGGTACTACTGGCTAACTGGTCAATTCATTCACTTTTTTGCCTCGGAAGGTCATCGCTTGCGATTCGTTTGGTTTATTGGGTTTGTCCATTTTATTCCTTAAAAGGTCCCCCCCCCCTCTAAATTGTTACTGTAGATATTATTCTTCAAGGTCTTCGCTTCCCTCTATCTCACTATTCTTTAAAGGACCCCCCCCCGGAATGCTTATTTAAAGGAACATTGAATCGAGGGGTTTCAGAAATTCGGAAGTTGACATGACGAGATAATTGCGAGGCTAGGCGGCACCACGCCCGAATATGGCTGGCTATTTGACAAACTTTCACAAATGCTTTCGATTTTTCATCGAGTGCCCATTTTTGGATGAGAATTGCCGTTGGGAATTCGGCTTCAATTTCTCTAGCTAAAAAAATGCCCAAAATTTGGTATCGGAAAACTACACAAAGGGGCGGGACTTTCGCACTTGTGGGCGGATTTTGAACCCGTCAAATTTAGGCGATTTAACGGGAATTCGTTTCGAGACCCTTGGCATATTAATACCAATTTTTCAAAATCAAAATTTATAGAAAATTGTTAAAAATTCATGGCCCTTTTTCGCAGAAAAAAAAGTGACAACCCAAAAAAGAATCGTGACGAGACCTAAATTCATATTTCAGCAAGAAAAATCTATACAATTGGAATGATAATTTTTTAGCATTTCAGATTTTCTTCTATTTTTTCTATCTCATATCAACCAGTTTGGATTTCTTATTAAATTCAGGAATATTTGATTTCTGCAGAAATTTTTATTTCAGAAATAGACAAGCTCACAATCTCAAAATTCAAATGAGAGAAAAATTGTAATTGTCAAAAATTTGAAATTTTTTAATTTTTGCAGAAAAGGAAAGAATGGAAAATTCAGATTTTTGACAAGGAGAATTCGAAGAAAAAAGCACGAGAAATAAAAATTTGTCGGTGTGTGCAATATTGCGTCATGGTGTTGACAGACAACAACGGAGTACAGTCGTTTGAATTATTGCTTTCAGTGAGAAAATTATTTCGATAAAGTGCCATATTGAAACCATAAGAAATTAATACGAGCAGAATCAATTTAGAAAAAAATTTCTTCCATATTGGAACAAAAAAAAATGGCCACCGTGATTAAATTTTTTTCAAATTTTTTCAGATTGGTAATTTCGAAAAAAACTGGAAATTTACCGGACAAATAATTGAAAAAAAAATCGCCAAATGGGGAAATTGAATGAGTGCTGAGGCGACTGATCGCCGTTGACCGAAGAGGGGGGGGGTCAGGATTGATCGAGAACTTGGATAACATTCATCTCGTGCGTGTGTCAGTCTGTGAGGCGAACACACACACGACGACGAAAAAAAAACCATCCGCACCTTGTAAAATGCAGTGTCGGTCGGCCAACCATCTTTGGGGGAGAAGATTCGGAGGATGCGAGCGAGAGTCCGACCTTGACATCGACGCAACACCCCAAACAAATTCGGACATTCAGACTTTTTCGAGACTCGCTCTAAAAAAAGAAGAAAAGGAAGCAAACTATTATTGGATGGATCGTGGCCATCAAGGCCTCCGAATGCCATATCCGCGTTTGTTCGGGTTGACTAAACAACACCAATTTTTGTTTCTGGCGGGGTGTACATAAATGGTTTTGAATTGATCTGAAAAGAAAAATAAAATTATTTTAATTGCGCGCCAAAATTTTCAAATTCCCATATTAATTTTGATATTTTTTTCAAACCAAAAAATTTATTTAAAATATTTAATTGTGTGCAATTTTGCGTGCCTGTGTATGCACACCGCAATCATTTTTGGCTTCCATGTGCATTAGCAGCTCTATTTCTTTCCTGATGCGTTCCGTTCCGATCCGATCCTATCCGATCCGATCTAGCATGATCCGAACGGGGTTAGATCGTATCTCGAATTCGTCTGGAATGTTCCTGGATCATTGAAATGGCGTCAACAATGAGAGAAACATCAAACGACCTCTATTAGGCCATGATGGATAATGATAAGATTATCAGGATGGATTCCCAATCAATATATTGATTCATGCATTTGCACACCTCGACGGTTTCCAAGGCAACCAAGCCTTCTTACCGGGATTTTGAGAGGAAAATTCGACATTGCAGATTTTGGAAAAATTATTTTTGATTTCCAAAAGAATCCGTCTTAGTTTGTTTTTTTGAAGTGAAAATCAAGGCAAATCGCTCAGAAACAATTTTTCTTGCATTGAACCTTTTAATTTATTCCCTCAAACTCAAAAAATCCCTTATTTTTGTCGCTTCATTTTTCCGGAAAAATTAAAATTTCAACATCATTTCATTGCGTTCACCGTTTTTTTCTTTTAATTAACACCGTTTTTTTTTAATTTTTAAATTCATAATTCGCTTAATCAAATCAATGATTTTGTATAAAAGGCGTCAAAATGTCGTCATATTCCCGACATCATGCGCGCTCTTCTAACCATCATTTTATTCGCAATTTTTTTCGCCGACGCCGTTTCGTCAGTGGTTTGCTCGAATTTTCCATAGTCTCAAAATTATTTGTGATCGAATTCGCAGGAAAAAGACTGCACCTGTGCGCCGAGCAAATCTCACGAATTGGCCGACAACGACGATCAAAAGAAAATCGATTTGCACAAAGTGGTCCGTAAAATATTGCGCGACGTTAACAAAAAATATCATCAAAGGTTTGATATGTTCTCAATTCCAGTTGAGATTCCGTTTTAGAACTCCTGGTTTCGCTCAATCGGAAACATCAAATAGCGCGAAAATGTCGGGAATTGAAGTGTATGTTTGTTTTTTTCAATGAAATAAAATTTCGAATACGAATTGAATCAATTTTCAGCGCACTCCGCAAGCTGGAAAACACAGGTTAGCTGAAAATTGTCTAGAAATAAATAAATCAACAAAAATTGTTTTTTTCAGTGAACGAGGAGAAGCCGCATGTCGCAAAGACAATCGTCAAGGAATATCCGCGATTCGAGTTCAAGAAGAGCTCGTCGAAGTTGAAGAACGCCGATGAGAAGAAGGCGAATGAAGGCACCGATTACTAAATTGAGAAATAAAAAATTTTAATCGGCGACATTTTTTTAAATAAAATTTCGCCGCCTCATCTGCGCTCTCTCATTGTTGCATGCTGTTTCGCCGATAGCCTGCACTCTCTCCGATCAAAACACTATTTCTTCGCGAGACCAAAAGAAACAAAAGTAGATTTTTCCTGAAAACACATAGAGAAATTAGAGGAAAATATGGATGTTTAATAATTTTTGCACAAAAAATAATATAGGATCGATTTTTTATGCAATTTTTTGAATGAAAAATTGCTGGTTTTAATTTTCAGTTTATTTGCATTGGAAAATGTGAAATACAAAAATTATTTAACCTTTTATTTCAATATTTTCTAAAAATTCGATAGATATTATCAAAATCGATTTCGTCGTGAGATTCGGCGTTTTTGCGTACGCAGTACACCGAGCTCGATATTTCACAATTTGGGTGAAAATTTGAAAAAAGAAAATAATTTAGTGGCAAAGATTTCTTGGAATGTTTCGAAATTCAAAAAGTGTACTACGTACCAAAACACAATATCCCACGACGACATTCAACATGAGAAAGCAACGCGTGATAATCTGACAACAACAAAATTGGTGAAGTTGGGTGCAGCAAAAACTCTGGCAAATGAAAATTAATCGGATTCGGATTCAATCGAAATCGAATATAAATTATATGTTTCGAATTATTTTAAAATCACAAAATTGAGAGTGAGAAATCAATAAATCGAAGTTTTCAAATCGAATTTCAATTTTTTTTTCAATCGAATTAGATTAATTTTTACTTTATATCAAACTTTTTTGGACTGTGCGGATCCGGATAAACGGACCCTCATGAAAATACGCGAGTATAGGTTTTCAATGGCCCTGAATTCGAAAATGAAATTGTCTTGTCACCAATTTATATGGTTTTCTCAAAACTGCGAAATTTGATTGGGGGGGGGGCGCACTGTATTTCATTTCTCTTCGAATCCCATTGATTTTGATTTACCAAAGAAGGAGGCCAACCCAGCTTCATTATTAATCGCTCAGTCATCTCCAACCGATTTTTTCATTTTGTTGAGGCGAATTTCAACTTCCGGCTCGCAAAACAATATGGAATGTTTGCTCAATTCCTAACCTCGCACGACCAGCGTCCACTTTTCGCATTCGGGTACGCTCGCGATTCGTTTTGCTCAATCGCGGTTCCTCAAAAGAATTTCCAAAAACGCCGTTTAACAACCGCACCCACATTAATTGTTTCGGTCCTTATCAATTGCCTTTCGGAACTAAACTCATCGCCTAAACCGATTATCTCATTAAATTCGGTTTACCGTTTCAGGAGGTATAATTCTTCTCCTATTTGCAAGGAAGACCCTCTAATCCGTTCCTCAATTTTTTTGGCATTTCTCCAACTAATCATCTTGCAATTTATCACATGTATTCACGAAAAATCTTGGGTGGATTTTGCGAAACAAAAAAAATCGTTTTTTTTCTTACAACATTTTTTCTAGAAAAAATCGCTGTCATTTTGATTTCCAATTAAACCAGTAAATCCGCCGATTTGGTTTAAATAGAGCGATGAAAAAGGCCCAAAAAATTGCAAAATTTTCGTTTTGAAGTACGACAACAAACTTTATATGACAAATTTTTAAAAATTCTTGGTAATTTTTTGCATATTTTTATTGAAATTCTGAAAATGAGACGCGTTGCGGCTCGCGTTCATGTTTGTTAAAGCTTATTTCAAATTACTGATTTCTATTCACCCCTTAGATTCAAATTTTATACACTACCAGTGGTATATTGGCTTCTGCTCGACGACTTTCGTTTTGGTCTCGCACCGATTTGCTCCTGGTGCTCGCGCTGGAAGGTTTGCGAATTTTCTGAAAAAAAAACGAATTCCAATTATTCGATTTTGGCGTATTTTTGATCTACAAGGTCACTATAATTTTTTTGATTAAAAAAAATTGTTTTTTTTTTTCATCTCAGCATTGACGCTTAGGCATTATCTAGTGTGATTCAAAATCAACAAATTTTCAATAATTGTCATAGCGAACAGAATCGCGTCATTTCAACTTTACCTGATAAACTATCATTATCTTCTTCTACAATATTTGCTCAAACCACTTTAAACTTTCAATCTCAGTTTATCACTTTTTAAGGTCTTCATAGTAGCCAACCCAAATGGAACAATTCATTGAATGGGCACCAACAGCGATTTTAATTGTTGGGGTAAGCAAGATTTTAAGACACAATTTTTCTCTGCAAGGCCGATTCTGCGATTTTGCGTCAGCGTGTTTTCACACATTTATTTCCAGTTTTTTCGATATGCATCAAAAATAGTGCGGAAAATCAAAAAAAAAATCGCAAGTCCGTAAACACCGCTATTTTTTGGCGACAATTCAAACGCCGTTCAAATTTCTTGGGCGGTACCTTTAAACTTTAATATACTGTGGGCGGAGCTTGGCAAGATAAAAGACATAATGATTTATTATGCGCCTTTAATTCACGTGGACAATTTCGAGAAATTTAAATTGTCGAAATTGCGAAAAAACTAGCTAAATGCCAAAATTGGTCCCATGACGCGTAGTTGTGTATTTCACACGGACAATGCATCGTGGTGTAAATCGACACTCACCTTGCGAGACCCAACACTACAGTAGCCCATTAGCAATCGTTACAGTATAATAATAGTAATTCATATTTTTTCATTTCCAGGGAATGTCAATTGTGTGCACAATTGTTCATGTCATCCAATCGACACTACGACCTCCCGACTGCTGTAAACACGGATCAGGTAAATATAGAATTGGGTCTCGAAACATGAGTGTCGATTTACGCCACGCGTTGAATTGTCCGTGCGGAGTACACGGCGCGCGCTGGAATTTCGCCAATTTTTCGACAATATTCATATTTTGATAGGAAATTTTGCAATCGGCATTCCGCAAATTCATCCCAACGACATCTTCCGCTACATTCGCCTCGAGACACAGCCATCGGAAATTGACGGATGGCACAAAACACCGTACCCAGTGTATAATGTTTGAGCTAACATATCGCCATAATTCACATATCCAATGCATCTTTCTGTAAATCGTACTGGTAAAATGTATAATTGAGAACACCTGTGAATTATTTAATTATTGAAAATTGCGGAATAATAAATACTCATACCTTTTGTTGAACACAAAATATTGGAAGAAGAACTTCAAAAACGATCCGTCGATGTGATTCATACACACACACACACACACACGCAAAATTGCACACATTTGATTTTGAAATTTTTGAAAATGAAAATTTTTTCATTTTTAATGAATTGCTTTTTATGTTAAAATCGCCGGTGAGCAATTGCGAACCATTGAACTACTCGGCAAAACCTCGCAACTTCTGCGCAGACTTTGAAATATATAGGCGTAGATTAAAATGCAAGTCCGCAGAGTTCATGCGGCCGTGATTACACCACGTTTTGAAATTCATAGATTTCAATAAATAGGATCAAAGAAATTCTGTTTATTTAATTTTTCTTGAAAAATTAGTATTTCATTTCAGCGTCCATGTTTGGAAATGAGCGAGTGAAGCTTCGAAAAAGAAGCGGGCAGCACATAGGTAACCAATTGTGTTGAAAAATATATAGATATATGCATATTAATATCAATTATTCAGACGCCGTGTTGACTAATTTTCGTGGTAATTTCGAAAAAAAAGTCTCAGAAAAGAGATACCAGTTCAAAGATGTGTGAGTTAAACGACATGGAATCATCAGGTTTGAGAAGAATAAAAAAATTTTAATGTTTAGTTTAGGCGAAAAAAAAAGGAACAATTGATGAATGATTCGTCAATGACAGAAGAGGCCGTTGTCGAAGATCTGTCGGAATATCAAGAGGAAGGATATGATATGAATGAAGGTTAGAATTTATGAAAATATAGCATTCTTAATGTATTGGAAACCTGTGTATGGAATTTTTGACCACAATTTTTTTATTTTTCAAAAATATTAAAATATTTTCGGCAGTCAAAATTGAAAAAAAAGCGCTATCTCGTTCTACGTATTTTCTCTTTTCTGGATCTATTTCCTATTTTCTAGAGAATTAAAAATTTTCAGAAATTATTTTAGCGTCCTCAAAACGAAAAAAATGTTGTAAAAAATTATGTTCAGAAACAAATAATCAAGGAAATCAACAGAATGCTAACAACGAATTGAAAGGAGATGAATTTTGTAAGATTTAATATTGTCGGGGCGGACAAATTTGATAAATTTGAATTGCGCGGGTTGCCAATTGGACTCACAAAACCAATTCGGCTCATAATTTGCCATTTGGCACTTTTGCTAATATTCGAACTACTTAAAATTCTTTTTTTAGCCAGAGAAGATGGAGTTAATTATATTGCTGCTATTTTTGCATTTAACAACGTGTCAGGAACATTGGGTCAAGACATATTTGGAATAGCTAAAGTGTTGAATATTTTCTCTTCAATTTCTGTGAGTATATGTATTTCATCCTCTTCCTTTCGGTAATAAATATTTAGATATAGATAAATCGCATTTTTTTTTTCAACGAAGAATGGTGATTTTAATTGGTGGACTGCTTCATTGGTGCCCAATCGCGGTTAGAAAAGATCAAATGGTTGATAGTTTAAATATACAAAAATGTTTTTTAGCAATGCTTTGGAAATGCGTATATAATAAATGAAATTGATATTTTTTTCATTATTGATGGAAATCATCAGATTCCTCCTTTCCTAATCAACCATTCTGAAAATAAAAATGCTATTTAATTATTTTAAATGGTACGGTAGACAAATCTGCAATATCGCTGCACAGTTTTGAAGTTACCGTAATTTTGATTCTAAATTATGACAACTTTTCAGCGTTCAGTTTACTCATAGTTTTTCTTTATTCTCGGTTTATAAATATTTTGCGTTTCAGATGCTGAAAGTTTTCGCTGCACTTACAACAACTGCTCTTATTCTTCCATTTATTGGCGTATATTTCTTCGGAAGACTATCTGAAGACTTCGGACTATCTGAAGACTTCGGACTATTAAAAAGGCAAAAGACGAAGACGAAATTGAAATCATTGATGATAATAAGCAATATTTTCTTGGAATTCCCTCTTTTGCTATTGGCGCGGTGATTGGGAAAAGAGGAAGCACTATTAGGAAAATTTCAAGCGAATTAGAAGTAATTTTTGTTTATTTTCAAATTTTACTTTAATTATTTAATTTTAGGTTGAATGTATAATCAGCTCATTATCAGAAGACCAAGCAGAACGAGCAAAGTGTTATTTTCATTATTGATATCTTCTTAAAATATGATTTTTAGTTTGGAAATCATTCAAGAAGGCTGGGACGAAAGTCCAGGGATTGATGAATGGGTTGAAAATGAAGAGAAGCCAGCAGATGGAAAATACCATTTTTTAATTGTTCGAACGAATAATAAGAAAAAGGTATTGGTTTTTGCGTAGATATTTCTCAGATAAATTTGTTTAGTTCGAAATGGTCCGACTCCGTGTCGCTGAGATTATCGATCACTCACGTGGACCCGTGAGAACCGTTGAACTCCTCATCGATCAGGAATTTGTTGGAATTTTTATTGGAAAATATGGAAAAAATGTAAAAACAATTTGTGATAAATACGATGTAAAAAATCAAGTAGAATAATTTTCCGTATTTCTTTTCATTAAATTACAAGGTTTAAGGTTGAAGAATCAATTCCCGAAGATCCAACAAAAGCGCGAATCAAAATCCACGGAAAAAATTTGGATTCCCTCGAAAAAGCTGGAATCGTTGTACGAAATGCGGCGATTCCGAAATTTGTCGCAATTGAAGGATCCGTCGAGCGAGATATTGAGGATCTTAAGAATGTTGCAAGACTTGTTGAAAATATTTCGTTTTAATAAAGCCTTAAATATTTAATTTTCGCTCAATTACGCTCAATATGGTGGTTTTCGTTAGATATTTATAGCCACGTTTGGTTGTGTGTGATGTTGGATACGGTAAAATAGACTAGTTGAAAAAAATCAAACGGAAAGGAAGAATATCCCCGAATTGCGTGTGTGTCGATTAGCCTGACTCGACCCACCATGAAGGAGAGTCGAGTCAGTTGATCTCCTTCGCCACGTAGAGGCTCGACACTTGAAGGAGAGGCTCACCAGCATCAGGCCGAAACCTGATGTGGGTCATCGCCGATCCCACCATGGGGATCACCCAAGGACATCCCACAACTATCATCCGAGGATAATAGAAGTAGAAGTGGTTGGGCAAGCCACGTCTGGCTGGGCCCCGGGTCTACTGGTGATATGGTAATGTGGTTTTTGTGTTCTTAGCATAGAAGCTTACTACTAAGTAGTAGCAAGCCACTACAAAGTAGTAAGCTACCATGCCAAGAAGCACGGTCCATGTGCACCCGAAAGGCTGGACATATTGACATAGCTGGCCAATCCACGTCAATATAGGTCTGGGCCAGATGACATCCTGACTAGTATGGAGGACACCCGGTGAAGCAAATTTCTAAAGCATAACCATCCATAACGCCCCGTAGCAGTTTCCAAGCACTCGAGAGTACTTGAAACGGGGGCGTTTGGGTAGGGTTCGATTCCCGGCTACGGAATCAGGGCTGAAGGGCTTGCCAGGCCAATCACCCGAATTTAGGATTCGACGGATAAGCCGCCATCCAGCCAACGCCTCGGCACTACGATTGTGAGGGACGGGAAGCCTCGGCGCTTTTGGGGAGTAGCCGACTACGGCTATGGGTGGCCGACTACGGCTATGGGTGGCCGACTACGACCTAGGGAGTGCCGACTACGGCGGGTTTAGAAGTTAGGGAGACTAGAGGTACTTAGAGACTTAGACTTATTGTGGGATGTGTGCCGGTGAGTCGATTCACCGGCAAGATCCTTCCATCGGCGGCGGCGGCGGCAACGTCGATACCTAAACATACCTAAAGATACAAATTAAAAAAAAAAAGAAAAAAGAAGGGGAAGCCAGTCATTAGTGGAATGACTGGCGTGGCCGTAAGTGGTACGACTTTCCCCGAAAAATACGAAGAAGTGGGTGGTCCCAAACGGTAGGACCGAAAGGATGTACAGACGTAAGTGGTACGAATGTACAGAAAGAAGAGAGAGTGAGAAGCCGCAAGTGGTACGGCAGAAAGGAGGATGGGGAAGCCGGCTTTCCCCAGAAAAGAAGGGATGGTCCCAAACGGTAGGACCAGGAGAAAGTACAGACGTAAGTGGTACGAATGTACGGAGAGAAGGGGGAATCCCAAGTGATGGGAGAAAGAGGGGGAAGCCGTAAGTGGTACGGCTGGTGCAAGTGAGTGATAATAAAAAATTAATAAAAATAAAAATAAGGCCCGGGCCTAAAACTACCATGATCCGCGGATCAATTACTTCTCACTGGTGTCATTCTTCGTCGCTTCCTCCGGTCGTCTTCTCTCGATCCGTTCATCGAAAACCCTGCAATGAATCGAATTATTCCGATCGATTGTTGCTTCTTCGTTACCATTTGAATCCGCTTCCTCGCTCTGCTCGACGCCCCGGGCAGCATCGACCTTTCGTCGCCTCTCCATCTCTTCCTTCATCACCTCGATGCCTCAGTGTAGGTTTAACGTCACCTCGAACCAACACTGCAGTACGCCCATTGAAGGGTGAGCCCTGACTAACGGAGCCGGTCGAGGCGAGAATCCCTCACACCTTGAACACTTCTGATCCGAAGGTGTCGATGGAGAATCGACTGTGGCTCATATCGGATCTGCAAAAAGAGGAAATCAGAAAAAGCGACGGCGATGAATGCGACTTACCTAGTGGATCCTTGGCCACAGCGAGCCCGCAGGAGATGCGGGCTGCCCGCAGGTTGCACGGGGGCACGTGGAGCCCGCAGGTTATGCGGGACACGAGGAGCCCGCTGGCGGGTTGCTCGCAACTCGGAGAGCTGCGAGAATGACCAAATTCCTCATTCCGCCGGCCTTTTATAGTGCCACTGGGCGTCGGTGCGAGACCTGCGACAGAGCGCATTTGACGACAAGAACTTCAAATTGACGCTAAGTGTTGGCACATTCTCTCATGTTAGCACACTCTCTGCTCCCCGACGCGCTTTCCCGATCGACGCTGTATTGCCCTAGAGCGCATTTGCCTCATGAAACAAACGCTGGAGGCGGAGTTTAGATTGCGAATTCGCGGCTACAATGTAGCAATCTCAACGCGAATAATAATAAATAAATCTAGAAATTCAATTTATGGAAATCAGATTTTAAACGAGAAATTTGAAATTCGTTGAATTCGCGGTACGTGCTTCGAGAATTTCTTTTGCCGAATGTTACTTTCCGTGTGTGCTTCAGAATTGCAATTACTCGAAATGAATCCCAATGCCATCGTTATTGTCCTGCACGGAATTCCGTCTTCCGGCATTTTTTACTGTTATGTTTTCCGTCAAACACAGTTTTTATTGCGACTACCGTATACCCTCTTCCGTCAAAAAAGTTTCTTCTGTTCTTATTCTGTGGCCCACCAAAAATCATTTCTAATTGTGTTTGTTTTATTTTTAATTTATTTTGTGTGTTGTCGATATTACGAAACACAAATGAAATCATTCTTTTATTTTTTAAATTCGCTTCTTATTTACGTTTTTGAATTTAAATTTTATTTAATGGTGAAGAGAAGATTATGTGGAGACTACTTCTTGATAACTGACAAAATGTGGAAGAAATTCTCAAGTAGGCTCGAACTGAACTCCGTTTTCCGTCCCTTTTTTGTTACGCGTTCCGTCAAAAAAATTTTTTTCGTGAAAAAAATAAAAACGCTAAAATCTTCTAGTACAATTTCAGTTTTCAAAAAATTCAAGTCCCGTGCATCTCTGGTGCAGACGGCAATTATGATTTTTCAAATATTTTTCTAATTTTCACCATAGAGCGCACTTAAGTGATAATTCAAATTTGAATTGGAAGCCGAAATCCAACTCGCTGTAAATAACAGTGTGAGTAATATAAAAACGAATTTGTTCAAATTTTTAGCGAAGAAAATAATTAATGGAGCCAAATTTTTTAAAATATTTTTTGTTGAAAATCGATAATTTAAAATTTTTTTTAATTTTATAAATTTTTGAAAATTGGCGCGCAATTCAAAAATCACACGTTCAAACTTTTATTAAAGGAAATTTGTTTTTTTAATTTAAAATGCCCTCCTTTATTTTTATGTTCTTTTTTTTAGTTTACGGAGTAATCCGGAAAAAAAGCGAAAAAAGATTATTTGTCTTATTTCTGCAATAATTTTCTTTTTTCACTGAATTTGATTTTTATTCTCTTCCTGGTAATTTTCGTTAATTTTCCCATAGCATTTATAAACTGACGCAGGAATTCAATAAGCGCATTCTTGGATCCTCGCAAATAATGAATCTGTGTTATTCTCACTTACTAGTAGAAATTAGAAGCACGTCAACCCAGTATATAAGGGCGCGAATTTTTTTTTTCTGAGTTTTAAGTAAACTCTAATTTCTCAACTATGTTTGATTCTCAGGCAACTCTTTTTAATTCATTTTTCTTTTTTCATTTCATAGATTTCCGCGAAAAATTCGATTTTTGCTTTATTTAGAAGGGGAAAACGCGTTCCCACATTGGTACCGTAATTGCTCCGCGTTGCGGGACCCACCACCACTTGGCGTACTGCGCCTTTAGACAGTGCTACTGTATGCATTTTTATCAGCTCACAATTCGTTAAACAACAGTTTTATATTTTCGATTTCTCGTATATCCAATTTCCAAAAATCAACAAAACGCGTGTAGATATTAGATTTTTATTTTCAATCAAATTGAAAAAAAAATAAGAAAAAGATCACCCGAATTGAATTTGAAAAAGCAATCGCTGTAATTTACATTCTCGCGCTTAGACGCTCTTTGGCGTTTCCTTTGGCGGACACTTGCCGATCGATGATCTCTTCTTTGGCGGTTCGCCGATCATAGACAAGTCCAAGAGCGGCGGCGGTGTCGATAAGCACTCGCGTCCAATTGAACTTCATCGAATACTCGGAGGTGCGATAGTCTTGCGGGAACGTGTGATGGAAATTGTGGCCGCCTTCGCCGACGGCGGCGATCGTGGTGAAGACGTTCTCGACGGGCGTGATCGTGTGATCATACGGCTTCCATCCGAAGCTGTCAAATGCACAAAATTGGACAATTTTCGCGATCGCCATCAAACTCACTAGTGAGCGGCGCTGTTGATGCACCAAGTCACGTGAAGTGTGAACGTGTAGCGGAAGACAGCAGCGACGTAGAAGGCGACAAGCGCGCTCTCGCCCCAGAAGTACACCGGGACCACCGTTGGTAGGACGAAGCACGAGAGAATCACCAGTGGGAAGTAGTGTCTGGAAACGGATGATTAGGAACGCGTGAGGCATTGATCCAAAGGCTAACCTTCTTTGGAACATCAAAACCGGATCAGAGGTCAAATCGGACAGGTCCAACTTTGCTCCCTGCTCTTTGACCTGCGGGTGCTTGCGCACCAACAACCATCCCATATGGGCAAAGAAGAACCCGCGAGTGGTGTTGTGCGGATCCGCATCGGTGTCGGTCCATTTATGATGGCATCGATGATCGCGCGACCACTCGATAATGTCATTCTGAAGGGCGATGTTGTTGAGAAGCATGAGGAAGATTCTCATGGGAAGTTTCGCCTTATAGGATCTGAAACGCGAACGTGATCTTCATTGGATTCCAATGTCTTACTTATGGGACCAGAGGCGATGAGCGCCGGCGGTGATTCCGAATCCTCCGAACACATAGAGAAGGAATGCTGCAAAATGATTGATGAGATGTGACAGTCGCTTCAGTGCGACACGGTGGGGTGATTCGGATGGATCATTCTTCCTCATTGACCAGCGAAATATAAAAGGCTACTCAAGGGACCATTTAGTTGCATTGCAAACCCGAATATGGCGTGAGAATCCATTTGTGTGATATCAAAAGAAACAAAAAAGTCACGCCATAAATTTGATCATCCATCAAGTGCATTGTTTCGCACGCAATTGATAAGAAAAACATACCGAAGATTACTGTAGGCCATTTGGCGACGAAAATGAACTGGTAGAGGCCGATGGCGGCGCCGAAATGAAGGGCGGTGAACAGGGCGACGTTGCGCCAAACAATCTCCATTTTGTAGGGGATCTTGAATCGATGGATGAATCGAATCGCGCGTTTTTTTTCTTATTTCTTACCTTCTTGCTCTCCTCTTGAAGCTTCTGAATCTCATCGGGCGAAATGGCGAGATATTGGCTCTCTTCCTTCTCCGATTTGTCCGATTTTCTCGGAAGCGTCGAACGCGTCTTGACCGTCATTCGCTGCAAACACGAATTGTGAGTGGGTGGAGGAGGTGCGACGAAAAAAAAAAACCAAAAACGGTGAATACGAATAACCGAATGACGAACAACGAGTTTTGTGTTATCAATCGAGCCGCCGCCGCTGCTCGTTTTATATAAGAGCGCGAGTTTGCGTGATCCGTTGGAAAATTGGAAAGTGGGCGGGACGGTGCGACGACGACGGCCTGCTACACTACACCGATCACACCATTTTTCAACAGCCGGCCGGCTGATTGTTTTTTGGAGCGATAAGAGACTGTTCGCTGGTTGGAGAGCGCGTCGAGTTTCGTTGACAAACAACGCGACGGCGTCAGGTTTTTTTTTCGGCGAGCAATCTCAAAAAAAAAAGGCCATCTGAATATGAGCTCGGCAGTCCCTTCTTGATGATCACAACTCGTCGGAATCCCAACCGGATGCAGTGGGTTGCCAATTGCAAACAATCTCCAAAATGAGAGGTGGAATGATCGAGGAATCCGATTCCTCCGAATAGATTCCTCGCTGGGGAATTGCGTTCCCCCCTGCATGGAGGGACGCGCGCGAAATTCAAATCCAAACGAATTTTGATCGTACAATCGGAATGCAAAGAATTCTTCAATTGAAATTTGAATGGTCCGTAAAACATTTTGGCGTGCTTCATTTGGTTTTCTTTGAACATTTTCGAGTTCTCTCGAAATTCCATTGATCAGCTTTAGGCGTTTCAACGAAATTTGAGCGTTTGTCGTGGAATTCTAGTTTTGGTGCAAATTTCAAATTTTTTCTCTCAAAAGGCTTGTCTCTAACACTTGCGACCAACTATATGGGTGTAGATTTACGGGCATGGTGGTCTCGCGCGGATGAACGATTGTTTCGCAATGATTTAATTTTCAATTTTTATAACCTTTGAAATGCAAAAATTTTGGAATTGACGAGGAAAAGTTAGACAGTTCAAAATAATTAAAAAAAATATCGAATTAAGAATTCAAACGTTGCGAGACCATCACGAAAGGCCCGCCCGTAAATCTACACCCATTGGGCGCCAATTACTTTTTGCATTTTTCTGAACATAACCAAAATGCATTAAATTCGTGGTGGGTGCAAGTTTCCAAGCCTTTTCAAATTTCAATTCTTTACCATTTGAATTTGACTCATTAAAAATGTCTTCTTTTTTTTTGAGGGTTGCCTGTTATTTAAATTCTACAATAGGCATTAAAGGCGCATGCAGAAAAGTGCTCATTTCGCGTTGAGTCATTTAATTTTGTCAAAAAAATCGAATCAATTGAACCATCAACGTGCATACTCACTATTTCAACTCCCGCTATTTTCGAACTTTATCCTTAATCGAAAAACTGCCCATTGCCCTCTGCTGCTACTCTGTTCGCGGCGATAAGACATCAAACAATTGTTGATAGTGGTGCAGGCGGTTTGAAGACACACTACAAGGGAAATGGTTCGATTCCGGCAACAGGAATTTTCGGCGTCGGAATGATGCGAAAAAGAATTTCCGCAATTCGAGATGTCGTAGAATCCCGCGTTTTCGGTACGCAGTACACCGACCGATTTACCGTTATCCAAGTGATTTATATTTTGCCGGACTTTACATAATTATTGAAAATTTTATGTTGATAATTTCTGCTTCAAAAAATTGAAAAACAAAACCAATTTTAAAATTTCTACGGTAAGTCATTCGGTGTGCATACGTACTAAGACCCCTTTTGCCATTTTCCAACGACATTCTTGCAACTCAGCGTCTTTATTTCTGATTTCCCCTGTTCAATAAAACCACTTTAAAGGATCACAACCAACCTCTGCGCCTTTAAATTATCCCCCAGAATATAAACGCATCATGCAACTAATCGGTCAACGTGCTTTCCGTCATTATTATCTCCAGAAATGCTATCTATCAATTTATCAATAAGAATGGGGGCAGTGTGAAAAATTATTTTTGCGACGCAATTCTCACGTGATTTTTGCTGATAACAACCTGGAAATCGCGTGAGGACCACCAGGATTTGAGCAACACCTACAGTAATCCCACAAGACAATCATTGATTACATTATTACGAATCATCGTAAACGTTTCCCATTGAAGGGGGAAATGCCTGAGTTCCCCTCGCTTCCTCTCCCCCCAACCCAAGCGAGAATTTCATCAGAGGTACCCTTTGCCCCGCAATTTGCTCCTCATATGATCGTTTCGCCGATAATTTATCAGTTTTCGATAAGAACGTCACCACACGATGTAGCACACGAAAATTCGCGGAACTTGTGCTTCGCTGGAAAACCAACGAACAAGAAAAAAATTATGGCCTTCCGATGGCTTTGAGCCGATCGATCCAGCTCTTCTTCTCGACGCCGCTATGACGAATCGACGGTGTCGGGATTCGCGAGTTCTCCGGCGACGCTATCCGATTCGACGGCTCCAGTGTCCGAGATGGTCGATTGTAGGAGATCGCCGAGCTCGATGGCTGACCCTCCATAGTTCGCTGAAATAACGCGATTGCCTTGAAGGTGGATCAGCATGAAACTCACGAATCTCGTAATATTCGGTGGTCGAATCCGGCTAACCGGTTGTGATCTTTGAATTTTCGACGCCCGCGTGTCACGATTGGGCATCGAATCCGACGTATTTCTGCTCTCCGTGCTAAACGCTCTCTCAAGCTTCCGAACTCGTCCGACTTGACAATTCTCGGGGACGATGTCATAAGCTGAAATGGAGGAAACACTTGAATCCCAAATACCAAGAACCACCAACCATTATTATTATTATTCTGCGGAATGACGATCCTTCGCGACATGAGCGGCGTTCCGCGCGGATCCTGCTCGGATATCATATTCGACGGCTGCATTTCTTCAAGCCTTGTATGATCAATACTATTGGTTTTCATGTATTTGATGCTTCGCCGAGTTTCCTCATTCCTTCGAATTCGGCGCTCCTCGGTCTCCACCAGACTAATCGGCCTTCGATTCGACGACTCCTTCCGATCTCTGGTGACACTGGGACGGCGCATCGGCCGATTTGACGACGCCACACCGCCCGTGTTCATTTCACGCATCATACTTTCAATTCTCGACACCGCACGAATACCCGCCTTCTCTCGTGGTATCTCCGGCGTGTCGTCAGCTAAATATAATATATCATATGTGCAAAAAAAATGCAGAATGGCTCTTTTGAAGTTTTCTTTCTTTTTTTCGTTTAACCTGCATTAATTTTTCAATAAGAATTTCTCACCTTTCGTGTAAGCGAACAACTTCAAAAATTCCTCCTCAATGTTGCGCTCATTCTTCAATTCACCGCCACTCTTGCCGAACGTTCGACGATGATTCTCGACACGCGAGCCTTGAAGTTTGAACGGCAAATAGAAATTGAGCTCGTGCCTCACTCCACGATCAAAACAATCTTGACCGTGGAACGAGACGGGCCTCCTCTGACGTCGGCCCTTGATCCCGAGAGCAATCCGAAGCCTCTCCATTTGAGCATGCGTTACTAGCAACGATGTTTGAGTAGCAATGAGGTCCATTTGGGCGCGACTCGCCTCATTGGCCTTCTCAATCATCGCCCAACGCGATTCGTTGAGGCGTCGAACCACAGAATGTGTGAATGCGTACAATGCTTCATATGTCGGAAGGTTGTCAAGCCTCCTTTTAAGGTTCGCTTCATCGGTGCCAATCTCCAGAAGGCTCGAATGGATGAAGCGAAGATGTTCGCGTTGAAGATTCTCGAGTTTATCAAGGCAATTTTGATGAGCGATTCGTTCATTGCAATTCGAATTGACGGCCTAAATCGAATATTTTGCCAACATCATATAATAATTAACGAAACACTTTAATTTGGAAGGCAAAAACGGCCGCGTGAAAATTTTGTGGTCAGAGGTTTTCTTTTGAATTGCCATCTTTGGGTCTCGAGGCAGAGGTTTTAGCGAGTGAGCATACTAGGCATTTTAGCATGCGCGTAAATTTACAAATTCGTAAATCCACACAGATTCCGCAAATTTGAATTTCGCGCCATCAAATTTGAATTTCGTTCATCCGTCCACAACAATACTTTTTGATTTTATCTAGAAATTTAATTTAACGCGTGTATATAAACAAAATGGCGCAGTATTCTAAAAAAAAAATTAATAATTTAGAAAAAAAAACATTTTTAGAAAAAAAAACAGAATTGCCATCTTTGGGTCTCGAGGCAGAGGTTTTAGCGAGTGAGCATACTAGGCATTTTAGCATGCGCGTAAATTTACAAATTCGTAAATCCACACAGATTCCGCAAATTTGAATTTCGCGCCATCAAATTTGAATTTCGTTCATCCGTCCACAACAATACTTTTTGATTTTATCTAGAAATTTAATTTAACGCGTGTATATAAACAAAATGGCGCAGTATTCTAAAAAAAAAATTAATAATTTAGAAAAAAAAACATTTTTCGAAAAAATGGTGGACGTTAAATGTGCGATGGCCGAAAAATTTGCGGCCACCGGCCGCCGGTCCGAATTGAAGTCTTAAATTGACGTACCATTTGATGGGCATTGGCCGCTTCAAGTTTCGCGTTCTGCATTTGATTCTCAAATATGCGCAATCGCTCCTCAATCTTCTTTAAAGCACTTGTCGCCGACTTCTCGATTCGCTCATCGATGGTGAGCCGCTCGAGCGCTTCCGATAGAGCGCATCGTCGACTGAGCGTGTTCGCGTGCATTTCAGCCTTATGCAGCTGACACTGTAGTTTGCTCTGCTGTTGGCTTTTTTCTCGAAGCTGCTCGACGAGCCCCTGATTTCTCATCTTCAACTCTTCGATTTCGGCGAGCAAATTGTCTTTTTCGTGTTGCATTTGGGTCTCGCGATCGACACGAAACAGTGAATCTATAGAAAAACTCCAAAATGGTTTTTTTTCGAATTGTGCTAACCGTTTGATCGATCATAATGACTAACATTCAAAAATGATGTCGATTTTCTCTGGCGTGATTGTCGTAGGCAATCAGAATCCTCACTGTCATCGCGACGATAGTACGAAGCTGGACGAGGCGGCTTCGCGGGAAGTCTCGAACGATGATCATCATCATCGAGATTGATATACATTCCGCTCGATTCCGAATCATTTCCGCTAAACTTCCGACGGCGCTTCTTCACAATCTGCTTCGTCGTCGTCGTCGTCGTTTTCGAGTAGGATTGTGGAATGAGTGAGGATCGACGCCGAAATCCGAAAAGATCCAAAAATGACGACCGACTAGTTGCTGGAAATTGAAGCTCATACCTAATTTACAGAAGAGAAACGCTTACTCATTGTTTCCGAATGGTCTCGAGAAGACGACGCCGACGACGGTGATGTGCACGCCGAGGTCGAATGATCATTCGGACGGCGAACCGAATCGCATCTTCTAGTACTATCACGACTTCTACTAATCTGCTCGTCGTCTTCCTAAACAAGTCTATTAGATTTCAGAACATTTCGAGAATCCTTACCATGTTAAACATTTGCTCATCAGTGTCACTATCGCTCAGCTCAGGTCTCACAATCGGCGGAATCCCTCTCGCATAGGAATCATCTGTGGACGTTGCGCTGTTCGGCTCCTTCCTTGGTGGTGTGGATAGCCTTTCTCTGGCGCCGGTTCGGACCTCGATGGATTCTGACGATCGATTGATTCGGCGAAGGCGTGGGAAGATGCCGGAACCGCGATTCTCAAACATGGCCGACATACGTTGGACGACATTCTAAAATTCAATAAAAATTTGAATTCAACATTTTTTTTTTGAGAAATTTTCAAACTTTTGATCTTGGCGCAGGAGCTGCTAGTTTGGATTTCAGACGCCGATTTTCAGACCTTAATAGTCCGATTTCCTCGGCGAGGCTGCACACCACAGCTGAAAAATGTCTCATTTTAAATTGCGTTTTTAATTTCCAGCGTTTTACATAAAATTGGAGGGCCATCATCGTCATTTATCGAGTCTTCGATGTTTTCTTGTGTGACCATTTGCTCAAGCTCTCGAACGAATTCATCTTCTTCCGATTCATATCTAATAAATAAATAAGAAAAAATTTAAAAAAATAATAATGAATGTTCTCATTAAACGAAAAATGCAACGAACCTTAGAATAATGTCTCGAACCGAATAATTATTGGAGTTTGCAGCCATCTGGTGCGGCGCTATTTACCAGTTATCATCGGCGCGGTGGCGAAATTTGAATACGAGTGTAAAACACGGCAGTTGTCGTCGTCGCCGTCCGCCCCGGACGCCGCCATCGCAAAACACTTTGTAACATTTTGACGGAAATAATATCGAGTTTCATTATACAGAAGTCGGCAATTGCGGTGAGAGACGAAATTAATTGGAAACAAATTTGAATAAGTTATTTAAACTATAAAAATAACGAGGAAAATGGGAAAAAAATTTCCACCAATAAAAATGCCACCAAAAACGTCTGAAAAGCGTTTGAAATGCCGCCAAATGCGGTTTTTTTGGACTTGCAATGTTTTTTTTTGAACTTTATCGCAAATATATTTCAATTTTAAGTCACTGACAATGTGAGATAAATTTATTAACTTTTTAGGTTGAAAAAAATTTAAAAAAATTGAAATAAATTTTGGCACGCTCAAAAATGCGTGAAAACACCGTGTCGCATAATTGCAGAAAACATAACATCCATTATTTCGGTTTTTCGCAGAAAATTTGACAAAAAAAAAACACATATTTTAAAATTTTCTAAAGTAATTGGACACTTTAAAAAAAGAACAATTAAAAAAATATCGCTTCAATTTGAGAATTTTCGCCAAATTGCCACTGCAACATCTCGTCAGACTAACAGGCAAAAACACAGCGGACGGGGCAACCTTTTTTTTTTTGAGAAAGGGGGGTGGGTTCGATTTTTTGGCCAATTTGGGTCACGCGCCGAAGTTTTGCGTTTAAGGAAGGTCAGCGGACGTGGTCCCATCAGGGGGAGACCATTGTGACACCAGGGATGGTCCCATTTTGTTTGGTACTCCCCCCCCTTTCAAAATTAAAACTGGAAAAGCTTACCTTTCGAGTGTATAATTCAAATTATCCTGCTTTCGGTAGACATTCATAGATGGAGACCCCCGCACTGCTTTACAACACAAATGGACCTGGTGGCCCTAAAGAGGGCCGTTGGGAATCGTGTGCCGATTAGCCTGACTCGACCGAGTCAGTTGATCTCCTTCGCCACGTAGAGGCTCGACACTTGAAGGAGAGGCTCACCAGCATCAGGCCGAAACCTGATGTGGGTCATCGCCGATCCCACCATGGGGATCACACAAGGACATCCCACAACTATCATCCGAGGATAATAGAAGTAGAAGTGGTTGTGCAAGCCACGTCTGGCTGGGCCCCGGGTCTACTGGTGATATGGTAATGTGGTTTATGTGTTCTTAGCATAGAAGCTTACTACTAAGTAGTAGCAAGCCACTACAAAGTAGCAAGCTACTATGCCAAGAAGCACGGTCCATGTGCACCCGAAAGGCTGGACATATTGACATAGCTGGCCAATCCACGTCAATATAGGTCTGGGCCAGATGCCATCCTGACTAGTATGGAGGACACCCGGTGAAGCAAATTTCTAAAGCATAACCATCCATAACGCCCCGTAGCAGTTTCCAAGCACTCGAGAGTACTTGAAACGGGGGCGTTTGGGTAGGGTTCGATTCCCGGCTACGGAATCAGGGCTGAAAGGCTTGCCAGGCCAATCACCCGAATTTAGGATACGACGGTTAAGCCGCCATCCAGCCAACGCCTCGGCACTACGATTATGAGGGACGGGGAGCCTCGGCGCTTGGGAAGTAGCCGACTACGGCTATGGGTGGCCGACTACGACCTAGGGAGTGCCGACTACGGCGGGTTTAGAAGTTAGGGAGACTAGAGGTACTTAGAGACTTAGACTTATTGTGGGATGTGTGCCGGTGAGTCGATTCACCGGCAAGATCCTTCCATCGGCGGCGGCGGCGGCAGCGTCGATACCTAAACATACCTAAAGATACGAATTAAAAAAAAAGAAGGGGGAAACCAGTCATTAGTGGAATGACTGGCATAGCCGTAAGTGGTACGACTTTCCCCGAAAAGAAGAAGAAAAAGAAGAAGAGGATGGTCCCAAACGGTAGGACCGGAAAGAGAGAAGAATCCCAAGTGGTGGGATATAGAGAAGCCGCAAACGGTACGGCAGGAGGAGGGGAATCAGTCGATTGATAGAGAGAAGGGACAGTCGCAAGTGGTACGACTGGTGGCAGAAAGAAAGAGGTCCCAAACGGTAGGACCGGGAGGATGTACAGACGTAAGTGGTACGAATGTACGAAGAGGAGAGAGTGGGAATCCCAAGTGGTGGGATATAGAGAGGAGAGTCGTAAGTGGTACGACTGGTAATAGGGAAAAATAAAAAATAATAATAAAAAGTAAAAAAAAAGCCCGGGCCAAAAAATACCAAATATCCGACGCTTTTGCCTTTCCTCCTCGTCGCTTCTTCTTCGACGTCGCTTCCGATTCGATCCATTTGATCCACAAGATGCCTGCAATGATTCGAATTATTCTGATAGATCGTGGTTCCATCTTTACCTTTCAAATCCATTTCCTCGCTCTACTCGACGCCCCGGGCAGCGAATGAGCAACGACTGTGGCACTCGGATCTGCAATAAATGGAATTGAGGGAAAGGAGTAGCGATGAATGTGACTTACCGAGTGGATCCTTGGCCACGACGAGCCCGCAGGCTATGCGGGCACGGTGAGCCCGCTGGGTTATGTGGGGCACGCGGAGCCCGCAGGTTATGCGGGGCACGTGGGAGCCCACACAGCTATCCGGGGGGCACGCGGAGCCCGCAGGTTATGCGGGGGCACACCGAGCCCACCGGATATCTCGGTGAAAATTGGCGGGCCCCGCGCGGGTGAAAACAACGATTTGCGGGTCCCGCGCGGGTGAAAATTGAGGGGCAAACACTTTCGTCGAGCGGGGCCCTCATATCCCCGGTGCGGGGCCCTCATATCACCGTCGCGGGGCCCTCATATCCCCGGTGCGGGGCCCTCATATCCCCGGTGCGGGGCCCTCATATCACCGTCGCGGGGCCCTTGTGTTTCACCCGCGCGGGGCCCTTATATCGTCTTTGCGTGGCCAAAAATTCTAGACGAGATTCATATTGCAATTAATTAACAATTATATACTTAATGAAACATTTATTAAACAAAAAAACAAATTACACTTAAACATTCCTATGCATCCACATGGCTCGAATTTCATTCTTTAATTGTGGAGAATAATGTTCCTGAAAAACCACAAATAGAATATTGAAATATAGGAATCATAATATGATATAGTCGGCGTCCGTCGACTGCTGAACGCGGGTAGATTTACGGCGATGCTCGTTTATCTTGGGGCAAGAAAATGCGAAACTCGTCAAGAAAAAATAAACCGCTCATGCGAAAACAGCGAAATAAGCATTCACACGTGGCGAGACTTTTTCAAGGCGCATGCGCGTAAATCTACCCGCGTGCAGCAGTCGACGGACGCCCACTATATAGACTTATCATATTATGATAAGTCTATAGTGAACCGTCTGTACATTCATTGCCAAAGTTATGAACAATGAAAAGGAACTTACTCAATAGTACTTCTGAAGGTTTTCCAATAATTAATGAATCTTGTGCCATAACGGACCCATTATTTTTCATGCTGATGTGAAATCCCTGAAATTTCGATATAAATATAACAATTTTTTATTAAAATAAACAAATATTTATATTTGATTGACATTTGGGCTTTATTTGAACCAATTCTCAATTATTTGACAAAATGTTTTCGTTTTATTAAACTAGGTACTCGAGAATTGCCCAAAGTTCGCTAACTTGTCAATTTTTTCTCAATGTTTCGCGGTATTCGCTCATTGAAAAAACGTGATTTTTAGAGAACACTCAAATACAACTTTAAAGTTTCGCATTTCAAAATATATTGTATAAATAATATTTTACCCAAATATAAATTTTCTCAATAAATCTTTGGCTGAGTACTATCTCGAAACCTTCGCTTAACCCCAGCGCGCCTCTGCACCGCACTTATCTTGAAATTATGAACCATCCCCAAATACGGAAATCACTAAAAGTTCCAACCCGCTGAAGTTAACATCTTAATAGGATAGGAAACCAATACCGTCTTCTCAAGCAACAGCTAGTCTGATTCTTCCTTTTTTTCTCTTGTAGTCTATATTCCATTTCCTTGCGAACTGTTGACACATTATCTAAACATAATATTGTATTTTATATATACAGTGAGTGCGTTGCAGAATTATAAAGCCACCCCCGAATTAGATCGCCGCGCAGGTAGCGATTTTGAGACCAAGAAGTGTTAAAATCGTGTTCAGCATGAAAAATTACCTATACGTACCAATTTTTATGTTAGTATCTTAAAAAGTAACCGTGTAGTGGTCATAATTCTGCAACGCACGGTATTTAATTTTTTTGGCTTTACTTACTAAATGTAAATATTCTTCTTCTTTTTTTTACATTGCGCTTGGAACCCATTACCATATATATGACTGAAATAATTAAATTTAAAAGTAAGAAAAAACTAATTTAAAAATTAGACACTCGCCAATTAATTGGACGAGTTAAATGTGATTGGAACGTACGATTCAAAACGATTGAAACAAAATACGATAAACAGCGGGCACGTGTTAACGGCGGAGTGTCGTACACTGTGTTTCCACTAAAACTTTTTTTCTGTGAACGAGATTAGTCCAGAAATTCTCAATAAGAAAAATGCGCCTATTATTCAAAAAAAATAATAAAGAAAAAATAAATATATTAATAAAAAAAAACTAAAATAAATAAAATATTCCGAACGCAAAATGTATTGTTTCCCAATCGAATTCGACCACATCCGAAAAGAATACGGCCGTTGTTCAAACCGTGATGGCCCCATATAAGGTGTTTGCGAATGTTTAGAGTTTCAGCTGATGCTTCAGATATTCCAGGCAAGCTTATTGGACTGAAAAGAGGGCCTTTCATTTGAAGAGGGCTTTTTTTTCCTATGCATGAAGTCAGACATTTAGATACTAAAGCAAGAAGAGTCGAAAATGTGCAAATTATTTTAATAACTTAAAAAGTCAACATTGTGTTTAACAATAGTACTCGAACAATTGAAAACAAGCCACAGAGATTCTGAAATATTGATCCTTCACCCCATTTCACAATTATTTTCAAGTTTCAAAAAATTCTATTAACGTTCTTGGCGTTGCTAGAACATATCGTGATGATTCAAACACTTTGAACAATGTTATAATTGATACACAACATGTTTAATTCTTTTGCAAAATTGTTTTTGGAAAACTGTAATACGCTAATATATTGCGGTTGCCGCAAATGGCCCGCGCGGGCCCCTCGCATTTGATGGTCTCGCGAGAGTCCTTAGAGAGCCCCGCTTACGGCCCGCAGTTGCCCCTCAGAACCCCGCATTATTTTCACCCGCGCGGGCCCCTCCATTCCCATTGAACGCAAATCACCCGCGCGAGCCCTTCTGAGATATTCACCGGCGCGGGGCCCGCAGATATGACCCGCGCGGGCCCAAATAGCCGTTTGGGCCCGCGCTGGGCATAATTTGGACCCACGCTGGCCCCGCGCGGGTTCAACCACCCATTTCCACCCGCGCGGGGCCCGCTAATTTTCACCGAGTATGCGGGTCGCTCGCAACTCGAGGAGCTGCGAAAACTGACCAAAATGGCCATCTCGCCGGCCTTTTATAGTGCCACTCGTGTCGGTGCAAAGTGTGCGTTGGGGCGCGTTTGTCGAATCGCACTGAAAATTGACGCCACGTGTCTCTAGAATCTCTTCGATTTGCACACTCTCACTCAACTCACCCCGAGTGACGCGCTTTCCCGATCGAAGCCGCTGCACTGCGGTGGAGCGCACTTGCCGCAATTTGAATAAATCTACAGTGCTCCACAAAATTATATACCCACCCTAATTTTGTCGAATAACTCGAAAACGCGAATAGCTCCAGAAATGGTTTCAATTAGAAAAATATGCGTATTTATTATTAGTTTCATGTTACATTCACAAAATTCAACAAAAAATAACAATTTTAAAAATTTCGTCATTTTCACGAAAAAGTGGAAAAATTTTTTCCACAAAATGATATACCCACTTCATTTTTTGGCGTTTTTTCGATATTTTTTTTCGTATATTTTCGAAATTTTCGAACTTTTTTACAATCTTACTGTTTTTTAAGACATTTCTCGTAGAATGCCGCTCACCGACTTTGAAAAAGGTGAAGTTGAAGCAAAACTGGCTCAAGGTCTCTCTTATCGGCAAATTGGGAATGATCTCGGACGCACACAAAATGTTATTAGCCGATATGCTAAGAATCCAGCTGCATATGGTCAAAAAAAAGTTGACAGGTCGTCCTTCACTGCTTTCGGACCGTGATAAGCGCAAAATTTTGCGAAGAGCGTCAAATTCGGCCGTGTCGTGCTCAACGATTCGAATGGAATTCAATCTCATGCTGACAAATCAAACCGTAAGGCGTGTTTTATCGAAGAGCACCTTCATCAAACACAGTAAAATGACGAAGGCACCAATGTTGACTCGAATACATCGTGAAAAACGACTGGAATTTGCAAAAAAGAATCAACGAACTAACTGGAGACAAGTGAGAATAACTGCAACGTTCATTCAACTCTTTTTCTTCTTTCGGGTAGTCTTTTCCGATGAAAAACAGTTCAATTGTGATGGGCCAGATGGTTATCGTGATTATTGGCACGATTTGAGAAAAGAGAAGCTGCGGTTTTCGCGTAGAAACTTCAAAGGTGGAGGCGTCATGGTGTGGGCGGCAATCAGCTCGCATGGAAGAGTCAAGTTGTGCTTCGTTATCCGAAGATAAGTGGTTCTGACTACCGATACGTCATGAGACGTGGTCTGTTGCCATTTTGGCGTCGAAATAGGCACAAAAATTACTCTTTCATGCAAGATGGAGCCCCTTGTCATCGCGCTCGCCGCACCATCCAGTCGATACGCAGCCCTAGAATCCCAGTTCTCGACTAGCCAGCCTGTTCTCCAGACATACACCCATCAAAAATGTCTGGGGATTTATGGTAAAGAAGATTTACGATGGCAACAAGTCTTTTCATTCAACTACGGATCTCAAAAAGGCAATCGTGGAAGCCTGGAAGCTTGTCGATCAACAGCTTCTTGACAAACTTTATTTATCAATGGACAGTCGAATTTTTGATGTAACACGACTCAATGGAGGTCCAGTTAATTACTAAATGTTCATTTTCTTTCAAATTCTAACTCTCGATGCCTTTTTCTGTGTTTTTTATCAAGTGGGTATATCATTTTGTGGAAAAATTTTTTCCACTTTTTCGTGAAAATGACGAAATTTTTAAAATTGTTATTTTTTGTTGAATTTTGTGAATGTAACATGAAACTAATAATAAATACGCATATTTTTCTAATTGAAACCATTTCTGGAGCTATTCGCGTTTTCGAGTTATTCGACAAAATTAGGGTGGGTATATAATTTTGTGGAGCACTGTAGTATTTAATTGGAGCAGAAAATTTTTTTTTCAAATTTTTGCTTCTTTCATACTTGCGGCATGAATTTCCAGATTCCCATCTGTGTTAATTTTCCGTTGTCTTTTTATCACGTCAAAATCATCAAAATAATTTGTCATTTCTTTATTCAGAAATGATCGAAACTGATTGTCCAACATGCAGTAAGTTGAAAAATTCGGCCGAATCAAAAGACTTTCGCGACAGAATATCCAGTAAGCAACTCGAGAGACAATCGCCTAGCAATAGATTTGCAAGAGCGATTGCCAAAATTTAACAACACCATATATATACCAAACTATGGCAATGTTCCGGTGACCAACGGCGATTTGTCGTGGATTAATGGTCATGTGATGGTGTGAATTCGGATTTTTCTTCAAAAAATCTTTTTTTTAGACATTTGTGATTGAATGTGTTGGTTTGATGAGGCCATGTGCTATTCGAATATGCAATGGAAGTGTTTTTGAAGCAAAAGAATTGAAGGAATTGATTGTCGCGGAAAATGGTTCGTTTTTTTTTCGCCAAAACCATTAAAAAAATTTTTTTTTTGAAGATTTTCAACCTCTTAAAAATCTCAATAGGTTTTGCACGGATTCGGTGGAATTCGGACCCGATCGCATTTATGTTGTCGTCAAGGACAAATCGGATGAAATGTGACTCATGAAAATGTCCCAATCGATATTATGATTTAGTGAGCGATTTTCGGCGAAAACTGCTCAAGATAATTCGCAGGCGATTTACGATGATAATTCGCCGAAGAATATGTCGGCCATGTGTTTTAAGAAGTACAAAGAGCAGAATTATAGAGCTTGCATGACAGGACGAACAATGTAAAATTTGGAAACATTGAATTGTCGTCAATTAATCTGCATTGTCCGCAATAATAAAAATTTGTTTGAAACTACGGTAGGCGGCTTCTCGCTGCAGAATTTCACCAATTTGATCTTGCGGACTTTGCATCACATTTGACGACAATTTCATTTTTTTCTTTGAAACTACATTTTGACTATCAATATTTTTTTTCAAAATATTCTCTAGCTCCAAATTTTTTCGACTTCGACCATTAAGGTACGTTGTCCCTTATTCTATGGGCCTGATTGGCGGTAGATCAACAATGTATGGCGTCCAAATAACCGATGATCCGATATTTGTGCTGAACTTGAGAACCACTTTTAGGTAGTTCAACGCATCGCTTTCCGAATCATCCGATGGATTCAGAGTCTCGTCGGCGGTTTGGCATGCCATCGGCACATCGAATTGTTTCATCAAAGGCGCGCATTCGATCGGCTCGCCGCGACCAATTGTGCGAAAGGTGCCAACACCAAAAGTGCGCCAAATTTTTGAACGATTAATTAATTTTTTGTTTTGATGTGCTCCTCTCTAGTCGCACGATCCTCACTGCTGCATTGTGCACCAATTGAACCTGCGCAAAATCTGGGTGTTCGGTCCGACGTTTGGGCGAAGCGCGCGATTCGCCAACACGATCGCGGTTCGCGCCGTCGGCTTCATCGGTTTGAAGGAGAAGACGCTCGCGTTGAACGCGGCGATTCTCGAAATTCGCAATCCCGCCGGCGCAACGATCAACGTTTGCTTTGCGTCGAGCGAGCCGCTCGAGCGTCTCGACCTCGCCAAACCCGCTCCGTCGTCGCTGGCCGAATGGAGAATCGATGTGGTGGCGAGACGAATCGCGTGGCTCAAATGGCGAGACAATAAGATGTTTGCGATTTCGCCGGAAAACGAGGAGATGAATGTAGGGAGAGCGATTTTCAATAGAAACAAATTTTTCCACCCACCTCCAACTTCCATTTTTAGATGGTTCCGATTGTCTCATGCGCTGCAGATTTAATAGAAAAGTAGGTACAAGCATGATGTGCCTTTAAAATAAAATTTTTATTAAAGGCGCACGCTGCTTTTTGTTTTCTCGGGGATCGCATTTATAATTTTTTTTTTCAGCGAGAAGAAAAAACTGGATATAATTGCATTCAATCCACAATCAACTAAATGGTCCTCGGATTTGGGGGTCCCAATTTCCGGGTAATAAACATTGGACCTTCAAATGGCATTAATAGAATCTTTTGAAGAATTGTGTTTGGCGATCGTAGGTACGATCGAGTGCCAATCGTGTTTGAGGCCAACTCGTGGCAAGAAGGTGTCGTTCTGACGGCTGGCTACCGATCACACGTTCAACCGAAATCGGGCGCTTCTAAAGGTTCGCCATCCCCCCCCCTCCCTCTCAGAATCGCATTTTGAAAATTTTAGAAGCGAAACTCGACTTCGAGAACAATCCAATGGGAATGCGCAACGATATCGGCTTCAATTTTGGCAAATTTGTGGAGCATTGGCTTCAGATGGGATGCGTCGATGATGACAAATGCAAGCCACCATTGATGTTTCACATCAATTTGTTTCAAGAAGACGACGGCAAACCGATTTGGCCGTCTAGCGGCGAGAATATTCGAATTTTCGAGTGGATCTTCAAACGGTTTCAATTTTTTTGATCTACCAACTTTTTTGGATGGGAAATGACGATGTTTTTTTTTTTTTTTAAGTTGTGCGGATCCGTCGAATTTGGCAATTGCTGACGTATCGGCGATCGGAAAAACGCCAAAAGCGCTGAATTTGGACGGATTGGCGACAACCATGAACACCGGCAACCTACTCAAAGTTGATGTGCGATTTTGGCTCGAGGAGCTCGCGCGAATGCGCGCTTTCTTTAGCAATCACATAAGCGGAAACAAGCCGAAACAAGTCGAGCAGGTTCTTTTGGAAATCTCGTCGAAACTTTGAATAAAACCAAAAGCGTTGTGAAAATTATTGATTGATGGCGCCCAATCAATTCATCGGTCTCATTGCGCAAATATTGTCGCGACAGAAAAAAGTGGTCGAAGCAATCGTCGTCCGAATCGCACTCCATCAACGCGGCGGCGTTGAGACAAATTTGGGGGCGAGAAAGAATGGCGAATTTACTGCCACTGGTCTTCACGTCCCGAGCCTCTCCGTGACGAAGAGGATCAACTGACGATTCTTCCCTTTTAGATCATCGTCAGGCTAATCGGTACACTCACGATTGAAGATCTTCAAACTTCACAAAAAAATCTGAAATTCTGACACAGACTTTGATTTTTTTAAGAATTTTTAATTGCTTTTTAGTTTTCGAAATATTTCGAAAATTTTGAACAAACTAAATTTCATTTAATAAAAAAAATTGCAAATTCAATTGAAACAATTATGAAACTCCTCATATTACTTTTAACGTGGGTCGGTAGACCATCTTCACAAAAACTCTATTTGGCAGCGGTTTCTACAGCATGAATTGATAAGAATTTCAATTACAGTAGCTCATTTATCCGCGATTTCTGGGGTTGCTTGAAATCCATTTTACGAATGTTGAAATTTAGTTATTCAATTATAAAATTATATCCACTTTGAACATCTAGACAGGAAAATTTGCCTACAATCGTGATCACTTCCTCAACAACAGGTGTGTGAACTATCTGGATCAAATTGTTTGCATATGTTCAGCGCGATGAGATGATTTTTTGAACTTCCTGGATGTCCTCTCACACTCAAATGCAATGGCATCGAAACGACTATCTATATTTATTAACTAGAATCTATACTATAATCAATATTAATTGAGACAATACGGGTCGATATTTTGCATAAATATCCTTTTTAGCCCATGTGAGTCCGATGCTGCTCGAAATATGAAATTTCGACGAATAATGGTGCTCCGGACAAACTCGACAAATTTGATGTTGTCGATGTGATTTTCAGATGTTGGCAGTGCCAGACTTATCTGAAATTGAATCGTTTTCAAAATCATTATTACATCAGGAAAATACCTGGCAAATAATGGTCCCAACATTTTCGAAGTCAAGTTTTTTGGAAATAAATGATAGCGTATCATAATCTGAGCGCTTCAGATTGAGAAGAAGCAAATCAACGGTGGTATTTTTGAAATTAGAATTGAAAAATGAGTGTAGATGGTCCGATTTTGTATAGACGCCTAAAAATTACAATGATGAAGGCATTTTTTTCAATTTAAAAATATGACGATCGTCGTTTGCTTTTGTGTTGACGCACACTTTTTCATCAAGATTCTCAATGCAGGACGTCGAAAAATCTATCTCGAAGACTTTGCAGCTTGGATTTTCTTTTTTCAGTTGTGATTCGACATCGGAATCATCATTTTCCAGCCCAAATTTTACAATATTGCATTTATCTGATGCATGTTTCTGAAAAAAAATCAAAATAATTTTGAAAGATTTCTCTGTGTATGCAAACACCGAGGAGTATACTTGCACATTTCTTTTTTTTTTTAACAAATTCTCACATTTCTTTCAAATAACTTGAGACGCTCATCAATTTTGATCGTTGTAGCTGTTTCACTTTCAGGATAATTGCATTTATTCACAATATTGCTAAATTGGAGCCAAATCTGAAGTTCAGAAATTATTTTAAAAATATTTTGTCATATCAAACCTCCTGGAAATTCAAATATTCGAAATCCTCGGCTAAGCATAAAAATGTGTTATAAATTTTTTCCCAACCCACCTAAAATAGTTTCGATAGAAAAAAAAACTAATTTTAATTTTAAAACTAACAATTTCCTGGGCGATTTTCTTCTCGCTGACAACTTGAATTACCGAATATAACTGGTAACTTATGTATAGGATCAATAATAAGGGCAAGAATATAAGACGAGCCTTCTGAACATTCATCTTTCGTTAGGTAAAATTTATGAATAAATGTGGGAGGAGCTAATTCAGATTACAGCTTTATATGTGATGCAATCGTTTTTTTCTAAACGATTGGGTGGCCGAAAGAACGTTTCACAAAGGCGTTGCCATCGCAAAAACTGAGTTTTGATTCCCAATTCTCGGAACAGATTTTCCAATCCTTTCATCTTGAGACTATATGGTCAGATTTCTATCTCTTCTGTCGAAAAGTTCAAAATTTTTTCAACATTTCTGATGTGCCCGAAAAACGCGTCAATGTCCCCCACTTGGCGCACAATGTGCTATTCATTTTGCCGTCCAAATTTTTAAAATTTTATTTTTCCTTCAAAAATTTAAATGTAACGATTTTCAAAAATTTTAGAAAATGTTTCGAGCATCGGGGAGATTAAGAACGCTTCAGGGGATCCATAAACGCTGCTTCTCAAACCTTGGCGTTGTGGGTTTTTCATAATTTATGATTTATAACCAATCTCAATTATTTCTCAGAAAAAACCGAAATGTCTACAAATCCAGCAGCAACGTCAAATCTTGTTCAAAATGGGGAATGAAACGCCTCATCGGATTGTGGGATACTACGTAGTGTACGAGAATTGTATTGAAAAATGGGAAGAAACGGATATAATTCAGATTTCCTGTTATTCCGGAGGATACCGTGGAAAATAATTGTTTTATGTACAACATTGCAAAAAATGAGGATTGGCCTAAACTGGCAAGTGCCTCACCCAAAGAAATGTACGAAGGAACCGTGAAAATGCTCATGGAATATGGTGCAACATCAATGGAACACATGGAACATCTAGCAACATGTAATTTCGATGTTTCACCCTGATTTAATCGAGATTTTTAGTAAAACCCGAAGAAAGAACTTTCGAGAATGTCGTCGAACCCCTTATTACCGAAGAATATGAAGTCAATTACGCTTTTCAAACTCTAATCTTGAAAATGCTCACAGATTGGCCGGACTGCAATCGCAAACTGTTCGACGCCGATCTTCATCATGTAAAAAATACATTAATTAAACTATTTAAATAATTTTTATAGATTAAAATTATGTGCGCAAGAGATCAAATGGAGAAAATCACAAATATCGATTTCCAGGAGGCGATAAGGCAGCTTTATGATAATAAAGAAGGGCTTGATGAATGGCAAAGTAGATTATTGGAATGGTACTTGTTAGAGGTAATTAAAACAAAATTGCGCAATTATTCGTTTAACTAATTAGATGAAAGCGAGTGGTTTGGATAAGCATGACGAGAAAACGCGAAAGCTTTTGGGTTCCTGGAGCAGATTTATTGATGAATACCGCAGCAAATATATGTGGGTCTTGCAACGATTATCAAAACAGTTTACCGAATTACAGTAATGGAGTAATGTCGACGAATGATCAGCAAACTTTTGTGGTGAATGATAAAAATATAATCAAGGATGCTCCACCGCATGTTCTCCAGAAGCTTGCCATCGATGAGTAAGCTTTCAAATTTAGTATTTCTTATTTCAAATGCGATTATTAAAGGAACAATTGGGAGGCTGGACCATGGCGCGGCAGAATGACACCCCATACGATTTATCCATTTATGCAATATTGCTCCGATCGGCAATTGCGAGCGACCGCGTGGGAAAAATGGACAAGCAAAGCTGGATTTGATCACGATTTCTATAACAATTCGATCAATATCGAAGAATTGCGGCATAATAAGTGAGATTCGAATGGAGATTTCGGAAAATTTCCAACAACTAAAAATTCTAGTGAGGGTCTTGCAAAGACATTGGGATACGCATCAGTTGCTGAGCATCGACTCGCCAACAAAATGGCCGCTTCACCGCACACTGTGAGGGAATTCATTACAGCGTAAGAAGTTTTTGCAAGTGTTTTTCTAGAAATGCGGTTTTTTCTTGTAGTCTGACGCGAAGAATTAGACCAGTGGTTATTGATCGCATGGAATCCTGGACAGCATGGGCTCGCCGCAGTGAATTGCTGATGGGCGAACTTCAAATGTATGATATGCCATATGTGTGCCGAAAAGAAGCCGAACAGCATTATGAGTAAGACTACCGTAACCTTGACAATAATTTTTTTTTTCAAAATGTCAATTTTGTAGTGTGAACCCTCTCGATTTGATGAACCATTTCCCATTCTGGCCAACATTCAACAATATTACCAATGTTGTCGGTCACATATTCAATTTAGAGTTCAAGGTACCCATTTTGAAATTCGGACCATATCATATATTTTTTTGAGGACGTAAGCGACAAGGGTCTTGAGAAAGCGCACCCTGATGCGAAAATTTTTGCGGTTAGCGATAAATTCTCCGGAAAACACTATGGACGGCTCTATATTGATCCATATGACCGACAGAATAAACGTGGTGGATGGAATACTCTGTTAGGACGAAGTTGGTAATATTCCGAGGGACCATTATAAAATGATAGTATTTAGCGGAGAGCAAGGAACGAGGTTTGGATAAGATTGTCTACCTCATCGGCTCCGCCGTCGCCCCAACTGTCAATGGTCCGTCGGTTTTGCACCATCAGCAGCTCCAGCAACTTTTGTTCCATGTAAATTTTGGCATATTTTTTTCTCAAGCCTCAAATTTTATTTTTGCTCTCTAGATTGGCCGTAGCCTCCAGCTTCTTCTCAGTCAATCGCCTTATCGTGATCTCGCCATTCCATGGTCGCCATTTTACGCAAGCGATTGGGATGCCGCCGACATGTTCCCGACATTCCTTCAATTTTTTGTCTATAAGCCGAATTTGTTGACGTCATTGAGCAGCCCGCATTTGGTATTACGAGTTTCCTTGTGTTTTTATTTTCGTACAATGTGCAATCCTTAGAAAACCGGCCAAGTGCTGACTGAAGATGCAGCGAATAGTGTGGCTTTGGCTCTCTCGCGCGCTTCCCTCTGGGACACCTACCGTACACTTTTCTGGTCCGACTTTGATTTGACGATTTATGAGATGGAAGATCGCCGCCAGAAATTCTGGCTCGACATTTACAAAGAGATGTACGCCGAGTATTTTCCGTTCAAACGCGCCAAAAATGACTATCAGCCGTGTTCGTTCACACCGATTTTCGCACTTCAACCGCACATGTCGATGTACTACAGGAAATTGTGGTCCGAGGTGGGATTGGTTTTATGGAATTGCTGATCGGCGGCACTTTTTAGATGCTCGCATTGGATATCCATGAGATGTTTGACGAGGAAAACAATGAGGTGCAGACTGGCGAACGATTGAAGACGACGATTCTACATTCTGGAGGCGGAGATGTGGCCAAGGAGCTTTTTAAGAGATTCCAGGTTGGCTAGAATCGTCACTGATTAATCCGCTCGTACAGTAGAGCGCGCTTTCTCCCCCCATAGGAAGATTGAGCGTCCTTTAATTGGTATTATTTGAAGGGACGAAATCCTTCGGTTGGTGCAATTTGCGACTTCTACTCGCCACCAATGGCAATTATTGAAGAGGAGGAAGAAGAAGTTGTGAATAAATAAGGAGTTGGCTTGAAAACAAAAATGTTTCGTTGAAATTCTGCGGGTTTCCTTCCTGTTTTCTATTTTGTTGTTAATATCTTTGGTGTAATTATAGTTATTAGGATATAGGCTCAATTTGTTTTGTTTTTTTTTAATATTTATATAAAATGTTCTCCGCTTCTCATTTATTTGCAAATTCCACTCGTTTTCGGCGATTTAATACTGCTTTGAATTGAATTTTCAAAAAAAAAAAAAGAATTTTGAGTTTTTCGAATGGCGACGACGTCCAATCCACCAATTAGCACGCAGAATGGACAGCCGGAAACTAAAGTGGTCGATGAGGTTAGAAAAAATAGTGCCTTGAAAATTCTGAAATTGTTTACAGATTCCGAATGAGCTCAATGATCTCTTGCTAATCGTCGTCAAGAATTTCTTCTCAAATGTGGGATTTTTTGGAAAATTTCATTTAAAAAATGATTTTTAGGAGCATTATTTGGTGGTTTATTATATAATGCGTGCCGAGTGTATACGCGAAGAAAATCTACGAACGCGTTTAAATTTCGACCAAAAGATGCTGCGCTCACTTCTAGTGAGCCTCAAGAACGAGAAGCTCGTCAAAGAGCGCCTATTGTCGCAGAAGAATGAGAACGGAAGGAATGTGTCGATCATTTTCTATTTCATCAACTACCGAGCAGTTTTAAATGTTGTCAAATACAAAATCGATCATATGCGGTGAGAATGCCGAAACGAACAGTTTAAAATACCGAAAAACGAATTTCAGGCAAAAGCTTGAATCGAGGGAGAAAAATGACACGAACAAGGCGCATTACAAATGCGGCAACTGTATGAGCACATATGACGTACGATTGAGAATTGGAACACAAGAATAAGATCAATGAATAATTGCGATATTCCAGATGCTCGAAATCAACGGAATTCTGGATTTCGCCACCGGAAGGCTAACATGTTGGAGGTGTCATGGCGAAGTGACGCCGGATGAAAGTGTAGCGCCTTCGAATTTAACAAGGTACCTACCACTTTTTAAATAATTTCCATGAAAAGTTCGGAAAAAAGCTTTAAAAATCCATATTTTAACCAGTTTTTGGCTTCTCTCAAAGATATATCACAATTGTCTGGTTTTAGAACCGCTGTTGCTCGATTCAATGAGCAAATGGCACCGCTGTTCTCACGGATTCAATCTCTTCATGGCATCCAATTGGCTCCACATCTTCTCGAGCCGGATATTACCAAATATCTTGAAGATGACAAAGGTATGATCTATGTTTTTTTTTTATTTTCGCAGCGGTCTCTAAGAAATGCGCGAAATTGGCCGAGTGCCAAAAAATGGATTAAACTAAATGTGTGGATTAGCGGGATTTTTTAAGCACCAATTTTCTGGCGTTTAGCCAACACTGACAAATTATTGCAGCTCGCGAACTTCAACTCCAGCAACAAATGGACTTCACTTCGAGTGGGCAACGATTGGGTCTCGGTGGTGTCGCGCATTCGTACAACAATATTGCATCGATCAACTACCATCATGGGGACCAGATTACTGTCGATTTGAACGCCGATATCAATAAGTTCGTTTGTTGATGTGAAATAGCAAAATTTCAATCATTTTTTCAGGGGTCCTGTCGAAGAGGCGAAACAGGTGCCGACGTGGCTGCAGGATAATGCTATTGGTGGATCGGAGGATAATCACAACGATCAAATATTGTCGAAATTGTGAGTTGCTTTCTTTGTTCCACACAAAATGCCTGCAAATCGAATAATTTAGCAGCGAAAATGTGCCGGAGACCGACAATTCTAACAATAACGCGTTCCTCGATCTTCTTGCTGCTTGTGAAGGTGGATCGAATGACGAACCGGTCGAGCCGGAGCAGAAACGGTCCAAAGTTGGCGAGACGCAAAATGAGGAAGATGCAGAAGACGAGGATGAGGAGGAAATGGTGTATGTTGGTGGAAAGCCGATGCCGCTAAGCGAAGTCACTCCCGAAATGGTCGAAAGCGAAATGAGCGAAGAGGAGCGGCAGCATTACACAGAAATCGTTCAGAATATGCACTTCTTCTAGATCTTTGATTTTATCGGGTTGTTTTTTCCTTCTCTCTATTTTATTTTTATTTATTCATGCTCACGCTTTCTTGTTATTAAATATTAATCTGCAATAAATTATCTTTTGTTAAAAATTTTTTTCAAAATTATTTCAAAAAAAAAAAAAATTAAAAAGACGATAAGTGTGCAATTTAGCGTCGAGGCGACACCACAGAATGCGCGAGACTTGACGCAAATAAACAAATTTATTCCATTTCTCATTTATTTTAATTTTACAAGTTTTCTCGTCCACTATGGCCGACCGGCGCCGAACGATTTCGCCAAAATCGCTCAAAATTAAGTTTTTGACCTTCGGCGAGCTTGTATCGCTTCGGGTTCTTTTTCATTATTTCAATAATTTCCTTTTCAGCCTCCTCGAGAAGTGTGCCCTTGGCGTCGAAATAGCGGCATTCATCATAGTTGGCGTAATGGCACGAAATCGCCTTTCGGAAACCGCCGGATCGATTCGCTCCCGAGCCGTGATAAAGGTATGGATGGAAGAAAACCGTGTCGCCGGGGTTCATCTCAACGTACTGTCGTCGAAGGCTCATGTCGTAGTCCTTAATTGCATAGTAGGCCTTGTTCACGCCACCTTCCCATTCCGGATAAGCATGCGGTTGAAGGCCGTTGCGATGCGAGCCAGCGACAACTTGCAAGCAGCCATTTTTCTGTGTGACCTGCAAGAAGTGGTGAGAGTCGACCGATGAGGGATGTCAACTCCAAACCTTCTCCATGGCCGTCCACGCGCAACACGTCAGGTCTTGCGGCTCCCAATTGAAATAGTAGGCGTCCTGATGCATCGGATGGCGTGAGGTGAGCGAGCCGGTGTCGGGCGGCTTGTTGATGAGCATCGTGTGCATTGCTTGCAAATTCGTGGCGGGAGTTCCGATAAGGTCGCGAACGATTTTGGTGATGTTCTCGTGCTCGCAATATTTGAAGAGCTCGTCCTCGGTGAAGTCTTGAACTTTCGTGATGGTGTCCACCGAATCGGGCGTCTCCTTTTTTGCAATTGAGACGTCCTTCATGATGAGCATTCCGGTGGGCGGAGTGATTTTGCGTTCGCAAAGCGCCTTCAAAATCGATTTTTTTAGTCTGTTTGAAAAGTATTGCATTCGTGCATACCAAAAATCGATCGGTGAAAAACTGGATGTCGCTCTTGCTGAGCACATTGCGAACCAACAGAAACCCATTCTTTCGATACGAATGTTTCGCCTCGACGGACAATATCTGTCCGGGCTTCGACCAGTCGACGACGCCGGCGCCGAGACGCGACGACGACAATCTACGCGCGAATACGAGTACGGCGAATTTCGATGAAGACGAGTTGAGCATTCGTGATTTGCAGGAATATCGAATTCGAACTAATAAACAATGACGTTTCCATTTTTGGAGGACACCGCGGATCACGTAGATTTGAGAAATTCGCGTGAAGCTCATCTTCGAAACAATTTTTTTTCTTTGGAAATTCATCTGATTTTATTTTCGCAACGGTTCACTGGTTCTTTTTTTTTTGTCCGCAGCACCCAATTGTTAATCCCGCGTCGTCGTTTTGACGAGAGCGCGAAACCACGCCCACAATTTCCACTTTCTCCTCGTCGCGCCGTCGCCGGTGTTTCCTGTTCTTCGCGTGGTAATTGTAATTGTTACTTTTGTTCGAAACCGACAACAGCAAATTGCCACACGCTGGAAAATGATACTCAAATCATCGTCATGATTCTTGCCTATTATATTTTTGCGCATTTTCTCCTCGCCCATCGCGTTCTCGCCATTGAGTTGAGGTGATAATTTCGATTTTGGAAGACAAAAATCGTGCAAGACACCGAATTGTTGAAATTTCAGAATTTTCGATGATCTCGTCCAGATCCGAAGCCAGAGCGGCCAATTCTTCCCGCTGTGCTCAAATTCATTCTCGCCCAAATATGGCCAGCAAGCATGTTCAACAATTTCTAGGTAACTCTGCTGGTCTACCTGTTGGCATACTTCGTTCTAGCTTATACTCTTCGCATAGCATCGAGCCACTTAACCAATACACCTATTCAATTGCTTGCACTTCAAATGTCTGCTTTTCATTTCTCTCATCCTACTGTAAGACTGGTGTCAAGGTCACCTGTTCAGTCAACTGTAAGACTTCCACGAGGTATTTCATTACAGTATAATTTGTTCTTACAGTATGTTCTTCTGGAAGCGTCCCCATCGGCAACAAGTGCATCACATCATCAGGCAGCCTAGTTTCTGGATTTTTCGAAGCTCAATCCTTTTGCGAGCCGTTCTCGCTGATCTCGAACATCAAGACAACCGAAATCGAGGCATTGTCCGAAGCGATAATGCCATTTTACCGTAAGTCTGCCCAATTGTTTGCGCAAAAGATTGAAGTTCGTTCTTTTTTTTTTTTTTGAAAAGTGACTAATGGTATGGGTTTATTTACAAAACACAAGTTCGTTTCATTTTTCTCGTTTCCGGGTAGCCAATTAGATTTTTTTAAAAACCAAGAAAGGAATAGTTTTTGGCCATTTCGCCGGTTCGATTCCAGTTTTTCACACGAACAATGAATTAGTTGAATGTTGTTTCAGCGGCCGACGCCATCTTCTTGACCTCCGGCGTTCGGCAAGGTTCGCAATGGAAATGGAAAACCGGCGACGTCATCGAGGTTGCCATTTATTGCCATTATACTCTATGCCTTTTTTTTGTTGGTGTTGGACAATTTGAAATGTATTATTCTAGGGCAGTTTCCAAGGCGTCGGACGATGCCTGGGTCTGAAATCCGGCGAGCTTATCGCAATTGATTGTGATGCTGACGTCGTGGCGCTTTGCGAGTTCGGAAGGGAGTGCATCGCGAAAAATCGACAATATGCCGGAACCCAGAATTTTACCGAAAATGGCCATCCTTGCCTTCCATGGAACGACCCATCCGTTCTTTTCAATCGAGATGGGCACCTTGAGATATGGGACCATAACTTTTGTCGATTCATTAGCGGGTTCGTGTGCGGAACACCTTCTCCCAAATCCAACTCGAATTCTAGGGCGTCGGATTCGCCGATGTGCTACACGTCGTCGAAACAATTGGGCAAGTGCAGCCTTCCAGATTGTCCGGAGACATTCAAGGACCCGATTGAGGCTGAAACATGCTCGACGGGCTCATTTTCATGCGATAATGGCAGCAAGTGTATTTCGGAGAAATTCAAATGCGATTACGAGGTTGATTGCAGCGATGGAAGTGATGAAAAAGATTGCGGTAAGTTGGCAGTGGGAAATTGTCCGCAGCACAATTTCAATATATCATTAAATTGACGTCGGCTTGTTTTGCTTTGAAAGCTCATCCAAATACATATACAGTACCGTGCAGTAAGATATACAATTTCACTTTTTTAATCATAACTTTCTGAAAAGTTGACCAATCGATCTGAAATTTTTGGACAAAACAGATAGTGTGTTCCCAAACATAATTTATTCATTTTGGGGTACTATAGACGCAAGTTTTGTGTTTTGGACCTTTTTTTGCGTATTTTCAAAATTGCGATTTTTTTTAATTTTTAAGTTTTTTCGATTTTTTTTTAGATTTTCAATGTTAACATCAGTTTTTTTTATTTGTTTTAGCAGGAGACGATCAAAATGATCAAAAAACATTCTATCAGACATTTTAAAGCAATCAAGAATGACCGAGCACTAGGTCTTTTCATCCAATGTCTATCACACCAGTTGAACTCATCGACTTAGACCATTTGTGGATGTTTGAAACCTCGATCGGATTCCAAACCACTTGGAAATCCTTCAAAAACATCCCCGGCAATCAATCGCACCATTGTAGGAATCAGCAAGAGCAACCCGCGTCTATCCGCTTCCGAGATTAAGCGACAACTGAGTCAGTTCTATGATGTCAACGTAGATTTTTCCGAAAAACCATGACTTTTTTTCACCAAAAGTCACATTCAGATCATTGTTAGTACTGTCAAGCGTCGTCTACGTGGTTCTGGATTATTTGGACGTCGGTCTGTCAAAAAACCACTCCTTTCGGAGAAGAAACGCCGCGCCCCTTTGAAGTGGGATAAGGAGCTTATGAATTGAACTTTTCAACAATCGTCAAAGGTTGTATGGAGTGATGAATCAAAGTATATCTTGCTCGGAACGGATGGTATTACCTTTGTGAGGTGTTCGGACGGCAAAAGATTCGATCCAAAGCATCAATTACCAACAGTGAAACATGGAAGAGGAAGCGTGATAGTTTGGGGGATGTTTTACTGCTTCTGGAGCTGGCCCACTTCGTCGAATCGAAGGAAATATGGATCGATTAATGTATAAAGACATTCTCGAGAACCATATGCTTCCGTTTGCAAAGTCTTTGCTCGGTGTGGATACTTATTTCAACAGAATAATGATCCTAAACGTAGTTCTCGCTTCATCAAAGAGTGGTTCTAGCAGCGTAGGGTGGCCGTCAGGGACTGACCAAGCCACTCACCTGTCTTGAATCCCATTGAACATTTGCAGGATGATCTTGGTAGACGTCTTGGTGGTCAAACTGTACAAAATGTGTCGAAATGATCGAGCAGCTGAGAAGATCATGGATGGATATTCCAATTTCAACCCACACGAATTTGATCGAGTCCATGGGTCTCCGATGTCAAACTGAGATCGATGCAAATGACATGTCAACAAGATATTGAGTTGTTTTAAGCATCCTGACAGATAATTGTGGTTTTCCATTTCATTTCAAGTCGTACCGGTATCAAAATTATTAAAGTCGGTTTTTCGCTATTATGGATTTTCTGATTTTTTGCCAATAAAATTTTTCCTAATGTGTTTTGCACCTTCTAATTTTGTTACATAATCACTCTATCGATGCTTAAAGTTGTCCAAAAATTTCAGATCGATTGGTCATTTTTTCAGAAAGTTATGATAAAAAAAGTGAAATTGTATATCTTACTGCACGGTACTGTATATGTATCAGTTAAATCGACTAAAATATTTTGAGATTCATTGAGAAACTAACGTGTCTCTATAATATTTCAGATTTTTCTCAATCAACTATAGAAATTATCATAAGATTTTAGGTTTATTATTGAATATTTGATTCTCAAAATATTTGATTTGCCTGAGTCATTCAATTTCAGAAGACTATCTTCAGTCGTATGAGCTTGTCGGCGCTTACCGGCTCACCGACAATATCATCGAAGTTTGGACCTACATTCCACACGTTCAGGGATGCGCTAGAAAGTGCCGCGAGAGTCTGCTCATGTGCGAGGCGTTTTCATACGAGCACAAAACTCAAGTACTCCGATTTTTGCCAATATTGGTTTTCTTCGAGAACCCCAAATTTCAGACGTGCCTTCTCACAGACACCTCGCATGCTTATTCAAGTTTGGTGCAGAAAATCACATTTTTGTATTATCGAAAACGATTCTCATCGAGTGAGCGATTCGCTTTTTTTTGGTAAAATTGAATCGAGATTCGTTATGTTTTCTTCAGAAGACGTCGTTTTCACGTTGGAGAACAATATTTTGTACGCGTCGAAACAGTTGAGAAAGGCGTACGTTTGCGACGAGAATTTCGGACGAGATAAGCGCGGCGCAATTTGTCGAACACTCGGATTCGGGTATGCATGTTACATTTTTATTCACACTCATATTTTTTTACAATTTAATCGAGAAAACGCCCCTTGCCGACTGAAATTTAGGCGAAAAAAAAGAAAACAATGACAAAAAATAGCGGGGGGGGAAGAATTGAAATGATCTAGAGCGATTTTGACGAGGGCGTCTGCTGCGCCGACGGCTTCATCACCAGCAGTTCGAGCTGCTCGACGAGCTTGCTCATGTTTTTTTCGAGATAATCGTCGCTGGGTTGCTAGAAAAATAGAAGAATATTGAGCGATTCTAGAATTCAATGTCGGGAAACCTTTGGTTTGCAGGCGGGAGGCGTGTGGGCGGTGTGTGAGAAGCGTAGCGATGTGTTCTCCTAGAAGACTAAAAATTTTACAGCAAAATTATTAGAAATTTACCTCAAGACTTGCAAAATAGTTAACAATTATATTTGATTTGGTGGCTTGAAGGGGCACGAGCTCGCCGACGAACTCCTCCTGCCCGTTCGCCTCCCGCGTGATCGCCATATTCGGATGAAGCTGAAAACAGTGGGCGATGGGGTGGACGCGTTTTCCTATCAAATCGATTCGAGACAAACCCAATACGTTGATTTGTAGAGATTCGATTTCGGCACTGTCTGCCGCACATCGATTCGATGGGATTGCGTCAGCGGCGCGCAGAACGTCGCCGCCGACGCGAACGAGAAGCCCGACACGACGGCGGTCTGACGACGCTGATGCGAATGCTGACGATGATGATGATGGTGATGATGGTGGGATGACGAGGACGTCGACGCCGCCGTCGAGCTCACACGCCACGCTCGCCATTTCGGCTCTTCGTCGGCCGGCCTGGAATTTGGCATGCTTGCGAACGCCCAACTGCACGCAAACGCAATACTCGACATGTCAGCCGATCAGGTAATCCGCCGACACACTCACCGTCGCGCATAGTGATGATGGCGGCGCTCATCAAAATGTAGCATTCACTCGACAAATTAGTGTTGCGGTGTGTTTTTTAAAAAATGACGCCGTCGGCTCACCATCGGTCACGTAACCCCCACATTTTTTGTATTCGAATTTCTTGGTTTTTTTTTCTCGTTCAGATGCTCGCGTTGCGCCGAATCGGCTTGTTCGGATGGCTCGTGCGTCAAATTCGAGCAACTATGCGACGGGCGGTACGATTGCCCCAACGGCGACGACGAGCTCGATTGTCGCGGAAGGGCGTTTCGAATGGCGAACGGCACCGACACGAGCGGCTTCCTTGAAGTTCTATTTCGTACCAAATGGGAGCCGGTGTGCTCGGACCTGTTGACGATTCAACAGGTTAACACCATATGCGATACTATGCGGATTGGGTAATCGAGATGCACGCAAATGTTGTGAAGATCAAAAAAAATATTTTCTAGAGAACGCGGTGCAATTCTTTCAAGCGATCGCAGAATTTCGCGTGGTTGGACGCTCGAATGCGATGTGGCTTGCGAAATTCGAAAAATGTCGAGTTGTCGAAGTCAAGCGAAAATATCGTGCACATCGGACAATGAGGGTATCACAAGAAGAATTGTCAATGGGGACGCAAGTTGTTGTTTTAGACTCGTCGTCGTCGCAATGCGGTCTGAGACGGATCGAAGTGAACGCGCGCGACGCGAAGAGGTCGCGAATCGCGAGAGTCGTTGGCGGTTTCGAGACGGTCGCCGGCGCGTTCCCATGGACGGCGGCGATTCGAATCAAATCGACGCGAGCGCATCATTGTGGCGCTTCAATCCTCGATCACACCCATCTGATAACCGCCGCTCATTGTTTCGAGTAAGAATTGTGAATTGTACAAATGCAATTTTAATCAATGGATGAAATTCCAGAGAAGACGTCCGAGTGACCTCTTATGAGATAGTTGTCGGCGATTGGGATAATGAAGAAGATGATGGAACCGAGCAATTCTTCGATATTGCGCGTTTACACTTTTACCCACTTTATAAGGGTAGGAAGCTTCATTCAGATGATCCCTCGTAATATGCATTTCAGACATTTTCGCGCACGACATCGTTATCATCGAGATTGAGCCTCCTGGAATCCGCTATTCCACCTACGTCCAACCGATTTGCCTTCCGTCAAGGGAATTTGTGTACACGCCGGGCCGGCAATGCGTGGTTTCCGGTTGGGGCAGCATGGGATTGCGGTACGCGCATCGCCTTCAAGCCGCCCTTATCCCGATTATCGATCGATTCGATTGTGTCAATTCTTCGGAGATCTATCATTCCATGAGCCGGTCGGCGTTCTGCGCCGGTTATCTGGAAGGCGGCATTGATTCGTGTCAAGGGGATTCGGGAGGGCCATTCGCGTGTAGACGACAAGACGGTAGGTGATCCGTAGGTCGTTTCGATCGACACTCCAACATCCAGGTGCCTTTGTCTTGGCCGGTGTAATCAGCTGGGGTGACGGTTGTGCCCAGAAAAAGCAGCCAGGAATTTACACCATGGTCGCACCGTATCTAACTTGGATCAATGGGATTCTCAACGAATGACTTGCCAATTTTTGACATTTATCGATCTCAATATGTCATTTTTTTTCATTTTTCAACGGATAAATTAGTTATTTTGCGGTTGCCCGGTCCGCAATCGATTCAGATATTGTGTGTGCGGTCGGGGCGATCGTGTGAATCCGGTGACCGGTCGAAGGCCCTCCTTCATTTCGAGATCCTTCATTTTTCGCTTGAGAAGCGCACGCTTCTCCTCGGCGATTTTTCGCGCTTTTTCCTCGCGAGCCTGTTGCTCCTCCTTGGAATCCTGGTTGAACTGCAAATGGGAATTTGTTTGAAAACGGACATCACACGATGCTGCGCATACCGTTGCTTTTTTGTTGACCACCAAACTTCGCGACTTCTTATTGGTTCCCGTGGGCCGCGAATATTTCAAAAGATACTCAAGACGATCTTTGGGGCTCAGCGAGAGCTCTAACATGAGAATGACTTGAGCCCTCTGGAAATTTTTTTCACAGAAATTATTGAGGACAGTGATTAATTAATAACCTGTCTCTTATATTCTTGTTGGGTTTGAAAGATTGTTTCGTAGGTTCGCGTCATCATGGCAATCAGCAAATTGAACTGCATAATACTCACGAAAAGCTCGAAGATTATGAAAACGATCTGAAAATTCGTCAATATTGATGTTCAGAACTTGGCCCATTAATGACACTTAGTCGTTTTTCCTCAAAAACAAAGGCGTAGCCGAAAATTTGAAATTCGTGGACCAACTTTTTTTAAGCAATTGCGGACAGTGCGCTCTTTTTTTTAGAGTTGAGTCGATTTACGAATTTGGCTAATTAATAATCCAATAATCGTGACCACGAGTACGATAGATTTCGGCGCGAAATTCAATTTTCTCCCAATTTTTGGAAATAACACGACAAAATTTGCGTACCTTTCCAATCCAGACCATTGTCTTGGCGGGACACAAAGCAAGATTACGGTAGAGTACGGTAAAGTCGCCGATGGTTAGAATGAAGGTACGAACGAACGCATCCACAGGACTCTGAACAATATTCTTGAAAGCCTCGGCGTTTTTGATAATCTAGATAATTTCAAGAATTGTTTGTTTTCAACGAAATTTATCAAGTTTACCACGTGATCATACGCGGAAAGTAAGTTGGTCACATTTTGGCGGTCTGTGGGATTGGCAACCGACGCAAGGTTCGTAATTAGATCTTTAATGATGTTCGCTTCCCTTTCACATGAAAGGAATATGAGGGAGAACGCTTGCGAGAAGCCCATTAGGAAGATGCCGTAGATAAGCATGAATCGAAAGATGTCGGTCGCGATGATGGTATACACCATCAGCACGAATGGTCCCACAAATCGGATGACTCTGAGAGAAAAAAAATGATGAGTCTGAAAAATGGAATCCCGTTGGCTCACCGGCAAAAAAATAAATAATGGATTGTAGTGAATATCATGGTGATCGCGATGAGCACGTTGTCAATCACGAGGAACACTGGGCTCACGGAGCACGCGAGTCGGATTGGTATCATCGCAAATACCAGAATAAATGTGCACTTGTAGGTGATTTTCGCCGGAAACGCTTTCTGCAATTTGGCGTCGCGGTGTACGCGCACAAACGTGCGACTCACCAAAACGTCGAACCATTTTTTACGTCCGATTCTTTTGATGTCGATGAGATCAAGAGTGATTTGAAATGTGACGCCGATGACGACAAGGACTTCGAATGCGAATCGCAGCTAAAACAATTATCATGTGAGGACTCTTTTTTTGGATAACCTTTGAGTTTGGCCATGGTATACTGGTATCGAAGACATTTCGCAAATGGCATTGTGACAATTCGGCACCTGAAAATAACATCAAAATTTGTGGCCAACGTGTTGTGGAATTGTCCGCAGCACGTATTTAACAAATCTCAATTCGTACTCCATTGTTGAAGGCCCTTATTGGTCACATTGATAACCGGAACGCCGGAATTCGTTTTATAGTTGTAATACTCGTATTTTCCAGGGAATGGCTCCGAATAGCGATTGATCCAGCCTTCAGTGAGCATCTGAAAATCGGAAATCAATAAAAGAGTCTCTGAAAAAAAACCACACCTCTGTTGAGAATCCGATGGGTCTTAGAGTGAACGCCGCGACGAAAATAATATAATAGATGGTAAACGAGACAAATGAAATGATCATGCTGGAAAATTGTGAAGTAACTTGACATTTTTTGAAGATTCTCACTCTCTTTTTGCAAATGCTTCCCATTTAGCTTCCAATACGGTATCGAGGAGACCATCAAGAAGCTCTAAATGCTCAACGGTTTGCTGAAAATATTAAAAATTTCACACTTTTTCTTTTTTTTAACGGTCATTTCATTGCAAAAAAAAGAAGAGAAAAATATAAAAAGAAAATTCGAGTGATGATTTTGAATTTCTTGTTGCTAACACTTGACGCACAAATGCAGACTTTGTGTTTAGTACGGTATATCTGCATTTGTGCGTCATATTTTCGAAATTTCCTTTCGTTTTGCCATGGAATCGCCCTCGCAATATAATTGATTTACCCCATACACCACTAATGATAAGGCTGACGCTTCATTCATCTCGCCGCTCGTCTCATTGATTGTGTCAATCTTCGCCAACGGATAGGATGTTGAAGAAGCGTGACCATAAGCCCAGACGCTGTCGCCTTCGAGCTCAAGAATCTCGCGAAACATCTCCTTCTTCGCCAATTTGGCGGCCAGCGTGAGCGGCGAAAGGCTCTGCTTGTTGACGGCTCGAAGGCTCGCGCCGTGCTCAAGAGCCAATTTGAACATTTTCTGACGAAATCGCATTTTCAGACGCCGAATGATCGCCCTCACATACCACATTCTCGTGAATCACACACATGTGCAGCACCGTATTTCCATTAGTGTCCTGCGCGTTGACATTGGCCTTAAAGGCGATGAGAAGGCGGAAAAGGTCCGGCTGATCGAGACAAGCCGCAAATGATAATGGGTACTCACCAAGGTACATGTTTCTTCAAAACAAAACATTCATTTGTTAGAGAAATCGAGAAGTTTGCCAGTTTTTTTTTTTTGAATTTCGCGCCAAATTCAGCAATTTTTTCATTCAATTTTTGACGATAAAAATAATTTTTTAAATTTAAGTTCATTATTTTTAAAAAATGAAAGGAAAAACGATTATTTTTCCGAAATTTTGTCTATTTTTTATTTTCTCTGCAGTGAATTTAAGTTGAAAAAAGGACAATTTTCAAATTTTAATTACTAGAAACCTGCATTTCTTTTGCAACGACCTAATAATAAGATGTGTGCAATTTGGCGTGCGTGTGAATGCACCGTTTTTGATGACCACGTTTTTCTTTTTGAAAACTTTCTTCGAATTCAATTTTTTCCAGAGCAGCTTTATATATAGTATAGTCGGGCGTCCGGCGACTGCTGTACGCGGGTAGATTTACGCGCATGCGCCTTGAAAAGGTCTCGTCACGTGTGAACGCTTATTAATTTTTTCTTGGAATTTCTAACGTCGTTCGATTTAAAAATTATCGATTCGATGCATAAAATGCGAAATAACGTGCTAGTCCGTGCGAGACCATTTCGAAAGACGCATCCTCGTAAATCTACAGCAGTCGCCGGACGCCGACTAAATTGGTGTTAAATAAATGTAGATTTACGGGGGGTTTGATTTTTTTCGAACCATCCCAGCAACATTTTTGGATATTTTTCAGAAAAGCGCGAAACCCGAAAAATTGTCGTCGTCGGCACCGACCCGGTATAATTGGTCTTCTGCGACAACTCGACATATTCATGTTCGAGCGAATCGGTGCGCGACGCCTTCTGATCGTCGGCGCAAAAAAACGCGCCGTAGCATCTCGCGTTGACGTCGGCGCCGAGTTTCAGAAATTTGTAAGCGAGTTGGCAGTCTTGATTAATGATCGCCTGATGTAATGGGCTTAGACCTGAACGAGAATTGTCGGCAGATGGCAATGATGAGGGGGGAACAAAAAAGTGGCAAACCATAGAAATCCTCGGAAATGTGAATGTCGTTGATCAATTTCGGATAAGCTTCGATAATTTTAAGCACCAATTTGTTGTGGATCTCAGTGGCGTGCAATAGGCAACACCCGATGATGGTTTCACCCATGGACCCTCAAAAATCAATGATTGTCCTTCCCCGAATAACATGGTCCCAAGATTACCTCGATCCTCGAGCTTCCACGCGATTTCGCGATATTTCGATTCATTCTTGCCGCCTTTTCCGCCGCCGTCCAACAATTTCAGCGCTTTTTTCAAATCGCCAACATTCTCGCCTTCTTGATTGAAGTCGTCCAACACGTTCGGACCACTTTTGCCTTTTCCCTTTTTTCGCGAGAATGCGCCCAAACGCTCATTGCGCTCCTTGAAAATGCGAATATTTAGAATTGGTTGGTAATCATTTTTTTAAATGTATTTTTGTGCAAATCGATCTGCGGACAAATTTCGCGCTTCTTCACCTTGTTTCGCAGCTTCACCAACTCGGTAACGGTGACCAATTTCCCTTTTCCGCCGTTATACATGAACTCGCGAACTTTGGTATCGATGTAAGCATCGATGAACGAGTTGTCATTACTTATCATGGCATATCTGAAAACGAGATGGCTGAAATTGTGGGCAGCTGAAAATTGGAGAGCACCTGAGCCACGGGATGAGCTCGCCGCCGCCGTGCATGTCGACAAGCCTGTACATCTTCATGTCCTCTCGCAGGCGGCCCATTCCGACCAGATTGTTCTGGGTGGTCTGTGTCGAGGTACCCGAGCCCATCTTTTTTTTTTTGATCTAAAAGAATTTGAAATAAAAAAAAACGTGCTGCGGACATTTTTCGATTAGGGGGGGGGGGCGAAATGAAAACAACGCTTGGGAAAAAAATGTTATTTCTCGTATTTCCCATTGTACAAATTCGAATAGTGCATCACGCTATAAAAAAAAAGGAAAATCGATGCCAATTGTCGTTATTTGGAAGATTGGTGCTGCGGACAATTCCAGAAGTGTTGAGCAAGTGAAACGACGATTGTGCTGCGGACAACTTGCAGGCCGTAATGTGCAAAATCGTCAAAAAATGTCCGCAGAAGGAAAAATTTTCATTCAATCCAAAAAAAGGGGAATCCTGTGTGGATTTACGATTAGTTTGATTCGCAGGTTTACCGTACTACAGTACATTAATTCCCATTGTGTTAATTCAAATTTGAATTACCGCCTTCCAAAAAAGATCCCACAAGGTTCTTTTTTTTTAATTCCGGGGTACCGTAATCCTACAGTAATATGACCCGGAAATTTTCAAATTGTGAAGCTCAAGCCATCCTTACACGAAGCGGAAATTTTAATTTATTAAAATCGGCAAAAAAGAAACACAAAAATTTGGAAAAAATTGTCCGCAGATGTGAAATCATAAGTTGACGACAAATAAAATTGGCGAGAAGAAAAAAAAATGAGCCGCCATATATTGGTTTCGTCGAGAAATTCGCGTTTCGTGACACACGAGTGACGAGAAACAAATAGCGGCATGCAGGTGGTTTTGATTGGATTGGATTTGGATTGGATCGGGCCCCGAGTCGGTTGCCGTGGAAGCCGAGAAAATTTATGTGATATAATATTATATGGTGGCGCACACGCACATTAATTCGATTGTAAGCGTGTGAACCGCCAGAAAATATTTTTCTGTGAGAAAATCGTCGATGGATTCAATGCAGACCCGCAACGTTGTCCGCAGATCGACAACATTTTGCGATAATGGAGCGCATCGCGATGAAGAATCCATTATGCTGCGGACACCTCGCTGGTTGCGAATTTGCTTCCTTATTCTCGTAAAAAAAATGAATCAATTCGGGCGAAAGTTTCCATAAAAGGCGAGGAAAATTGAAGCATTGTTCACAAAAAAAAAACAATCATGTTCGTCGCGATGCTTCTTCTCGCATTTGTGAGTTTCTCAGCCGAAATTTCTGGAATTTGATTTTTTTTATTAATTTTCAGATTTTGAAAACCGCCATCGCTACCGAAATTGAAGTTTGCCACACGTCAAGGTAATAAAAAAATTCAATATCGATCTGCGGACATTTTGCCACCCATCTCCTGGATTTTGTCCGCAGCAGATTATTAATTCCTCGAAATTTTAATTGGTGCCCTTTCAGTCGAAAAATCCATTGAAAAATTTATAATTCAATTTTTTTATTGACGACCCGCAAGATTGTCCGCAGATGATTTTATTATTAATAAAAATCCAATCGTCCATAAATCCAAAGATCATCCTCATTAAATTTTGATATGATAAGCATTTGTATTTTTGCAAAGATCGAAAAACCAGAAGCTCAAGCTTCTGGGGGTATAAATATCATAGGAAGACAAACAGAAATATTGGTATATTTGCGCTAACCAGTAAACCAGTCCGCAGCAGAAATTGTCTATATTTAACGCGTCTTATCAAGCAAATTGTTCTCGAAACTATTTTCGCGGCGAGACCCTCCTCTCTCCCGTTTTTCGAATGTCGCCATTCACTTTTTTTTTCGTTATCAATCAACACCCCAAATATGTACATTTCGATGAGACGTCATCGATCCAACGTCCTCTATCGATGATGTATAGCCACTTATTGGCCAGTTTCTTTTTTTTTGCGGCAATTTTCCATCGGTTTTTCGCTGAAAATTGCAATTTCACACACAAAAACAACCGATTTTTGCCATATTTTGATGGAAAATTGATATTTTTTATCGAATTTTTGCATATTTTATCATTAAACTCTCAATTTTCACTGAAAATTGGCGAAAAAATCTAATTTTTCGCCACCACAAAATTATTTAATTCGAAATTTTGAAACAACGGTGTTTGCACACTTGTGCATCACACTTGACGACGTTTTGCCGAAAAATCCGATTTTTGAGTGAAAAATTCTTGTTCCCGATGAATTTTTATGGATTTTTGACTGTAAAATTGCATTTTTCTGATTTTTGAATCGGGTTTTATTAGAAAAAACCCAAAAAATGAATAAATTGATTTCAAACTTCAATTTTTTTCTCCCACATACACCGTTTTATGATGTTTCGTCCGTGACAGTACAAAAGTCCGTATTGCTCATCCCATTAATGGCTGCACACCTGCGATTTTCGAAATTCTTGCGCAATTTCGCGATTTTTGCCCCAAAATTTGCGGTTTTTCCGTCATTATTGCGCCACACCCACATTTTTCGACGAAATTGACTGAAAAACAATCTTTTCGTGGAAAAATCGGGGCTGTTTTAGTTATTTATTACCAAAAATCTATCAATTTGTCTTAAATACTTATCAAAAATTATTTAATTGCCAATTTTGCCGCGATAAAATTTCTCCACAATATTTGATATATGAAATGCCATCTGCGGACAATTTTTGGATTTTAAATTCGCTTCAACTCGAAATTTCGCGCTTAAAAAAGCATTATTCGAATATTTTTTTCAAGTGCATGTTTGTTTTTGGCTTCACGCGATCTCTGATCGCCTAAGCCCCGTCATTCATTTTCCTTTCAACGAGAGGCGAATTCGCCAATTTTTGGTGCACTTGATTGAGAGTGACGGTGAATTTTTTCGTACCCAATTAGCGGCAATCATCACATGACCGCTGAAACGTCACACCCAACCAGTCCTAATTACTAAATAAATCAGAGGTCATTTGGTCGAGAAAAAATAGAAATTCCAATGCGCAGATTTGAAACCGAACGCTAAAACGTAGGCGACAAGAATTTTAACAACTACGCCACACGAGCCTCAAGAGCTCACCTTATAATCTCTGTATAAGTGTGTTCCACACATGCGCGACCTCACGCCGAGCTCTCCAAAGGCTACAATTCTCAATATTGATGTGACTGTGGCGGAAATACACAAGGACAATCAAAGTTCTGTCCAGGACAATATTTATTGATGGCACAACTATCATTCCACCACGCTGTTTTAGTTGGACCGCATTTGTTTGCCGATTTTCGTTCGGTTGCCTCCATTTATTTTTTTTTCAACCCCCACACCGATACACGCTCGAATTGATTCTTCGATTCATTTGTTTTGTCATCATTGCTCAGATTACACGAGGGCTCCGCCCATGGTCACATTTAAGTGTGCCGATGTGTTTAGTCTCACAATCTCGCCGCATTGACACTACACTTTTGCGAACATAATCGCGCCACCAATTTTTTCCCGTGCTGATAAGAATGCACAATCTTTGAATTGGTTTTGTACTCTACTCATTTTCCTTTCAGTGTCATGGCCGCGTTGGCAATTCCTCAAGTTTGCAGTCCGCAAGTCTCGACGCCGACTGAAATTGCTACAACCTCCAAAAAACCGCAGGTGAGAAGTTTTGTCAATGTTTGCTCAGCGCTATACATTTTCAATTCCGCGAAAGACAAATGCGTTTTATAAAATGTGTTGCGAAATGTAACATTGAAAATAAATAAGTGGTGTGCATTATCGCGTGTCGGTGTACACACAACGTTTTTTAAATTTCAAAAAAAAAGCAATCAATTAAGAACTTCCTCGCTTTTTTCGCCGCATTTCAAACGAGTTTTCCAACTAATCGCCAACCGACCAAAAGTTAATTGAATTTCCTTCAGCAACTCTTCCGTTCGGCGCTGATTCTCCGGAAAAGCACGCGTTGGCAATGGGAAAAAGAATCGACGGGTCTTTCAGACGCGGATCTCAAAAAGTGCGTCGTACTTTGTGCCGCCGTCGCCACCGACAAAAAAACAATCACTCATGTTTTTTTTTGTTTTTTTTTCAGACACCTACTGGCAAAAGGCATGAATGTTCAAGAGATCCTCGAGAATGAAAAAAAGCAACTGAACGCGGTTAACGAGATAGTCGCCAGGCTACAGTAAGTCGATATTTGCATTTGCATAAATGACGTTTATTGTTTTGCTATCACTGTTTATTGCATGTGAACATCATGTGCATTGTAGGCAAGCGGGAATTGCGACACGGGTTGTTACCAGAGACGAGCTTCAACGATACCTGCCAAATGTGGATATTGTCATATCAGCAGGTAATATTTTTCATAAATGCTTCAAATTTCAATGTTTTAAAGTTTCCTCATATTGCCCTAAAAAATTTTTAATTTTTTTCAAGTCCAATTAATTACTTACCAGGTGGTGACGGAACATTCCTCACCGCTGCTTCCGCGGTAAGCGACGACACTCCAGTGGTCGGTGTGAACACCGACCCGATTGGATCTGAAGGCCATCTGTGTGTTGGTGGCAAAAATCCGCCAAGGGACCTAATTGATCAGCTAGTTTCGGGAAAGTTAAGGTAGTTGAAATTTTAATACGTTAGAAATCTACCAAAAAAATTGAATTCGATTTCAGATGGATTCGACGATCTCGCATTCGCGTAACCATTAAAGACCCCAGAAATTGCTTCTTCTCGTTCAACAAAAAACCGAGAAAATCTGTTACCAACCTAGCATTGAATGAGGTTTTCATAGGGGAAGATGAGGCTGCCAAAGTCTCCACCTACAATATTTCAATTGATGATTCTCCAATGGTGAAGCAGAAAAGCAGCGGAATGATAGTCTCGACGGGAACCGGAAGCACAAGCTGGTATTTATTTTCTCACAGCAATGCCTTTTTTTAATTCAAAAAATTTAATTTCGCAGGTACCTTGGCATGAATCGAATTGATGAGGCTACTGTAACGTCGCTTATTGAAACTATGCAATCAATGGGAATCAATGTGCCAGTAAATCGATCAATGGCCTCGAAAATCGCCAACGAATACAACAGCAAAATCCCATTTGAGCCGGACCATCCAAGTCAACAAAGATGGTTTTAAAAGTTTACTGTTTTATCATTTTTTTTAGGCTTCGCTTTCTCAATTCGCGAGCCAATTTTCAATGAAACCTTCAAAAGGACCGCGACGCGAGGGTTTGCCCGAATGATTAAACTCGAATCCAGGTGTACGAACGGGTATTTGGTGCTCGACGGCTCAAACAAGATTCCATTCCCGCGTGGATCTGTGGCTATCATTGAAATCGCCCCATCGGACGCATTGAAGACTGTAATTTTGTAAATTTCTTGTATTTTTTTATTGCAAAAATTAAATATTTTTCAATTACGGGTTTCTCCAAACGCTTCGCGTTGTCTCGTTTTAAATATCACTTTATTAATTTTTTTTCTGGCGCGCTTGCGCGAAATGTGATTCGGCAAACTAATAAATTTGTTACAAGACAATAGTGTGACGCATGAGTAGAAATTGAATCACGATGATTTTCTTCCAATAGACAACGTCCGACGAGGCGCGCGACGCAATCCAGTTCTTTTGGAAGAGAAAAATGCGCGCGAACGCGCTGCAAAAAACCGTGCCGCGATTGCCGAAAATGGGCGGAGTCAATATTTTACATTATTTTCGGCGACAGCCGGGCGATAAACTCCGTTTTACGAGGTATTTCATAATAATTATAGTAAATGGTCCGCTTTATTGTTATCTTTCTTACAATTTTTGTGTATTTTGTCGAAATGAATTGAACACCGTGACTCATGGCATTTCCTCCTCGCTCAACCGTTTTGAAATATTGTTTGCTTTCCATTTTGCTGGTTTTTTACAGATCGATACATAGCGATGGGTAAATTCCTGTCAAAGATTTTTGGGAAGAAAGAGCTTCGAATATTGATGTTAGGACTAGACGCTGCCGGAAAAACAAGTATGATTTTGAAACGATTTGATCAAAACGTGATTTTTTGTCGTTTTAGCGATTTTGTACAAACTGAAACTCGGACAATCTGTGACGACAATTCCCACAGTTGGATTTAATGTGGAAACAGTAACCTATAAAAACATCAAATTTAATGTTTGGGTAAGAATATCAATTAATTAAATTTTAAATGTTCTTTCCTTCAGGATGTCGGAGGTCAGGACAAAATCCGCCCATTATGGCGGCATTATTATACGGGAACGCAAGCTTTAATTTTTGTAATGGATGCTGCAGATCGCGATAGGTTAAATGATAAAGCAATTAATAAAAAGGAATTCACGCAATTAAAATTGCAGGGTTGACGAGGCGCGCGTCGAATTACACAGAATTATCAATGACCGCGAAATGAAAGACGCGATTATTCTAGTGTTTGCAAATAAACAAGATTTAGCCGATGGTAAGCCAAATATATAGCGAAATTTGAGAAGTAAATTGAGTTTTCAGCAATGAAACCGACGGAAATACAAGATAAATTAGGGTTAACGCGGATTCGAGATAGGAATTGGTAAATTGTACGCAATTTTCTTTGAAAATTATGCAAATTTAGGTATGTACAACCCTCCTGCGCTGCCACAGGCGACGGCCTCCATGAGGGTCTCACCTGGCTGAGCCAGAATTGCAAACCATGAGAAACCTTCGCTAGAAATTCGAATTCTCCAATTTCCAGTATTTATGTAATGAGTATTGTTATCTTCTCCTTTCAGATAACCTAAAATCCGCAAAAAACATTGCCTTCTCTCTCTCCCAATTATAGAATTTCTTGAAATATTTTCGTTTTGAAATAGTTGTGCCATATCGCCCGGCTGAAATATTAAAATAACTGAAACCTTCACTTTTCTCTGTTTGGAATGATTTTAATGACTCACGCTGCTTTTTTGGTGCTCTTTTCTTCCCATTTTTTCTTTGACCGAATATGTTAACCTTCTTCCACCTCACTGTGATATAATAATTTTAAATTTTCTCTCTTCTCTTTTCCCTCAATAAGTGAATGGTCCGTTGTAAATTGCCATATTCAATTCCGTACACTGCTTTACTTGTCGTAGAAGGAAAAAAACAAACCAATAAGCACAAACCTCGATTATTATTTATCGACTTCGATCTATGTACCAAATTTTTCTAATAAAAATATTTTTATTGTAAAGTCGATTCGATGCGTTTTTTTTTTGAGATTTTGTGGAAAATCCCGATTTTTGCTAATATTTTCTCCCAAAAAATGAAAAATTTTAAACCACATTTTAGGTTTATGAATCGAATTCCATTATCAGTGGACCCGTTTGATGGGAAAGGTTTAACAAATTCAGATTTAAAAAAAAAACTTTTTATTTCAGGTTGTGCTGAAAATGAGATTGGCCGATTTGTGGTCTTGTATGGAAAAACGTCGACGCGAAAACATAAAATCTGGGAGGGCGATGGAATTTTGATTTGCTATAATGATTCGAGCATTCTGAAATCGGACAATGAGAAGGATGTCATCTGCAGGTTCGCGTCGAGACCCGCGCTCCATCGGTCTAGCGCGAAAATGTCAGAAATTCCATTTTTAAGGTCTTCGGCTATAAAAAAGATTGACGAGCTGGAAGATGGTCGCGTTATTGTGCTCGGTTCATGGAGTGTTCAAATTCAAGAGAAGATCCAGCCAATTTCCGGATCGGTATAGGAATTTTCGAGAACAAAAAAAAATGATCCAAGCCGAAAATTTCTAGACGACAGCCCCTGAATTTGTGAATGTTCGGACCCTTCAAGAAGTCCGAAAAAGGCCGCTATCGAATCCAGTGAGTGGTTTAAAGGTGCATGGAATTTGAACAAGTTTGAAATAGAATTTTTTAAGGTATTTTCGGGACCCGCTAAGCGTGGATTCGTGAGCCCATTGCTAAATTCGAATGGCGAAATTGAAAAAGTTTCCAAAAACCTATAAATCGGTGACCTTAGATGTGAATTTCAGGTCCCTCTTTTCGTGTTGAACGAAGAAGAGGTCCTACAGCGAAAATGCGGAGCGATTTGTGTGGATCCGCGATTCGTCAAGTGTCTAAGGGACCACCAAAAACAGGGAATTCGATTTCTATTTGACAAATTGAGGGTGATTATCGAAATTGGCGCTGTTTTTTTTTATTAAATCGATTATTTCAGCGAGAAGTCGGCGGCGGAGCGATTCTTGCCGATGACATGGGTCTCGGCAAGAGTGTTCAAACGATGGCGGCCACGTGGGCGTTGATGAAAGGCGCCAAAAACGGCAAAAATTTGGCGTCGAAGTGCCTCATCGTGGTGCCGTCGTCATTAGTGAACAATTGGAAGGCGGAATTCAACAAATGGTGGCGAAATATGCTATTTCCGGTTGATATTCCGGAAAATCCGAAACAATTTCAATCAATTTTTAAGGCTCTCGTACTTCAAAAAGCATCCGATATTGATCGATTCATAAGCACTTCGAGAAATCACCCATACATGGTCATCAGCTATGATATGGCGTTAAGGTTTGGCGGCCTAACCTATTCAAAAAGGGACCATTGAAATTTGAGGTACACCCGAAAGCTGAAAGACATTCATTTTGATATAATTGTGTGCGACGAAGGCCATAAACTAAAAAATAAAGACGGGAAAATGAGAAAATCGGTAGAATTTTGAGAAATGAAACAATGCGAATGGTTTTTTTTGCGAAAATTTTCAGCTAGCTTCTCTCGGCATTCCGAAGCGGCTTATTCTCACCGGAACGCCAATGCAGAACGACTACGATGAGTTTTTTTCGCTTTTGGATTTCGTGAGGCCCGAACAATTCGGAACATTGCCGGAATTCTTGAAAATGTGCAGCGACGAGGTTTGAAGTGTGATCGGCTAGTAGACGAACCATTTCTTTTTTTTTTTCGTTTAGCCGACACGTTTGAACCAAATGATCGATGATTGTATGCTGAGACGAAGTGCGGAGATCAATAATTCGCATTTGCCGGAAAAACGTGAGACGCGAAAATAATTGCGAATTTGTTTTTTTTTTTTTAATTTCTCGAGAATTTTCCAGACGAATACATACTATTCTGCGAGGCTTCTGATGTTCAACGACAGGTTCATGAAGCGATTCGAGAGAATATGACAGGAGACGCGCTTTCCTTGATATATTATGCGAGGTTGGCAACGAAAACAAAATGGGATCTACCAAAAATCTTCGATTGTAGAATTGTGGGAAAAATAGATCCCCCCCCCTCGGCGAGGCCTTTTTTGAAATGCCGCCAACGCGCACAGTTTACTTTTTTAATCTCCTGCGATCCTCTCTAAACTGATTAAAAAGCTCGATCACGAAAATGCAATTTTTGGAACACTTAGCAATAGGAGCATAATTGATCAATTAACAGATAGCCAAAAGAACAGACTATTATGGATCTATTCAGTGAATGTAAATTAAACAAAAACGACAAATTTTCATTATGCAGCGATGTCGTTTTTGTCGCAATAAGCGCTTAATTTTACTGAGGGGTACTGTAGATCGCGGGTCGATATTTCAAAAAAATTGGCACATGCTCCTTGAATATCGATTTTTTTAAAATATTTTTTATATTAAAATTTTCGTATTTTCACTCGTTTTTCGCGGATTTTTTTAAATAATTTAAACTTTTTTTTGAGTAACACTTGGTGATATTCATAAAAACTACTAATTTGTGCATATATTTCCTTTTTGAAGCATGTCATTCGCTGAGTATGAAGGAAACGACTCTTTGGTCGAAGACGTGGTGGAGGCACATGGGCCAAGAAATTTGCCAATTGCTGAACAGCGTGAAGAAGCTAAGCGCACGAGAAGGAGAAAGCCACTTGTAGATGACGGATATGAAGCGGTGAGTATTTAAAAATGAATTGTTGGATTTTATAAATTAATTAAATTTTTTTAGTTTCCACAACACTTTATTGTGGACTTCATCAAGACCGTTGAGCAGTACCCAAGTATTTGGGACTCATCTATTAAAGAATACCACAGGAGAGAATTGAAGCTTAAGGTCTTTCAGAATATCGAAAGCATGTGCAAGAAATTTCTCCGCGCCGGAAGACCAAATGGTATTTTCAAAACCACTATCGGTAAAATTGAAGTTTTAGGTATGACGGCTTGGAAATTGTGGGATTCGATAACGCGCGATTTCAATAGACATGTGTTGCGAATCCAAAATGCTCGATCTGGAACTGGAACATTGGAATCATCATTTCCGTTTGCGGAATATTTACAGTTTTTGGATGGAGTCAGACACAAAAGACAAGTTAAAAAGTAAGTTTACCTGTTTTTTGTTAATTTTTTTTTACTACAGTGCCTTCATATGCGGTGATAAAAGTATTGAGTTGCTTGAATCGCGGGGACCCTCGGATAGTCCGAAGACTGCTAAACGAAGAAAATCAGGTTTCTAGCAATAAAAAATGGAGTTTTATGGGTATGTTTTAGACAGCGATGAGCTGATGAGTATGTTGCGCGAGACGAACAGCGAAATCAAGCAGCTGCTTAGATCGAATGATGAGGAAGCCAAGGAAACCCCCAAATGTAAATTTGACCGATTGTGCAGGGTCATGGCCAGCCACGTTGCGGATTGGCCTGAATTGGATCAAATTCAAGCCGAAGCGAAAGCGATCGCTTTCATCATGGATCTCCAACCGACGGGCAAAAGAAATGAGCAGACGACTTCTCTCAGTTTGTTGGACGAAAATTATTTTTAAGTATTTTTTTTATTATATTAACAATTAAATTTAAAAAGATAAACATTAAACATGATAAAGAAGATAATTTTTTAATGCCGTTCTTTGATCTTCGGCATCGCTGTATGGGTCTTGAAGTAAGGGAAAGTTGTGGTCAGGTGGAAGATCGGGAGGAGCACCTAGTGATATGTTATGTACAACTGAAAGTGCTACAATGAGGGCGCGCGAAGAAGACGGGTCCATATTAAGGGCTTTTTTGAAAATCTGGAATTTCGACTGCATCACACCAAAAAAATTTTCAATTTTCACCCTAGTTGCCGACATAATCTCGTTAAAACGCATGTTTTCTGGAGTCAAGGAAAGCTGCCTATAGGGTTGCATAAGAAACTTAGATAGTCCAAATCCGTTATCAGCAATTATAAATGGAGGCATTATAATGGATGAATTCGGAAGCGGGCGATATCCACCTATTGTGGCTACATTTTCGAGGAGTGCTCCCAAAGGCCCATCTCTGAACATTTGGGAGTCCGAATTTACTCCAAGCTCAGAGATTTGCAAATATATAACACGCAAGTTTGCATCACAACAAAAAAGAGAATTAAATGAATAAAACGACTTATAATTATAATTTAACGATCCTGTATGCGCAGGATGCTCGATCTTCCAATGCTTTCCATCCAATATGGCAAAACATGGAATTCTTCGACGAGGAGTTCGATCAGAAGAGTTCATAAATCCTTCTTCCAGACGAATTAATTCTCTTCGATTTTGTGGCAATCGGATTTGTTCTCCGGCAACTTGGACGATATCCTCGATTGTATCTCTAACTAGTCGAGAAATCGTTGATTGCGAAACTCCAATTTCCTTCGCAAGAAGATTTTGGCTAATACCTATAAATTTTATAATTTTAATGCTTGTAAAAAACTAACAAACAACTAAAAAATAACCTTCTCTTGTGTATTTTAAGAAAACTGCCAATCGAATTGTCGCATTGATTCGACCTTCGTGATTTCGGCATATCTTCAGAAGTTCCATGAACGTGCTGTTAGAAACGCCGGTCACGAACTTAATTTATTCTACATTACTTATGCAGAAATTCACTTGTTTTACTTGTTTCCTTACCTCAATACCACCACAATCTACTAATCGGTTGACTTTTTCACAAAAAAGATCGAAGCTCTGTTTCTTGATCACTTCAATTGTTTCAGATGCATTCAATGCATTTTGTTTCAATATCCAAACCAAAATAATTCGTTTTTTCATAAGCAGTGCAATCTATAAATTCATTTATTTGTTTTTTGTTTAAATTGTATTTCTTACTATAGCCTTTTTCTTATTTCGTAACCTATTAAAATTAGCCATGGAACGATCTGAAATATTCAATTTCTTTAAATTAAAACAATATTCGAATAAAATCGATTCAGTTTTGGAATAGAAAAAAACGAAAACGATATGAAATTATTATTTAAAAGTGTTACTCAAAAAAAAGTTTAAATTATTTAAAAAAATCCGCGAAAAACGAGTGAAAATACGAAAATTTTAATATAAAAAATATTTTAAAAAAATCGATATTCAAGGAGCATGTGCCAATTTTTTTGAAATATCGACCCGCGATCTACAGTACCCCTCAGTAAAATTAAGCGCTTATTGCGACAAAAACGACATCGCTGCATAATGAAAATTTGTCGTTTTTGTTTAATTTACATTCACTGAATAGATCCATTAAGTTCTGCACGAGCGCGTCAATTCCTGAGTTTGTGTGTGTACACCGACATGTGTACCGTACCCCTTGAAAAATTACGAGCTTCGATTTCGACTCCGCGCAACATTTCCGGTTCCTCCATTTTTTTTTTTGATATTCCTTATCTAATAGACTGTATCGATTTTTACCTCTCGAAGCGCCTAAAGTCAGAAGTATTTTTGTTTAAAAATGTTCTGGAGTCCCATTCGCTTCCACATAAGTAAACAATTTTCATATATTAAACGATTTTCAGGCAACTCGCGAATCATCCGAAATTGATGTTCGACAGTTTGACGGAGAAGCATGCGCAAGGCAACACGAGGAACTCGAGCCTGTTGCTCGCGTTTCCCGATCGCTATGTGCCGAAAGGCGGTGTTGGCGAGTCGGGAAAACTCGTCGCTCTCCTCGACATGCTCAAATGCTTTCGAATTCTGAACGAATGTGCGGTGATTGTCTCCAATTATATTGAGGTATGAGGGTTTTGTGAATGATTCAATTCATCTTGTCGCTTTCCTTGATAATCCCATATGCCGACAATGTTGCGGTCCTGCGAATTGTCGGCAGCAGTTGTTCTTCTCATTTCAGACACTTGACATGATTGAGCAACTCTGTGAATATCTTGAGTTTCGCATATTCCGACTAGACGGAAAAACGAATGTGTCAGATCGTCAGAAGCTCGTCAAAAAGTTCAATGACGTCCACAATTCGGAGAATGTGTTCCTTTTGAGCACAAAAGCTGGTATTCTTGAGCAGCGTTGTTCTTTTGAGGGACATCAACCAATTTTTTCAGGCGGAGTTGGGCTCAATCTCACTGGAGCTTCTCGATTGGTCCTGTTCGATTCCGATTGGAATCCGGCGAACGATCAGCAGGCATTTGGGACCCGACTTTTGGATTTTATTTGATTTATTGCAGGCGATGGCGCGCATTTGGAGAGATGGTCAAGTCCGACCTTGCCATATTTATCGCCTCATTACTACAGTAATTTTTGTTTAACTTATACCGCATAGTTTAGAATAACATGATTGAGGGAACCATCGAGGAGAAAATGTTGCAGCGGCAAATCAAAAAAACTGGACTTGGTTGCGTTATTGACGCCATCGAAATCGGAGGTTTGCGTTGATAAGGTTCTCCAGGAACGAATTTTTCGATTGCAGATTGCGTTTCGAAATTCACCGAAGATGAATTGGCCGACATATTCTCATTTGCCGACGACACCGAATGCAATACGCATGATTTATGTCAGTGCAAGTGTGACGGCACCGGAATTCTGGAGGTGAGTTTTTTTTTGTTGCAAAAAGTGGACAAATAAATGAAGCCGTGGGGGATTTTCAGGCGGAACTTGCTGAAAGCGATGATGATATGGAAAGTGTTGATGATGAGCAATTGGAAGATGAGGAAGACGAAGAGGTTGTCGAGCAGCCGCCGAATGCTGAAGTTGTTTCAGAAGCGGTGAAGGATGAGGCAGGGGTGAGAGATAGTTTATTCCAGGCTTGGCGTTCTGAAGTCGAGCCGGATTCGATAGTAAAAATATGTTATTGAAGAGTTGGGTTATTCAAAAATATTTTCCCAGGGGCCGAACCATTTTTTTGAACAATAATGCAATCTTAGAATCAGTATTCCATTTTTCTTCTTCTTCCTTTTTTTGGATTCTTTGATACTCCGCCAACGTGTGAATTATTTTGCGTTTGTTCAAAAACGCCGCCGTTTTCCGGAAGTCATCAGTCTTCGAGACAATAATAATTGGTAGCTGCGGACAATGTTGGAGGTTGTCGTTTCAAAGGTTGACCGCGAAGAAATGAAATTTCGCACAAAAAAATGAGACATTTGGTGGAAAAATCCTTTTTAGAAAAATTGTCGGATTATCAACATAAAGACGCTTTCGCTGTGAGAAAATCTACAAGAGTGAATCCAAACATTCACGTGTTAATCTGTTTTTTTTTTCAGCGAGCCTCATTGGCGGAGCTCAGCCGTTGGCGTCACTTCTCGCCACGACACGAGGACACTTGGAAGCATTTTATGACGAATGCTGGATTGTCGCAAGTTGACACCGATGTTCATTTGACATTTGCGTTTTATCAATCATCGCAATATTGAGAAAAAAGAAACTAAGCTCATTTATTCATTTTTAATGAAACCGGAGATCGTCGATGAGACTATCGTAATCCATAACCTTGAACACGCGAATCACATGGAAATTCTCGCGATGGACGGTCATCGCGTTGCGAAGCTCGCTGAGCAGCAGAATTGAATTGCCGATGAGAAGGCTTGACTGAAATTTTGAGAGACGCGTGCTGATTGATGTGTATGCCATTCACCTCCATTGGTCCGATTCCGATCGATCGATAATAATCGGACCATTGTCCGATGACGGTGTTTCTCGCGCTGCGCACCATCTCGTAACCGGTTTGGTGGAGATTCGTCGCCGCTGGATTGAAAATGAGAATCGCGAACAGCGCGCAAAACTCGACGTCCGTCATCTTCGACGCCTTGAGAGCGCCGCCGAAATGGCGAAGCACCTCCCTCAAAGGGTCATACAGTAATCGGAGGCACGTTTTTTTGTCGATCTGATGGTCGGGATTGTCGAAATCGCGCTCGAATTGGGCGCCGTTGTCGCTGAGATCGGTGTAGGAGCCGTCGGGCGCAATTAGGCTTGAGATTGATTGATTGCTAATTAGGCGATTTTGAGCACTCACCGACAATCCTCCAATCCCCCATATTTGACAGTGATGAAGTATTTCTCGAGAAGCGCCAACGAAACGGTGCATTCCCTTAAAAGGCACTCTTTGGTTTCGGCATCTAGATTGCGCCATAATTCCATCGAATTCATCATTTCCATGTAGAAGACGAACTCGCAACGCATTTTGTCCTTATAATAGCGCTCGTCGAAGCGATTCGGTCGAAATCTCTGAACAAATAGTTTATTTTTTGGTTTGCTCCTATCCATCCAATTTTTGATCTACCAATCCGATGCCGTGTAGAATTTCGCGTAGCGAGCCGTGACAATAGAGCATTCGACGCCTATCAACGATCTGATGGTAGAGATCGCATAGGTTCTCGATTAGATTGTCCGATGGCTTTTTGGGAGACGGTGTGGGTCTGGAATAATGGAGTTGAGCGCGTCGCGGTCGGCGTCGCGTGCTCTCACTTGTGTTTGAAACTATCGGCGGATTCGTCGAAATCGCTGTCCTCAATTGGTGTTCTCGGTCGAATTGTGTCGCGATTGTATTGAACCGCTGAAATGTTAATCGATCGGATGACCACACCCAATCGAAAATTGTCGAATTAATAAAGTCATGAGAAAGAGAGAGAGAGAGAGAGAGAAAAGTTAATTATTATAGTGTTGTGAAGATTTCGCAAAAAAAAAGAACAAAAAAATCTCTATTCAAATGACAGAAAAAAAACTCGAAAAACGTCGGCCCACGGCCAGGTTTTTTTGAAGCCATCGTGTTTTTTTAAAGGAATTGCTGCAAGAATTCTAAAAATTTATTGTATGCGCCTTTAATCGCAATAGACAAAATAGCAAACGGAATTTTAAAAAATGAAATGCTTCTTGCAGCGATTTTCTAAAAACCGTGGCTTCGAAAAACCTGGCCGTGGTCGAGGTTTTTTTCTGCCATCTGCATGGTGATTTTTTCTTTGAGATTTGTTTGCGACTAATTTTGCATTATGAACTCTTTCATGCAAAAACACTTTTTAAATTCAATGAATATTGTAATTAAATTATGAAGAAATCTTCGATACCCATGAGACGTGCGTCTTTTTTTTTCAAAGTTACTGTATAATTTTTTTTTAACTTTTGTTTTTGATCTGCTAAATTCAAAATGCAAATCTTGAGGAATACGATGCCTGCAAAATGAGAATAAAATTTAATTTTTTTTCATTAAATAAAAGAAACTAGAAAATTTGAATTTAATAGCAAAAATGATAGCACGCAGCCACAAATTGTCTCATGGGTCTCGAAGATTTTTTCATTATTTAATTACAGTTCCCATTGCATTTTTTTTAATTCGCATGAATCGGTCGATTCGTCACGTACCGTTCGGATTCATGCCGCGCTCAATGCAGATTTTGAAACGGCAACATTTGCAATTGCACCGATGCCCTGCGAAATTTTTGGGTAGATCAAAACGAGAAAAAAAAATAGGAGATGGCAAATTTGAAAGAGAACCAACGTCGATCGATTGTGCATCGCGTGAAGCCGGTCGGATCACGTCGACATTTGTAGACGCGCTTCAGCACGACGGTTCGCCGGAAGAACGCCGAACACGCGGCGCACGCGATCACGCCGAAATGCGGCGCGCTGTCGGCGGCATTGCACACCTAATTGAGGTGGGACCAATTAATTGTGTGCCGCTTGATTGGCTTGTCGACTCACCACACAATTGCCCGACGCCGCCGTCGACGCCTCGTCGCGATGCTTCCGCATCGGCGCGAGATCCGTCGGCAAATGGTTGCTCTCCACCGAACTTGTCGAAGCGACGTCGACGTCCGTTTTGATGTCAAATTTCTGAAATGCGGAATTCGTTGCGCGGCCGGAAACGGTTTTTCGATTGAATTGAGTGAGCGTGTTCAGACCTGTTTTCTCACCGCCCACAAGTTCGGGTTACTGTAGGCATGGGGGGGGGCACGCGCGGTGCATTATGGGGTAATGCAGAAATCAAAATTTGCGATGATCCTTTAAGTATTGAAAAATTGTGGGTTCAAAATTCCAATTTCGATTGAAATATTGTGAGCAGATTAAACGGTACCCAAATTCACAAAATTTCTGTTCCCCTTTGAGAAATGCATAAATTGTTTAAAGGTGCATTGAGAGCCTAATGCGATGGGTCTTGCGGCCGGGGGTTTCTAATTGTTAAGATAAACGCGAAAAAAAACAGAATTAATTGATTAAAGGCGCATAGAGCGACAAATGCGATGGGTCTTGCGGCCGGGGGTTTTTAATTATTAAGAAAAACGCGAAAAAAGACTGAATTAATTGATTAAAGGCGCATAGAGCGACAAATGCGATGGGTCTTGCGGCAACTGTGAAAAAGCGCGAGAAGACCCCTCAAAAATCAATCAATGCGCCCCCCCCCCTCTTCCGTCCCGATTGTAGTAATATCGGAAAAGAAAAATTAATTTCGATATGAAATTAATTGGCAACGATCGAATATATATATATATTTATATATCGACGCAATATTTTGTGTGGCGGCCGAAAAAAAATTTTCCCATGTCGTGCACTCAGCGGCGAGAATCATTTTTTGTTTTCTGCGCCTGTGAAAAAGTGCAAAAATGTTTTTGCTGATGACCTCCTCTAGACGAACCAGAACAACAACGAAACCAAAAATTTTTTTTCTTTGATAAGCTATTCAAAATTGATTGCAAAAAAAAATCGTTTTGGAAATTTTTAGCGAGAGATGAAAGAAAAAAAAATAGAAACTCACGAAACGCGCGGCGGCCATATTGAAAAACGCAATCAATTCCGTCGAGTTTTCCATTATTGAAGCCCTCCCGACTGAAAGAAAATAGCAAATCGTCGTACATATATGGTATATTGAGAGCGGGCGAGGAGGGGGGGTGGACGGCGTATCAACACATGTCGATGATATTGGATGGAGGCGAAATGAGAAGGAGAGGAGAGATGAGAAGACGATGGGTTGTGATTGAAAGGGGGAGGAAGGGGAATCAAGAAAAAACGGTTTTCGGGAGAATTTCGAGAAGCGAAAAATTCTTACCAATGTGCACTTTTGTTGCACTTTTGCCAATCAACAACCCAAAAAAAAACTGTCTGGTGAACATTGACCAACTGATAACGCGAAGGAGCTCTTTTGTGTGAATTTCACGAGACAGCCATTTTTTCTGGGTTTTTTGTCCCCCCCCCCCATTTTTTTTGTGGTGACGCTTCTTTTCTATTATGGAATGTTGACATGAGTTTTCTTTTTCCTTTTTTTTTGTTCGACACCAAATGTTATGAGTGGGCGTTTTTTCTCGAACAACAAAAATTTTCTGCGCTCAAATATGCCATTATGGAAGGTCGGAATTATTTCCTTCAAAGAACTCGATGCGCCTTTAAAACTGCATTAATAAAATTTTATTCAAAAATTAATTCTTCAATCGTGATATATTTATTAATAATACAACAAAAAAACCATTTACACAACTTTTTTTCTGTAAAAAAATGTAGATCCTGTTTTTGGGGCGCATTTTTTTCTGTGATTGTTCGTCGCGGTGTTTGCACACTATAAAAAAGTGTGATCTTTGCCGAAAAAATGAAAAAAAAAACATTTTTTGAACCTCAAATGTTAATAAATCAAATTTTTGGAAAATACAGTTTTTACTAATTTAACCATTCAAAAAAACAGATTCAACTCAAAAAATTTCAACATTTAAAGGAGCAATCCATCAATAATTTAAAGGAGCAATCCGACAATAATTTGCTTTTTCTTTAAAAAAAAAGGGCACCTTCTAGAATTGAAAAAGTTTCAAATTCGTAAGAATCGCAAATTGTCCGCAGATGATTTAAAATAAAAAATGTCTCACAAATCATACATTCAAAATTCGAATGGTTTTTGATTTTAGGAAATGTGCATTTTTGATTCAACGACTAATTAGAATGCACTTTTTTTGCGAGAGCAAAATAACATGGCGACTCTGAGTATGCTTGATACAAAAAATGTGCTCAATGCGTATTGTTTGTAGTATGCGCCTTTAAAATTGCTAGAAATAAGGATGAGCTGATTCAAAACAAAAAACAGTAAATTATTTTCAGAATTTTCAGCTTAAATGAAGTTCGTTGAATTGGAAATCAAGGACCTCACGTGATCCGAGAAAATCCTTATAAAGGGATTCGCAAAATTTAATCCCGTTTATGGTAATTTTGAAAAAAAAAGAATTTGTGTATAGTTTGATTGAAAAAAAATGGAAAATCGTGACAATTATAAATGTGTCAAATGAACCAGCTGAGTGCGGTGGGAATGTTTTTTTTCTAAATATAAACGCTGAAAAACTCGAAAAGTTGGCGTTTCTGTTGGATTACGTCATTTTGCGTCGCGGTGTTTGCACACATTTGCAATTGATTGCGATTAATTTCAACTTTTTCAATTTTTTAAACATCAAATATTAATTTTAACAATTAATTAATAGAAATGTAAAGAAATTGTGTAAAAAATTACGGCAAACAGAATTTCAAGAATTGCTTTTTTTTGGAAAAAAAATTGTTTATTTAAAAATTCAAATAACAATGCCAATTATTGGTGGAAAGTGTCCTGAGTTTGGTCCTGTATACAAGGTTTTTACAATTATTTACAGAATCTATGAATAGGCGTTCCGAATTCGTCTCAATTTTTACATGCACGGCACGTTTCGCTGCTTGATCTTATTGATCAACACATCAAAAGTGGAATCGGTGAACACGTTCCCGCTGTCGTTCGTGATCGCCGACAATGTTTCATTATTAAGCGTAACCGCGTTCGGATGAGCTGCCTGGAAAACGAATCGCGATAATTTTGATTCAAAAAAATTGAAAAAGTAGGTCCTGGCCGGGTTCGAACCGGCGACCTTCTGCGTGTGAAGCAGACGTGATAACCACTACACCACAGGACCCGTTGTTGGTAGTGCACTCAATGGCGCATACGCGTCGCTCACTCTCGTCGACTAACCGTGTATGCCACTGTGTACATTTCGAAGCCTGCGGCTGCCGCCTCGTGCGCTCTCTTCTCCGGATCAGGACCCTTGTTACTCCAGCCATCGGTGAACACCACCATCACCTTAAAATGCACTCGAAAAATAGACCAAATAGTTCCGGTCTTACCCTTGTCGCAATTCCAGGCCGCGCGCCTTCCGACTCATCAGTTTGAGTCAACGCTTTTTCAATTCCGGCGCCTTAAAATTGGCATTTCCATGAGAATCGAGCATTCAAATAATTGCCTACCAATCGCTGTGGTCCCTCCTTGAGATTTAAGCTTATCGATAGCGCGAAGAACCTCATCCTGCGTCTGATACTTCTGAAGATTGAATCTGACTCGAGTTCGGCCAACTGTGGCGAACGTCACAACCGCCACCTATGAAACATATTGAAAAAACGATGGACCGAGTTAAATGGTCCCAAACCTGCGTATGATGAGGTCCAATTCGCAATGCTTTCACGAGCCGCTTACTCATTTCCTTATAGGACTCGTAAACGGGATCGGTGGTGGTGGAGAAGTCGAGAACGAGGACAAGGTCCAACTCGCACCCGGTTATCGGGTTCGTCGTTGTCGTCGTCGTCGTAGTTGTCGTCGTCGTCGTCGTCGTTCGACACTTATCCTAAAATCCATCGTCATAAACCTTCGTCGAAACGGCGGCCCCCCAGGAGACGAATTTAAATTTAATTTTTTTAAATTAAATTTTCTAAAAGCGGAAGACGGAAGGCGGAACAAAAAAATGTTTAACGAAACACGGAACACAAAGTTAATCTAACTCGAATATTTTGAAATGAACAGTGCAGAATGTGAGATTTTCCAAGTGCTCATTCGACAAACGACCTTTTTTTTGTCGAACAAATTTCTCCGGCTGTGGTTTTTAACCATATTAGATTCGCTAGACGTGTTAAGTATCATCAAGCGGAACACGGAAAAATTTGCCGAATTGCCGGATTGCCGAAATTTTGATTTTCGGCAATTTGATATCAAAAAAAAATCGGCGAAACAAAAATCAATGTCCATCGAATAATTTGGGATACCGTGAAAATTCGGTATTTATATTTCGAATTATCGTTGAAAACATTTAATAGACGAAATTTTGATTTTCGGCAATTTGCCGAATTGCCGAATTGCCGAAATTTCCGATTGCCGCACAGCCCTGGTATACACACCTACCGTAGTTGACGCGCTATTGATTGAATATTTAGTTTTGATTATTTTGACCTATTGTTAGGCGGCGTCTTTTTTTTGTGGCGTCTGTTCATTGTTTGTCGTTCTTATTAATTATTCAGATAAATCATATAAGTTTATCCCTTCTGAGCTTATAACAGTAAACATCTGCGGACATTTTACGGGATGCGCCACAATCGCCGTTGGCGGCAATTCAAACAAGGGTCCTACAGGGCTCAAAGGATGGGGGGCTCACCTGCGCCTGTCTCAGCAATCGTCGGGTGATGTCGGTGGCGAGATCCCTGCCGCGATGCATCACAATATGATTGATGTTTCCAGTAATGTCCATCAGCTCTCGCCTGGAATTCATTTGAAATTCTCGATGGCCGATTTTGGCCTTCGAATCGCCTACGTGTCGACACTTTCCGGATCGCCGGTGGCGGCGGCGAACACCCACGTGTTCGGTTGCGCCTGAAGACGTTGTCCCGGCTCCTTTGGATCATCGGCGGATCTGCAAACAAACAGCAATCCCCTCTATGATCCATGGATCCACACCAACCTTCCATCGGTGACAACCATGACGAGCGTCGGAATCGAGACGTTCCTCTGCGCCATCAACTCCAACGCCACTTCCAGCGCCTTTTTGGTGTTGGTGGTGCCGCCGATGGCGCGCAACGCGTTCGTCTTCCTCACAAACTCCTCGTTGGTCTTGGCGAAATTCCACGGGAAAACCTCGCGCCGATAGCTGAGACCCGAGTAGACGATCATCGCGACGCGATGCTTCTCGGGACCGATTTGAAGCTCTTCGGAGACGTCGGTGACGAACTTTCGACTCTTGTTGAAGCCGCCCTTCACCGAATCCGATCTGTCGAGCACGATGAGCACGTTGAGCTCGCACGCGACGGGAAACAGCGGCGTCGTTTGCGCGTCGACGACGACGACGACGGCCAACGCCGCCAGCACGCCGACCTGCAATCATTCGTGTGATCTACTCAAAATCGTCGACGACGCTGTTTTTGTTGTGGCGTCGGCCACTCGAAAGAGCGCCTCCTTGTAAGGTCAATGAATTTCGACGACGCGAATTCACACTAACAATAATTGAGTCGAGCTGCGGACAACTCGCGGGTTTCGCGCACACCAACCTTTAGCACTATCATGATAGTGGAAGAAGGGGGGTCAATTGCGGTGCGATGACCAAATATGGTACGTCTAGGCTGGAAACTGTCGGTGGGTGGATTCTGGCGAACTGGGCCAAAAATGGGCGTGGCGTTTATGGAACGACCCACCCCCAAAAAAATGAAACAACTCGTTTTTTTTTTCTCAACGTTGCTTATTTGAAACAGTTTGCCAATTCAACCGCCCATATCAAAACTGGAATTTCAGCAACGCTGAAAATTATCATTGTGACGCCCGACTTCTAGTTGCGTCGAAACACCGCCTCAAACAATCTGCCAAAAAACGTTTTTGATTTATTTGTTGTTTTTTTTTTCGAATTCATCCAAAAGACCAAGGCCATCTATTTTAGGTCTTCGAGCGAGGGGGGGAGGGGTACTGTATTTTTGAGTGGGCGTTTAATCCATTTATAATGGTTGCCTGTGAGATGTCGGCAGATTGAAAATGACTTACCGCTGCCAATAGAATGAAGCGGTGATGCGGCATATCGCACGAAAACGAAATCAAAACTGATCTGAGAATAACAAAACTATGCAGTAGGTCTGAGGGTATTGTTAAAGGGTGTGGTCAGATCGGTTGTCACACACCCACTTTAAGGCATGGCTATCATGAGTTAAACCGCACATGACAGCTGAATCGAAGCGACCTTCAGAAGGTCATCGGCGGGCCGTCTCGCATAGTTAGTGAAAGCCATATATGGTCAGCGAATTTGATTTATTATGATGATGATGAAGAGGAAGAAAGACAATGCTTTTTTTTTTGAGTATCGCAAATTTTTGCTTCTTTTGCTTTTGTTTTGATAATGATGAGATCGTCGACCCGTAATACGTCGGCAGATGGATTCGAGTTGAATTCAGACGAATTGGCTACGGCCGGTGAGCGGCGGCATCGACGGCGGCAGCGAGGCCTCGTGCCATGAGTCGCCGCGCTGCTGCAAACAACAACAATCGCGATGGTCCCAAGTCCCCCATCTCACCGAGTCGGCGTCGCGCTCCGAGCCGCCTTCGAGTTTGTCGTCGCACACCGGCTTGCCGCTTCGTCGAAGGAAAATGAGCCAGAGTTGCTCGGTGACCTGGCAAATTTTACCAAATTTTGTCCGCAGCACGTCGCGTTTAAAACCAAACCTTGGCGCACATCAGATTCCCAGCGTGATAGGCGATCATCTGAAGTAGAAACACGCCATCGGCGCGTAGGAATCGATGAGTGAACCTTCCTGAAAACTTGTGCTACCGTAATCGTCTGAGCTTACTATACCAATCTGATCCGATTGCATGTCCAAGTGTTTCGCGACGAAATTCTCGCGACACGTGCACGACACCAACGCGATGAACCAGAAAAGCAAATTGAAGGCGGTGATGAGGGCGAGAGCCTTGAACGTTCGGGTAGAGATCAAAATGAAAAAAAAGGAGAATCTACCGTAAGCCAGACCCATAGAAAAATGAAAATCTTCTCGGTGAGCATGTTGATGACGAGAACGCATTGGACCGTGTGCCGGTGCACATTGCCAAGAACGCGAATCTCGAAGTCGCATAGGGTGACGCGCGGGAATTTGCCGGAATCGCGCCATTCACGACCCTAGAATTTTGGGCAATTATTTTAAAATGGCATGCGCCTTTAAACCATGAACAAATCATAGAGGACATGCGCGCCGAACATCGGATAGTCGGAGGTTTGTAGGAACGAGTTGAGCAGCATGAATTGGAGGATGACGTTGCACAAATGAAGCGCCTTGATGAAGAGGTACACCGATGAGACGTAGGCTCCGTAGAATTTGCCTACAGTAAGCTTACCGTAAGCCATTCATGCCCCCCACCCCTGATCTACCGATTTTGATAACCGCAAATATATAGATGTTGCTTCGACGGGCTCCGTGATCGCGTTGGAACATCAACGCGTCGTCGATGTGTCGCGCCACCGTGTCGACGGTCTTGTCGCGAATCAGCGGATCGACGTTCTGCTCGCCGCACGCCAACTGAAGGACGAGGCCGGCGTTCAAGCCTGAAATCGGAAAGGTTGCCGACACGACGACTCGTGACACGGACCACTCTGTCCGGCCAACATTCGCCATATCGATGAGGGAATGTGGAATGTGAGCGCGGCGACCGCCAACACGAACGGCACCCATTGATAGTAGCCGATTTGTCGCCGCTCGCGATCATCGAGTCGATGTGGGATGAGGTCCTGAACGGAAGTTGGTTGGCTACGAGTACGAGGTAAGGGGGTCCGATTACAACAAGGCTATCAACATTTCAATGATGTGTGGCGTACCTGAAACGGCACCCAATAGGTGTTCTGCACCCAACAATAATTCTCCGTGTACTGCTCCATGGCTCGCGTGAATTGCGCCGGCACAAAACATTCGATGGGATGGCCGACTGCAAAGAAAAATAAATGGTCCCTCAACTATTCTCCTCCCAAAACGCTCCGAGATTATTAATTCAAAATGCGTGACACGTCGTTTCGTCACGAGATTGAGAAAAAACGCTATCATTTGAGAGGAATGCGCCTTTAAAACGGGTCTAGACCCTTTTGATCTACTATTCAATTTTTTTTTGAAAATAGTGTTGATGCAAAAGAAATGCGAGGCTGCTTATTAGCCAAATCATTATTATTATTATGTGAGCTTCATCTCTAGAAGAAGCACCCTCTGGCTTACCATATTGTTTTGCGGACACTAGCACGGCGAACATTAGGACCATCGTCGAGGTGTAGAGATAATGAAGGCGATCCACAAAATCGTCATCGACTCTGAATGATTGTTATATTTTTTGTGCTGCGGACATTTGAGACTGATTCGCTTAGCCCCCCTCTCTCTTTCTTTTTTTTTTGCGACAAACAGAAACTTGGACAATTGTCCGCAGATGGATTTCGCTATTAATCTCAATCATGCACTATGAGAGTTGTCGATTCGACATCGGTCAGCTGTCCGGACGAGCACGAATTTCACACGCACCGGCTCGATTCATTGACAAAAACATTGATATATGCTCGGCGAGCATTGAATTTCGGAGCATGCGATCGTCGGGCAACACCTGCTCTCGTTTTTCATCTCATGGTTCTTTTTTTTGCTCATTCTCTTCTCGCAATGATATCAATTCAGAAAGCGTGATTATTATGATGTATGAATGTATAGTCCGACACGATTGGGTCAATTTTTTAAAGGCGCACAGAGTGTCACTAATGACAACCAACCGCCCATCTCATTACTGAATCTCATAAAAATTGTCGCTTTTCATTCTTTTTTCCTTTCGTTTTTGGGAGTGAAGGCGAATTATTGTTTTTTTGCTTTGCAACAATTGGTCGAGGGGCAAAGAATATACATAGGAATGGGACCAGACAGAATTTCGTTTATTTTAAACATTTGGGTTCGGACCATTGAAAACGCGCAAAACAAAATATAAATGAAGAGTATGTGAATGTTGCTAAATCTTCAAGGACGCACGCTGCTTCGAAATGAACTTTGATCTACCTGTCAAATTTGGAATCCCGCCTTAAATTTATTTTAAAGGCGCATCAAGTTTAAAGTCGAAAATCGCATTTTATCACAATTTCTCGCGAGATTGCGATTTTAACGACTCTCAAAGTGGTTTTTTTTTTGTCATAATGTGCCTTCAAAAAATCGAATATGAGGAAAACGGCAAAGCACGAAAAAAAAAACTTGAGAACGGGTTCATCATCATCATAAAATTTTATTCGATTTGACGCCCAAACGATTTTGGTGAAATTCATATTTTTTTGTGCGCCTTCGTCATTTTGAGAACGATGAAAAAAAAATTTTTATCAAAATTATTTTTTTTGTAAAAATTTGAAATATGAAAAATGAAATATGATGGAATTTGGGACCAATATGTCGGAGGGGGATTGTGTAACAATTGGGGGACCTCGCAAATCATCTCAGAATGTATAGCTAGAAGTGAGCGGCATTTTTTTTTTCTTTGAAGGCAGACCTGGGCTCGAGGAATCGCAACGCGGACGCCAGAAAATGCATGCCGATACGGTAGCCGCCGACCATGTGGGTTGCGAGTAATGCGCTTCCTCACTACTGCTGCTCGCGGAGCATCACACCGGCCAGAATTCGCGTTGGGCGTGGCCACCGTTGAGGGAGACGGCGTCAGAGACGCAGAGTGGCGGAATGGCGAGGCGCCTCTCGCCCGACACTCCCTGATTTGCATACTATCTCGCCGCCTCTCCTCCCAACAAACTACTTGCATTGGAATCTTCTTTTTGCTTTTTTTTCAATTTTTTTCGCGATTTTCATATTTTCAAACAATTAATTGCCGGTTTTGACCGTTGAATTGCTGCTGTATACCACCTCAAAGGTTGTAATTATCATTGATACCCGTTTTTTGCTTCCAAAATACTAAAAAAAATACTCGAAAAAATGTGAACACAAAATAAGGATTACTGTAGACTTCAAGGCGCATGGTAATTTGTGGCGCAAGTCTCACCACATTAGGTACTGTATTTTTTTTTTTCATAAAACATTAGTTCTTTTTTGCAGTTTTGGTCACAAATTTTCCAATAAAAAAGCGATTCGTCATAATAGAAAACTCGGAAATATTTAATATAACTGTTTGGCACGTGCGAGTATCAAAAAAACCCGAAGAAATTGATAAATAAACACTGGGGCGTTTTTCTTCTAATACCCACTTCAAACCAATGTTGTTGATTCTATCGTGTTGTGTGTGTGTGTTTCGTTCTATCTCTCCGCACCTCTCAAATTATGTTCCCCATCATTTCCTTTTCTTTTTTCACGGTCATTTCACTATCATCAACGCGATTTTCGATTATCATTATATTGTTTATTTTTTGCCGAAATCAATTGCTTGAATTTTTTTAAAGGTACATGGCCACGAAGCAATCTGAGCAAGCTGCAGCTCAGGCGGCCGATGAAGAACGCGCACGTTTGGAGCTCGAATGGGCTGAAAAAGGCACATTATTATCGCGAATAAAAAGGTGAAGAAAATTGGCGCTGAATTTCTAATGAGATTTTTTGAATAAATAATTCAAGCGTGACAAAAATGGTGAGCATATGTATTGAAAATCGTGAAAAATTCATTGAGATCAATTAAGTATTACTTCTTAATTATTTTTCTCAGTGTGTGTTTTTTTTTTGCGCGACGAGTTTATTGAAGATTTTCAGGGGAAAAGTGAAGCAGCTCAGTTTGGTGTCGATCAAAAATCAAAAATATTTAAACTATTATTCGAGCTATTTTTTTAGTTTCATGCCAAATGCCTTGAAATCTGGTAGGTTTGTTTTACACAAAAAATATCCACAATCATTTTTCCCCTTTGGATTTGCAGTGCCTTTATCGGAATTATTGGAAGTACGTGTTGGTTATCAAACGGACAATCTTCAGCGGGCGTCGAAAAACCCTGAATTTCAAGAAATGGCGCCGGTTAGTGAGAAAATTGCAAACATTTTGAATGTGCTGGCAGGTGAAAATTCTCGCCATTTTCGTCAGAATTCATAGCTTTTAAGGGAGAAAAAATTAAAACTTGACATTTTTTTCTGGAATTTTTAATTTCAATGACTCAATGTCAATATTTGGAAAAAAGTGTCAAAAATTTCACTATAATGACGAATATAAAAAATAATGTAGCAAAAAACGCGAAAAACAAACATTCCAGTTTTTATTTTCATTTTTTTTTGTAAAATAAAAATGAAGAATTTGTCGAATTTGGTGATCCGAGATGAAATAACAAAATAAAGAAAAAATCTTTTTTTTCTGTAAAAATCGCGTGGCAGTTTTCAGGAATCGCAATGTTTTTCGGTGATCTTCTCCCACGTCAAATTTCTGCACAAATCTGTCGATTTTGTTGCCGACTCGCGTGAGGTGAGATTGAAGATCGATTCGAATCAAATAGAAAAATGAATTACCAACGCTCAGACTCGCGACAAATGGGTGTCGGTGTTGACTCATCTGATATCGGTCGCCAAACACCAACGGGTGGTATTCAACGAGACCGCGTGGCTTTGCGACAAATTCCAGCAAGCTGATACTAATAAAAATGGTATCAAATTAATGTGCCTCGAGAAAAACCAATTCAATTTTTTTCCAAGGATTCCTATCATTCGAGGAGGTTTGGAACCTTCTGAAGCGCATGAATCTTCAGATAAGCGAACGATACGCTCGTGCGATATTCAGGGAGTCGGAATTCGAGAATTCGCGCGACAATAAGCTTAGCGAAAAGGAGTTTCTGAATTTTTTTGAGCGCCTCACCGATCGGCCCGATTTGCGATTTGTGATGCAGCAGGCGAGCTCGGATAATGTCGAGACGCTCACCGTTGGCGAACTTCACAAATTCCTCACCGAAGAGCAAGGGGTACCAATTGTTATTATTATTTTCTTCTTCTTTTTCTTCCTAAAAACGCTTTTCGAGAATTTTAACAACATTACTCCAATTTTCAGTTCAAAGATGTTGATTTGAAAAAAGCGGAATCGATTCTCGACACTTTTGAGCAAACCGCACAGGATAAACAAAAGGAGAAGCTCATGGGATTGATGGGTAAAGCTGAAAATTTCCATTGAAACCTTGATAATTAATTTCTTCAGGAATGCGACGATTGATGCAATCGCGATGGGGAAATGTGTTCAAACCGGGGCATGAGAGCGTATTTCAGGTTTTTTTCTGTTGCAATAAGAAATTCTTAAAAATTCTCAATCTTTTTAGGACATGGATCAACCTTTGACCCATTACTTCATCAATTCCTCTCATAATACCTATTTAACAGGACTTCAGCTTAAAGGAGAAGCCACTGTTGAAGGGTACATCGCGGCGTTGAGGAAAGGAGCACGATTATTAGAATGTTAGTTGACACTTGCTTTTTTTGGAGAAGCTCTTCGACGAAATTTTTTTCCAGTGGATTTGTTTGACGGAGAAGAAGGCGAGCCGATAATTACCCATAAACGGACATTTATCGAATCGATAACACTTAGGAACTCATTGGAAGCGATTAAGGTTGAATGGTCTCGCGTGGAAAATGCCGAAATGAGTTTTGTATATTTTCAGCGATGCGCGTTTGAGACCAGCCCGTATCCGGTCATATTGACCCTTGAGAATCATGTCGGACACGCTCAACAGAAAGTGATGGCCAAATTGTTCCAAGAAGTGAGGCTTTTCGAGATTGTCTTGGCTAAAACTAGCGATTTTTTGAAGATTCTTGGAGATCAGCTGTATAAGCCACCAAAGGACTCGCATAAGATTCCACTACCATCGCCGAATAAGCTCAAACGGAAGTTTTTGTTGAGGTAGAAAAAAAGTATAATGGCCGTGGCCGAGGAATTGTGAAAATTCGGTTACGAGCTAAAAAAATTGTAAATTTTCAGAGGAAAGAAAATCTTGACTGAAGAGAATGAAGAGCCTGATGATGATGACTCGCCGACGGATAAAGAGAAGGTTGGTCTTGCCGCGATATTTTATCAATTTCATCGAACTACTATATTAGCACCATCCTCATCCAATTGCGCCGGAACTCGGCGCTCTCATCGCTCTTCCATCCGTCAAACTCACAAACAATATTTATCAAGATTTGGCGAAGCGTAAGATTCCCAACGATCTCGTACGACATCGATTTGATTCATTATTTTCAGACCCCTATGATGGGTCGCCGTCGCTCTCCGAGAACAAAGTGCACACGATTTTCGAGTCGGCCGCCCCGATTTTCCACTACACAGCTCAAAGGCTTGTGAAAAGCTATCCGAAGGTGCTATAGGATCTAATATTGTCGTTGGATGAACGTCATTGCAGGGTCTTCGTCAGGACTCGTCCAACATGCATCCAATGCTCTCATGGTTGTGCGGAATTCAGAGTGTCGCGATGAACTTCCAAACCGCCGGCGAAGAGCTCGATCTAAACGCTGGATTGTTTCGCGTGAACGGAAATTGCGGCTATGTGCTCAAACCGATGGTGCTTCTCGATGGGCTCGATCCAAGAACGATGGTGCGGCCGAAGATGAAGCTCGGAATCGGATTGTTCTCGGCGCAGTATTTGCCGAAAACTGAGCCCGGAAAAGAGATCATCGATCCGTATGTTAGTGTGCAAATCCATGGAATCCCTCGAGATGAGACGAAAGCGAAAACTCGAATTATAAAGGATAACGGTAAGATTTTTGCCCAGATTCGACTATTTTGTCGAGGACGGACGAATTTGCCAGATTTGAATTTCGCGGGCAGCCAATTAATTAATAATTGGTCTCGTAATATAAAAAAAACTATTTATACTCCGTCATTTGACTCATTAAAAAATTAACCAAAGTATTTAAAATCCTAGAAAATTATGTGTTTCCATATTATGTTGGTTGGAGTTATTCCATGCGAGACCCAAAATGCTATCGCACTCCGTCCTTGACAATATGTAAATGCGATTCTTAGGCTTCAATCCGGAGTGGAGGGACAATTTCTACTTCACACTGTGCTGTCCGGAGCTCGCCATTCTGCGATTCTGTGTCAAAGACTTTGATTCGACGTCGTCCAATGACTTCGTTGGAGAGTACTCGATTCCGGTGCTCAGCCTTCGACAAGGATATTCGCAAATTCAGCTCAACACTGGATATCAACATAATCTTGATCCATCCGCTTCACTTTTTGTTAGAATCGCAATTGACGAGATGTAGTATGGTTTTCTATTTACGATAATATAAGTTTGCTTCAAAAATTGTTGCTTTGCTCCATTTTTTTTTTCGGTGCTCTCGAGTTTTTGATTTGTGATTCTCTTCGGAATTTTTGCGGTTCGACTATTATTTTTATGCACTTTTTTTTTCAGGCCCAATCAGTATTATTGCCTAAATCCCTTCAACTTTCATTCACAAATAGTTAAATAGTAATAAAAATTGCATAATTAAATATGTATATTATCGGATGGATTCAAGGTAGTTTGCCAGCCATTTCTGAAAATTTCAAATAAAAAAAAATAGTTTTCTCTGAATGATTTACAATTGGATTATCGGGGCGTTCGACGGCCACTCTTGCCAATCCTTCACTTAGTTTCGGCCAGACTTCAGAGCTCAAATAGTTTTTCGCGTGCTCAATTACCTCTTTTTCGTTGGCGTCTGGAAAAAACTAATTTTTTAAATTGAAAAAGGTTTTTTTTTTACATTTTGGAAAGAAAAAATGAATATCCTGATAAGCAGCAAGAGTATTTTTTGAAAAATACAATGCGTCTGCATGATTTGTTCTGAAAATTGAAGAATTGGTTGAGAAAAATAAAATTATTCTTTTTTATATCGTAAGGTATGGTGTGTTCTGTGCTAACACCGAAACGCAAATTTTGCGGATCTCACAAAAAATGTGCCAGCGGAAAAAATTTTGACGAAGCGGCATTTTTTTTTAAATTTTAGGCATTTATCCATTTTGGCCTATAAAAAACAAAAATAAATTATTTTTATTCGAAATTTTTTCAATTTGCCTTTATTATTAGAGTATTTTAAATTTTTTTTGAAAAAAAATATTCAAAACATATCAACCTTTGGGCAATTTCATTGTGAAAACTTGCAATTTCCGCAATTCCCTCGAAAGCGTTCGCCCGTTGGCATAAAAAAATCATTGAAGGTCCGTCAGCCAGTTTATCGGCAAATTCCCAGATATCCTAGAAGCTTTATTGAATTATTTGAGGATTTATAGCCTTCGAAACACCTGAGATTCTAATTCTGCGCTTTTCCACGCCATTATATCTTTTGATTTCAGATTTTTTACATCCTTCTGTTAAAAAAAAACGCATTACTTTTAATAATTTTTGACAAAAATTCATTCATACCGCGATTATTCCAAATTTATGCGATATTAAATCACTTTGCACAGCTTCGTAGTCATAAAAGTAATTGGGTAAAATAATTAGTACGAATTTGTCGATGAGATTCGGATTATTGAGAATTTTCGAGCACACCTCGGAGCGGTACATAGTAGTTTTGGACAAATCATCAAGTCCAGCGGAAGAACGTTTATTTCCGGTCATGCAGGTTAGTCAGGTGTGAATTGTATCCAATGAAATTCGTTGTAGAGTAAAATTAAGTATAGAAACTTTGGCAAAAAAATAATTATAAAATTTTTCAAAATTTGGTCTTGAAACATTAATTATTGAGTACTGTAGTAGTCTAGTCCGCAATAATTTTACGAAATAAAAACAGAAAATTGTAACAATTTTTTAATAACTTTTTTCCAATTAAAAAATAAATTTAGCTAAAAAAAACTTTATTGGGCCTTTTCATGAAATGTATTTTTGTTTTCATTATTTTCTTGTTTGATTTAGTCAGTTATAGAAAAAAAGTTTTTAAAAAATCAATAAAATCAAAGAAATGTATACAATTTTGATTCAAAAATCGTAAACAAATATTTTTATCTTCAATTGTTCACAATTTTTACTTTCTTTCGCCAGATTCTTCGATCACGTTATCTTTTCTATTTTTTCGATAGCAACAAGTGTCGAAAAGCATCCGAAACGTAAATAAGATAAAGTGAAGGTGATCGTTAACGCGGAGCAACGTTGCCTCGCGATTTATTGTAAAATGTTCATAAATATCGTTTAAGCATTTCGTTTTTCCGGTTTTTTCGCCCAACTTTTTTTTATTTGCGCAAAATGAATCTCTCAAAATATCAGCGGTTATTCATCGGTTATTCAAACTCAAAAATGTAATTTTTAGGAATCATGGGTAGAATGGACGAATTTTTGAAGTATTTCGAATTTTTTAGTGTTTTTGTATGAATTTGATTAATTTCAGAAGCTCACTTGATGTAGTTCCGAAAGAAATTTGCAAAAATGGAATGTGCCTGAATTTTGCGGTAAATATTGCAAAAATTTGCGAGGAAATTCGCCAATTGTATGAAATCGAAGAATCTGTGAGGGTGCCGACCAGCGACAATATCGAGGAATTCCTCTATGATTTAAGCGCATTTCTACTTGAATTGGGTAATTTTTAGGTTAAATTATTTTTAAAAAAATATGAAAAGCTATTTTTAAGAATGCGGACATGAGGAGCTTTCAAACGGCGACATTCTCACAAGATTCGAGCTTTCTGAAAAATGCGAAATTCTTTTGAATTTTCTCGTCTCCGAGCTCAAAACAGCTCGATTGTACGCATTAAATCGCTATGAAAACACAAAAAAGGTTCGATTTCTCAATTTTTTGCTAAATAAACACGCAAATTTTCAGCAAAAAAGGAATGCCGATAAGGAATTGACGCCGCTAATTGAAGAAGTTCTCAATGTATTAGAAATTCCGAAGCAATCGTGTTGCGGCGATCCGAATCGGCTTCTCGAATCTATTAAAGACAAGGCAATTTTCAGAAAATTATTTTTTGTTGGAAATTTTTGAGGTTTATTGTAGGCGGAATCGCGTCGCCAAAACAGTCAACGATTGCCTATTCTGCGCGTTCATTTAAACGATCAAATTATACAAGAAATTGAGAAAATTTGCGAAAAAACGACGCGCGACTACAATAATCGCCTCCTATTGCTGACGACTCGCCTCAAAGTCACCGTCGAATCATTTTTGTGGTAAACAACAAATTGCCAAGGACCCCAAATATGGCCACGAGGTTCAGGTCCGATCGTCTCAAACCGGTTGACGCCAAAATTCGGGAGATTCTTGCTCGTCGTCTCGCCGAAATTCAACAAATCAAATCGAATTGCGACATATCGCACGTTTTATCCGGAAGCACTGCGCTTCTCGTCGTCAAGAAAGCGTCGGATCCCTCAAAACGGTAAAATTTTCGTTTTATCGCGTTTTTTTGTTATCAATTTGTCATAAAACCCTAAACTTTGATCAATTTTGGCGAAAAAGATTCGCATTTTTTCAAACCGAAATACGTCTAAATTGTTCAGAGCCAATACGAAATGCCTAGCGCATCCATTGTCTCAAGGCGGACCACCAAAGGATCGCGGCGGACGTACCGATGAGATGATGGGACTGCGCAATGAGACATTCGCTCAGCAGCAGGCGCAGCGTGTCGGTGAGCGACGAGGAGGTGGCTTTCGAGGAGGGCGAGGAAGAGGACGAGGTGGACATCGAGGGCAAAGCTATGAGCAGCAGGTAGGCGAGCAGAAGTAGCCAAAAAAAATTTGGAAATTTGAGCACTTTTGAATTTTTCATCACCCCGTTTTTTTTCTTACTAGCATCGTCATTAGTCATTTTTGTTTGCAGATTCGTCAAAACTACGAGAAATCCTATCGGGACAATGGTCATTAGTCACATTATAATTCTGGTTTTTGTTTTAATTTAATTTTCAAAAAGAAAAAATTGTTAAATAATGCTCTAATTTTCCATTTTTCTTGGGTTTTTATACCGAAGATTTATCGATTTTTGCTGCCACACTTTTTTTTATTGTTGTTGCTGAAAATTCTAGATTATTGATTGCAAACGTGCGCCGGTCGGCGATCTCCAATGATTCGACAAACTCTAAGGCTTGTCCGGCCGTGTCTCGGCCAATTTCGGCCGTCGACGACAGCGGCCTTTAAGCATTTGGATAAGTTGGTGATTGAGAGTCCCGAAGACGCATTGGAGGTAGACGTTTGGTGTTGGGCATATCGAATTTGATCGCAAATCATTGCTCAGATTGCCAGCCGGTTAACAATCGGCGAGCAGAATTTGCTGAAAGAAGCGCTGGAGACGTGCGCGCACGAGAACGGCAAGGTGGGCGTCGTCGATTGTTGCGCATTGTGCGCACACCGGCACGCAAACTCACGGAACTTGTTCGTTTTTTTTTGTTGCAGAAATCGTTAGAATTGACGCCCGAGCAGGTGAAAGGCTTGTTCCTCGTGAATTCCATACCCTTCATTGGGTTTGGACTTCTCGACAATATGATAATGATTCTCGCCGGCGAGTATATTGACCAGCAACTGGGAGCGGTGCTCTGTATATCGACAATGGCGGCGGCAGCACTTGGCAATCTCATTTCTGACATTGCTGGAGTCGGACTCGCCCATTATGTTGAAGTCGGCGTTCAGAAGGTTGGAATTAAGCATCCGGTGCTCACCGCTGCTCAATTGGAGAGCCCAAAGGTAATCGAAATAATTGGAAAGGAGCTAATTATTTTGAAATACAAATTGTAGGCGAGGTTCTCGACGAATTGCGCGAGAGCTGCTGGCTTAACGATTGGTTGCCTTCTCGGCATGTTCCCTTTGATGTTCTTCGAGTCTGAAGATGAGAAAGAGCCCGAAACGAGCTCGAAATTGTAGATTTCACATATGTATATAGTCAACTTTTTTTTGCATAATCTGTGCCATTCTCGGTTTTTTTTGGTATTTTCTAGTCGCCAAAATGTCACACAACTGCCTTAACATACCCAACTGCATTTTCCTACTTGCCTTGAACGTTGCTTGTATAAATATTATCCGTCATTTTTTTGAAAGAATTTCATTGAAAATGTGGTTTTTCCATGTTCATTTTATTTTTTGAAATGTCGTAAAGTATGGTGCTTTGTGTTCATACACCGACACGAAAATTTGCGAACTCTTCTCAAAAATCGATAATTTTCAGATGAGTAGTGGTCAATATTTCGCCACTTATGTTGAGGATCTGGAGCAGGAGCCGTTTGACGCAATCGATCTTGTCGAACGAATCGCATGGAGGATGACAAATGGGGCGGAAACGATTACAGATCCGATTTCGCTGAAATCGCGGTTCGAGGAAGAAATCGGAAGTCTTCAAATGTTGTGCGATCAGTTCCAGGTGGATTTTAAAGTCCAATAAATTCGAAAATCGATCATTTAGAGCAAAATCAATAGTCTTGAGAAGCAATTCAACGATGAGAAGAAGGATTATGTGCAGAAATTGCAAAGGCTCCATGAGAAGAATGCGGAAGCGATTGACAAAATGAAACAGCTTGATTCAACAATGCAAACGGTTTCCACGAAAGTTGTGCATTTGGGAGATCAGTTGGAATCTGTGCGTTTTTTTCTCTCGTTAATCTCGACTTTGAAATTGAATTTGCTTGCTTCAAGGTGGATCAACCACGCTCGCGCGCTTATGACGCCTATCAGCTCATGCAGCATTTCGACGAATTTCTGTCGGATCAGCCGCTCAACTCGATGATCTTCACCGATCCCGACAAACTTCTCGAATCCGCCGATCTTGTGCATAAGCTTTACTCGATCTCACAAGAATTGAATAAGGAGAAATTCTCGGCGGTGCAGGCGAGAATTGCGCAAAGGTTTTTTGAATTATTGCACAATTCTACATTGATAATGAAAGAATATTGAAGGTATGAGGTTGTTGAAGGTCTCCTCATCGAAGAATTCGCAAGAGCTCAACGCGATGAGAAGAAAATGGCAGAGGTCGCAAAAATATTGTCAGAGTTTAAGGTGGGGATTTTTGAGCAAAAATATGATAATCTGGAATCAAAGACGTTTTTTTCTCCAGTATCTGCCTAGTGATATAAATTAATCAGCGTTTCTCAAGGGTTACTCGCATTGTGTGGATCGCTATGTCAAATACCTATGCCAATCGATTCATTCTCGCGGTGAAGGCGGCGAGATTCTCGCCGACTGCCTTCAATTGTGTCGAACGCAGCAGCCAAGAATATCGGCGATTTTTCCATCACCGCACACCGTCATGCAGAAATTGGTAGACTCGTGATTTTCTTTTTTTGGGGAAATTTGCCAATTAGACAATTATAGGTGCTTAATTTGTTCACGGGCAAGATGAAAGAGCACATAAGCGCGAAGCTGAGAGAATGCAAAGAAGCCGATGACAACGAGCAATATTTGAAGGATCTGGCGATGCTTTATTCGAGCACATTGAAAATGTGCAAGGAGCTCGAAAAACTGCACATCAGTCCCGATAGCGCCTACCTCGCCGCCTTGACGAAATCGATATTCGATCGGTACTTGTCGACATACTGTAAAGAGGAATTATCCTACCTCAACGAACAATCCGCCCACATTTTGTCGAAATTTTACGAATCGAAGAAGCATGTGAAGAAGCAGATTGGTGGCGGCCTTCAGGAGTTGAAGCGCGACGTCGCCGCGAGACTCATGACAGTGGAGACATACGGCGGCGAAACGTTTCTGTCGGAAGACGTCGCGATTTCGATTCTTCAAGAAACCAAAAATGCATTCGGAAGGGCCACGCAGGTTGCGCATTTTTTTGTATTGTTTTTTTTGTATTAACTGATTTGGCAGCTGTGCGACAAATCCGAGGTGCCGAGGCATGTTGAAAGCATTGTCGACATTTTACTCAAATACTTATACGGAGAGCACTTGGATTATGCGGTGGAGATTGGATTGGCCGGTGGGGTTTGCACACACTATTCGGTATTCAATTAAAATTCTAGGAATATCACTCGCCGAGCCGAAAACCGAACCGCCGCCCTACTTTTTCGCGATTGTCGCCCAATGCACAACGATCGTTTTGCTTATGGTGAAACAGTATGATGATTCAATTTGGCCAATTATCAAGTAATTATCTCGGTATTTTTTAATTGTTTAATTGCCCACCTATTATGTAGGGATACAATCGTTGAGCAGACGGTTGCGAAAAAATGGCAAAAATCGCTGAGATCGCTGGAATCGAAAATGAATTTGGGACTCGAGCGACAAATCAACTCGATTGTTGGATATGTCAGATTTTTGTTCAGCGAGCAGAAGAAGACCGACTTCCGGCCGGAGTCCCAACAGGTCGATATTCGAGTGTCCCCGCAATGCCAGATGGTAATGATGGTCCCTAGCATCATATAGGAATATGATCATTCGTTTTTCAAGGCATCGAAATTCCTCAGCGCTCAAGTTGCCGCAATGGAGCGAGGATGCGACGGGCAGAATCTCGAGTCGCTGTTGTCGGATCTCGCCACGAAGCTGTTCAAATTTGTGCTCGCCCACATTCAGCAGGTAGATTTTATTGGTGTCCTGCGACGAAAATTGCATTATTTTCAACAGTTTACGTACAATTCGACGGGAGCGGTGCTTTTGCTGTGCGATGTCGGCGAGCTGCGAACGCTCGTTTCGAAATGGAACGTTCAAGACGCGTTTGTGCAATGGGAAAATCTGTTGGCGCTTACAAATCTGCTTGCAGTCCTACCTGACAATCTGAATGATACGATCAATAGCCCATTACTGGTAAAAATTTGCAAAAATGCTCACATTTTTAGCCATTTTTCGAATAATTTCAGCAAAATGTGGATCGCGCGCTTATTCAGGACATTGTTCGACTTCGATCCGACTACCGAACGATTAAAAATTTGAAAATTTGAGCTTGTAATTAACATAACTATGTGAATAATATACTTATTTATTGATTTCTCATTATGTGATACGAATTATGGTCATTTTGAGCCGATAATTTATTTATATTTTTCAAACATAATTTATAAAGTAAATTTTTTTTGGCGCAGAAAATGGCACTAGAATTGAAAGAAATGGGGAATCAGGCGTATCGTGAAAAACGATTCAACGCCGCCGTCAAATTTTATACGGAATCGCTCGAAATTCAACCGGACCCGCTAGTTTTTTGTGAGTTTTTTTTTCCGCACCGCCCATCGCGTTTTGACGGCGTTTTTCAGCGAACCGAGCTCAAGCGTTTTTGAAGCTCCAGCTTCCGGTTTTGGCTCAAATGGATTGTGCGGCGGCGTTGAAGTTTGATCAGAACGATGTCAAGGTCTTGTATAGGTATGCGCCTTTAAAAAATGCACAATTGGAATTATTTTGCCATGAGACGTGCGCCTTTAATTGAATTTACGTGGTGATAATGAATTTCTCGAAAATTGCCAAAGTTTCATTGGCAATATGTCAGCGATGGTCTCGAGACGATGAGACGCGCGCTTGACAATGAAAAGCTGCTCTCGTAAATCGACACACTTGTTGTGCGACTCATTTCTAGAGGGTAAATGCAAAGAAAATGAAAAAAGGAAGACATTGACGAATTTTTCAATGCAGGAAAAAGAATATTTTTGACCGCTACGCGTCTGACGCCGATGGCGTCTCGTAGCCACTGTAATCATGGAATTTCAGGCTCGCATTGTCGCTCAAAGAGCTCGGCAATTATGAGAAATCGCTGAAAGTCGCCGAAATTTGCGCGAAACTGAGTCCGACGGCGGCGACGACGCAATTATTGGCGGATCTTCGCAAAAATATCGTAAAACCCTTCTCTAACTCTGTTTTGGTTTTCTTCAAAATTGAATTTTTCAGAAAAACCATGCAAAGATTATTGATCTACCGGTGGTGTCTCGAGCGGATTATCTACAGGACGATAGCGAATTGGAGGATGTTGCGATTACCTATGAAGGAATGGAGTCGAGCAACGCGGAATTGATGCCGGAGTTGCCGAAATCCAAAAAACTTGCTAGAAAACCGCCCAAGAGTTTCGCTGACTTTGCCGCCGACTTTAATTATCTTCTTGATGAGCCAATTATACTCGCCGAGTACTTCCTGGTGAGAGAAAAGTCGCCAAAACGAGGTTATTGTGAATTTGTAGAGCATCGACGAAGCTGACTATCATCGGCTGTTTGATGATTTGATTGATGATCGAATGGCCAATGAGATTCTGAAGGCGCTGGCGAGATATGTTGAGCAGAATCCTGGAAATGGTGCGCAAATTGCGCGGAAATTGCTGAAATTGGCCGATGTTGGGAGATTTGATATGATTATTATGCTCTTTGGCGCCGAGGAAAAACAGGGTAGAAAATTTGCAACACTACAAAAATTGATTTTATATTGATTTTCAGCGATTTCTGATATTTGTAAACACATCTCGCCGCCCGATGCTGATCTCATATTTGGAAAATTTCTGTCATAATGCACTACTTTATTCCTTTTCCTCCAATTCAATATTTCAATAAAATGTGCTTTATTTAATCCTCATCATCGTCTTCCTCGAAATTGCTCATGAAGTTGTTGAATTCGGCGCCTTCGACCTCATCTGAAATCGAAGAAGTTCGACGAAATCTGCCGGAAAGCTGATTTACCATTTCGGAATCGAATTGGCGGCGGAATCAGGCCACGCTGCTCATAATGCCTCAAATAATTGCACAGATGCTTCAAACGGCGCTCTTTGCTTCGACGGTTTTGAAACCACACTTGTATCACTCTCATACTTAAACCTGTTTCCAGGGCAAGTTTCGCACGAGCATGTTTTGATGGTTTTGGAGTATTTAGGAACATCTCGTTGAGAACATCAAGCTGAAAATTGAAAAATACATTAAATTCGATTTTTTTTTGTTTAAAATTTCACTTGATTTTGCTTGATGGTGGTACGTGGCCCGCGTCTTTTAAGCATTCTCGAATCTTCGTCGCAAAAATCGGAAAATGAATAATGCTCGAAGTTGTAGCCATATGGATCGACCTCCTGAAAATGAATTTGATTTAAAAAAAAAATGGTCTCGACACGATTTCCTACCTTTTTCACATCGAACACAGGAAAATTTGGATCTTCGTTAGAATAGTGTTGCTGTTGCTGCGGCGGCGGATCCGTAGAGCACGATGGCATATCACACAAATTATCAGAAACTAAATTTCTAGCTTTTGTTAGAGGCATTTTCAAAGTCTCATTCTACCTGGCGGATAATGGCTCATGCAGGAAACCGTCTGGATCGTCTCATCAACCAGAATCTGCTCGCCAGGTGCCAGTTGGCGTCCGCACATTGAACAGCAGTGACATGCCACGTGGAACACTAAACCAGCCTGCAACGGGGGGAAATTGTGCAATTTTGCGACATGACTGACGGGTCCGCAAACATCCAACTAGCTACAGTACCACTAATATATTTTTAATACCTTCAATTTGTAAACCATGTCGCTTGGAGATATCCCTTTTTTACATCCAGCGCAACAATGAACACTGTAATCTCTGAAATTCAAATTTGACGCTGAAAATCGAAAAAAAAACGTACTTATAATAATGTTGATGGCAAAAAATGCGTCCATTCTTTGAGAAGCATTTGTCGATGAGCGGCACATCGCAAACCGAGCACTTCACACAACCCTCGTGATAAGATTTATGATCCATCTGCAATTATCCAAATGGATCAGGATTGGATGATTGACTATGCGAAACGAGAAACGAGACGATGGTACAGAAAGCGGAAAATCTCAGAGAGTGGCGAACTCACTTTAAGAACGTATCTGTCATAGATTTGCTCATGACAACCATTGCATTTATTCTAAAAAAAAAAGAAGGCTCGCAAAATGAATGAAGAATTGGATCTGCGGACATTGAAGCGACAACGAACCTGCGAGTTCTGTTCGAGGCCGATTGAGTCGATCACCAAACTAATCGCGCTCAATGGCGGCTTCACGTCGACCTCAACGGCGAGCATCTGGAGTTGGCGACAGCTTCTACCGAATTCGTCGACAGCTCCTTCCATGAGCGAGCCAATCGCGCAAAAGTGGGCGGAGCGTCTCGTCGATTATTCATGTCTGGCGGACGACAATATCATTGCATTTGTGATGAGAATTCGAATGACAAGGGGGACTCTCGGGTGGCGTCGAAAAAAAAATGGTTGGTCTTGGAAAGTTGACTATTATGGAACAATGCATTTCGAATGAGCCTTGTGTTCTATTTTGCGGCTCGCCTTGAGCCAACAGGTTGCAAAAATAAATAGGGGTAGATCAGTCAGGAGGAAATTTGCAATACCCAAAAATAGCCGAAAATTGTCCGCAGATAGATTTCTTGAAATGAGATGATGTTACACATTATGAAATCTAAATTAAACTAGATTTCGCTTGAGTTTTTCCATGCGAGACCCAAAGCGAATTAGTAGTTTGAAAATGTGTGCAATTTTGCGTATCGGTGAACATTTGCACAACCCCGTAGGACGTACGCATATTGATATCAACAAAATGCATGATTCTGGTAGCATAATGGTCGTTGATGCAGATGGGCAATTAGGAAGCAAAATGTGGTGCAAATCAAGAATTCAGATTGACGAGGGGGGAGAACGGACCACCTTCTATCACTCAGGGACCCCCTAACCACACGAACATACATATTTAAACTCGAACATGGACATTTCGGAATACGATATGAGACAAATGGTTGCATATTGTCAGCGCGAGAACAGACGCAACAGATGGTGGCTGACCAAGGTGAGACATTGTCGGAAATTGTCCGCAGATGGATTTTATGAATAGTCTTGATTTTCAATGTTGGCTGATAAAACAATGTCTGTATCAATATTTAAAAATAAGCGGCTACCAGCGATTTTCATTACCGTATCCAAAAAAAGATTTCCCATTTCGAGATCGCCCATTTTATTTCAATTTTTGAAAATTCAGAAATCGTAATGAATTAATTAAAGGGTCCAAATGCACGAAGCTTGGTGGGTCTTGTCGCGACTAACTAATTACTTCAAAGTTGTGACTGGTAAATCGCGTTGTCCGGACATCTCGCGGGTTTCGTGACGGCATGGGTCCCGCAGCGATCGATTCGACCTAATTGCAAAATCGGGTTTTCTCGGAACTTTGCAATTTTGACAATTTCGATATAACGTGACCACGCCACAATTCTTTCTCCCATTTTGCTTCTTCTAACAATTGTGAAATGCTATCAAAAGGTAGGAGCTCGAAATTGGAAGCGCACGTTTTTTCGACAGAACTTTTGTCTCTATTCGTGGTGCTTTTCGCTGCGGGACCCGTCGATGCCAAGGTCCAATGTCAAGGTTCGGAGCTGAGCGCCAGCAACAACGCGGAGCTGTCGAAAATGACCGAAAAGGAGTGCACACATGTCGTCGGCGATATTGTGCTCAAAAATTTGAGTACGAGCAAAGCACAATTTGTCAAAAATTCGCGACATTTGATTTTCAGTCGGCGAGCACAAATTTCCGCAATTTTTATCGATAAAACATGTCCAGGGATCGATCATCATCAAAAACACGTCATATCTCGACGATGCCATCAACTTCCAGAATTTGGCCGAAATTATCGCCGACAAACAACCGGCGCTTCAAGTCGAAGACAATCGCAAACTCTATTTGGCGTGGGGCGGCCGTTTGCGAGTGGTTCGCACCAATAACAAAATCACCTATCTTCTGAAAAACAACGGAATTTCGCCAATATCGCCGGTGAGTGCAATAGCGCGTCAATGTGCACTGCACACATCAACTCGCTACAGTACCCAACATTTTTATTAATTTCTCTTTTTTTGAAATCAGAATCTTTACAATGTCCTTTATTATGCCGCGTTTCCACGCTCGACATTCCTCATCGACACTCACATGAATGTAATGGTCACCAATGAATCATGTAAGCTTCATCTTGAAACCAAAAACGCGGAATTTTCTTCAGTTTATAAAGCGATGGCCGCCGCCTTCGGATTCATGTCGTTGTTCCTAGCAATTGGACTCATCGCCGTTGCGTGTTATGGAAGAATCCGCGAGCACGAAGATTAGCACCGCCAAAATTTTATTCGAAAAAAAAACGAACTTCAACATTTTTTTTTGTATAAATTAAATCAACAGTGTCACAAAAATTGCAAACGAAATTGAAAGAAAATATTGGCTAATTGAAGTCGAATCCGGTTTGGGGAAGATGCGACCAGCGCGTATTCGTGGAGGTTCGGCTATAAACCGGGACCATTATCGAATTTTAAGGAAGAAAGTTGAAAAACCTGTAGAAATAATTTTTCCCTCGCTCTCCGCTTTTATTCTTTCAAGCTCCTCGTCTGTCAGGTCTGGAACCTCAAGCTCATAGCCTTCCGCCGCCAATCCACCACTTTGACTCTGATCTTCTGCTGCACTTGGCGATTCACCTTCATCCGCTTCATCAGCATTATCATCAAAACCTTAAAAACAACTGTTTGAATATTTCGATTTATTCGAAATTTTTGCCTAATTCCGCCGCTTTGCTCATCACATTGTCGAAAACTGTTTTGCTGAGATCCTCGCCAATTTCAGCCGCCACTTTTTCATCAATTTCTTCGGAATCGGCCTCCTTCTAAACCGAATCAAATTATCTTAATTTCAGAAAGAGGTCACCTGAAACGGAATCGGCTCGCCAAGCTCATTCGGATTCGGCTTGATGACGTCGACATTCTCCTCCGGTCTTTGCCTCACGTCCAAATTATTCAGCGGGATTTCAATGTCTGGAAATTGAAAAAAAATTCTAATATCAAATTTTAAAGAAAAATTGTTCAGCGATTCGATCGCGACGACGAAAAAATTCAATTAGTCGAAACAAAAGTCGCCCTGAAACACTAAATCGAGGGCGATGTATAATTGGAGTGTCGTTGTGACAGAGTAAAAAGGTTTTGCGAACTCACGTAGACCCACAATGTTCAAACCAAAACCGAGGAGCGATTCATCCTTTTCGAATCGCTGAGTGTTTGCGTACTTTGCATTTTAGCATACGCGCATTTAATATTTATTTTTTATTATTAGGAGAAAAAGAAATCGAAACACTCGCCTTTCTGATCAACAACATCATCATAATCGGTGGCTTTCAGCAAATCCTCGTCGGTTTCCCCTGAATCGCTATAATCCATTTTCGGAAGCGGCGGAACGACAAGCTCATCAAGCGAACCTATATTAAATTTAAGTAGTCAATTTCAACCGGTGGGGAACGTTTGATAAGCAAACTGATTACCATCGCTGTAATCGTCTCCCTTCCGTTCTGCCTCGTTCAAACTCGCCGGCAAACGATTAACATCCTCAAGGTGCACCACCTGCGGCTGGCCGTCTAAATAATAATTTTAAAAAAAACCTCAATGGTCCCTTCTCAGGCAAATCAAATAAAATATTTTGAGAATCAAATATTCAGTGATAAACTCTAAAATATTTTGAGAAATTCTAAAGTCTATTGATACTTTCTAAAACTTATTGAGAATCAATAAATTTTAAAAATTTGGAATTTGTAAATTAAATCTTTTGAGAAAGTTAAATCTTTTGAGAAAGTATAAAGTATCTCAATATATTGTGAGACTTTAAAATTTGAATAGGGCCCTTATGACTTCCACTGACGCAATTTGCGGCGTCTCTTTTTAAGATCTTCTAAATTCCAATCAATAATTTATGTTTTTGATGTTCCTTCCGTTTTTTTTAGCTTTTTGTAATAGTTTCTTCACTTCAGTGATGGACGTATTCATGAAATGCAAGTTTTTATAATAAATGTTTAACACTGCTGAATTTTAAACAGTTGTGTCTAAACATGTCATTGCATGAACAGGTTCATGAATTTTAAAAATACGCACAATTATTACAATTAATTACAATTATACTTCAGTTTCTAATGATTTCGATATTTTAGAAGATCGGGAAAAGTGTGGAACAAACATTCCAGAAACATTGGCCGATAGATTTAAGGAACGAGGTAAATACGGCAAATTCAATGAGCTGGTGCCCATGTGGATCACGGCCATGGATATTTTCATAGTATTTTGAGAAAGTTAGACTCATTCAGTTATTTTTTAAAACTGGCAATTTTCAGCTATAAACTATATCACGAGATTGTGACTTCATTGAAAATGCGTTTCAACGCGAATCCGGATTTAATTAAGAAGTCATTTTATCGCAAAGAACTCATGAAATTAATCGAAAAACGACAAATTCAATCATCAAAATTTGTAAGTTCAACATTTTCTTTCAATATATGCAACGAATTCCTTATAGCAACGTTGTGCGTCATTCGCAGAAAAAGGAGAAAATGCGAAAAGAATAAATTGATTCATTTATTTTTTTTCTGATTTTTATTATTAATATATTCATTTCGCATTAATATTGTAATAAATGAAATGTTCATACATATTCAATTATTATGGATGTTATTACATTCTATTTGTGTGAAAATTGCTCGATAACGTATGATATTACATAATATTGGACAGAGTTTATTGAGAACAATCTAAAATTTATTGATATATTCTAAAGTTTATTGAGACAAATCTAAAACTTATTGATAAACTTTAAAGTCTCACAATATTCATTGAAACTTATTGATAAATTCTAAAATCTTATGAGATTTCCTAAAGTTTATTGAGACAAATCTAAAATATTATAGAGACACGTTAGCCTCTCAACGAACCTCATAAGATTTTAGAATTGTCTCAAAATATTTTTTTCCATTTGCCTGAGTTGGACAGTCTTAAAGCGTCCCGCCTACCCCATTGATTCACTTTGCCAACATCAATTTCAACAACAATCGGATTCAGCAAATATCGATATTCGGGTAGAATCGTACCATTCTCATCAACCGGTATCAAAATATCACCATCATTACTCAAATGGCCAATTTTGGACGGGTCCTTAAATCACATTGAAAATCATCAATTTAAAAAATCGGCTCCCTTAAAGGGGGTTGTACCACTTGGTCTGCTCGATAATCTGCCTGCCGCACTGAAATTTTATCAAAATTCTTCAAAAATAAAACTAGATGCCTCACCTTCCCTGAGTTTCGGCAGCCCATGAGCACCTGAAAAGAAGAACACACTCAAACGGACCATTCAAACAAATCTGCCTACCAAAACCAGCCAATAACACTAAAAATAATCTAAAAAACTTCATAATATTGTGCGTGTTGAGACCGCGCAACTAAAAACCCCTTATCACTACGCCAAAACGGCAGTGCGTGTGTGTGTGTGTGTGTTATCGGAGAACTGCAAAGTCAACATTTATAATATTCTAATAGAAATTTAATATAATAAACATACAAGAATCCGACACGTTAGTATGTACAAAAAAATTGGATTGGACGCGGCACAGAGAAAATGAAGAAAACAGAAAACAACAACAAAGAAAACAAAAAGGCCTAAAGCGTTTCGATAAGTTCCTAGGCAACATCTAACAATTGGAATAGCAAGAAACACACAAAAAAATCGACAAGGAAAGAAGACAGGGAAAGAATCATTTAATAAAAGGCACATGTCAATGGCAAGAATCTCAATAATCGTCGTTATCATAAACCGCAGTGAGTCCCGGCTTCAATGCTCCGTACACGCATACCGAATTGTCGTCGTAACCAGCAACTGTCATTAATCTGAACAACAACAAAAAAAATAATCGGTTTTGAACTTTTTCGCCACCAAATAACAGCTGTCTCACCTCATTTGATGCATCGTCAGCGCCGTGACTTTCGGCAACATTGAATTATTCGACGACCTTCGCTGAACATCGGCGCGCTCGCTCGATTTCAAGAACGAGAACGTGCCTTTCGAGTAGCGCTCAAAGTCGACCGCGTTCACCGGCGGCAGAATTTTCGCCATCTTGTCGCCGCTCGCAACGTCGAATATCATAATTGTCGAATCCGAGGCGGACGCACACATTTTCGCGTCATGATGAACCGACATGTTCGTATGTTGGCCGGTCATCCACGGCGCCTCTATCGTGATTATTGGGTCCTGAAACGTCTCAACGATTTTCTCGAAAATAAAAAAGAAAAAAATGCAAACCCCTTATGGTCAATTTTCTTTTTTTTTAAATTTTTTCTTAATGAGGTTTTTATTTTCCTGAATTTCTAACGCCATTAAAATTCACATTCCCAAAAATGCACAATAAGCAGCTGGTCCGTGTAAGACCATAGAAAAAGGCACACCAGCCGACGACAACGATACACAAAATTCATCACATCTGCTAAGAATTTCATGCTGATTTCGATAATCGTGGTCCGGAACCATATAATTCACATTCTTCGGAAAAAATGTTTGTCGAAGCCGCGTGATTGCGTAGGTGCGGTCTACTGTAGAATCGGGTCTCGCTACGTGGGTGTCCATTTACGCCAAGTTGACAAGTGGTGCATTGTCCGTGTGAAGTACACAGCGCACATATTCACCCCCCCGCCCCCCCAACAAATTATAAAACCGAACCGTAGATTTCCTCGGATCCCACATCGATATGACACCATCACGAGTTCCGGCAAACAATTTCCCGTCATCGCCCGACCGTCGGAATCGCAAATGCATAATCGACGGCGCATTCTTCTCATAGACCGACGTCGTCGGAACGCACACGGCTGGAATTCGAGTCGCCCGGAATCTCGGCGTTCGCAAATCGAACACGTCGATTTGTCCATCGCCATAGCCAACGGCTATCAGATCGTCGTCCAAATCGGCCGACATCGACGTCGGCTGCATACTCGTCACAAATCCCGACGGGTACGGTATTTCGGACACCGTTTTTTCATAGTGCGCATCCCAAATGTGTACACTCCGCGTTCCGGTGCATATCAATCTTCCGCTGTCTTGATGCCAGCTGCAAAAAAACAATTGCCATTTACGATAAAACGCGGGCAACTCGTCAACGGCGGAGTGTCGTGACCATCGCCGCGAATTCAATAACGAAAAACCGAAAACTCACTCATACATGCACCTTCCATTCTCGTCTGAAAGTCTCGTCTGATCGCCCAACGGAAATCCGCCGGAAATCAATTGCGGCGGCGACTCATAATCATCGGACCATGACGTGAAGCACGGGTCCCAAATTCGAATCACGCCGTTCCGACTGCACGCAATTATCATTTCTCTCGACGTCTCATTAATCAATATCAATTCTGACACATTTTGCTGAAAAAAAGATAGTTCTCGATTAAATTAGAATCACCATTGTTGATGAAAAAAAAAGGAAAGCCCCACGCACCGTATTGAACGGATTCGAATCGGTCAAATCAAATTTGCGGAATGTTCGCGGATCGGTGTCTTGCCGAATAATCGTCAACATTTTTCCATCAGTCGCATACATACACCTAGATTTAGTTGAGAAAATGCCCAAGCTTCGTCCTTCCTACCTTCGAAGTCTCGAAGTAACTAAACTAGAAACCGGATGAGTCAGATTTACTTTCCAAAGGCAATGATCGTATCGTGTATTCTAGAAGCGCACATTATTTTTTTTTCAATTAAAAGGAAAAAACCTTGTAGTTCGAATATTCAATATCGGCACTTTGTTTCATTCCTTCCATCGCATGAATCGCCCAATCCGAAAGCGAGGTTTTCGTCAAAACGTTGTCGTCATTTTCCTCAGATCTTTCCTAATCAAAAAAAAATAACGTCCCATCATGGTCTGTGTCAAAATTTACCCCAAGTATATCCAAAATCGGCTCGACAAAAATTCGGCTGCACCACGGCACAAACTCGGTGGTGACGAGCGGATTATTTATCACATCGCGCAACGAGGCCGAATCGGTTTTCGACGAGAAATTGCCGCCTTTCAACACTTTGTCCTAAATTTTCGACAATTTCAACCAGAGTCGGTTTTATGAAATGAAGAAAAAAAACGCAGCCAGTGCGAGACCCGCGTTACACCAGATCAATGCGCCTTTGAATTACGGTATCCCAAAAAGTATTTTTCTCCTCAGAAAATCGAAAAAAAAGTAAATGGAAAAAATGTCTCGCGACTTTTCTGAAGTATTAAAAACCACTGATTTCAGTATTTTTAGATTCTAATTTCAATTATATTAATGAAATTGTTAAGAAACGCGAACTTCAAAAAAATGTCATAATTGTTTAAAGGCACATAGCGCGCAAAATGATCTGAGTCTTAGAGGGGTTGCTTCAGGTAGCCGCGTTTTTTTTTCGTCAGAAATACTAGAAAAATCGCAAACCGTTCTCCTTTTCGGCGTAAACGCGTTTCCCGTTTCGGTGAGCCTCTTAGCACCCGCTGAAAACAAAAACAGTTGTCAAAATTTAATTAAACAAGGATTTTGTTTCAAAATCTTACAAATCGTATCCTGATCAAAATACATCGCGACAAAGTCTTTTCTCGGCATCGCCGCATATTTTTCCAGCATCTCCTTCTTCTGCTGCTCCTTCTGAAGCGCTTTCAACTGCAAATCCTCACTACTACGATTTGAGGCCACTGATTGAGAATCGCCTTGAGAAAAAAAAATTAATCATCCGCACCAATAATAAAAAAAATATTGAATTAACTCACTCTCATTCTCGTTGTTTTCCTGTCCAGGGCTTCCAATTTGAAATTTAACGCGCTCCACTGCAAATAAAAATCAAAACATTTTTTCTCAAAAGCCAAACGATGAGTCATTTCGGTGCGGGATTCGTTATCGCCAACACCACCCACTCACACTTCTCGGTGATCGCCATTTTCTCGCTTTTCGTCGTCGGCGCGTCCAGCGATGTGACACCGGCGCTCGATGCTTTCCGCACCTGAGTATCGTCATCCAATTTTTTGATCTTGAATTTGCCGTTTACCACGTGACGGCTCAGAAAATCATACACTTCCATTTCAAGACCGTAGGCGCCTTCTTCGACTTTTTTCACAATTTTCTGCGCCATTCGAGCCACCTAAAAACTCGCGATTTTCGAAAATTCGGCGATCACTCACGTTTTCCACCGGGTCGAGCGACAATCGCAAAAGCGCAAGCCATGTTCGAGCTATCGGCTCATTGAATGTTTTCGACTCCAAAAATTTGATTTGAGCTTGCGCGCGGCTTCTAAAAAAACCTTCCAATCTTCTCAGATTATTCTTTTTTTCTCTTCTCAAAAAACAAAAAAAAACAAAACCGCCTCACTTATAATCATCGTCTTCTGGTTCCCTCTCAATAGTTCCAACTTCCTGCTTCATTGATCGAATCTGTCCACGAGCATCGCTCCAAACTTCCTAAATCTTCAATTGTCAGAAAAAAAACTCGAATTTTCATTATCGCGAAAAAAAAACCTCGGTGAACGGCGCATTGAACACACTCGTCGACATTTTCTTTCGATAAACCGATCGCTGTGTAAAATCTCTGCAGAGAAAAAAAAACCACCCAATTTTGAAAATTTGTTAGGCAATCTGTTGAATTACCCAGTTTCTTGATGAGATTTCTGCGTTCGCAATGTCGACGCAACATCGATGCCCTCTTCGTCGTCATCCGTCGGCTCCTCTTTCGGCGCCGGATATTCAAAATTACAACTTTTCGACAAATCATGCGCAATTTTTACAAAGCGCTTCATAAAATCAAAAACGAACCACTGAAATGCAATTTGGGAGGACCATATTGAGCTGATAATTGATACCTGTAGGGCCACAATGAGCTCTTCTCGAACCAAAACTGAACCATCGAAAACGCATCTTGTGCACAATTCGTCCGCAATTTCCTCATCTGAATATTACGTATACATTATTGCTTACGGTATCCCGAAATATTCACCAATTGCAGACGCGTGCTCATTCAAATGCGACGAGTTCTTCAACAAACTTCCAAGAGCGAACACCGCGGCAGCTCGGACTTCCGGCGAGACGTCCTCGAGCTCTTTGATGACTTGATCATAGGAAACGAGTCGAATCGCCTGCCATCTCGCGTCATCGTAGTCCGACCATAATCGTCCCATGCCGATGAGAAGCCACAATTTGAGAAGGCGAGATTTCGAAGCAACCGGATCGCAAAGAAGCTCGGTGCAAAGATTCACAAATCCTTTTTCAGTGAGGTTCTCTTGAGCGACTCTGAAGTGCAAAAAAGTGAGATGTTACGGTAAGACCAGAGTTTCGCGCCAAACTTGAATACATATTTGAGACTCACTTGTAATTATTATGTGTGAGCATGGCGAGCACAAACGCGGCGACAATTTTTTGGCGCGGCGGCGTTTCGGGATCGTTGAGTATTTGCACAAAATAAATGTAGCGAAGAGGCGCCGGAATCTTCTTGATCGGCCCGTGCATCGAGCTTCTCGGCGACGGCGTCATATGGCCGAAATTGTGATGTTGCTGAATGAATTGTTGCGTTCGATCGTTGACATGACTTCCGGCGAATCGAGCGCCTAATTGCGCGACGCCGTGACGATCAGCTCGCTGAAATTCCTCAACCGAGAACACGTTCGACGACGGTAGCGGACTCGGACGCGGTTGATTCGACGCCGCCGCCGAGCCGATGCTGTCGTCGCCGTTCTCTTTGAACAACTCGTTCTGGCAGCTCGGATCGACAGCAAGAATCTGAATCGGATCGCTGAATAGAGCTTCTCGCTCCTTCACGAGCTCACCTTGGCCCAGATAAACGCCAAATGCGGCCGCAATTCTTTGGTGCTGCTCTGCAAGAGCCTCAACACATATGGGAATATTCCGACCGACAGCGAATAGCCAACCGCCCATCGTCCAAAGTCCAAGAATTTCGCGAGAAGACCCAACGCGGTGACGCGATGTGTCTGACTGAGCAATACTTGAAGGACAACGGGAAGTTGAAGAGGCGGAGAGCCACGATCGATTCCGTATGTGAGCCACATCTGAAGCAATCGTTCTTTTCAGATTTTTCGTTTTGCAAACTCCCAACATCAAACGCCTTCAATTGATCGACAAAGAAGCTATTGCTGGTGTTGTCATTGGTCGCATGATAGGCGCTGAAGTCAACAGTAGCTGAAATTCAACTGTTTTTTCAATCCTGACGACTAAAATCTTACTAATATACGGGAAGATTTGACTTCTCAACAAGATTTCTCTTCCCGACGAGACCACATTGTGATTTTTGATAAATATGAGCTCACGAACGTAATTCATAACCAAATCCAGTGTCGTATCCCAACTGCTCCAAAGCTCGTGCTCGGACGTGTTCTTCAAATGCGGCCACGAGATCGGCAACACGTCATAATCGCTCATAATGCGTTGCGCGAGAAGAAAACTGCGGAATAGCGAAGCAAGCAGAAGATCCTGCCGGAACAGCTTCTGGAAGATATCGCGTTCGATCGAGGTGAACGCGATCGTGTCGGTTATCGCCGTGAAAATCCAATTGAGCTCGCCGAGCACCGTTTTGCGCTCGTTCAAATTTCCGGGAATGGTCTCAAGAATATTCTCGGGAAAATATTGAAGTTTGTCGGTTTTCACGAGATACCTAACGAAAAAAAAAATAGTCGATAAAAATCCAAAAAAAATACCACAAAATCGCCGTATGCACCGGTGTCGTCAAGCACGACGTGAATAAATCCGCCGGCATATTCTTATCATGTAAAGGAAGTAATTCGCCAGCTCGGCACGCAGCCAAATGAATGCAATCCTTGAAAATTTGAAATAAACTCCCATGACAATGTGTGCAAGTTACATGAAATTTGGGAAACTTCTCCGGATAGCCCATCGCTTGTGCCTGCTCTGCTTGATCCATAGTCGACGAGATCGCCGGCAATTTCGATTTCTCCTCTTGCCACTTGTCAAAATCGCTTTGCCAATTCCTTGAAAAAAAAAAAGAAATAAGCAAACACTTTCAATCAGCAAATTTTTGCCACCAACTTTTGATGATCATCGGCAAATCTCTGAAACGCGGTGATAATCGCACCAGCCGAATGGCATTCCCAAACATAAACCGCCGGGAATTCCAGCCAAGATTGAAGATCGTACACCGACAACGGGATATACTGGAAACAATAGTTGTTTCCCTTCATTTTCAATTCTCATTTTTCCTACTTGTGTGAAACTCTTATTAAACACCCAAATCTCTCCGTTATCGGTTGGTCTTGGCACTCCCATTCCATTATAATGGAACAAGATTCGATCGCCGCCGCTAACACGCCTCAAGTTGGTCGCAATCTTGCGCACATCGTCGATTGGCGGATCGCACGCGATTTTGTATCTAACAGTTCTAAAGTGTGAAATACTGCGATTAGATCGAACGTCTTACTTGGCTCTCGGCTGCCATCGCTCATAGCTCTTCTGAAGTGAAAGCGCAATATCGTGTGCGGCCTTCAAAGGCCCGCATTTGAATGGGTCCACCCATGCGAGCTTCTTCGAGCACATTTCTGGTTTCGGCGGAGCATCGGGAGGATCGATTCCAATATGTAGACAAAGCACAATCGCAACGCTAACTGTTTTCATTCGATCTTTTCCATTACGCCTCCTAGTCATTTAATAATTTTCCAAACTCGATTCCTATCACGAAATTTACCAATTTGGTTTATCAGGATCCTCGAGATCAATGATTCCTCGAATATCTTCAACATGTCGGGGCTCTTGAAAAAACCTCGTGATCAAACCGCAAGCTTTCTGCAATACATATATATTTTTTGACAATTTCAGGTTTAAAAATATGTTTGGTTGCGCAATTTGAAAAACCTGGCCATTTCGCATTTCATCCTCGAGGCGCGCCAAGAAATTGTTATAATGGATCAGCCTTCTATCTTTCTCCTCCATATTTTCTCCCTAAACACTCGAAAATTTCAACTGTGTTGCAAATTAAATACGATTTTCAACGAAAGTTAAAAATCACGAGAGAATGCTGCAAACGCGCTCCATTGCGAATCGCTTTTGCGTCTCGCCGTTTAAAATGTGGCTTCTCTTCTCGCACGCACATTTTTCGAGCGTTTGCGTCTCCGACAAAATTTCGTAAATTTTCCCAGAACTTCCACAATTCCACATAAAATAGCGATACTAAAACGCTAATAAAGTATTTTTGCTGGAAAAAAGGCGCAAAAAATCGGAAAAATATTTATTTGAAAAAAAACCAACAAATTTATTTCGATTTTGAGTCGTCTCCTTGCGTTACATCCGACAGCATTAAAGTATTTTTCAAGTTATCCGTCAACTTTTTCATCTCATTCGTTGGTAGTTTCGACGTTTGCGAGCTCGCCGATGATTTGTTCACATTGAATGTAATTCGACTATTCGAGCTAACTAGCGACGCTTTTCGCAGGCGGCCCGGCCTAAAATCCTCCATTGAATTTCAATTGTAAAAAACATCAAAATTTACGTTCTCTTCACCGGCGTCGTCTTTTTATTGGACGGCGGCTTTTCCGGCTTCGATATCACACTGGCCTTGGATCTAAAAATGCAAACGTCTTTTTTGCGCCCAATCTAGGTCAAACATCTCCGATGAAATCAAATTCGTCTTGTTAATCAATGTATTATTCTGCTTGCCCGCTATAACAACATCATAAACCGGCATGAAAAAGAATTTGTGCTTAATCGCCATCCGATCCATAGGCACCAAATGATTCGTAATGTTCATTAATTGCACCCTAATTAATTGTTTAATTATTTTGTGTCCCTCCTCACTTTTTCCTCTCCGTCGACAACAATCCATACAATGTCGTCAGAATAATGTATGCAATAATAATAATCGTGGGTCCCGCGTAGGGCAAAAACTCCCAAAACCAGATGTTCTCCTTCCTCTCTAAATATCGATTTTTGGGTCCCCCTCAAAAAAAAAGCGACGCCGTTGCCACAATTAATCCGCACCTGAGCAGTACCGACCGGTGTATTGTCGAAAGCAGCGGCAGGACACCTTTCCCCTCTCGTTCATGCATTTCCCATACGCGCATCTTAATTATTATTTATTGATTCGCAATTTTTGAATCGCGCTTTTCTCACGGGTCGTATAAATTGAATGAGTCCGTTGAGGATTTGTTTCGAACGCAATCTTGAACCTCTAAAATCCAATGATTAGAGACTTCATTTTTTGTTGTCTGGAAATTCTTCAAAACCAATTCGAATTCGATTGCTTATGGTTAGCTCTAAAGTTTCATTGTTCCTAATTTGCCTAGAAATCACATTGCATTGTAGAATCGCGTTTCTCATGTCTTCCGATATCGCTGACGCGTATAAAGTGGTCCCACTGATTTTCCAGCCTCTATAAAAGCCCGTTTCACTCATTTTGACCTTCTATTCTCACTTTGTTTCTGGTACAATCTTTGTTCGATTTAATGTTCCTTTAAAATTGATGGTGGTCAAGCGCCAGTCCAAATACACATTCTTCAATTAATTCTTTGGATTTTCCTCAATCATTTATTAATACCAGAAGACTACTCGATTCCTCTTTTGCCAAACATTCAAACTTGGCACTCCAACCTAATGGGACATATTGTTTTACGTCACTGATTACGTGCTCTTTCGGAAATAGCTCTAAAATAAAATGTAAATATTAAAAAAAAATTTCTTCACTTACTGATCTTATTCGGATAATCTAGCTTATATGGGAACGAGTTTGATATGAATAAACTGACTAGTATAGCAATAATGATTGTTTCATTTCTGTTAACCATTTCTCAAATTGAAAATTTATATAAATGTGATTAATACTCACGCGTCTATCAATTGTTGTTGTGATAATTCAAACTCCCTCCGAAATGGTTGTCCGCAAGTTTGCGCGCGGTGTACTGAACCTCTTTTGAAATTGTCGCCCCAAAATCCGTTCGCCATCGATTTTTTTTTACATTTTTCCTGATTTTGTTTCATATTTTTATTATTTACAGATCGTCAGGTCCGAAAGTCATCGCCTAACCGCGAAGTTTTGCTAGTTATCCCGAAAGTTGTTTGTGGGTAATAATCAAAACAGAAAGAAAAGGAATTATGTCGGACGGAAGCCCAGAACGTGGACAAAAACGCGCGGATAGCCAGCTTGAGAGCAGACAAATCAACATTCAACAAAAAAGGTAAAATTGATAGGAATTGAATTATCGATCTTGAATGACTAATTTTCAGATATTATGTTGACATCAATGAGAACCATCGCGGACGCTTCATCAAGATTGCCGAGTTGGGAAGCAACTACAAATCGCGCATCATTCTTACTTTGCGTGCCGCCAACGCCATCCATACCGCTATCAATGGCCTAGCGGATCTCATCGACGCGCCACCATCGAACGTCGAGTCGAAGGAGGCGGTTCTCATCAAGTCGGAAACGATTACCGTCGACAGCCGTCGCTTCTATCTCGATTTGAAGGAGAACGAGCGCGGACGTTTCTTGCGCATCGCTCAGATGCCGCAGAATGCTCGCCAGGAGCGCGTTCATATTGCGATTCCATCATGCGGAATCAAGGATATCAATGAAGCGCTGGCTGATTATCTCAACAAGTACTACGATGAGAGCGCCGAGCTGGCCGCCGAGAACAATGATTCGAAGATGCGCGTCAACGCCGAGAACAAGACATTTGTTTTCAACAAGGGTGAGAATGATCGCGGACAATATGTGCGCATCTCGGAGGTAAACGCAATTAGTTTTCAATTTCCACCCAATGGCAACATTTCAGATTAAGCTGAGCAGCGGATACAGAAACGCCATCACCATCCCGTTTGCTTCGTTGGAGCTCATCCGCAACGCTCTCAACGAAATCATCGAAGGTGGAAAAGCATAAATCGCAATTAATTATATTCCTCTCCCTTTGAACGTTCATTCTTCCTGTTCTTTTTTTTTAATTTATTGACTTTGTTACCTCCCCCCCCCCCCTAAATTTTTTATTTCCATATTATTGCTAATAGCATAATTCGGTATCCTATCCGTATTTATACCCACGAAAAAAAAAAAACACGACTATTAGCATTTCTCATCATGCATCTCGTCCATTCTTGTTGAGAACGTTCCTTCCCTTCTTCCTTCTGGTTTATCTAATAAAGTAAATAATTGCGAAATTCATGTTTATTTGGGGGAAGGGGCGACCTCCAACTCAGCTCTAGCCAACGTGAAACAAATTTCAACGTTAAAAATGCGACGCCAACAACGATTGGCCATTCTTCCAAAATATGGGCAATTTTACATCGCGCCTGATTTCTTACTGGTTTCCGAATATTGAATGCCGAACATTGATGCTTGGATTGGATGGCGCCGGAAAGACAACGCTTCTTTATAAGCTGAAGCTTAATGAGACGGTTCATACGATTCCAACAATTGGTAAGTGGGCGCTTCGAATCGAGCAATAGAATCAATTGAAGGTTTCAACGTGGAGACGGTGACGTTCCAGAAAATGACGATCACAGTTTGGGATGTCGGCGGACAGGGAACAATTCGAGCGTTGTGGAAATACTATTTCCCGAACACCACGGTTAAACTCCAATTTCAGCGCACCGTTCAATATTTCAGCATATTCCAGGCGTTGGTGTTCGTCGTCGACAGCCATGACAGCGAGCGATTCAACGAAGCCCGTGACGAGCTTCATCGTGTTCTGCAAGACTTTGAGCTTGCAGGTTTGTTGATTTGTTTGAAGCCTCACCTACAACTGCAATCATTTAGAAACGCACCTTCTGGTGTTCGCCAATAAGCAGGATTTGCCGAATGCGAAGTCAACTGCCGAAGTTGCGGAAGCTCTAGATTTAACGTCGCTTAAGAATCGACAATGGTTCATCGTTGGGACGAACGCGATCACCGGCGATGGATTGTTTGAAGGATTGATGTGGCTCAAGAATGTCATGAAGGCTTGAATTCCATTCTGTTTTGTTTCTAATAAATATATTAGTATTTTATTTTTTTAAATTGATTTTCGGCGTCAAACGACTGACCAAAATTTTAAAAAATGATTGGGCCTCGAGGCAGCGAGAAGTACGCGAGGCTGCGTACATTGCCTTATATCGTACGCGCATTTAATATTCAATCAACGATGTGAAATTTAAGACGCCGAAAATAGTATGAAATGTTTCGAAAATATAGTAGGCATTAAAGGCGCACGCAGGAAATGCTGTTTTCGCGTAAAGAATCAAAATTGGAAATTGTTTCAAATTTATCAAATTTCCTTCTCATTTTATCAAAGAATGCAAATATTGAACATATTGCGAAACGGTCCCCCCCCCCATAATTTTTGGAAATGGGGGCCAATGTTCCGAATTAGAAACATTTTCCAATCGGATCCGAGAAATTACCAATCGGATTTGAAATAATAAGTAAAGGGGTTAAAAAGCTGCCGTCCTGCCGAATAGTGGCAGGGCGGTGCCTCCCTTTATTTCTCACTCACTTTTAATAGGCGTTAGAAATAACGAAAACGCTCGAAGAAATTACTGCTTTATTTCTTCATTAAAGTGGGGAAATCTCGAACAAATTGGCGGTGGATCGTATTGGAGAGAGTTGGTAAAAATTCGGAGCCGGCATGTGCGACTCATAAAAGGAAGGAAAGAGAGCCCAGATGGATAGTTATGGGGGTTTATATATGGTGCATTACAATCAAAGAATTTAATAAAGGATTTAATAAAGAATTGATAAGGATTACATCAGCTACCGGTCGCCCACGGCTTCCGGTGGAGCTGATGTATTTGATTAAGTTTTGTGATAGAACATGATGGGTTTTCCTTTACAAATACAAAAATCGAATCGGATCCGAGGAATTTCGAATTAAAAAAAAAATTAAAAACTGGTTGAAACAGGTATAAAATAGCTTTTTTTAATGCATATTGTATACGACCTTTAGGTTTTCATTCATTTTTTTCAGAATTTATCCAAAATTTATGATTCCAGACGTTTCCGGAGCATAAATGGAGATGTGATCAACTGTCTTGTCGGTACGTTTTCTTCATTTTCTAATTTCAATTAGTTGTTAACTTCCAACAAACCTTAGAAATAACATTAATTGGTTCATTAATGCTTGTTGATGCATTTTGTTCAATAAAAATACTAAAACGTTTCGTTTTTTAGTCTGGAGGCTAACTACCTTTACAATATCAACCTTCTTTGCAAGTCTTGCGCAAATCAAATACCTAAAAACAAATGTGTCAACAAAATAGTCTTAAATGTTTAGTACAATTTAACACGATTAAGAAATATAAATTTATTTTTGTATAAATATATTTTTATATTGGGAAAATATTAGTCATTTATTAATTTTCAGTCGTAGATAACCACTAGTTTACAAAAATATACACTTAAAATACAATTTTTTTCAATTTAATTGTTGATTATAATAAAAAATATTTTAAAATAATTTTCGTCAAACAAACTGAGCGCAACAAGTAATTTTTAATTGATAAGACGACGTCATTGTTTGTTATTCTTGAGAATCGTATTCGTTTTCGATTCCATATTCTTCATCGTAGTTATCCTCATCACCCTCAAGAGATAACAAATTCTAGTTCGAAGCGACTCAGGCAAATCAAATAAAATATTTTGAGATTAATTGAGAAACTAACGTGTCTTCATAATATTTTAGATTTTTCTCAATCAACTTTAAAACATGTTAAAAGAGATGAAACCTGGTACTAGACTTATATTCATGATATGAAAAAATACCAGCGTTTGGCTCATTAAAATCGGTCAATGCCGCAATTTCCATATCCTTTGCGCCGATTTTTGTTGGGTCGTAGTACGTTTGTAAATCCTCCTGAAATTATCGTAATTCATAGTTATCAATAATTTAGCGGCAGTGTTTTTTTTTCTCATTTTCGATTTTATGAATAAAAAGAATTGCTATACCCTCTTTAGAATGCGTTTCTTGGAGAAGAAATACAATTCTTTCAAAATCTTGAACACTAAGAGTTGTCTATAATGATCCTGTAAGAAGACAATAAAAAAACGTTTTTGTATTTAGTACTTCGATTTCATTCGGTTTCGACCTTTGAGTTATAGAGATCGTCGATGGCATTCTGTTGTGATACGAGCGATTCGATATCTGAAATGAGATTTTGATGACTGTGGACATGTGAACAGACACACAGAAATGTAATTTAATATAATGTTCAGTTTCCGAGAAAATCAAATTTCAACAACTAACAAACACACGTACCATTTGAATTTGACACTGTTTCACTTTTTTCTCGCATTCGCCTTATTCTCCACACCTTCTTCGGTTTTCCATTTTTCCTTAGTGCTTCTTCTATTATTTCCTTGGTCACACTTCGTATTCTCCGCGGCGACATCTAAAATACCGAAATCATTTGAAACTGAAGTATAATTGTAATTAATTGTAATAATTATGCGCATTTTTATAATTCATAAACCTGTTCATGCAACAAACTGTTTATACACAACTGTTTCAAATTCAGCATGTAAAAAACGCAGATTTAAGGTAGTGTTAAACATATATTATAAAAACTTGCATTTCATGAATACGTCCATCACTGAAGTGAAGAAACTATCACAAAAAGCTAAAAAAAACGGAAAGAACATCAAAAACATAAATTATTGATTGGAATTTAGAAGATCTTAAAAGGAGACGCCGCAAATTACGTCAGCGGAATTCATAAGGGCCTCATTCAAATTTTAAAGCCTCACAATATATTGAGATACTTTATACTTTCTCAAAAGATTTAACTTTCTCAAAAGATTTAATTTACAAATTCCAAATTTTTAAAATTTAATGATTCTCAATAAGTTTTAGAAAATATCAATAAACTTTAGAATTTCTCATAATATTTTAGAGTTTATTATGGAATTATTCATGAAATGAAAAAATTTTAAAAAATCAATTTTTTTTTTCATTGCATGAATAGGACCATTATTGAATATTTGATTCTCAAAATATTTTAATTGATTTGCCTGAGTAGCTTCTTCACGCTGTTCAGCAATTGGCAAATTTCTTGGCGATTGCATGACTCCATGTGCCTCCACCACTTCTTCTGTCTAAAATAGATTTTTCACAATAGTTTTGCAAATTAAAAAAAATTTTTTTTTAATTTTTTGTTCACTAAAAAAATTCCCGTGAAGGTCCCGAGTCTCCCGAGAATTTCTCAGAATTTCTCGGGAGTCTCGGAAAATTTTTCTCGAGAAAGTCTCGAGAAATTCTCGCAAGTCTCGGTTCTTTTTGGAAAGTCTCGGGAGTCTCGAAGAGATTCTCGAGAAAAATTCTCTTGGTACCGGTTAATTTTCTCGATTTTTCTCGAAATTTTTTTCCCGAGAACACACACTGTCCAAGAGTATTTGTAGCTACAGTAACCCAATAGCTTGAATATTGATCCGATCGATCTGAAAGATGGGCCATTGACTAAATCAAATACGTTGAATTTTTTTTAATATTTACATTACCGTAACCTGATTACTGTAACTACCGTAACCCAATTGATCTGAAATTCAATTGGATATAGTGCGGGAATTGGGGGTGTGCACAAACCCCGGCCTCGTGTGCCATATTCCCGACTCTTTCCATGTTCATCGATTCGTGTTGGAAACAAACAATAAACAACTAAGAGTTTATTTATGTACAATGGAATGAGTAACAAAAGGGTGTGGACTTAAAACTGGTCTCCCAGCTTCCTACCTCCCCGTTCGTTTAACGAGCATCGCTTATATAGGGGGTGAGCTGGTTGGCATTGATAAAGGCCTTGAGTTATTGCTTCCGGTCGGAGGGTTGATTAAATATATATTGGCCTCCTTCCGGTCGCTGGTCGACCTGATATTGCCCCTATGACTCACTTACAATATGCTGAAAATTTTGAAACTATTTCGAATACTGAAATGCGAGTTTTGTTTTAACGGTTCCCCTTAAAAATGCAAATATAAGAAAATTTTCGTTTGAATGCCCTCGTCGATGGCCTTGTCACATTGAGCCCTTTTGTTTTCTGGGCGAGAAAGGAATGAGTAAGCATGAATCATGAAAAGATTTGTTTCCTCAAATCCTTTCATTCATTTGTGAGACATTTGTCTTTTGAAGATTTCACACCGTTTCACTTTTTTTAGTGACGTGCACAAAAATATGTGTGTGTAGTGCATAGCGAGACGCAGAAATGGTGTTTTTGCCATATGGTCACCAGATTTCCACTTTTTTATTTTTATTTTTTTCACTTTCTTGTCAAAACTTTTCACATTTGCCTCAACACGATAACATCACGTTTTCTTGTGCTTTGAAATTCTTCACAACATTACCGTATTACCGTAACCCGGTTATTGTAGCTACAGTATTCCATTTTACGCAAAAGTCTGTTCAAAATATTTATTTTAAGTTATTATTTTTTTTAATATTTATTTTTTTATATTTTTTCAAAATATTTATTTTTTTTTCAAAATATTTATTTCATTATTTTATTTATTAACAATTGCTGACGAACGACCAAATTTCTCCATTAATCTTTGCAACAACGATATGGAAAGTTTTAACGCCGATGCAATTGCGATTTTTACCGATGAGAACTTGAATCCAGGTTTTTTTGTTAAATAAATGTATTACATTTGTTGGTAATTAATTTAAGTTGAAAAAAGTGAATATATAGTGAAAAAAGGCGGATGTCAAATATCTGCGAAAATGCAAGAAATTATCGAGAGGTGTGAAGAAAAAGTAATGATGAAAGGGCAAGCTTTTCATACGCATGCTTACGAACTAAAGAGCACGAAACGTAAGTGAAAGTTTTATTTAGATTTCACCTAACAAAATGTTCAGATTTAATTATGACACATGGTCAAATTGTTTATCCAAAAATAGCCATATCAAGACTGGATAAACATTATATGCGCTTGTGCATTTTAAACACTATTTATATTGCAAAGATAGAAAAAGCAGAATCAATTGTAAGACATTTATATTGTAAATAAGTACAAGAATATTTTAAGATAATCGTAGTTCCGTCATCTGGAAGTGCCAAATAAGATAGGAAGCAATGTATGGGAATTATAATTTTTTCCGTACTGGCGCATTTTGAAATTTACAAGAATACGGTGAATATAATCGGTAATTAATAAATAACGAATTATTTACAGAGTGCGACAAAAATAAGCTTCCTGTGTTTATGCGAGGAATTCAAACGATACTTCACTGATCTCATAGGAAAAGAATATTTTAAAATTGAAAAGTCTCGAGCATCGCGATTTCGGAAAGACCTAGAGAAAAAATGTGGCATAACAAATAACTCTGACATTGGCAATGAGCCTTTCGGCTTTCTGGTTCGGCACTGGGCTAATAAAAAACTCGATCAGTTGAGAATAAAGTAAGGATTTAATACAAATCCTAAATTTCCAAATTCCGAGTTTTAGAAAATCAACTGATCAATTAAATAAGTTGATGAAGCAGGTAAAACCGCTGGAGCCGATTGTTGTGGAATTGTTTGGAAATGTGGAAAGGACATGAATTGTACGAAGTTGTCATGCGTTACTTAGAAATTCCGAAAAATGAAATTGATGATCAATGTATTATGTTTGAGGCTCGCCGATTGGCATTCCTGAAGGCCATGGAAGATCAGGAATCGGAAAAATGTGAAGTTTGTGCGCAGCTCACAATGTCATCAGCTATTGGTTTAAAAATCTCGACAAATATGCGCAAATCCTGGCATTGAAGGCAACCAAAGGTAAATTTTCAAAAACAAATATACACAAACTCAATTATTCTATATTAGGTGTGATGATAATGGTGCCTGTATTCGCGGAAGAGACAATCGATCATGTGGCAAAGGTGTTGCCATCGTTAGCACGCTTGCAGCTGCAAGTGCTGGCCCAATGGCAATCGATTCACCTCGTGTCTCTTCCGCGACTTCTCAAGGCGTTGAAATGGCTTAAAATGAACAATGCCCATTACAAGGACATTGTCATCAAGCGTTCAAATTCGAGGTGCGTTCAAATTCGAGGTGAAGGACGTGTTTTTTGAGAAGCCAGATGCCACACAAGAAGATGCCGATGAGCTGATTGATTTGGAGGGTAAAGATGATGATCGTCTTCTCTTGACGCAGCAGCACATCGAAAATGTTGGAATCACCGATGTGAACCCGTCGAATGGATGTCATATATTTAAGCAAGATAAGTATTCTCCATTGAGCGTAGATCAGCCTCACGCCGACGAGATGGCTTTCGTAGAATTATTCCCGCGAGGAAAGAATGGGTTCTCGGAAAAACGGCAAAAGAATGTGACCATGGCGACATTCGTCAGATCGCGTCTGCTTAACCGCGATCGGACATTTGCGAAGAATTTGAAACACCAATTTTTCATGTACGGATTGCGCAAGCAGCGCGATTTGACGTCCAGCATGGTGACGAGAGCCAGGATTCAAAAAAGAACGAAAGGAAAGGAAGTCAAAGAGAATTTGACAGTTAAAAAATAACTATAAAGCTCAATATTAATCATTGGAATTTAATATAATGCGTTCCGATCCAATATGAGCACGGTATTCGCAAAATTCCGGGGCTATACGCCCTACTGGAATCAGTGCCGGCTCAGGATCCTGAATTACCTGGCATTCTTCGGGCCGCCAACATGTTGCGTCACCTTGAACCCAAACGAGAAGAATTGGCCGGATCTTCATGCGCTGTATTCAAAGATCACAGGAAAGGTGGTGAGCCAATTAAAAAAAATGTTACATTGGAAATTTGAGATATTTAGTGAATTTAAGATAGGAAGATCCTCTAATCTTCTCGAGTTACTGGAGAAGGTGGAGATGTTCATTACCCATGCGCTCCTTCACGAGAACGGACCTCTCGGTAAAGTAAAACATTACTTTCAAAAGGACAATTGCGTACGGTAAATTATTTTTTGAAAGAGTATACTCATAGATTAAACTGAAATTTAATTCAGGAAACATCGAATATTTGTTTTACAATCCAATACTTATCCGGTAAAGTCCTCGATTCGCTCAATCTGTAAAATTTGATATAAATAACTCGAGTCCAATAAATAATTAAAAAAAAAACTTTAAAAGCAACGAAGAATGTTGCGAAAAAAAACGAGATATGCATAAATATTATTACTTATTAAATTTACTAATGTTTGAATAAGTTTCGTGTGAATAAAACCTGCAAGGAAGGATAAAAAAAAAGAAAAGTAGGCCCAAAATAAAAAAATATTCAGCGTACGATATATCTGTGCAATTAGTCGTATAGTGTTTACGGACTACGCATTTTCACCGAACATTTTTTAATTTTCGGTCTAATTTTCTTTTTAAAATCATTCTTTTATGTTTTTAACCTCACAAAACGTTTTCAAACATAAGCAAATTTAATAAGTAATAATATTTATGCATATCTCGTTCTTTATCTCGTTTTTTTTCGCAACATTCTTCGTTGCTTTTAAAGTTTTTTTTTTAAATTATTTATTGGACTCGAGTTATTTATATCAAATTTTACAGATTGAGCGAATCGAGGACTTTACCGGATAAGTATTGGATTGTAAAACAAATATTCGATGTTTCCTGAATTAAATTTCAGTTTAATCTATGAGTATACTCTTTCAAAAAATAATTTTACGTGCGCAATTTTTCTTTTGAAATTTAAAGATTATGTTAAACTTAAATTAATTGCAGGAAGAGAGTCACAAGTTATAAGAAATAAAAGCCACAGAGAGCACGAATAAGAGAAGAAAAGGGATTGAATAACGCGATAAGTGAATTTTTATTAATTTTTTTTTTTGCAAATAAATGTGCTATTAATTTTTTTTTATGTTTTAAATAAACATTTTTCCGAATAAAAACTGTGTTTAGTTGTTTTCGTTAATCTAACGAAGACTACTAACAAAATCTAATCATATATTCCAATTGACTCCCTATGGTTAACCTTACAGTGGACTCTTTCGGTGGATCCGCTCAGCTGGACCTAAGCTTCTCTTTGAAATCAATAAGCAGTGAAATTCCAACAAAAAAAACCATTTTTTTTATGCTTACAGAAGTTTAAAGAACTTTTTTCCTTTCAGTAATATTCTTTCCCTCAATCAGTAATAACATTTCCCCCCCCCATTCAGCAAAGAGTCGGATGGATCGCTACAACTCTAAAAATTTAATATTAGTAGGCCTTCAAAATACGTGAGAAGGAATATGACCTCATCAAATATGATAACGTATGAGGGGTGATCATTAAAATCCGACAAAATTATTAAATCCCTTTTTATTATAGATATTGGCAATTAGCATCGGCACTTTTCGGCCAACGATCTAAAATTTATTGTCATTCACGTGACATTTCTCCGAATTCTCCCCATTCAGCTTCTTACCCATCAATATTGGCCAAAAACAGGAATCTTAAATAAAAAAATTCAGAAAATTGTCAAAAATCACTAGTCAAAAATCATGAGTCAAAAAATAAAAAATCATGATAAAAATTTTTATGAGTCAAAAATCACGAGTCAAGTCAAACAGTATGAGTCACTGAACATTGGCCACAAATGGGCAATACGACGTCACGAATATATTCCAAATTCGGAAAATTTCGTGTTTTAATGCTTGGTTTGGATAATGCTGGAAAGACGACGCTTCTTTTCAAGCTGAAATTGAAAGAAGACCCGAATTCCAAAATTGGTGAGCTTTTTTTCTCGGATCGAAAAATTTCAAGTTTCAGACTTTGGGCAAGAAAATTTAACATTTGAAAATATGAATATTAACGTTTTGGATCTTGGCGGGACTCGAAGGGACCATTATTATGCTTATTTCAACCCGTTCAAACGCCGAATTTGTGACGCCCTGATATTTGTCGTTTGTAGTTGGGAGGAAGTGCGATTTAATGAAGCGCGTCAAGCGCTTCACTGTGCTCTTCACGATTTTGAACTCACTGGTTGTCTAGCAAATTTGCCACGGTTTTAATTTTTTTTTGTTTTCAGAAGTCCCAATTTTGGTTTTCGCTAACAAACAAGACCTCCCCGGATCGAAATCAGCCGAGCAAATAGCAAAAGCCTTGGATTTAACATCGATCAAGAGCCACAGATGGTTTATTGTTGGGACGAACGCGATCACTAGCGAAGGGGTCTATGAGGGTCTCACATGGCTCAAGGAGACATTGACACAATGAATTTCGATGGTTCCCTGCAGCTAAAATAATATATGTATATATACAAACGTATATATATATATATATATATATATATATATATATAAACGTATAGTGTATAGTATACATAGGCCACCCCAGCAGCCAATATATTTGCGGGGCTGTAGTGGCGTCGCCTCTCAATTCCCCACACTATTTCTCTTCTCTATATTTCTATATGTATATATTTCTCTCTATATAGACGACGAAACGGAACTCTTACCACCAAACGTTTTCGTTTATTCTTGCAAGAAATAAATGTATTTCTGAATCGCTAGGCAAAATGTATTCGGAGCAACTTCACTCATTGATCGACGAGCTTCGTCAGGATTTGGAGCACAAATCGACGAAGCTAACCGCGATTTGTAGTGATTTAACGGCCGCCAAATCGCAGGTTCGGCATTTTTTTTTGTGTTCACTCGATCCAAAACTGTGATTTCAGTTCACCGAGCAGGCCTATATAGCGGAGCTCGAGGCGAAATTGAGCACCTACAGCGAGAAATTGGAGAAAACCACGGCAGATTTGGTGGTATTTAATGATCCTATAGAAATTTGTGAGGGTTCTTTTTTTTCAAGGAGTGTAAAGCTCGTGTGAGCAAATTGGAAAAGGAGGTATGCGAATTGAAGAAGAATCCCGAAATCGATCTTGTCAAAAATGCGATGCGAATCGCGAATGCCGAGCTCGCCGCGTTGCGCGCCGAAAACAGCGAGCTGCGGCGGTCGAGGTCCCTTCACAATTACGCCGACGCCAATATTATGGATACCGCGCAGGTGAGCGATCCGAACTCGAATTTCAATAACGCGTAGGCAGTTGTAGATTTACGCGATGGGAATGTCCGAATCAAAACCACTTCAAATCGGATTCCACGGCAATACAATGGTGGCCGGTAGGCGTTCTACGGGACCCTCGAGCCAACCCCCGAAATTGTTTCAGGTCCCAACTGCATTCGTGACACCACGTTCATGTCGGAGAATTCGGGAAGGAATCGCCTCTGGGACCACGACACGATTAAAGCGTTCCATGAGGCGAACGAGGTGATTCCGAAGGAAGGCATTCGCAAATTCCACTACAACGGCGTCAAAAAAGGTGGCCTGACAACTGGTTTAGGTTTTATACGATTGTCTTTCAGGCAGGAATCAACACATTGCCAATTATATTAATAAGCGATGTAATACAAATCTAACCGCCGCCCAGGTGTCATCCTTCCTTCAAAAAATCACCCGAGCCCGCCAATTTGGTGATTTGACACTATATTGATTCAATGATCTTCTTTCAACTTTCTTGTCCCTGAAATCGTCATAGTCTAATTTTAAATGGAGCTCTTCGCACACCGGTCTTCGAGCCAAAAACTCACCCCCCCCCCTTTAAAGCTCCATAACTGCATATTTATTATTATTAAATTTTCAGCTAACTGGACTACAATTCAATAATAAAATATTCAATACAATACATTTTTCATGTCCTAAGCGAGTCTGTACAATTGCAAAACAAAAAATAATTGAGGAAGCTGATTTTTTCTTTCGGAAAGGCATTCTTGAGTTCATAAATTTCTGGCAAAAATACAACATTTTTCGGAATTCAATTGATATGACTTCGCAAAAGAGAAGAAAAAAGAGAAGAAAATTTGCAAAATCTATGAAGCCCATTGCTCTACAAGACACATTATCGAAGACGAAAAAGCTTTAAGTGAATAGAAATGAATTGAAGAAAAGCACTGTATGGGCGTAATATGCCTCACATTATAAGGCACTAGGTTGTCTCAAAAGCAAGTGATTTACAAAAAATATGAGAAACAAAGACCAAAAATGAACAGCGAACGAAAGGCAACGAATTGATTGGAAATTAAAAAAAAATGCATATTATTGACTGCTAGCGCCAGACGATGATCCCGTTTTATTATTTTCGATGAATTCTTGACGACTGAGAAGAAGCGCTTCCGCCATTGCCATTTCTTCGTTGTACGGTTCCCAAACTAGAAAAAATCGATTTTACACTTTAAGCAAAAAAAAATTATTGGAGGCAAGCCTAATATCTTAATCTCATTTTTTTAAAGAAAATTAAAACTAATCAAACTATGCAATTTTTCGCAGTTACTATAACTAACTATGAGCCGCCAGCAGCTCTTCATAAAGTCCCGCGCTCGGCGCCTCATTGCTTGTTGATGGCTCCTCGACAGTTGGCGTCGCCGTCGGTGGTAGATTTTCCGGTTTTTCAGCTTCCGGTTTTGGTGGCGCCGAATTCTTCTCGGTTTCGCGCACATATGCTAAATATGACTCGCGCGAAATCTGAAAATCATATTTTTTTTTCAAAAAATGTCTAGAAATTTCGCTTTTCTACCTGGTCCACAAGATCCTCCTGGGTTCTCTGCCAATCGGTCATATCGATTTTATCTTTCAACATGGTTTCCTCAATGTGCTCACGCTCGGAAACCTCAATCGCATTCTCCATCACGGCGATGTCATCGCCGCGTGGAATCAAACCGGGCAATCCGAGTCCGACGCCAATCGTTGCGTGTTGAGGATCAATGACTAAATGTATTGAAATTTGAGCAATCGATTTGAATTCTCACGACTTACTGGCATTATAATGAACCGAACCATGATAGCTGAGACGCAATGGCGGATTCTGTTGCCTCGATGACGACGAAGCCTGCTCATTACTCCCTCTTGGTAGCAATATGCTAATCGGCTCGGTGCTGTATTCATAGACCTCCACGGGACGTGCGAAAAGCTCCGAGATTGCCTAGAAATTTGCAAGTTGCCTCCACACACAAAAAGCGAAAGTGCCGAATTTGACGAGAATGAAACACTACCTGCAATTCGAGATGATTTCCGTGAACCGTGTCGCATCGTTTCCGTCGAATGTATTGATCGAAATCTTCGGTGATGAAATCGCCAAAGTAGTCGCGATTTTTTGCCTATAAACTATCAATTTTTTCGGTTTTCTAATCGCTTTTTGCCTACCATGTAGTCCATACAGAGTTTGCGAATCTGGCCGTGCATCTCCTGATCGCCGTAGATTTGTTCAGCGATCGCTCGAAACATGCACGCGCCGTCGCCGACCATTTCCTTGATTGTCAATCCGCGCGCAGCGAAACGTTCAACGAATTCCTTTTCCAACTGTAACAATTGCATAGTTCGTTCAACTTAAAATGCCTCATATTCTTACCACTTCATTACACGGCATTTCCTGTTCGTATTCATCGTCGGAATTGTGACTCGATTGTGCCAAGTGGCCTGAAAATTGGAAAACTTCGAAAATTATACGCAAATCCAATACTGGAATGGTTATCATGCGATTTATCGCTTCTCGGCGATGCTAATGGGCTCCCAATTTTCGAACTATGATTTTGCGGCGATGAGAGAAGGCCTACAACACAAAATATTGATGCTCAACACAAAAAATAGCTCAAATTTGCTTCAATTTCCCCCACAATTTTACCTCGTTTAATGGGCGGCCCAAGTTTCTCATTTGCTCTAGGCGATTTTCGAAGTCTTCGCAATGCGGAGGCTCTCAAATCGCTAAAAAATGCAATTTTCTTGAAATTTTGCCATCAAATACCTGTTGGAAACTGCGCCCGGCGGCCTTTGCGACGTATCTCGCTCTCGTTTCTTTTTCAGCGGCAAAATTGTCATCTAAAACAAATTGATTTAAATAGCGCAATAAAAATTATTGAAAGATATTGAGAATCCGTTCAAAACGGGTAAAATTGAAAGCAAATTGTCAATCATCGGCAAAAATTTTATTGAAACTGTTAAAGTTGAACAGGATTATGTTATTACAGACTCGACTAGTCACATTATTAATTGTTAAACAGCTGTTTGAGAAAATACCGTAAATTTGGATAGATCATTTCAAATTATAACAAAACGAAACAAAAAATATTGATTCGCATTTTAAAAACAAAAAATTTCGAAAATTGGTTAGAAATTAAACATTTAACAAATGAATAAAAATAAATTATGAATGAGTTTCTTTTCTACCAAGGCTCCTCGTCTTCATCAAAGTCAAGACCGCGCCGCGATTCACGCATTGCAGCCGCATAATCCTCCTGTCGTTGCATTGTCTGAAATCAAAATTGAATTTCAAGTAATATTTTTAGCCGGCCACGAATACCCGAATGTATTCGTTGGTACGCCCCATTACCCTGCGCATTGCTTCAGCATCCCGCTGCACAGCCAAAAGCACCAATGGCGCGTACTCGTCGCGTCTAAAATAATCGAATTAAAAAGTAAACCAATGAAATCCGCATTTTCGCGCATCGGTGAATGCACACAATTTCTTGATTACCGTACTTACAAAGCAAACTCTGCGTCTCCGCGATTATCATTGAAATCAATGGCTGGATGCTCATGCATCTCCTCAATGATCATTTCGTCTCTCTGAAATATTCTTAAAATTTTTATCAAGTTTCTACTCATTCCTACTTCTGGTCGCATATCGTGTAGATTCATCATCGCTTCGTGCTCGCGAACACGAGCCTCATTCATATGCTCACGAACTCTCTCTGGATCGTCGACATTGGCGCGAGGCAGTCGAATCTGCGGAGCCTGTCGAAACACCATATGCTCTGGTAGGAATCGATGTTGACGATTGCGCACCCGAGGGTCCCTTCCGTCATCATCATCTTCCTCTTGCTGTAATGTATCGAAATTCGAATTAATTCGGTTAAGACTTCGAAATATTTTGGCGTCGATTAAAATGCAAGTCCGCATGCATCATGCCGATGAACTCTGCGGACTTGCATTTTAATCTACGCCTAAATATTTCAAATCGAGAAAATTTAATGAATACTTTTATGGTGCAATTGTGGTCGTCATGCTTACAGATCAGCTTCTTTTCGAGAATCACCGCCCCTGTAACAAGAAAATTATTTTAAAAATAATTGATTTCTGAAAAGAAGCTTCATACCTTCCTTATAACGCTCAGTGTCGACGAGTGCCATCTCGTACATCCATCCAAGCTTCACATCACAATTCAAACAGAAGATGTCGCGCACATAGTGGAGCCCGGTGAGCATTTCGCGCTTGTCGCACGCACCGTAACGAAGGTTTTTAGCTGATTTGAACAACATTGCGGGACCAGTAACTCCTGTGAGAAAAAAAATGGCATTGAATCGGGCCGACAACAAATGTTGAAAAAAATTTCGTAATTGTTAAAGTCATAAGGTCTCAACGCGATTTTGTCCTACCGGTGAAATTGTCGGATAAAACTTCTTCGACCGGCGATAAGAATACACCGCAAGTGACGCAGTGATATGAGAACGTCCCCGGAATATTCTCTAGGAATTTAATTCCCATCTGAAAATAAAAATTCGCAAAAATCAGTATAACAATGAAAATCGAAGAAGTAGATAGTCTTACAAGGATATTGAAACCTTGATATGAAAATAAATAAATAAATAAAATAATGCATTTATGAAAGAGAGGTCCGTAATATTAGAAAATGTCTAAAAAAAGGCCACGTAGCACTATTAAATGGCTAAATTTCCCTGCGAAGCGTGTACAACTAAATATAGAAAAGGAAATGATGAAATCGAAATGGAAATGACAGAATGAGGAATCGCTAGTGTGTTGATTTTTTTTTGGAATCACAATGTTCAATTATATATATACACAAAATTTGTACAGCGGCCAAAAAAATGATAGCGGCATTTATGGCCTTCCAGTGAAGAATGAGACAAAATTTCTGCGATCCTGATGCCGACGCATCTCATAATCGTTCTCGCTGTCGGTGCTGACGTTGTCGGATTCGGTCGGAACCGACGGCATTCGACGCACACGACCAGGCGGACGCTCGAAATTTATAACCGGCGGCTTCGCTTCGCTGGAATTTCTTCTAAAACATTATTTTAAGTGTTATTTAAACAATTTTTAGTTAAAAATCTTTTTCTGTGAATAATTACTTCGACATTTTTTTTATTCCGCATTTTTTAATTCATTTAATTTCCAAACTAATTTTCTAGATTGTTTTGACTTACATCTTATCAGCTCCTAGAGGATCTGAAAATGCGTGCTCACGTGAAATGAGCTCGCATTCCAGAATATATTGGCCTTCTTTGTATTCTTGATGTGTTTCATACGCCATTTCGTACATCCATCCAATACGCGCCTGAAAATTTAAAAAAAAATGAATTGTCGATAGAAAAAAATCGCAGATGGTCTTTTGTCGAACCCTCCAAATGCCTAATTTTCGAGTTTTTTAAACTATAAAAGGGCAGAATAAAGAAAATCATTGTTTATACTATTTTATTCATTTTTTTTTGGAAATTATGCATAAAATGGTACCTTGCAATTAAGGCATGAGACATCACGCACCACATGCCATCCAGTTGTCATTTTTCGTTTCTCCAGAGCCCCTGTATATACATTCCAAACCCGTTTGAACAGCATTGCGGGCCCGGTGCTGCCTGAACGCGAAACATTCAATAAAATCAATCAATAATTGTTGCCGAACCATTAAAATTGGGGCTCGTGAGTTCGCCATGCGACGTTAAATAGATACCGCATGATTTGCAGCCGTATAGTATGCCTTGACCACCTTGAAAAATAAAAGAAGAAGCGAAAATCGCTAGCGCGCAGTTTCAGGCGTTTGTCTTGAATGGAATTGGGAAACTCACCAAAATTGCCGATGAACACTCGACCCATTTGCGGGGCGGCGATGAAGCGGAACGCAGTTCTGAAACATTCTCGCTGGATTTTATAGGATTCTTGTGAGGGGCTTGAAGTAGTTTAAGCATGACTTTCATAGGACAAAAAGCGCGTTTCAGAGCCGAATAACGTCGATACGCAAATGTTCTGGACTACTTTGCAGGCGATGAGAGGAACCGTTGATGTCTCGCTTTGTTTCGCCGTCTGCGTCTCGTCCCCATCCCACTCGATCACATGTTTTTACCGTAGGTTTTCGCGCAATAGGATCCTTGTTGCGTCTTGTTCTTTGAAAATTCGGTGTAATATGTGTATAAATAATGCTGTATAGATGTTGTCATAGCTGAGATATTAATCGAATTGTGTTTTCTTTATGAATTTATTCAATTAATTAGTTAATTGCCATTGTAATTGGCGTGGTCTCCGTTTTTAATAAATTAAATTCCGTTGCCATAAAAATTATTCTGCAAAATTAAGCTATAGTTATATTGAATTCGTAGCTTAAAGCTTACAATATTCCGCAAACATCTCTTCAGGTCGTTTTGATGATTCAATCGGCAACTTTTTTGCGCAGAATCAGAGAATTCTGAAACTAAATCCCTAACGCATGTCTATAATAATTAAACTTACCACAAAAATTTATCTCTCCTTTTAAGCGACCCAATTGTAACTCTTATTCATAAAATAAATATGAATTTTGAAGAAATCTCAAATTTTTGTCCACTTGGTTACAATCGAAGAATATGCTCATGGGCCTAATTAATAAACCATTAAAACAAAAATTAAATAGTATACTCCATAAGGAAAATACTCCAAATGTTTTCGGAAAGTTGAAAAAAAAAACAAAGTTTCATTTTAAAAACTTAAAAAAATGTCGTCTCTTGTGGTGCATTGGCCGCAAGCAGCTTAACAGACGCGTCATTGCACATCGTTGGAATCGCGCAAGTTTGTTTTTGTCGTTTTCTAACTGTTTCTGGACTTTTCCTCAGTTTTGCAAGTTACAAAAGTTTTTTTTCGGATTCCGCTTTGTTCCTTATCAAATTGAAAATTATTTTACATCTATAATTCTACAAGGCTTGTATGAATTTTGGTTTTTTTCGGTCTTCATTTTTAAAATTTAAAATTCAAAATTATTACGTGAAACCTAATTTTTACGTCTACCTCTTGCGTGGAAAACTATCGAATAAATGTTTTATTTTTGTAAATGATTTAAACTTATTTTTCATTTTCCCAATGTAGATCTTTATTCATACATTTTGATCTCTTAATTAACGCCAAATTTTTACGCGCGAAATCTGTTTTTTGTCGTATTTATAAACTGAAAACTCGTGATATTTTCAATTCATTTATTTTTATTTGTTTTCTCTTCAGTATGTTGCAAGCCTCTCGCGGAGTTGTTCAATTCGGCCGTGTTGCCGTTCGTTGCATGTCCGGTGGCGTCGGTGATGGTGTTGGACGCGGTGGAGGTACTGGCGGATCGATTCGCGATGCTGGAGGCGTTTTTGGAAAGATGGAGGCCGCTCGTGAGGACGAATACTTCTACAAGAAGCAAAAGGAGCAGCTTCAACAATTGAGAGCCCACATCGCCCAGGAGGTCGAGCACCACAAGAATCAGCTCGACAACCATCGAAAGGTCATCGAGCGCCATCAAAAGCGTCTTTCTGAGCTCGAGGCTGAGGAGCGCGCTCTTGGAAAGGAATAATTATGCAAGGAGATGAACCACACCCTTTTCTCTTCATTATTACTTCATCATTTAGGACTTTCCGTCACATCGTTTCCTTGTTAAAGTTTAACGTGTAAATTTCAATAAATTAAGTCTCGATTCTGAACGCATCATTTATTTATTTATTGTGAACTCTTTACCGTTTCCAAGCGGCCTTTTATGCGTGCATTATTCAATTTTCGTTCAGTTTTTTATTTGAATTGCAGAACATCAAACATGTCGAAGGCTAACGTCGGAATCAACGGATTCGGAAGAATCGGACGTCTCGTCCTCCGCGCCGCTGTTGAGAAGGACACCGTCCAGGTTGTTGCGGTCAACGACCCATTCATCACCACCGATTACATGGTCTACCTTTTCCAATACGATTCGACCCATGGAAAATTCAAGGGAACCGTTTCGCACGAAGGCGACTACTTGATTGTTCAAAAGGAGGGCAAATCATCCCATAAGATTAAGGTTCTCATTTTTAAAAAAATCTAAATAATTAATGCAAAACGCGTGTCAGGTTTTCAACAACAAGAACCCATCGGAAATCCCATGGGGAACCGTCAACGCTGATTACATTGTTGAATCTACTGGAGTCTTCACCACCACTGAAAAGGCTTCTGCCCATTTGAAAGGAGGCGCCAAGAAAGTTGTCATCTCAGCTCCATCGGCTGATGCTCCAATGTTCGTCGTTGGCGTCAATCATGAGAAGTATGATGCTGCTAACAATCATGTCATCTCCAATGCCTCTTGCACCACTAACTGCTTGGCCCCATTGGCTAAGGTCATCAACGACAACTTTGGAATCATTGAGGGTCTTATGACTACCGTCCACGCTGTTACAGCCACTCAGAAGACTGTCGATGGTCCGTCTGGAAAGCTTTGGAGAGATGGTCGTGGAGCTGGACAGAACATTATCCCAGCTGCAACTGGAGCCGCAAAGGCTGTTGGAAAGGTTTCGTCGAGTTTGGAGTATTTGTCTGATTTTCATTTTCAGGTTATTCCAGAGCTTAATGGAAAGCTCACCGGTATGGCTTTCCGCGTTCCGACTCCAGATGTTTCGGTTGTTGATTTGACTGCTCGCTTGGAGAAGCCAGCGTCTCTTGACGACATCAAGAAGGTCATCAAGGCTGCCGCTGAGGGTCCAATGAAGGGAATTCTGGCTTACACCGAGGATCAGGTTGTCTCCACTGACTTTGTCTCAGACCCACACTCGTCTATCTTTGATGCTGGAGCTTGCATCTCGCTCAACCCGAACTTTGTCAAGCTTGTCTCATGGTAATTTAGAAATGATTGAGGACTTTTTTAAAATCACTCTTCCAGGTATGACAACGAATTTGGATATTCGAACCGTGTTGTTGATCTTCTCAGCTTCATCCACACCAAGGCCTGAACTCTAAAATCCCCAAATTGTACCTTATTGTAAATACTGATCACTGTTTTAAGTGATTCTTCAATTCTAATACGCGGTTTTATTGCATTGTCGAAACTGATGAAACGGTTTTAGAGGCGGTTTTGTTTATTATGTATATTATGTACAAGAATACCCAGTTTTTCTTATCGATGAGATTAGGTGACATGAGAATGGAAGGTGGTGACACGTATGTAATATACTAGATTGAAAAGTTTTCCGGTAATGGGGGAACTGGTAAAAAAGCGTATCTCAAGAAGAGGACGAGAATGAGAACATTGAACATTTGGAACAGGAATAGAAAGAAGAAGTCGATTCGCGCGAAAATTTTGTTCCATTCGATTTCGACGCGGCTTTGCCATTTTTGCTTCTCGATACGCTCACGATATGCTTTTTGCGCTCGCGCGACTTCAACGAGCTGATTGTAGATTGATATGAGGTCGGGGAACTTTGGGCTGAAATGACTGCGATGAGAATTCGGTGGGAGATTGATTGGTGATGATTACGTGATTGTCGTTGGCTTCTCGTTGATCGGCTGAGCGAGAAGGCCGTTTTGTTTGACGACACGACACACGTTGAGGAAGAGCAATCGATAATAGTGGGGCGGCGGCATTTTGGCGGTTTGAATGCAGCTTCGCGACATTGAGAGCATCGCCATTGAGACGGCGACACCAATGGCGCAGAGTAATATCACCATCATTATATAGTAGCCTATAGAATTGGGACAATTAAAGCTAGGGTTTAAATTGTCGCCCAAAAGCGGAAAAATGGCTGAATATTGAGGATGAGGTCTCGGCGCGACGCGTTGTGCGCCTTTAACCTCTCTGGTTTTTTAATTTAATTGTATTTTGCCAATTTTCCGCACTTGAGCGACACTACTAGTCGAAATTGAAAATACCCAAAAGTGGAATTGCATCGCTTTTGGGCATTGCGCCGGCAACAATGTCGAGTAGGACGGTCATGGCGAGCAGCGAGCCGAGACCAAGCGAGACCTTCTCGTTGCGCAGACCATCGTTCGAGCCGGGCGAGAAGATGCCGAGTATGGAGAGCGCTGAGATGAGAAACGTCGGCACAACGATGACGGTGATGTAGTATGTTGGCCGTCGATTGAGGTGAAGAATGTAGTGCACCTGCAAATTGTATGAATGCCAAAAAGAGGATGACGTCTTTTGTCTGGTAATTCAAAGCCAATCTGATTGCGAACTGGACGAATTTTAAAAAACGGACACGATGGTATCCGACAAATTCAGTATTGAGTCGAATATTGCCGGAGCTGATTGGTTTTGAGTTACCAGAGTTGGCGCGAATCGTTTATTCGGCTCTTTTTTGGTCAAATTTCTTTTTAAAATAAAAGGCAACGACCTCTGCGCGAAACTCGCCGTCTTCCATGAACTTCATCTGCTTCACGGTGACATTCATCACTTGCCATTCGGCGTTTCCCTGAAAATTATCAACAGATGCGTTTTTTTTGCTGTCTTATATTTTTTTTTGATTAACCGAAAAGTATGAATCGACCGGCGGCTGAGTTGCGTTGACATCCATTTCTTCAACGGAGAGAAGAGGGCTCGCAAGGGCAATCGCGCAAAACTGGAATGATTCGAATAATTGCGATAAGCATATTGCGAAAAATTGGCTAAATGCCAGAAATGGTCTCGAGACGACTTCTTTTTTTTCAATTTTAATTTACCCGGAAATTGAATAAAATAGTAAAATTGAGATTTGAAGATGGGAAAAATATAGAAAATTAAAATACACAATTTTAGAATTCAATCCAAAAGCAAGTTTTTCAGATTGCACATATATTTTTTTTTTGATAAAAGAGCAACCTGGGTGTCAAATGGAAAAAGATCGATGTTAATGCGGCACAGAGTGCTGACATACTGCGGACTGTTGACCTTTACATGACCGGTGTGCTGAACCCGAACGTCGTAGCGATCATCGGTCAGCATGTCCTTGGTATCCATGCTGAAATTCGGCAAATTTTCGATAATGCTTTCAATTGAAGCTACCTGTTGTATATGAAAAGCTTTGGGACCCACACAAGACTCCTCGGCATCACCACCTGTGTGATTCCATTGTGATTCTTTGGATCCCACGCCAGCTTTGGGTCCCGCCATTTTTGTACATGTGAGATAACAAATGAAGCAACTTGTTGGTTTTCCCTCTACAATATGCGTTTCAGATTTCTATTTCTGATTAAAAGATGGCTTACCACTTCTGTTAGAATTCCCAACACAATTGTCATGTGAATAATGACGGGTCGGTTGGTTTCGGCGAATGGGCGAATCCGCTTATCATAGCGTTTCATAACAGTGTCTATTAAATAGGATGGTTCACCTAAATTTGGAGAAATTTATTAAATATAAATCTAATGGTTTCTTTTAAATGAAAAATACAAATGCTTGGGAATCATTTTAATTTTTTTTTTTTGGTACGGTATGAACAAAAGTGCAAATGTGCGTGAGTGCATCACACATTTTTTTTCAAAAATTAAAAAAATTGTTTTTTTAATCGGAATTTTGCGTTTTTTTAAAAATTTACCTAGCATTCGAGATTCGTCGAGTTCATAGCTTTGCAGAACGCCCCGACTGCGCACATTTGAGACTTTCATCGAAACCAGCACCGATATTAATTGCACAAAATACATCTGAAATCGATCGGCGACCATCATTTTCGGAAGCGAACACAACGACCGTAGAAAATCGGAGACGAGCCGAGCGCGCGCGCGCATTTGAATAAATAAAAAATTGGATTTCTTATCGAGGAAAAAAAAGGGCGTTCGCCGAAAAAAATATGAATAAATTTCGAAAGGCTCGCCGAAAATCGTCTTGGCTATTCAAAGAAGGTATGATTTAATAATCGAGAAAATTCCGGTGTGAAATTTAAACGCCCAAATCACCTGAACTCTTCATTTCAGGCGGATTCAATACGTCAAATGGCATATTCATTTTTTGCCATGCAAGCAATGAATAGCTTCATAATTGGCATTATTCCGGAACACAATAATTCAGAGGCATCTGCGGACATGTGAAGGCTTTCGGAAGGACCTCTATAAATTATGAAGAGTACGAATAAAAGCATCAACCCTCAATAAGAGTATCAAATTTCATATTTCAAACGGCCCTCTCTCTTTCTCTGAAAATTTGAAAATGTGAATTTTTTCGAGGATATGGTATATTGAAATACAGAGCAGGTGAAAAAAAATTGAGTCGGAACTATTCTCAAGTATTTTTCCTCGAAAGGACAAACCCTCTTGTACTTAAATCGGACGAAGTATGTCGAGCGAACACTTTCGGAATTTAATGGTCCCTTCAAAAAAATCATAAAATGGAATATACGGAGGCGAAATAAATGTGAAAGGTTGAGAAGCGGAAGATGAAGTCGAGGAAAAACAAAATAAGAAAAACCTAGCGTGAGGCATCGGTGTCGAGTTTCGACGAGTTTTGTCGAAGCGAGAAAAATATTGGCGCACGCTGATCAGAAATTCCGGATTGGTGGTTTTTCAGTACTCACTTGAGACTAAACTATATGCAAATTGGCAGCAAAACTCACACTGAACAAACCGGTCAAAAAAAAAAGAAATTCCGGTTTTTAAGTTCAATTATTTCGTAGTTGATTTCAAATTTGAATTGCCACCTTACAATTAGGTCTCGTATGGAATGAAATCTTTTGAAAGTGAGTTTTGTCGCATATAATCATCTTTTTGAATTTTCAATATTTTGATTATTTGAAAAAAAAATGACAAATGGCTGAGTTTGGCCAAATTTTATTTTGCAGGAGCCTTTGAATTCCAAATTTTCAAATTCGTCATTAACACATTTTGACGATATTTTCAGGATTTTCGAAATTTTTTAAAGGCACACACGTACGAAACGTCGAGCTGGGTTTTGGCGCGATTTGCGAAAATTACTGTAATTCATTTGGCGGACACGAAAACGGGCAAAGCGCAAAAAAACCAAAAATAAAAATCGATGACTGAACGCGCAATAATAAGGTTACTGTAGTCAAGGACGCGTACCCTAAAATTTTGTGTTGGGTCTCAACGCGGGCCAGACAAAAAGCTTTGTGATTATTAATTGGGAATTAAACATACACTAGAGGAATGAGTAACGTCTCAAAACCATGCGCCTTTAAAATTATTTAAATAGTTGCTATAAGTTAAAAGCACCCTGAATATTTGGGGGACCATCGAATTTCTTTTTTTTTTGGTTCTAAATTTCATCAAACTTCTTTAAAAAATCTTGAAAAGCTTTTGGGTGTTTTCTTTAGATCCAATAATTGATAATTTTGACTTCCATGAGTGTTTTTAATTTAAACAATTTTTGAAACGGCAAATTCCAATATTTCTAGGGACCATTCCGATAATTCTCATTTTTCAAACACAAAAATTCGAAATTCGTTCACACAAATACTTGAAGTCGTCAAAGTGGTGGAAAAAGTCGGGCAAAGTTTTTTTTTCAACAAAAAAAAACCAAAAATGATGAATTTCAAGAGTCCTCCTCCTCACACCACCTTGAGAATCACCAAAGCGATTAAAAATGCAAAGTTCAAAACACACCAAACAACAAATGAAATTGGGGCGATACTGACGGAAGGCATCGGTCGGATTCAATTCATTAATGAATAATATGATGAAAACCACAAAAATCAATTTTTCATGCCTCGCCGCTTCTCCTTTGTCGGGGGGTCGGGAATTTCTGTTTCTTTCCATTAACCCCCCCAAAAAAAACCGATGAAGATTAAAGGCGCATAGCCGTTTTTTTTCTTGTTAAAATGGTCTATTTAAAAAATTCATTTCGAGACGCACTGTGCCTTTAAAAAACCCTCAAAAATCATTTCGCAATGAAAAATTATTTTTTTGAAAATTCCGAAGCGTGACCTAATTGAATCATTAACTTTTACGAAATACACCGGAAATTCTCGAAGAAGTTCATGTGAGACAGAGCAGCGAAAAGCGATGCGCCTTTAAAAATTACGCAATTGAAAATTTCTGATCTACTAGGGGCACGCATTTAGCATATTAGGAGAGGCTTTCGAAAAGAAAAAAACACACAGACAGAAAATGGCCAGAAAAACAAGATTTTGCCTCGTTTTTTTTTCATCGCTTCACCCACCAGAAAAAAAAAGACGAAAAAAGATTGGCGTTCCGGTTTTGTTGGCCCAAAAATCGTTGGTGTCTGATCAAGAAGGCAAAAATGTCAACTGGAATAAATTGGAGCATCTTCGGATGGAAAAGCTCGAAGTGGATGCGGCACCGAAAAATTGGAAATTGGAGTGTCGGTCTTCGTCACTTTTTCAACGGAAATTGCCGAGTCATTTTTTTATAAGATATATTGACTTTGCTTGATGAAGTCGCCAATCAGAGGCTCTTGCTGCCTGCTTTTTTTGTTGTTCGCCACCACCTTCGAAGCTGCACAATTGCCTAATTAGGAGATGCGTACACAGGGAAACGAGCATACAAGCGGTTTCCATAAAGCATTAATCGAATTAATGCCGAACATTGAGCATATTGGGGACGAGCGTGGTTGGCAAAAAGAGAATGCCTGCTGCTGGAATCGAACCAGCGTCGCCACGGCCACAATTCGGTGAAAATTGGCGGGCCCCGCGCGGGTGAAAATTGAGAGGCAAACACTTTCGTCGAGCGGGGCCCTCATATTACCGTCGCGGGGCCCTCGTGTTTCACCCGCGCGAGGCCCTTATATCACCTTTGCGTGGCCAAAAATTCTAGATAAGATTCATATTACAATTAATTAACAATTATATACTCAATGAAACATTTATTAAACGAAAAAACAAATTACACTTAAACATTCCTATGCATCCACATGGCTTGAATTTCAGCTCTTGAATTTTGGAGAATAATGTTCCTGAAAAACCATTAATAGAGTATAGTAGTGACAAGAGCATTTATGGAAGAATGGGTATTGAAAGAAGGAAAAGTACCAAGGAAAGTTTTAACAGACCAAGGGAGAGAATTCGATAATGACACCTTTAAAACGGCATTAAAACTGTTAAAAGCAGAGCATATCATGACAAAGGGGTATGATTCGCAAGCAAATGGAGCGGTGGAAAGGTTTAATCGAACAGTGGAGGAAGGATTAAGGAAAACAACGGTAGTGCCAGCGAATTGGGATGAAAGAGTGCCTTTTGTAGTTTTTACGTATAACATGGGCGTACACACCAGGGCTGTGCGGCAATCGGAAATTTCGGCAATTCGGCAATTCGGCAAATTGCCGAAAATCAAAATTTCGGCAATTCGACAATTTGCCGAAAATCAAAATTTCGGCTATTAAATGTTTTCAACGATAATTCGAAATATAAATATCGAATTTTCACGGTATCCCAAATTATTCAATGGACATTGATTTTTGTTTCGCCGATTTTTTTTTGATATCAAATTGCCGAAAATCAAAATTTCGGCAATCCGGCAATTCGGCAATTTGCCGATCGAACGTTCTCTTCGGCAATTCGGCAATTTGAAAAATCGGCAATTTCGGCAATTTCGGCAATCGGCAATTCCATTGCCGCACAGCCCTGGTACACACGACGGCCAATGTTCATTGACTCATACTTTTTGACTTGACTCATGATTTTTGACTCATAAAAATTGTATCATGATTTTTTATTCTTTGACTCATGATTTTTGACTAGTGATTTTTGACTATTTTTTTTTGACTAACAATTTTTGACTAATGATTTTCTGAATTTTTTTTAGTTGAGATTCCTGCAGTTTTTTTTCAGTATTCAATTCTGTTTTTTTTTTGGCCAATATTAATGGGTAAGAAGCTGAAGGGTGGGAGGAATTGGGAGAAATGTTATTACTGAATGAGGGAAAGATTATTACTGAAAGGAAAAATGTTCTTTTAACTTCTGTAAGCATAAAAAAATTGTTTTTTTTTGGCATTTCACCGCTTATCGATTTCAATGAGAAGCTTAGGCCCAGCTAACCGAAAAAAGAACTCCACCGAAGGAATCGACAGTAACATTAAACGAATATCTGTAGTGGCCAAATGGTATTGATATTTTTAGTAATCTCCGGTTTAATGAAAACATTTTTTGCAAATTATTTTAGTTTGTACCGTCAGGCCTGTTTTAAAATTTTCGATTTCTCATCAAAATTCAGGAAAAACGTTATATTCAAAAAAAGGCATTGTTATACTTTGGGAAGTTTTTTGAAGGCTGTTTTGTTAGAAGTACCATTTTGATAAAGTTTTAACGGTATAATGATCTATCGAAAATTTCAATGATTGATTAATTTTAAAATTTTTTAATAAATATGTTATCGTATAAAAACTGTGTTTAGTTGTTTTCATTAAACTAACGGAGACTACTAAAAATATCAAATCATACATACCATTTGACCCACTACGGATATTCGTTTAATGTTACAGTCGATTCCTTCGGTGGATCCGCTTAGCTGGGCCTAAGCTTCTCATTGAAATCGATAAGGGGTGAAATGCCAAAAAAACAATTTTTTATGCTTACAGTAAAAAGAACTTTTTTTCCTTTCAGTAATAATCTTTCCCTCATTCAGTAATAACATTTCTCCCAATTCCTCCCACCTTTCAGCTTCTTACCCATCAATATTGGCCAATAAAACAGAATTGAATACTGAAAAAAACGCAGGAATCTCAACTAAAAAAATTCAGAAAATCATTAGTCAAAAATTGTTAGTCAAAAAAAAAATAGTCAAAAATCACTAGTCAAAAATCATGAGTCAAAGAATAAAAAACCATGATACAATTTTTATGAGTCAAAAATCATGAGTCAAGTCAAACAGTATGAGTCAATGAACATTGGCCCACACGACAACAGGAGAGACACCGATGTATTTAATGACGGGAAGAGATGCAAATATTCCGTTAACAACGGATCCAGAGTTGGAGGTGAGAGCAGGTCATATGGATACGGAAACGTATAAATGGAAGCTAACGGAAGGGCTACAGGAGGCATACAGGAGAGTACGGGAAAGGGCACGGCGCGAAAGAGAGATTGCAAAAAAGAGATTCGATGAAAAACACAAAGTGGCGGAAAAAGCATATCCGAAGGTGGGAGAGAGAGTTTTGCTAAGAATCCCGAGCGAGAGAGCAGGAGTGAAATACCCAAAGTTGGTAAACGAATGGCAGGGACCGTATAGGGTGATAAAAACATCGGAAACAGCGGTCGTAGTGAAACCGACCAGAGGAGAAGGCGAGACTCTAAGGGTAGCGATGGAACAAGTTAAGAAGATCCCAGCTGAATTTCTGGATGAGCCTATTACGACTAAGAAAAATAGGGGAAAAAGGGGGAGACCCAGGAAGGAAGTAAAAGTTGCAATGATTGGGGTGGGAGCAAATATCGGTTATGACAAAAGTAATCTGATGTCTGCTTTCAGCGACCCATTTGAATACGAATGCGGGCATCCACAGTGCCAGAATCCAGTATCGTGGAATGGGATGAGGGTATTCCCAAGAACACCGCGTCAATCAGCCCGAGCGTTTGCAATGATAAGAAGATGGGGAAAACCGTCGGAGTTGCTGGTTGCACACCATTTGAACAACGAGGAAATGGACCAACTCATTCAAATAAAGGATATCATGTCGGTTCTACAAATGTACGGCAGATGCCCCGTTATTCAGAAGGAGCTTATAGCGAAGGACGCGCCATTTAGAACGAAGATTGCCGTGGAAATGACGGAAATAAAGAAAAAATGGGAGCAGGAGAGGGCACAACTGGAAAGCTCGTCGAGGGTGACGTTAGTGCCCATGAGTTTGAAGCAGTACGCAAATGAATGTGGATGGCGCACGTATCAAACCGGAAGCGAGCTGATGAAGGAGGCGGACAGAAGAGTAAATTCGGTAGTGATTCTCGTGGAACTGAAAGAAGGGACGCAAGAAGCCATCAACCAGTTGCTAAGAAGCAAGGAAGGTCGTCGAATCGTGTTGGTGCCGATGGAGTTTGAGGAGAAGAAAACGATTAGCGAAAGTATGGCGGACATGGACTTCTGGGAGAAGCAGTTTGATGAGTGGGAGAAGATGGGAGCAGCCGTGCTGCGGCCGAAACAGAAAACACGAAGTCAAGAATTCTTGGGAATCCAAATTAGACCGGCGAACATCAACACAAAAGAGCGAACTATGGCGGAATTGATGGAGTTGGTCGAAGTTTACCGGGAGTTAATGCCGGAATTGGAGTCTATGGTAGCGGATACGATGGAGATTCGGAGGCGGTGGACAGCGTGGACGGCAAAGGCGAACCAAGAAGGAAAGGGTAGAGCGGAGAAACGAGGACCGTCGCCGCAGATATCGTATCGGCAAGGACATAAAGTGCCAAGGTATGGCAGACAGGACCAAGTGCCGAAATATTGAAAATTTAGTAATGTTTTTTAATCTAAGGCGCAGGAAGCTAATTATATTGATTGTTTTTGTTTATTAATTATGTTATTATTTGTTGGATTCTAATATTTGTTGTTTTATCGTTTTATCCTACGTTCCGGTTTTATCGTTTTAATCATAAAAGAACCAGAAGAGCAACCTTTGAGGGCAAAGGTCTAGAGGGGCGGGGGGATGTTAAGGGTTGGAAAACTCTAAACGTGTTATTGCACACCGTGGTGGTCAAAATTGCCTGACCGCGCGCGCGCGACGACACAATCCCTCCCAGTAAACCCCGCCAAAAGGCAGTGTGATTTCTAGACCAAAGTGCACTCGCAACCTCGCCAGTCCTTAATTCATTTCGTACCGATTGTCTTACACCTGATAGGTGAACCTTTTATTTTTATGTACTTTTTGTAACTTATGCTTGCGTCGTGTATCATAAAGGTTTAATTACCCAAGTTTGAGGTTTGAACTAATTGCATTCGTCTCACCGAGAGCGCGAAGTCTATAATTGTTAAAAGATACCTATAGCCATCATTTTCATCTGCATACCCTTGCATTTCTACTAGATCTGATTGCCATTGATCATCTATGCCATCAAAGTAAACTCTTTGACTCCTTCTGTTCTGTCAATTAGTGACACCTTCACCCTGCCAATTTCACTTTCTCTTTGTGTGACCTTCTTTTCTCTTCCTCACTTTGACTGAGCACATCACACATTTGCCCCAGTTGAACTAAACACACGCAAACGCGTTGGGCTAGAGTGACGCGTGACCAGAGACGCAGAGAAAGGAGAGCCTGCCAACATGTCATTCTTGCATTAAATTCTGTTTTTTTAATGTAGATTTATTGAAGATAGTTCGATTTTTGCTATTGTTCAATTGGGTACGTGACTACTAACTACGATTGCCCGCCGGGCAATAGTGCTGCTCCCTGTTCAATTGTTTATTTTCAGACCGCTCTCCCTTTCTCCGTCATTTCTTTCCGTTGTAGTCCAAGATGGGAAGCGAATTGAACAAGGTATTTATTTCTGTTTTCTTTTCATTTTAAAAAGGAAATTTTTAGAGTTCCTCATCGTCTGACAGCACTGATCACTCGTTCGAATATGATGCACTGCCAGCGTTTAAACATGATATGATGTTGACGGACATCAACGACGCTGGTCTCAAGCGTGTGAGATATTATTAATAATATTACATAATTTTTTATTGTATCTTTTCCTTCTTATTTCTAATCCTTCATGGTTTTCAGCTCGCCGACATTACTGGAATTGAGAATCTCAGTGTTGGAGCATTCTCATCTCCTGCATTTCCAGTGGAAGGTCTCATCTTTGGACCGAATAATCGACTAATGGTGTGCCTCAACTGTCGTCGTGCCAAGAAGCCTAATGCGCCAATCGTCAAAGTCTGGTTTTTGGTGGATAGTGGATCAAATTGCACATTTCTCGACGAGAAAACGATCAGCAAACTCACGGGCTCTGACGCGATTCCTTCGGCTCTTCAAGTCGCCATTCAGGTTTAGTTTTTGTACTTTCAATTTTATGATTATTCTTTTTCTAATTCAAATTTCTCTATTTAGGATGAAAATTCTGTGATCGAATGCGCCCTCTCGCACAGCCATTTCAAGGAAGCGAACGTATTGGGGATGTTGGCTATGCGTAAAATGAACTTGACGATCGACAGCGTGAATTGGACTGAAGAGACTTGGCGCCTTGTGAAACAGTGATGGTTTATATTGTTGTTGTTTCGTATCATTCTTTCGGAGTTGTCATTTTTTCGTGTGATAACTTGTTTTATCGAAGTACTTGTCTATCTGGCGCCAACACTGAACCGTTACTATACGGGACTGTACCTAGATAACCTGAGTACATCAGTTATTTCTTGTAAATACTTGTTTAATTCCCAATGTTTCTGCTAATTCTATATCATTCTATATCTATAACATATTATCTATATCATATATTCTATATCTATATCATCATCGTATATCATCGTATTCATCGTTGGTTAATGGCTTCAAGTCTTTGTTGAATCATAGATTCGTCATGTAAAAAGCAATAAAATTTATAATACCACTTTAAAAAAAATCGACATCCACTGATTTTTCAAAAAGCACGAAAATGACACATTTTGGAGTATTTAAGCATGTAAATGGAAAATTTGAATGGAAATCGACATCCAAACCAAAAATAGGGCGAAAATGTACACAAAATTATTGAAAATAAGTACTTTTTAAGACTTTTAAAATTCACTCATTTCATATTTTTTTCAAAAAAGGGTTGTAAATGAGGTGATTCTCTGTCATCAGAGAATGAAAAAACGTTCAAAATAGCAAAATGTCGAAAATGGTATTATAATCCCTCGTTCCTATACTACTCACCCACCAGAAAAAAAAAGACGAAAAAAGATTGGCGTTCCGGTTTTGTTGGCCCAAAAATCGTTGGTGTCTGATCAAGAAGGCAAAAATGTCAACTGGAATAAATTGGAGCATCTTCGGATGGAAAAGCTCGAAGTGGATGCGGCACCGAAAAATTGGAAATTGGAGTGTCGGTCTTCGTCACTTTTTCAACGGAAATTGCCGAGTCATTTTTTTATAAGATATATTGACTTTGCTTGATGAAGTCGCCAATCAGAGGCTCTTGCTGCCTGCTTTTTTTGTTGTTCGCCACCACCTTCGAAGCTGCACAATTGCCTAATTAGGAGATGCGTACACAGGGAAACGAGCATACAAGCGGTTTCCATAAAGCATTAATCGAATTAATGCCGAACATTGAGAATATTGGGGACGAGCGTGGTTGGCAAAGAGAGAATGCCTGCTGCTGGAATCGAACCAGCGTCGCCACGGCCACAACGTGGAGTACTAACCACTATACTAAGCAGGACGAAAGCGATGGTGCTAGATGGCGGTTATCCAGGCCGAAGGCGCGCCGTCGTCGCACAATTCAATTGGAAAAAAACCGGGGGTCATAATGAGAAAATCGATCATTTGGAAATAAGCAAGTAATAAAAAGCGGAATGCAAAACGTTCTTGAAGAACCGGAAAAGTAAATATGCGTGGACAATTGTCTGAAAAAGTTCGTTCGACGACGAGTTCGGAAAAATATTTTTATTAATTTTTTTCCCCCACTCAAAAGAGTAATAGGTGTCATTTGTTTTTCTTGAAGGCGAAGTTTAGATGAACTAAGCAAGAAATAAGATTTGTGGAGCAGTGATGTGAAAAGAGCTCTCGTTTCCAGAGAAAACTTCAAATAAATCGCGACTCATATGTTTCACGAAGAGGGAAAAACAAAATACATGAAATAATATAAAATATTTATTTATTTATTTTTTATAAGACATTGGTTTTAAGTTATCAGAGATACTACTATATAATTTCCGTCTACGCTGTTTTATGAGAATGTGAATTCTGAAGCTCATGATGCAAGTTTGGAACATGAATTCAAGCGAATCTCCTTCAAAACTTGTTTGAAGGAATTGAATTCAATGCTTGTTTCATGAGGCAAGCGCGCTCTACAGCACATTAGCGTCGATCGGGAAAGCGCGTCTAATAGGAAAGAGTGTGCTAGCATAAGAGAGTCAGCGGACACTTGGCGTCAATTTGGTGTTCGATTCGACAAACGCGCCCCAACGCACACTTTGCACCGACACGAGTGGCACTATAAAAGGCCGGTGAGATGGCCATTTTGGTCAGTTCTCGCAGCTCCTCGAGTTGCGAGCGACCCGCATACCCGGTTGGGCTCGTCGTGCACCCCGGATAGCTGTGTGGGCTCCCACGTGCCCCGCATAACCTGCGGGCTCCGCGTGCCCCACATAACCCAGCGGGCTCACCGTGCCCGCATTGCCTGCGGGCTCGTCGTGGCCAAGGATCCACTCGGTAAGTCATATTCATCGCTACTCTTTTCCCTCAATTCCATTTATTGCAGATCCGAGTGCCACAGTAGTTGCTCATTCGAGCTCTTCCGATGTGCTATGTTGAAAGTGTTGGGGATTCTCGACTGGTGCGACTCGGTCAGCCAGTACTAACCCTACTGCAGTGACGCGTCCAGGCCGACGTTAAACCCATATTCATGAGTAGACATAGGACGTGAAGATGAGCAAGAATGGGAAATGGCGAACGGTCGACGCTGCCCGGGGCGTCGAGTAGAGCGAGGAAATGGATTTGAAAGGTAGAGATGGAATCACGATCTATCAGAATAATTCGAATCATTGCAGGCATCTTGTGGATCAAATGGATCGAATCGGAAGCGACGTCGAAGAAGAAGCGACGAGGAGGAAGGACAAAAGCGTCGGGTATTTGGTATTTTTTGGCCCGGGCTTTTTTTTTTACTTTTTATTATTATTTTTTATTTTTCCCTATTACCAGTCGTACCACTTACGACTGTTCCCCTCTATATCCCACCACTTGGGATTCCCACTCTCTCCTCTTCGTACATTCGTACCACTTACGTCTGTGCATCCTCCCGGTCCTACCGTTTGGGACCTCCTTCTTCCTGCCACCAGTCGTACCACTTGCGACTGTCCCTTCTCTCTATCAGTCGACTGATTCCCCTCCTCCTGCCGTACCGTTTGCGGCTTCTCTATATCCCACCACTTGGGATACTCCTCTCTTTTCGGTCCTACCGTTTGGGACCATCCTCTTCTTTTTTTTGGGGGAAAGTCGTACCACTTACGGCTATGCCAGTCATTCCACTAATGACTGGTTTCCCCTTCTTTTTTTAAATTTGTATCTTTAGGTATGTTTAGGTATCGACGCTGCCGCCGCCGCAGATGGAAGGATCTCGCCGGTGAATCGACTCACCGGCCCACATCCCATAATAACTCTAAGTTTAAGTCTCTTAGTACCTCTAGTCTCCCTAACTTCTAAACCCGCCGTAGTCGGCACTCCCTAGGTCGTAGTCGACCACCCATAGCCGTAGTCGGCTACTTCCCAAGCGCCGAGGCTCCCCGTCCCTCATAATCGTAGTGCCGAGGCGTTGGCTGGATGGCGGCTTAACCGTCGTATCCTAAATTCGGGTGATTGGCCTGGCAAGCCTTTCAGCCCTGATTCCGTAGCCGGGAATCGAACCCTACCCAAACGCCCCCGTTTCAAGTACTCTCGAGTGCTTGGAAACTGCTACGGGGCGTTATGGATGGTTATGCTTTAGAAATTTGCTTCACCGGGTGTCCTCCATACTAGTCAGGATGTCATCTGGCCCAGACCTATATTGACGTGGATTGGCCAGCTATGTCAATATGTCCAGCCTTTCGGGTGCACATGGACCGTGCTTCTTGGCATGGTAGCTTACTACTTTGTAGTGGCTTGCTACTACTTAGTAGTAAGCTTCTATGCTAAGAACACAAAAACCACATTACCATATCACCAGTAGACCCGGGGCCCAGCCAGACGTGGCTTGCACAACCACTTCTACTTCTATTATCCTCGGATGATAGTTGTGGGATGTCCTTGGGTGATCCCCATGGTGGGATCGGCGATGACCCACATCAGGTTTCGGCCTGATGCTGGTGAGCCTCTCCTTCAAGTGTCGAGCCTCTACGTGGCGAAGGAGATCAACTGACTCGGTCGAGTCAGGCTAATCGGCACACGATTCCCAACGGCCCTCTTTAGGGCCACCACGTCCATTTGTGTTGTAAAGCAGTGTGGGGGTCTCATCCATCTATGAATGTCTACCGAAAGCAGGATAATTTGAACTACACACTCGAAAGGTAAGCTTCTCCTCAGGAAAATCGAATAAAATATTTTGAGATTCATTGAGAAACTAACGTGTCTCCATAATATTTTCGATTTTTCTCAATCAACTTTAGAACCTATTATAAGAATTTAGAATTTATCGAGATCATTTAGAATTTGCTCAAAAAAATTTTAGAAAATCTTATAAGATTTTACAAAATATTTTTAAGTTTAGCGATTCTTAATAAGTTTTCGAAAGAATGAATAAACTTTCGAATTTCTCATAATTTTTTAGAGTTTATTATTGAATACTTGATTCTCAAAATATTTTATTTGATTTGCATGAGTAAAGAGTTTTTTTTTGTCGAAATTTCCCAATTCCTTCCTATTTTTTCGTTCGCGACTCTTCGAAATCCCAAAATTTCCACGAAACAATTCAATCATCTCGAATAAAATAACAAAAACCTCTTTTTTTTATGCCAATAGGGATGTATTTGATGGTCCATCATAGTCCGATTCGAAAAAAAAAACTTGACGCTCTTCTTCATTGCAAATTGAATTGCTCGAGTGTCGACAATCAGATTCTCGAGTTTATTAAGAACGCCGAGCGACGGATCGTGAAGCGTAAACTGAAAATTGGGTACGATCGACTTCACGCGAAAAAGAAATTTCAGTGTTCGGTGATACAATTCATGAAATAGATTCTGACGAAACGGGCAAATCAAATAAAATATTTTGAGAATCAAATATTCAATAATAGACTCTAAAATACTTTTTTAAAATCTTTTAAGATTTTCTAAAATTTATTGAGCAAATTCTAAATTCTAAAATCTTATAATAATTTCTAAAGTTCATTGAGAAGATTTTAAAATATTATAGAGACATGTTAGTTTCTCAATGAATCTCAAAATATTTTATTCGATTTAACTGATATATGGATGTGGTTTTAAAGCAAAACAAGACAACGCCAATTTAATTAGATATTGAAATTGTGCTGCGGACAATTTCAATATTTCACACCGCCAACTTACCGCAATTCATCGAAGAGATTCTGACGAAACGGACGTCATCTTAGAGAACAAGTTTGCTTCAATAAAAAAATATTCAAAAAAATTTTTGAACAAAAAAAAACGATTTTATGAGCAATATAACACCTCTCAACTTTGGTACTTTTTTTTTCGCCAAAACGCAATCTTGTCGGCGATTTGGATGGTATCTTTGGCAGCGAGCATTTTCAAAATATGTTAACTATGCTAGTTTTTTAACTACTGACTACCCGTAAACTACCGAGACTACTAACTTTGAAAATTTCTCGGTGCTTCCGGGAGTCTCGCCTATGGGTAGTTGAGGAAATTCTCGGGAAATACTTTCCCGAGAGCACACACTGCTCCCAATTTTAAGCAATACGCGGACAATCCAATTCTTGAAATCACTTTAAAACTAATTTATAAATAATGGTACGAATCCTTCCTAAATATCTATTTGATTCTATTACTCAAGAAACACAAAATCTGATACCAAAAATGGGAAACACAACACAAAACACAGTACATATGACGCTACCGGATGAAATTCGAAAAAAAAAACGGATGGGGGTATGAAAATCGTTAAATCATTATGAAAATCTTCTTGATTATTTAATATAATTTCTTTTTGTTGCATAAAACGAAAATTTGAGAGTTTCTACAGGGAAATTTATGCAATGTTAAGGCTCTTCTTGACAGATTTGACGACGTGCTCAACGGATGGAAGAGCAGCGAGCTCAAGAGATTGAGCATATGGCATTGGAACATCGACACCCGTCACTCTGCAAAAAAAAATGAGTTGCGTTATTTAAAGGCGCATTTCGAACAGGGATCGACCTCTAAATTTCAATTAAAAAATCATACCTGAGAAGTGGGGCGTCAAGTTGATCGAACACGTCGCTCTCCATGACCTGCGCGGCAATCTCAGCTCCGATTCCAGCGAATGGCCATCCGGTCTCGACGGTCACCAAATGATGTGTCTTGAACACCGATTGGCGGATTGATTCGAAGTCGAATGGACGAAGCGATCGCAAATTGATGATTTCAGCGCTGACGCCGATCGCCTCGAGCTGCTTGGCGGCCTCCAGACAATATTCAACGCCTCGCGAGAACGAGACGAGCGTCACGTGGTCGCCAGCGCGCTCGATTTTCGCTTTTCCGATTGGCACAATGAAATCTTCGGAGAGAACCTCGTCGGACACCGGGAATGAGTGTCCGTAGAGGATTTCGTTCTCGAGAAAAACGACTGAAATCAACGAAAATTGCTTTTAAAATTGAGCTTCTTTAAAGATACCCGGATTGTCGTCGCGAATGGCGGCCTTCAAAAGACCCTTGGCGTCTTCGGCGCTGTATGGGGTGAGCACTTTGAGCCCTGGACAATGAGCATACCAGGCCGAGTAGTCTTGTGAGTGTTGGGCGGCGACACCAGCAGCGGCTCCATTTGGACCACGGAAGACGATTGGAACATTAACCTGGAAATGTTTTCTTGGGTTCAAATTTTTTCGCGCGTGATCAGTGTCGTTGAATGATAACGCGATCTCTCTCGTTATCAATTCGGCCGTTTTTTATTCATCAAAAAAATTACCCGTCCAGCCGACATGTAGAATGTTTTGGCAGCCGAATTAATGATCTGATCAATGGCTTGCATTGAAAAGTTCCAGGTCATGAACTCGCAAATCGGACGAAGACCGGCGAACGCGGCGCCGACGGCGATTCCGGCGAATCCCATTTCAGTGATCGGGGTATCGATGATTCGCTTATCTCCGTATTTCTTCCAGAGGCCTTTTGACACCTATAAATTGACGAAATTGCAAAAATTTCAACGAATATCTATTGCAACCTTGTAGGCTCCGTCGTATTGCGCCACTTCCTCACCGAGAAGGAACACGCGATCGTCTCTACGGATTTCCTCGTCCATTGCCTGGTTGAGAGCATCACGAACAGTCATCGCTGAAAAAAAATGCAATATAATATTCACAAGAAATATGACGGAATTTACTTGATGCCAATCGGCGAGAATTGCCGGCAATGCGGCCAATGAGCACTGCGCTGCACTTTCTCAATGCCATACTGAAATGGGAATTACCTAAAAATAAATAATTTTAACAAATATCGAAAAACCAGAATTTCAGTAAGCGTAAGAAGTTTTGAGATAAAATTTACGTCATTCTTCAAATTATTGCGAGAAAAATAATTAATTATTGAGCAAATTACACGTTTCATTATGAATTACTTTTTTGGTATTGTTAATTAACAAGTGAGAAGCAAAAGCAAATAGAAAATTGCGAAGACGGACTGGTCGCGAGCAGAAAAAATTTCCACAGCGCTCGAAGCGTGTGCGCCAATGCGTTGCGGTGTTTGCGGTCAATGCGCCCAAAGAGTATACACACCGTAACACACATCAAAATTCAAAGGGTATGGGACGTTTCCATGGCTACGAAAGCTAGGAAAATAATTTTTCAACAAGCAATAATTTCGAACAATGTCGTACAGAGAACTAAGAAGTAAGTCACTCAAAATTTTGTTGAAAATTTGTGAATTTCAGATCTGTGCGAAATGACTCGCACTCTCCGCTACCCGAGATTGCTATCAATTGAGAATTTTCGAACGCCAAATTTTCAATTAGTTGCAGAGTTGCTTGAATGGATAGTAAAGAAGTGAAAAATAAAAAAAAATAAAGTTTAAAATTGAATGAGGAATTGCAGATTTGAGCCAGAAGCTTCCCTAAATGCTCAGAATATTGAAACCGAGCAGGACCGAGTGATGTTCATCAAACAAGCAGCACTCTTGATGCTCCAAAATTCTCGACTTAAAATGAATACAAAAAAGTTGTACATGGTAAATTTTCAAGAGAAAATACTTACGAAAATTTTTTCTCATTTCGGGAAATCTCTTTGAAATATGTATTTCGGCGTTGATTAAAATGCATGTCCGCAGAAGTCATGTGACGTGTTTGCACAACATATGATTTGTTGCCATTTTTTTTAACTATTCCGATATTTTTTTGCGAAAATACAGAAAATCAGAATTTAATTAATATTTTTTGCTAGAATTTCTACTTAAAATGTATTTTGTTGTATGTAGGCTGACGGTCACGCTGTCAAGGAGCTACTTCCAGCCTTGAAGGTTCTCTATGACGCAAGGAGGCATGAGGATCAGACATCGGAAAGCCTTCAAACCGCGTGGGCTCAAACCAAACAAAAATTAATGAGCAAAGTAATTTTTAGTTAAATTTCGAGCGTATTTAGATCATCAAATTTCAGCTGCAAGAGATTCGCGTCACTCGTCAATTGTCGTCGCAGCTTCCCGAAACTGGGGCAGCTCTCAGCGATTATTTGGAGAAGCAGGCGAGATTTGCGGTAAGATTCTGTAGGATTCATATAGAGATGATATGTTTTCTTATTTATTCCAGCGTGAGCGCGATCGCGCCGCATCTCGAGCCATCCCGTTGGCAGAAGCCGAGAAAACGCTTCAATTGGCGATTAATGCGATTATCGAAGAGGCCGATCAGCTTCAGGTACGAATTCTAGACAATCTTCTTAACTGTTAAGAAGTTCAGACGCGTTTGAGTAATGTCGCCAGCGATGAAGCCGAGCTGGACGAGAAGATTGAGCGCAAAGAAAGGGAGTACGAGCAAATGCAGAAGAGATTCGCCAAATTGCAGGTTAGAAGCAAATTTCAACTGTGCCAATGTGATTTTTGCCATTTTTAGGCATTCCGACCGCAATATATGGACGAGTACGAGCGCTATGAGGAAAAACTGCGGCAACTCTATGAGGTGTACGTGCTCAATTTTCGGAATCTCGCCTACCTTCAGAAGGTCAATGACGATTTGGCGAAGAATGAGAGGAATCGACAGGTTCGCGCAAATTGCCAAAAAACGATTTTCGGGCATTTGTTTAGGAGGAAAATGAGAAGGCGATGCGATTGGCTGTCGAGAAAATGCGGCTCGAGCAGGAGAAAAACAACAAGTTTGATTTCGCCTCGCGATTACTGTAGGATTACTGTGTGTTTTCAGCATTGGCCTCACTGACGATGACGTGGATATGCCACTGGTCGATCGACGTGGATGTGAGAGTCTTTCAATCATTTTCATTGTTATTACGGTAACACTATTTCAGCTGTGCGGAAAGTGTATGGTAATATGACTGGCGCTGGAATGTCCGACGACGATGATGATGATGATGATGAAGACGACGATGAGAAGAAAGTACCGAATAAGGATATTATCAATGATGAGGATGATGAAGATGATGGAATAGGAATGGTATACGGCAGAGTGGTACTGTAGACATCATCGATGTTATTGCAGATAGCCAACAGTGGGAATGACGATGATGATGATGACAAAGGGGAAATGAGCAGTGGAGATGATTTTTAGTTTATTAATTTAAAAAATATTATTAAAAAACGTATTTACATTATAAATGGGAGTAACTCGTCGATCGGCGTTGTGAGAAGGAAGATTGATTAGTTCTGAAGGTTGCGAATTGTTTTCAGATATTTTTAAAAGTAAGATTGCACATACGACTTTCTTCTATCAAAGTCGGTATTGAGACAATACATGTATAATGGGACTGTGGGGAATTGGAGGAGGTAGATGACGTAGACCAGAGCATCAGCCTAGAGAAAATAATATTGTGAAAGTGTTATATAGGGAAATGCACTTACTCTTATGAAATTCCGTTGAATCGACGGGTCAAGACTCTCTCGAAAGTTGTAGAATTCATCGAGAAGCGGTAAATATTGGGCTCGATAGCTTTGAAATGTGTATGATTCGCGAGCAAACCTGCAGCGAATAATTCGGCAAATTGAACAGAAGAGTGGTGGTGGCGAGCACGAGGCATCGCCGAATCGCTTTCGTTCGCTTCCGCTGCTGATCGACAATTTTGCTGCGATGCACAATTTTCAGTGGCATTAGATCGGAAGCGCCGGTGAACAGCTGATCGACACCAACGACGGCGAAGCTGGTGAAATTCTGACGGTTGCGCGGATTTTTGAAGATCAACACTGAGCAGTCGGCGAGCACAGTGAGCAGAAACGGGACGAAGAATGCCAGTAGGCATTCGGAGAGAATCAGATACTTGAGCACCATATGTCTGGAGAAATTGGCAATCATGCGCCTTTAAATAAATTAATTCTCACCCGAAAATGTTGGGATCCTCGGCGCAATAAGACCCACTTGCCGAGTTTGACGACAATTTGATCTCGGTTATAAGAATTGGGGACCATAGTTGGCTGATAACTGAGCATGCGCAAATTCTTGAATAAATTTTTTTATATTTATTTTCTTTTCAATCAAGACTCACCCGAAAATGATATGCTTACTCCTTTCTTGTGATCGATGCGCTTTGAATGGATAATACACGTGAAGGTAGCGCTGGAAAAATAATTAATATTAATTAGTGGCGGCAACGAAAGGCATCGCTACCCATGACCAGTGTACGAAGAATGATGAGGAATTGACGAGAAACGCGCTCAATTTGCATATGACGACTCCCGGAATCAAATCTGCGAGAAAAAAAAACAAAAATTGATGTCAACGATGAATAATTTGGTAAAATTACCAGCTAAAAATCGAAATTTTTGATCGGAAATGACGTTGCTGAAAATTGTTGCCAAAAGCATAAAATTTCCACAGACAATCGCTTCGAGAAACACTAAATACACGGTTCTCGTGCTTTTTCTCAATAGGAAGAACACGAATATCAATGCGGGTAGTGTGAGAATTGAAACGACGACGACGGTGTAGTAGAGAAGCTGTGAGCTGGCCGCCCATTCCTGAAGAAGCTCATCGGTCACAGATTCCATATGCTGAAAAAAAACGATTACTTCGACGTTTTCAAAAGACGAAAAAAGTGCGTTTTTGCAAGATTTTCAGGCGAGATAAAAATAAATATCTGGTAAATCGTATTTTGAATCAACGATTCACGAATTTTAAATGAATTTCTATGCAATTTCCTTATCCTAGTATCGCCACAGGGCACATATTTTTTTGGCAAAATTTTGCACACTCGGGAACACTTTTGAGATAGAAAATTTGCGAAAAAAAAACAGCTCAAAAATTGAAGAAAAACAATTCAAGTACAGCGATTCCGCACAAGACCCAATAAGATTTAGCACATGCGCCTTTAATTCATCTACAGTAGCCGGATTAAATTTTTTTATTTTTCCGTAATCTCTTCGACTTTTCTGAAACATTTAAAAAGAAAGGCTTTGCAGATAATGAGGAGTGTGTTTGAGAAGAAAACTATTGACGGATTAGCGCTTTCCAAAAAAGGTATTCTACTCGTCATGTGATTTTCACACTAATTTTCTATTTTTTTTTCAGCCGGTTACTATAAGAAGAAAAAATCGCCGGAGTTGTTGTTGTTTACGGAATGGTGCGGCACCGTTTATAATATCGGACAATTTTTTTCAGTTGGGAGCGACAAAAATGCAATTTCAGTGTCATTCCATTAAAGGACAAGTCATAAATAGAGACAATTCTCCCTTTTCAGCCATCTTGTTTATCCCCATTGGCAATCTAATATCGAGACGCAAATTGACGTGTTTTCAGGGATAGCGAAAGCGTAGATCAAATAAAAAGTTTCCAGAAATTGTGCGATTAGGCAGGTTTGCAGAAATTTGAGAATTCGCTGGATCAGTTTGATTGCGTCCCTACATTTTCAAACCTTTCGGCCATTTTTGTTGGTTAAATTCAAAATTGAAGTGCAATTTGTTAAAAAATTAAACTGGACTTGCTTTCGATTTGATCTCATCGCAAAATTTTTTTTATTATCGTAGGAAGAGGTGTTTTTGTGTTTGTGTTTGTGTGAGTATGTTCGGCGGCAAAATAATATTTGAACTGAACAAACAGGAGGCAAAACATTCAGCAAACAATGGGCACGGATACTAGCGGGGATGAATGAAGAAAATTGGGATTTGTGTACGTCAATGCTGGAAATTTTCAAAAAAAATCTGAAAATACCCAAAAAATTTGATGTTAGAAATTTTTTTGCTGCGTGCTTCAGGGCACACGTCTACGCCCTAGCGCATTTAGCTATCAAAGTTCCCATAGGGCATTGGCTCCACTTTTGCGCGGAACGCGAAAGGTCGCGAGTTCGACGCCGCGCTCCCTCAAAGAATTGCAATGAGCTTGAATTTTGTAAGCACATTACAGCTTAAAAAGCTGTGAAATCGAAAAGAACGGCACAATCATCAGAAATGCAAGGATGAGACACAAAGGATGAGATCCATTTTCCCGCGAAAAAGAAATGTGGGCGGAGTCTTTGAAGAGTAATGAGCCGCCGCAAAACACGCATTTTTTTTTGAATCAAAACAAAATCGATTGAAAAAAAGAAATGGAGGTGGTGAAAAGGTGTGACAAAAAACAAAACAGGCACGAGTGATACGGAAATTTTTTGAAAATGCACTTTTCTGCCGCCCGCCATTGGCCTCTTCCCTCTCTCAAATAGCAATTTGTGGATGAGCTCTTAAAAATTATAATTAGCATAGTTAACGAGACAACAAAAAATAGATGAGATGTCGTGACCAAAGCGAATTGTGAACATCACCTCCTGTAAAATTCAGCTCGGCGAGAAATTAATGATTCTTGTGAGCAATGGACCATTGGCCCAAAATCAAATATGCACAAAGTGGGCGTGGCTTTTGAGGGGAGGCAGAAGTTGCATAGAAGGCATCGGTGGACGCGCACGCAAATAATTCGAATGGAAATTTTTGCAAAAAAAAATGATTAGTGAGATATATTAGGATGGGAAAGTTTCTGGAATTTTTTCTCCGCTGAAAATGAGGAATTTTTGATTTTTCAGCCGGTGGCCTTCTTAATTATCCCTAATTGTGTTGCAATTTAATTGCAATATAATTCTGATTTTAATTATTCAAAAATGAATTCCGAAATCACCTCACCAATTATTTTTTGAGGGAAACTTTTATATCGAATTTTCTCGCCTAATATGTCTATCACTAGAAAAATAGAGCATCTCAAATCTTAAAATTCACTGAAAAACTAATTTTCTTAAGAAAAGGTGTTTAAAAACTCCAATTTTGAGCGGAAATATCAAAAATTGAAAAAAAAATTCGAAAATTAATTTTCGCGGATTACTGTAGATTGGTCTGTGTACTGCGTACTCGAAACACCGGATTCGACGACAGTTTACCCAAACCTCAAATTTCCAAATTTCAATCTTTTTGTGGGCTCTCGCAGCACACAGTTACGTCGCATTGTCCGTGTGAAGTACACAGAGGCGTCTCATCGGCATGAGACCAATTTTTGTAGAATAAAAAAAAACCAAGAAATCAAAAACAAACAACAACTATGGCGCATGGCGTATTTAAACTGAAAATCTGAAATTTTCAGATGGTATAGTATTCTTAAAAGATTAAAAGTGCGAAAGATTTTTGTGTGTGTGTGTGTGCACAAAAAAACAAGTTTCCAAATCGCACCTTTAATCTCGCCAAAATTGCCACGAGAAAAAACGAATGAGTTTGGCGACGAAATTGAATCCATTTGTGATTAGGAGGCGAGAAAAAAAATAGAATTTTTTTTTGGGGGAAAAAACAACCCAAAAAAAATCGATGGTCTTGTGAGAGAATTGTCGACTACGGTAGTCATTCGGGACGGGAGAAAATGATGAGAAATCGCTCGTTTCCTAAAATACTCTTATCCCTAATAAGCTATTTGATCCAGGAATTCTCAACCATTTTTTTCTTTTTGCTCATTAGTGCACACTTCGGCGAATTAAGTGAAAAGACGATGAAACATCAGATTTCATACGTAGAATGGGGTTCGGATTAGTCTTTTGAGAGGTTTATCGGCTTTCATTTGTTGGCATTTTCTGCAACGCGGTTTTTGATCTATTCATTGTGCAAGCGCGCTCTATTGACATCGAAATTCACATTTAGATAACCAAGCTTTTTTGATTTCAGTTTGGATTCGTTCGATTTTGTAAATCGAAATTTGAATTGCCGCCCAGAACATTACAATGGTCTGCAGATTCCCACGGCTCTTTTTTTTGGTGATAGTTGATTTCGGAAACTAAGCTGCAACGCGGTTTTTGATCTACCCGTTCTACAAACGCGCTCTATTGCCAACTTAAATTTAGTCGTTCCAAAAAATAGGACATCAGCTATCAGAATCGATTGATCGCCAGAAGACCCGGAGAGCGGTCAGCCTTCTGAGGCTTATGAGCCTTTAAAATTATTTCTTTCTTAAATTCCCAAAATTTATATCGATTTGAACAAAAAAAAACATCAGCATTCTTTAAAATTTCAACAATATTGAATACGGTAATTAAAGGCGCATCGCAAACATTTCAGCAGGGTCTCGTGGCGATTCCAAAAGAATTTGTAGCCTTTAGAAATTTGACAAATTAAAAATAATCAAATTTCCCTTTCAATGTGGTATGGCAAAAAAAATTGCTGCAAAATCTATCCAATTTTGATCTACCATAATCCGCGCTTCATTTGATCATCAAGCCAAACTTCATCCGGAAGTTGCACATAAATTATTATTATTATCTCAAAGGGTGGGCCTTTTCATTATGCAATCCTCTTTTCACTTTTCACGGTGGTCGACTTCTCGGAAATTGACATTCATAAAAAATTCGCCGCTTTTTTTTCAAATAAAATTGCGAGTACACGTGATATTCATTCACCAAACCAGGAAAAAAAACATGAAAAACGGTGAACTACTACGGAAAAAACAGAGAGAAGCCCGCAACAACAAACAGGAACAACGGAAAAAAAATCAAAACGACTCGGAAATGAACATGAGGAAACGGAAGACAACGGCGAGAATGGCGAACAGCACCGCGCAATCGAATGGTCCCAATTTCGCGGCGAGACCCGATTCCTTCGGAAGCAACTTTTGAAGGCATCGCTGATGACGATCCTTCCCATATTTGGTGAATTTCCGCTTGCGATTTCGTCGCTGAAGCCTTCGAAGCCGTTTGGAATCACGGCATCTCGAGCATTCGACGGTCCGAATGCGGAATATCGGATCCTCGTTGGAATTCAGCTGCAATTTGAACCAACGCTTCGGTGGGACTACTGAAAAACAATATTTGGATTCAATCGGATCCTTGGATCACTATGTAGTTACCCATTGCGGCCGCGTCCAATGGTTGACACGACAAATGTCGAACCCATTTCGGGCGCTTCGGAAGAAGTCGTGAGTGCGTCGGCGAATACGACGAGACCATCATCGACGACGTCACTAGCGATCCGGACGACTGCAACGCCATCATACATCTCGGATCGAAGCTGCTCGCGCGCAGCCGCTTCTTCTCGCGGCTACGATCCAAAAGCAACCGCGACTCCGTCGTACGATCACGATAGCCGTCGCAGAGCTGCTCGCCGGATCCATACGCTTCCAATGGTTTGAGAAGATCGTGACGACGCGGTGTGCTGCTCGACAAGCTACGCGACATGATTCCCGGAATTCGTGTGGGTTTTCGCGTCGGTGTCGCCATCGAAGCGGTCATTGAGTGATGCATCGACGAGCTCATCGAGCCGCGGCTCGACGGCGACGGTGTTCGCTTCCGCAATTGATCCTCCTCCTTAAAACTCGAGCTCAATTCGGCTACCAATTCACAAGAAGCTTACATGTGAAGAAGCAAGATCAGCGCAAATCCCTTCAGATTCCGATGAGTCGTCTTGAGCAGGAATGGTAGTCGCCTTCAAACATTTCGAGCATTATTTATTTACCAAGGCTCAAAATTCGATGCACCTTTAAATACTCGTGCTCCCAATTGATCTCCTTCGTTCTCATTTCATTTCGCTGTTTCGATTTTCTTATTTCATCGCCAAACTTCCATTGGCGCGTCTTACGATGTCGTTGCGGGCAGACCCGTTTTTTGAATGCCTAGAATACGGATCGGATCGAATCGGCTCAAAACCGCCTACTTTAATAATCCTATTGGTGCTAAAACCCTAGAAGCGTCTATTGTGACATTCTCCGTGGAATCGCGTGATATCTAAAAAAAGAAACAACGATAGCCCAAATTTTTCAGATGAATTGATTACCGCCGGAATATCCATTGGATCACTATCGGTCACATCGGGAACAAATCGCTCAAGACTACTGAACACCACAATATTCTCGCCGCAGAAGCGTATCGTCTCCTCAGGGAGAATCGGCTCGACGAACGCGCTGCTACCTGAAAAAATAAACAAATTGAGAATTTCCATATTTAACGCATTCGGCTCAAAATGTATATTGGCTGACAGGGAATTTTGCGAGGATCACAAATATTCTACTCATTCTACACATAAATCAAAGTGTCACGTTAAAATTTCAAAAAAAAATGCTTTGATTTGAAATTTTAATGTATTTTTATGTCAAAATATCGCAAAAATGTTTCCCAAGAATGGGAATTTCTAATCGAAACTCATCTGCGGGCAAATTCCCCAGCACCAAAAACAAATGTCCGCAGATGCATCAATTTAATGGCCACATGTTTGTCACACCAGGTGGCCATGAAAATCCAGACGACATGCAAAAAAGAAGAAGAAGAAGAAGACAATTTTAGAAAAAAAGGAAATCGTCGTTGCCAAAAAAAGGCGAAGACGAGAGAAAATTGGAGGCGAGCGGGTGTAAACAAGTTAGAATTTCTAACAAGGCGAGTGCGCAAAAAAAATACATAAAAACATAAAAATAAAACACATGCGCCTTCAAGATGCAGCGACTATCAAAAAATTTAGCTTTTATCTTTTTTTTTTTCGAAATTTTGCATTGAGAAACCCTCAAAATTTTGATCCTGCCATTTTAAAGGCGCATACTCATTGGATAATAGTTAGAAATGGTCTCGAGACGAACAATAAAAGTCACATACCAGATATCGGTGGCCTCCTCTGTGTGCTGAGCTGCTGGCGAGCACGCTCAACGTACATCTTTTCGCATAACGACATCGGTCGTCGGACGCCCAATGTCGCCGTCTGAAAATCAAAATTTAATGCTTTCAGAGTAATTTTCAGAATTCGGTTTTAATTCATTTCCATCGCAAAAAATTGAGCAAATTGTATAACTGTGGACCATTGCACTTTTTTGAGGCGAAAATTCAATTTTGGATTAAATGTATATTTTTATAATTTTAGACTACAAATAGATAATTTCAAATTTATAAAAAATTACTTACTACTTCAAAATTGGCAATAATCTCGCAATTTAAAATCTCAAACACAATTAAGCATTTTTCGTAGATTAGTGGTGATAACTCGAAGCGAAAATTCAAAGTCACTTCGACAATTTTCAATTTTTTAAAAGAAATTTCCGAAAAGAAGTGGAAAATTTAAAATCTCAACTATAAATCTAATCCGATATCCAATTTTTTCTGCACAAAAGGCGAAAAATCAACGAAACACATAATAAAATTGGCGTTGCCCCCCTGAAATGGGCGTATCGAATTACATGGGCCTGTACAAACACGCACACAAAAATAAACGACTCACCGGTCGTTTGTCGAGAATCTGCGCCGACGTCGATGATGGCGAGCCGACCGACACACCGCTATCAGCACCGGAGCTTCTCGTCAGCACACCGCCGTCGAGTTCGCCAACTGCAACAAAATAATTGAAAATTTCAAGGCATTTTGAAAAAAACGAGTCGAATGAACCAAAAAAATTGGAAAACTATGTATGGCGATGTCTGATAACATCGGGTGGGCGTAATTTGATTAGACGCCTCCGATAATCAACATGGAGGTCAATCGAATAGTATATAGTCGACAGTTTATCGACATTCACACTGAGAATTTATGCCGTCTAATAAAACGCGCATAACATTTTCCACACAATATTCAATATTTGTGTTTGGATTAGTGCGCGAGAATGACCACTTGAACTGGTTTTCAACAATAATATTAATGGAAATTTGCGGCAGAATTGAATAATATCGAAATTCTGGAGAATTGAAAAACGAAATTGAAAAATAAAAACGATACCCGTGAGAGATTTTTTTCCTTTGCGCGCATTTAGCTTTAATCTTGATAAATGCACATTTGTCATTCAAAATAAATGTCAAACATGCTCTCACCAATAATCGGCACCGTGGTTGACGTCGACGATGAAGCTGACGACGTTGGTCGGTAGGCGTTGACACTCCAACTCGAGTCCTCTTCATTCCACTCGGCGCGCTCTTTTATTCGTTCCGTGACCTCGCGCGGAATGAAATTCTCGACGATTAGCAATTTCAACTTCAATTCTTTATTGATTTCCGCAATCGATTGGTCCAAATCTTGACGTTCATCGGAAAATGCTTCGGCAGCGTCGCGAATTTCATTGCGAGCCTGAAAAAACAAAAAAGAATTGCGCAAAATCCGCAATGCTGCGCGTCGGTGTATGCACACAATGCGCATTACTTCACGACAAATCGGGGGAGTTTTCGCAGTTTACCGGCCTAAAATTACCTGTCGTAGCTTAAAAATCAATTTTTTCAGCTTTTTCGTCTTCGCCTCGACCTCGGCGCGTAGATCAGAAAACGTTTGCTTCAAATCCACCGTATCTTCCTCTTGTCGCTCAAGTTGCTCGGCCATTTCCCGTTCGCGCTTCTTCTGCTCGGCGAGCTCTTTCCGTTTCCGCTCCAACTGTTGTTGTTGCTCGCGAGTGCGACTCGCCAATTGCTCGCCCGCTTCACCCATAATTAGGCGACTTTGGATGTTGGCGATCTGCTCGGCAACTTTCGCCTGCTCCAATCGCTCCTTCTCGAGAAGACGCGATTTCTCCTCGAGCTCCTTGATGAGGCTCTCCTTCTCCTGCCGCACGAGCCCATCATTCCTCATTATCCGATCCATATCATTCTCCAATTTCTGCTTCTCTTCCTCATAATAGGATTGCGAGGTGCTGGATCCACCTCCTCTGGATCGGATCTTCTTCCTCTCCAGTTTTTCGCGGAGTCGCTGAATTTCTTCCTGGAATTCACGAAGAAGCGCGTCCTTCGGATCCTCATTAATCTTCGGTTGATTCTTGATATTCTTCGCACGATTCGCGTATCGTAGCGTTCCTAAATTCCTTTTTAATTCAATTAATTCACGCTCCATTCATTTACCCAGCGTTTCCTCAAAATTGTAAGAAGCCGGTCCAATACAAGCGACCATCACCGTCTTCGAGTTTCCACCGAGCGAGTCTTGCAATAACCTTGTTAATTTTGAGTCCCTATATGGAATATGAGACGATTTGGCGTCGACTAAAGCGGAAATCACATTTCCCAAAGCCGAAAGCGATAAGTTAATCTTGGTGGCCTCTTTGAATCGCTCTCCAGTGGCGCCAGTTTTCGCTTGCCGTTCGCTTCCGGCAAGATCGACGAGATTCAGCCGACCCACAGTGATGTGATTCTCGCCGTCGAGACCGGTTTGTGAGCATTCAACAGTAATCATGAAGATGGCATGCGATCGACTCGAGTGCTCGTTCATGTTGGTTCGTCCAACCGATCGCTGCGCATTTCCAGTCGCCATAACCTTTTGAATGGATTCGGCGGAATTTGTGACAAACGCCAGAAGATCTTTCACGTACACACCGCCGTCGGGCCTCTCCTTGATTTCCAGCTTCTTGCCAACATCGCGACTAAGCAAATCGCGTAATTCTTCCTAAAATCGCCGAGCCAAATGTGAAAAGCCGGAAAAATTTTGTAGGCGAACCTGATAAATTTCTAAATAGCTAGCTCGTACTAAATATTGTTGATTCCTCGAATTGGCAATGTGCTCAAAAATATGATCGATGCATTTATAAATGACGCCACGCTGCTCGGCTATCTCCGATTTTCCCTCCATCGTGTACGTTTTTCCGGTTCCCGTTTGACCGTAGGCGAAAATTGTGGCATTGTAGCCGTTGAGAACCGAATCGACTAAATCTCTGAACGTCTCTTCATAGAGATCGGTTTGAGTCGAGCTGAAAATTTGCAGTTTTTCGCTATTTATTTTCAATTCAACCCACTTCTCGTCGTAAATGGCGTCGAATGTGAAATTTTTCGACGGCTCATTCGGCTCTTTCGGATTCTCAAGCTCGATCTGCCCGCGTTCACATTGCATGTGAACGATTCTAAAAAAAAAATAAGCCAATAAACGAATTCGTCATCACATTTTCACTGACTTTTTATGGCCATTCTCGACTTCGGTCGTCGATAACGGCCTACATCTAACGATAACCTTGACCGACTCCTGCTTGCTCGATTTCCTCCGATCGGTCATGGTTCTGAAAGGCGTACTTTGAGTGCGAGGCAAAATATTTACAACCAAAAAAATCTGACATGGAAATGGACAAATATGGAAACATTTGATAACAAAAGTGCAAAGAATGTCGGGCAAATAACCCGCAAGGGAATAATTGCATGCATGTTTTCCTTTCGGCATTTTCGGTTGTGATACGGTAGCGGCGATGTCCGTAAACACCGACGCGTTGTCTTGTCGCCTTTTTTTGCAATCCTCTAATTTTAACTTTTCATTTTCGAGTAGACATACAAAAATTGTACAAAAACAACGAGACGAGAGGGCAAAAAAAAAGTGATTCGTAGGTGACAATTCCATAGAAACCGAAGGGCGCTTCGAAAAACCCATTTTTGGGTTGTTGAAAATGCATTGCGAATTGCGGGGAAATGACAAAAAAAGCTGAATTTTTAAGTTGCTGTCAAGATTTTCTCAAAAATTGGATGTGAAAATCTTGAGAGTGGTCAAATTTGAGCGAGTTGCACATTGAAACCAAATGGTGATTTGCTAAAATCCAAAATATTCAAAATTCATAAAAATAGGACGCATTCACTTTGTGAACGTTGGAAATCGCAAATATTGCAACTGAAAAGTGGTTTTCCACGCGAGACCCAAGGCGGCAATTCAAAAATCAATTGAAGTAGGTAAAATTTGAAATAATTCGCAAATGAATATCGATTTAGCGACGACTCGAGAGCCTATGCAAAACGCAAGGAGAGTGCAGAGATGAAACAGCTGGTTGACGAGGAATGGAATGGAATGGGCGGTGGGAGGGTGCGCGACGGATGGTGGTGGTGGTGGCGGAATGGTGGCAGAGAGTATGGCGAGCGGAGAGGGCCGCCGAGCAACACGATGAAGTAATGCGCGAGAATGTCTTGAGGATGAACTTCACTTTACAACAAAGCCTCCGATTGAAAATTGCAATAGCATGAATGTAAGAAAATTGGTTAAAATTAGAGAAACTGACTGTCAAAATAATCCAAAAAGTTTTTTACTTTTGAAAAAATAATTTGGTCATGGTACTGTAGACGCCGAATGTACGCAATGCACCAAGGCGAAACTTGCACAATTTTTTTTGAAAATTTTTCAATTTTTGAGTAATTTTCAAATTCGTTTTCTTCCGCGTTTTCAATTGAAAATAAATTAGAAGCACATTGAAATTGAATTTTTCGCAGTATAAAATTGAAAATTTTCGAAAAATTGTGAACATTTAGAAAAAAAAAACAAGTTAAACTGAATGAATTTTAATTGGCGCGGCAAAAAAAAAATGACGGTCCGTAAAATCGAGTGGTAAAATATTTTCCAACGTCATGTTTCACATAAATCATTGCAAATGCAAACCATACATTTGCAATAAAAGCTGGCGTCGTAATGCACGTCGCAAAGAAAAAATAATGGCGCCCAATTTTCCTATGACAAAAGAGCAATTAAATGACCCAAACTTCCGGGGAGGCCTCGGTCGGAAAAAAAACGCAACTGTTAGGCTGTCCATGTTGTGTTGTAATATTGCCAATTGTTTGGATCTTTTATTTCTTTCGAGAACAAAAAAAAAACAAACTTTCATGGCAATATTCTGTTGTATAAATAAAAAATTTACACATGAATTAATTAATTAATGAGCGTGTATAATGCGCATCGTATTCATGAATTTCATTCCTGAAATTTATATTGAAAAAATGGATAATGGTTCGTTTTTTTTACCTTGTTTCCAGCCGGTGATTATCACAAGCGGGTCTCCTTTGCGAATGAACCCTCGCGATTTGCCAAAATCGATTCCGTACGTGATTCTGTCTTCCATGTCCGAATCGGAGCCATCAGGTTTTGTATCTAAAACCCAAAATAATGGTTTGCAATACTGTATTCATCAAATTTTACTTGGATAGACTACTGGGAACAGTCCTCTGTGCAAATGAAGCTGACGCGAGACTTTTCTGTCCCTGGACACTGTCACAATTGGAACCGGCGGTCTGTATCTGGAGACCAACTTCGCAGTCCTACAAATAATCATTGTTCGAGGCTCTCAAGACTTGAAAATTTTTGGAATGATCGAACTTCTAGGCCATCTTACTTTCCGCTAGCTGTTAGAAGAATTATCGCCACCGCTCGACAACTAATCGACGCCGAAACCGCCGCAATCGCCGTGGTGTGAGTTGTTGCCGTCGGCTTCTGCGTATGAATGCACAACTCCTCGTAATTTTTCGTGTGGAAGAACGCCTTCTCGGCTTCTTTACAAATCTGCAATCAGCTATCTAGTTTAATTGGATAATTGCCCAATTACCGTGTGCATCATGGTTAAAGCTTCAACCGGATACGCTCCTTTTGCGGTTTCGCCGCTCAACATTACACAATCGACGCCATCGAGAACCGCATTGGCGACATCGCTACCTGCAAAATTGCATCATTGATTGGCGTGCCGAGCAGCGTTTACATTCGGCTCGTGTCGGCCGCGGTTTGAAAATCATGCTCTCGAGCATCTGCGTCGCGCATATCACCGGTTTTCCGGCCAAATTGCACTTGGCGATGAGCATCTTCTGAGCGAGAAACACCTTCTCCGGCGGTATCTCGATGCCCAAATCACCGCGCGCCACCATTATCCCATCGGCGGCTTCGATGATCTCCTCGCAATTCTTCACGCCGTCTTCCGACTCGATTTTCGCGATTATGTAGATGTTTTTGCCTCTGAAGAAATTTGTGCGAATTTCGACGAGAGAGCACTCACTTTTCGCCGAGTATCTCGCGAATCCGATGAATTCCGTGAGCGTTTCGTATAAATGAGGCAAAGATGATGTCGACGTCCTGCTCGACGCCAAACATCAGATCGTCGATGTCTTTGTCGGTGACGGCCGGCAAATCGACCTGAGTGCCCGGAAGATTGACACCTTTTCGGGTACCCAACACACCGCCATTCTCGATTGTGCAATTCACCGAGTCCTCTCGACATTCGTCGACGATTAGCGAAATGAGCCCATCGTCGATATAGACGCGCGAGCCCTGCAAAATTCAATAAATTATGCGTTTTTAAAAAAATTATCGAATTTTTATTTAAAAAAAATTAAAAAAAAAAGAAATGCGGCTGAAAAATGCGATTGAGAAGGCAACGGTGTTTGCAGACGATTTTGATCGGTGTTTGCGGACTTGCCTTATTTGACGCACTTTTTTATATTTTCTATTCATGAATTTTTATTTTTTTTTTTGATTTTGTGGTTTGAAAGTTGACAAAACTTTTTCAATTACCGGAATTTTCTATTAATGTTATAAAAATGCAAAACAAATTACACATTTTTTCCAGTGTAGGTCGTAAAAAAATGCAAATGTAATTTTTGCATTTATTCAAGGAAAAACAAAACCGATTTTCCAAGTATCTCTAAATTTTCTCACCGGTTTGACGACTTTCGGCAAATTCGAATAATCGACGTAGATGTTTGAAGCGGTTCCAGACATTTCCAGCGATTTGTCGCAACTCAATCGAATGCTTTTGCCCGTCTCCAATTCGATTTCTTTCAAATTCTACAAAAAAATTTGTTTTCGAACAACAAAAATTCGAAATTTCGACATTTGCGAGCATTCCGGTGCGAATTTCGGGCCCTTTCGTGTCCAACGCGATCGCCACCGGATACGGCGCACCATCGGCCGCTTCGCGAATGTTTTTGATGGTCCGCGCGTGGCCCTGATGATCGCCGTGCGAGAAATTGAGTCGCGCCACGTTCATTCCGCGATTCATCATTGTTCGCAATTGGTCGACTGTATTGCACGCGGGTCCTGAAGCGAAATTCATTTGATTTTCTTGTGTTTCGAGAAATCCCGCCGCGAACCAATCGTACAAATGACGCCCGTTTTTCGCGTCTTCTGAGCTTCATCGGTGATGCTCAACGCGCAAAGATGCGAGATGTTCGTGATCGCTTCCGAGTACTCTTTGCTGAAATTCACCGCATGATTTTTGTTGATTGGAATCGTGTTGATGATTAACAACGTGGTCTGATGACGTCATCACCGCGTGCACTCCTCTTCAGAAGTCATCAAAAATTGGACGCGCGTTTCCAAGTTATGGAAGATGATAAATGACGAAATATTTGTTTTAATTGTCCAATTGACGCCATTTCATCTATGCGCCTTTAAATTTGGAAAAAATTTGAGAATTACGCGCCTTTAAATATGGAAAATTTTTTGAGAATTATGCGCCTTTAAATTTGGAAATTTTTCGATAATCATGCGCCTTTAAATTTGGAAAAAATTTGAGAATTACGCGCCTTTAAATTTGGAAATTTTTCGATAATCATGCGCCTTTAAATTTGGAAAAAATTTGAGAATTACGCGCCTTTAAATATGGAAAATTTTTTGAGAATTATGCGCCTTTAAATTTGGAAATTTTTCGATAATCATGCGCCTTTAAATTTGGAAAAAATTTGAGAATTACGCGCCTTTAAATATGGAAAATTTTTTGAGAATGATGCTCCTTTAAATTTGGAAAATTTTTTGAGAATTATGCACCTTTAAATTTGGAAAATTTTTTGAGAATTATGCACCTTTAAATTTGGAAATTTTTTGAGTATAATGCGCCTTTGAATTTGTAAATTTTTTCGAGAATCATGCGCCTTTAAATATGGAAAAATTTTTGAGAATCATCCGCCTTTAAATATCGTAATTTTTAATGTTTTGCGACTATATTTTTTAATGACGAATTTTGCAGAAATTCGAATCAAAATATTCAATTTGTCCGACATCTTAATTATGCGCCTTTAAATTAATACAGAAAAAAGTTTTTTTTTGTTCGTCATCTTCGCATACCACCTCCCAAAAGCACATGAAATTCACATGACAAAACTCACCCGATCACATAATTTTTGTCGAATTCGTACAACCTGAAAATGGAAATGTTTATGAATAAAAATAAACACAAAAAAATGTTCACCCACATTTCGATTTGGCCTCGTTTGAAATTGCTGCCGACACAACGAAAAACAACTAAAAATCAGACAAATATAAAAGAGACGCAACAACAAAAATTGGAGATGGGGAGGAAGACGAAGAGGAAGGAGGGGAACGAGGAGGTGGGGAGATTCTCTCGGCTCAATCAAAGAACAAAACCGAATGATGAGTATTTTTTGTTTTGGATTTTTAAAAATCGACCCGAGACGACTGAATTGGGTGATTGATTGTTTCGCTTATCAATTTTTTTTTGATCAGCAAACCTTTTATGCAATGCATGGCCAGGAATTTGACGAGCAGCTTCACCGCATTTGTCAGGACGATGGAAATGTGGGAGCTCAAAAATAAAACAAAAAAACGAACGAGACGGAGGAATCGATCACATTGAAAATTGAGAGCAATGTTCAGTTTTCTTCTTTTGTTGAGAAAATTTCGAAAATGCTGGTTTTGAGATTTGGTAGATCAAAAAGAATTGTTCAAAAATAATTATTGTTGAAATCTGCGAGCAATTGACCACACATGGTCTTGAGACGATGAGACGCGTTTTGTGTACTCCATGCATCAGACGGCACTGAAATTTTCTAAGAAGGCTGAAAAAAAAATTTTTGAGGAAGCACGGAGCGCATTTTTAAAAATCTACCGAAATGCACAAAAATCAATAAAAAATTTTTTTTGAAAATAAAAAATTGTTCATTTTTGCGTAATGTCCATTGCGGAATTGGCTACCGTAACGCACAGAAATCAATAAAATCATTTTTTTTCCCGAATCTTTTTCGTTTTTTACACTGAAATGCACTTTTTTGTGGAAACTCTGACGTGCACGACGTGTCGTAAATCGACAATCACGTGGCGAGACCCTAACTCTACAGTAAAGTAGTGCCATTCGCATTCTTACAATATTTCCATTGAAAAATTGATATCAATTTTTCGACGTGTGCAATTTTGCGTGCCTTCTTTGCGTACAGAAAATCCGCTTTAATTTTCGTAAAAATGTGACACTCCAAAATTATGCGCCTTTAATGTATGCTTAAATCTAGACATCATACTTCGCGCCAAAAATTCAAATAAATACTTTGTGGCATTTTGCCAATTTAAATAAAATATTTACACTTGAAATTTGAACTTTTTTCCTAAATTTTCAACAATTTTGAGTAGCCTGATTAAAGGAGCATGTGACGCCGCCGACCCGCTTACTCTAGGTTTCAACGAATATTTATAACAATACCGAATCACAAAAAAACAATGATGAACCAGTGCTAATCGTAGTTTATTATAATAAACGATTGGGTCCCGAAGCGATTCGTTCGAAAAGCGAAATGTTACACGTATGAATGACAACCAAGAATCATTAGTAGATCAAATCAGAAATTATTGCGGATGAATTCGCGACGAGATCTTCTGTTTGAGCCAAATGAGCACGAAAAACGCGGTGACGAGAAGCAGAAATGTGCCGACGACGAGATAAACGATGGGCAGAAAAAAGTTGCGCGGTCCGACCCACGTCTCGCGGGCGATCACAAAATATTTGTCGCCGCCATACATCGATACCGGATAGTCTGGAAAACGCCGTAATTGATCGACCCCTCCGAATGAATCTTACTGTAGTTGATGATTAGTGTGTAATTTCCCGCCGGCAATCCGGCGCTGAACATATCGACCTGTCGATCGAGCTTCCGATAGAGCTTCCTGAAGTTCGACAACGCCGCCGCCTTCATCCACACCATGAAGTCGATGTTCTCAAACGCGACGCCCACTTGTTCGCCATTGGTGTCGTTGTTGGCGCCAAGTTTGCAAATGTCGATTTTCCATGATGGCGGTCGAATTGTGCCCTAGATGGTTTTGAGTTTTTCGCGCCGATTCACACCACCCACCTCGAACACATCGCACAGCGTCTCGTTTCCGGTTCGCGGCGGATTCCGGAATTTTCGCTTCATTTCCGTCTCGCCGAGCACCCCACGTATCGTCCATGGCACACGGACCATCTCGTTGAGATCGGGATTCGTCACATAGAACAATTGGAACGTGTCTTAAATGATTATCGATTAGTGTCGATTGTCAAACGAAATTTGATTGTCAACATCTGCGGACGCTTTTCCGGGATGCGCTACCATAGTGGTTTGACAACGCTTCTTGGGTAGATCAAAAAAATACCATTGAAAAACGAGTCGGCGACCTGTCCGCATGGCACAATCGGCACCTTGGTGCCATTGACTTTCACATATTCCATCGGATCGCATCCGTCGGTGTTGTTGAGATCCCCTTTAAGCTGCTCGTCGTTCCTCGATTGGAAATACAATCGATTGTTCTGATAGAACCTCGAAAGCCCGTAGTAGAACTTGACGTCGCCCTTCAAGATTGCCGATGGGTTGCCAACAAAACTGAGACCAACTCCAAACCTCATAATTCTCGTCGAGAATAATCGTGTAGCTGCACGCGAATGATTTGTTGGCGGCGGTGGTGAACGGCTCCGAGCCGTTGACGTTGACGCAGTCGGTGTACTTCACCTCTTGCTCCAATGCTGCAGACAATTGACGGGACGGTTGATTGTTTCGAATTGACTTACATCGCATGTGGCCGAAGAATAGGGCGAGACCGAGCGCGAGAACCACCGAGCCGAAAAATGCGGTCACTGGAATCGCCGAGGAGATATTGTAGGTCGGTCGAAGGGCGGGAAGGTTTTGCTGCCTCCAAGGGGTGTCTGAAATCGGATTAACATGGTCCCTAGGACAACAAAAGTCCAACTATCGAATTATGAAAGTTTTGAGATGACAGCTTTGATTGGAAGCAGGTTATGATGTGACAAATGGAATAATATGCAAAATTTAGAATTTTAAGCAATTTCGAAAAATCGTTTAAAGTGGGTTGCCCTTAAACACTGTATATGACGGTTTAATGCAGACCGAAGCGATTCGATTGAAATTTGAAAATTCAAAACTCACTCAATGGCCGATTCTTTTTTCCGCGATGCCTCGGAATTTTCGGAATATCGTCGGGCATTCTGAAAAACCGAGTTTCACAAGTTTTTGGCGAAAAAGTTGGCGCGGTTTGGAGAAAAGCAAACAACGCGCTGAGACCGAATGTTTAACAAGGCAACAACTAAACACAAAACGCGCTAGTTGAGCAGTTTGTAGTCAGCCGAGAGTGAAACAACGTTTTCTAGCCGGCCAAAAACGCGGCATTTGATTTGTTTCAGCATTCGATTTATTTTTAGGCCATCAATATACAAATACACGCATTTTTGGGGGTAAATATTGTCATTGGTGATAAGGAAAATATTGATTAAGTTGGTGAAGGCAAACTATGATAATCGCTAAAATCGCATTTCCGGACACGGCGAGCTTCTTCGTCTTCGGTTTGAGCTCGTCGAGCATTGTGCACATGTTCGTCGAGCAGCAGCATCGCGTCAAATTCGTGTTGGGAATTTCAAGGCAATCGTCATTTTTCTGCAAAAAAAGATGAAAAAAAAATTTAGGCTTGAAATTGTCAGCACGGTGTTGACACCAATGCGCGTCACCTGACGACAAATTGCACAATACCTGACAACGATATTCTTCCGGCAATATTTCCGTGATATACTTGCCCAGTAGGCCACTACCAAAGCAATTCTGGAACGTTCCAGTCACTGAGAAGTTGGAATAAGCGAATGTGCCATTTAGCCTATAAAAAAAAAATAAAATTTTAGCTGAAAATGAGAAATTGAAATCTTACGAAATACAATAATTAATGTTTTTCGGACAATTCAGCGAATTATCATAGTTCCATTCAGTGCCATTGAACACTCCTAAAGGTCAAAGTCCACTCGAAATTGGGAATTCCTCGATTTACCTTTAATCACCGATCGACATTTTAGGCAAAATGAGTAGTCGAAAAAAATGAAAATAGTGAGAATCGACGTCAGCAGCCTCATAATAATGAAAAATACGAATAGTGCAAAATTCTTATTAAAATATAGTGTTTTGGTGCCCTTTCAACCATCACAATAAGCGTCCTGATATGTAAAATAATTTATTAAATTGATATAAATAGAAATCTATATAACAAACAAGTTTGGTCAAATGAATAACCGTCATGGAACGTGGACAAAAAAATGAGGAAAAAAAAGTGGGAACAGAAAGAGAGAAAAAAGGCATTGTCTAGCCAATTTTCTTGAGTTTGCGCAATTGTCGATCGCCGGGACAGTGCTTGCAGGTGAACGGGCAATAGCTTTTCATTACAAAGAAGAATGAGGCGCGTGTGCAGTACTGGGAGAAGTGCGGACAATCGGCGAAATGGTCGACGCATTCTGAAAAAAATAATCCCATTTTGAGAAATCCCCCCTTTGAGCATCTTACTTTCATCATCCACCACTGGTTTTTTAGGCATTGCAATTTCGCGTGGGGTACTTGCCGTCGTCGTCCTCGAATATTTCTCCTTCTTTTTCGCTTTACACTGATATAATTTATTAATCTGAACAATAAATAAAAAATTTGCATCATTTTCAAGCCAGCAAACCTTCACAATGTCTAATGGCGAGAGGTCTGTGGCAGTTCCAATGACATCCGTGTAGCCATCTTCAACAGTTTCAATGGTGTTTCGACCGTTTCTTGAGAATGCCGTGCTGTCGTAATGCATTATCGATTTATAATCGTAGTTTTCGCCTTGAAGATCCTGAAAATTGTCGAATGTGGTGAAAAAATGACCGAAAGATTTCGGCGAAACCTGCAACACCGCGGAAATTTTGTCGAATTGCGATTTCATTCCGGGCAGAATGTTGTCCCATAGGATTTTGATGTGATCATCACGGTCTGCAACACGTCATTAATGATAAATGAGCGGCGTGCGCGCAAAACAACGAAAAAAAAATCAAAACCTGCTCTTGAGTGCTCATGCCAAAAACCGACCGAGTGCATGAGCTCATGCACGATGATCTCATGGAAAAAACAACCGCGACCGAGCGAGACTTCCTGTTTGCCGCCGGTACGACCCACTTGTGAATAACATCTGTAATTTTGATATTTACATGCGTTCGAACGGCAGAAATTTCGGAAAATTGGAAAAAATAGGGCGATGACACCGAAAAACAAATAATCCGCAATTTTGCGTCGCGAATCACTTGCGTATTTTCAAATGTACAGTATCGAATGCACAATTTTTTTTAATTTCCAAAATTTTTTAATAAAAAGTGACTTACCCATAGCCTTTGACAATATTCAAGTAATCGGTTTGGTCGTCGCGTTTCTCGAAGCGAATACACGTGGATTTTCGATAGCTGTCGAACGCCTTCTCAAGAATTTTCACCTCGGCGGCCGCTGAAATCGAAAAAGACGAAATCAAATGCGGACGAAGTGCGTCGAGATTCGCCGTGTCCAAATAAGGGCCAAAAACTCACTCACAGAATGCCGAATCCAGTTCGTAGGGGATGATGCCGTTCTCCCATGTCAATTGTTTGTTTTTCAACGCGTTGAACAATACGGGTCCCTCCTGAAGTGATAGAGAGGAAAGAAAATGATTCTAGTGATTAGGCAATTCATCTGCGGACAATTCGGAGAATCGAAATTGTCCGCAGCAGTGAATCAAAGTAAACGGGGTTGCATAACATACCGGCAATTTGAGCAAATTCGGATCAATCCCGTCAATGTCGCCTTGGAACTTTCCTGAACACGAATATACACATTTTTATCGTAATTAGGGGAAAGATTTAGGGTAATCGCACCAGAATTCTGCCATTCATGATGAATGTGACGATGATGCGCCGGAATATAATCAGCGATGCTTCGGAATAGGTCGCCGAACGGCTGCGGCCTCACATCGCTGATGATGTGCGTTAGAAGGAATAAGAAGGCCGACAGCGTCGTCGTCGTCGTTGGCGGCGACGCCATTCTCATGTGAATTGTTGGATGTGGCGGCCGGCGGGGCGAGGCAGCAGTCAGGACCGGACCGGATTGCGGCGGCCGGATGCTCCCGCGCGCGCGCGCGCGCGCCGGCTCTCTGCCCCCTCCTCATGCTCTCGCCTTTTTGTCTTCGCACACGATTTTTGACAAGCGACGACGGCGCGAACACGAACCGTCTGTCAGGTCTGAATGATGGGGGGGGGGGTCAAGACGTTTTTTCCATCCATTAAATCTCCCCGGCGCTTCCCCTCCCCCTCCTCCTCACCTTCGAGAACACGATGTGTGTTCTTCTTGATAGTTTCAAACGAAAATAAATAGTGTCGACAGTGTCGGGGACACAATTGGAGAGCGATTTCCCCTGTTGAGGGGGGGGTCTCAAGGAGACCGGGTAGATCAAAATTGGAAATGTTGCAGAGGTGTTCTCGCCACGAATAGCCTCTGACTCCCGGATTTATTTGAAAACAATTACAATTAAAAAAAAAAAAACTTTTTTTTTTAGTTCTGTCGCCCGCAAAAAATTTTCGCTTCAAGAGCCACCCAGAAATTTTTTTTCCGAATTTAACAAATTTGTGCATGCGCCTTTAAAGTGTATTCGTGCTCAGCAAATATGGTGAGCCAAAATTTGAGTTTTCTAGAAAATTTGGCTGAATATTTTCGGGTAGATCAAAAAATCAAAAAAAAAGTGAATTTTTCGTTCGACAATCGTTGAGCTCTCGGCGGTTTTCTCCATTCGACCGTCTATTTGCATGTTTTGTCGGGGCGAAAAATGGCAAAAACATCAAGAATCAACGAACGGCGGGTCTCGGAGCGAAAAAAAAAGAACCCCCAAAAAAGGTGCGAAATGGAAACGTTTTCGCTGGAAAAAACAAAACTTTCAAAATTCGTTTTCGTCTGTTTGCATTGCAAAAAATTTTTTGTTTGCTTTCGTATCAAAGTTCGACGGCCTGAACCACCAAATCGATTTCATAATTTCACTTTTTCTTTTTTTTTTTTAACTGAAAACGATATGGAGAACGCCAATTCGAATGTATATTATGTGAGTTTTCGCGAAAAAAAAACGCGCAAAAATTAATTTTTCGACTTTTTCAGGTCACTTCACCGAGCCCCAGCCAATTTGGCTCAACGAGCTCACCGACAAGTCCCCAAAACGGCGGCCAGCTTCTCATCGTTCGAACTACTACCGTAACCCGCCACGTCACGACAATTCAGCCGAAAATCTCGCGTGTTTAAATGAATCGTTTCATTTTTTGTGTGCTGCGGACGTTTTCCACTTTCATTCAAACGAAATGGGTGCAACTTCCTGGTGCTATCGACGAAATTTGAGCCGATTAGCTTTTTTCGCTTGATAGCGTTTTGAGACCCGCGAATTGTCCGCAGCATGGTTGGGTTGAATCAAAAATAACTTTTAATTACATCATCTCCTCGTTTTGCACTATTTTTTGAGGGCTTATATAGAAAACCATCTGCGGACAATTTTGCGAGTCAATTTTTCTGCCCAAAACCACTTTTCCAACTTGATTTTTTTTTAAATATTCCATTCTATGATTCATAACATTTTTGAAACTCTCGAGTTGTCCGCAGCATGATTTTGTTAAATCAAAAATAATTTTCCAACTGTGCGACAAAAAAAACTTGCAGCGGAAATTTCAAGAAATATTTTGTCTAGAAAAAAGCTCTTTACATTCTATATCTCCAGTTTGATGGATTATTGTCAATTTTGAAGCTACTTACATCGGGTCTCGTGGAAAGCGTGGAGTTACATGGGTAAATTTACGGAAAAAAATTCTAAAGCAATCTAATTTTGTACAAACCCAAGTTTTTTAAAGACAGTCTTTTGAATATCATATTATTATTTTTTAAGATACTAAATCCAATTAAAAAAGAATAAGTCTGTAAAATAACCTAAGAAGGTTTTTTGAGAATCATTAAAAAATATATAAATACACAATTTTCCATTTGATGAATACATTCATAATAAATAATGAATGTAGAAATAATGACAAACGTGAAATATGCCATGGCCGCAGAATTCGCGGCCGCGGCCGCGGCCACAGCATAAAACACCCGCATGTTATATTGCTTATCATTTCTCAATTCGAAAGAGTTGAAACGAAAACCATCTGCGGACAATGTTGCGGGTTAGCTTTAAAAAAAATTTCTGTGTCTGAACTTTGTCAAAATAATGATCCAGCTCGACATGACTTCCCCATCTCTCATAGTATCAATTAGAAAACCACCAAATAAGTGCACATCCATCTGCGGACAATTGACAAGTCCAAATTGTTGCCAAATTCGACGCGAATCGCCTTTACCTTCATTTCGTGTCATCGTCAAAACATTTCGTCTCGTCGTCGGCGACGCCCTCCTCGAATCGTGTGCTCTCTCGCGACGCCGACCGCGGCGGTTCACCGCCACAACACATTCGCTTCAGAGAGCTTGCTGCCTTCCTACAGCTGTCAATAGTTTTTGGTTGTGTGTGTGTGTATGCGAAATTCGAGACCCCCCTTTAGTCTTTTTCTGTCATTTTGTGGTCCGCTACTCATTTTGCCTTCCTCCCGTGTTCCACAAAACTTTCCCCTCTCTCTCTCTCGCTTCCTCAATATCGGTGTTATCAAAATCGTCAACGTCGTTTTGGTGTTTCATTAAATTTGAAATCGTATCAACCGATTTCATATCAACGACCATCTGCGGACAATTTGTCGCTTGCGCCTTTAAACGTCCCTCCAAAAATCTCAAATATTGACTTTGGCGAGCCGCTCGTCACAAATGTTAATACATTTGACAAATGTTGTAATCGAATCTCGCAGCTTCATCCCCTGTGTTATTTTTTTTTTCAAAAAAAAAAAACGCTTTAAAGATCAAACCAACATTTCATTTTTAATCGTTTTTAATGGTCCCAAAGAGCCATTTTTGCTTTTCTAGAAACTTGAATGGGTTGCTAGATGTCGAAAAAAAATAGTAATAATTCATTTTCGAGCCAAAATTAAGTATCAAAGTACAATTCGATGTTATTGAGTATGCCTATAAAACGATCTGCGGACAATTTCAGCGCGCTGTTCAAGGCGGTCGTGACCAAAAAAAAGATTCATTTTGTTGTTCCAGAATTCCTCTCAAGGGTATGACAGAACAATGGCGTCGATTCGCCATCGTTTTGACGCTTCTCGTCGGCGGCGTCGATTCGCCATCGTTTTGACGCTTCTCGTCGGCGGCGTCGCTTCGCAAAACGACACGCTTATCGCGGATCTTGCCGCCGACAATTCATCGACTCCAATAGCGGTATAGGGATCCTAGTGGATCGGATCATCATCGAAACAATCGATTTCAGCCGTCGAATGCCAATAATTTCAATAACGCTTCGAACGCGAAGACGCCGTTCATTTTTGGAATGCGCGTTGAGCTTCCAGCAGATGATCCGTTTGGATATGAGTAAGCGTCCCTTAAAGGAGCATCCAAAAAAAAATCATTTTGAACATTTTCCAGCGAAAGCGGCATCTGCATTGTGGCGCCCTATGAGGAGTTCAAAGTGGTCTTGTATGGAAACCATTTGGACAAGATCGCCCAAGTCATGTGGACGTATACGAATAGCTGCGCCGACGCGACGCACGTCGTCCAAGCCGCCAATCAATTCCGCGTCCACTTCAACCATATCGTCTCGTTTCCGTTGACGCTCAAACCGCTGCCGGAGCACGCGCACGCCTACAAATTGTGTGTGCGGCCGAAGGTGGCGCCCGGCTCGCCGCCAATCGGCGAGATCTATCCGCTCGAGGACGAGGCGACGTGCATCACCACCGAACGGCCACCGAAAACCTACTTTTTGCCGCTTCCACTCCAGATTTTCTGCATCGCCTGCCTACTCATGCTGTCGGCGTTGTTCTCCGGTCTCACGCTCGGCTTGATGTCGTTGACGCCTCAAGAATTGGAGCTCGTCGTCAAATCGGGATCGAAAAATGAGCGAAAGTGCGCCGAGAAGATTTTGCCGATTCGGAAAAAAGGCAATTTGCTTTTGTGCGCACTTCTTCTCGGAAATGTCATTGTCAACTCGGCGATATCCATTCTAATGAATGAATTGACATCTGGAATTTATGCTCTTATTGGAGCAACATTGGGTATCGTCATTTTTGGAGAAATCTTGCCGCAAAGTATATGTGTCAAGTGAGTTTTATTTTAGCGAAAATTTTATTTTCGACTAGGATACGGTAGACGCGTACGCAATTGTGCGTCATGGTGAACATGAACTATCAAAAAAATATTTTCAAAAATCGACTATTTCTCAATGTTTCGACCTATTTTCACGTGTATTTGTACATTTTCGATATCAAAAAATTTGTAGAAACGATGGTAAATAATTAATTGTTTTTTAGATACAAATAATGTAGTATTGTTTTTCAGAAAGGGGCTCGAAGTTGGTGCGCACACCATCGCCATCACCCAATTTTTCATTTATTTGACGTTTGTGATCGCGTGGCCAGTATCCAAACTTCTGGATTACCTGCTTGGCGATGAATATCAAGCGTATGATCGAAAACGATTGATGGAGCTCATCAAGATGTCGATGACGTCAAATGGTCAGCTCTCGAATGAGCTGAAAATCGCTGTGGGCGCCATGGAGATTGCTGATAAAGTCGTTGAAGACGTCATGACGAAAATTGACGTAATTTTCAGAGGAATTTTAAGTTCGAAATAATTTTTGACTGTTTAGGATGTGTTCATGCTCCCCGACACCACCATATTGAACGCCAAGACTGTCATGGAGATCGTCAAAATGGGTTACACGCGAATTCCAGTGTATAGCGGAGGCGATAAGAATAATGTGACCGATATGCTTTACGTTAAGGTATGAACTTATTGCAAACATTGAAGCCCAAGAGCATTTTTCGTTGTAGGACCTCGCCCTCTTGGACCCCGACGATAATTTCACCGTGAAAACCGTTTGCGGTTATCATAAGCATCCGGTGAAGTTCGTGATGAACGACACGCCACTTCCAAGTCTTTTGGAGGCTTTCAAAAAGGTTTTTTTTTTTTCAAAATTCCTTTCTAACTGTAAGGGACCATCGAAATTTTTAGGGTGAAGGCCATTTGGCAATGGTGAAACGATTAATGAATGTCGATGATTCGCACGATCCAGTGTACATTCTGGTGGGAATTGTGACACTTGAAGATATTGTCGAGGAGATACTGCAGGTAAGATTGCTTGAAAATGATTGGCCCAATGAGGAAAAAAATTGTCAAGGCTGAAATCAACGACGAGTTCGATGTGGTGTCGGACAATGTCAATAAGGTGAAGCTGAAAAAGGAGCCGAATCGCGATGTGGCGAAATACTTTGGCGATCACGAGGCCCCTCAGACGACCATCTCAATGCAATTGCAAATGGTCACACTTCAATGGATGATCGCCAATGAGCCAGCGTTCCGTCCAAAGTATCTCGACACGAATGTGCTCGAGCGATTGATTCGAAGCAGCGCTCGAAGGGTACGGATGATTTGACTTCTACTAGATCATAGAAATATTTTTTTTAGATCGACGTATCCTCTCTAATGGCCCTCGGCGATGATGCCATCAATGTGCCAAGACTCGCCAAACTTTACACCAAAGATGAGCCAAGCGATAAGTATATTCTGATACTTGAAGGGCGTGTGCAAGTCACCATTGGACAAAGCACAATGATGTTCGAAGCGGGACCGTGGCATCATTTCGGCGACGAGATCATGCGCAAAATGGTCGCTGCCGCGGCGACGCTCGGCCGAAGCACGTCGATCATTGGCACGTCGGATTTGTCGGCCCGTCGGCCGGATCTCATGTTCCGTCCCGACTTCACCGCCATTGTCAAAGACACTTGCACGTATTTGGAGATTTCCGTGTCCGCTTACATCAATGCCTATAAGGCGTCGTTAATGCAACGAGAGAAGCCATTGTGAGTTTTGAAAAATTGGTTTCTTTTTTGGAATAATTGACTCTTAGGAACGAGCTTTCCGATAACTCGCGAGCATCATCGGTGACAAACAGTAATCTCTCGCTAGCGGAACCGGTATGCGCCTTTAAAACACCAAAAAAAGGACAATGCTTTGTTGTTCAGAAAGTTGGACCAATCTTCGATCCGGGTGCCATGCTGGTCCCAGAAAGCGTCCGAAAGCCGTCAGTAGCATCGACGGACCTTGTAAAAGCGCTGAACACTGTCGGCCAGCGGGATGTGCCGCCGGTGGCCGAGGAAGAGGAGCTCGCGCTTCTTCCAAAAAAGGAAACGGTCTAATTGAATTTGTTCGTTATTTTTATATATTTTTTTCTATTCGCTCATCACTTCAGGTTCTAGCGATCTCCAGTAGATTATCTGTTCATAGTGCCTTCCATTGCTTGTTTTTGCCTAGAATTTATTCCATTTTTTTTTCATTGTTAACCCGTTTTGCCAAAAGTTGTGCATTTATTTGTTGAATGACACCCTCCACACCCACACCATTTGCCTCACAACAATATATTTTTTTTACAAGCAATTATGCTTCCTAACTACCTAATAATAATAATAATAATAATATATTTACGATATTGGTGGGTGCGAAAATTGGGCGACTCTGCCCTTGCATTCAATTCTTGGGTGTTGTTTGCGAGCATTTTCGATTTTGTCATAGGACCCAAATACTCTTGGTCTTTCAAGGCGCTCTGGGAGAAATCTCGGACGGACTTCACTTGGATTACTGTAGGTCGTTGTGGGACCCAATAGGCATATAGGCTCCTGGCTGACCCGACAGCTAACTAACTGTAAGATAAATTCTGGGCCCCTTGGATTACTGTAGGCCGTTGTGGGACCCAATAGGCAATGATGACTACATTTTTCTTTTAGTTTCACGACTGAAAGAAAAACTTCAAGTTTTGAGGTAGAACTCCAATGGGACCCTATAGACTGGCTGGCTGACCCGCCAGATAACTGTAAGATAAATTCTGGCCCCCCTTGGATTACTGTACTTTTCGTTGTGACACCCATGTTCCCTTGAAGGTTTTATGGAAAATTTTCCCGAGTTTTCACACATTATTGTTGTCGTTTCACCTCGCATCATCGATATGAGCACGCAATATTTCATGTTCGGAATTCGCCGAAAAAAAAATGAACGATTTCATTTTTTTTTGCCGAAAATTTGATTTCAGTTAGTTGTGTGGCGGCACGCGAACAAACAAAATTTTTCCAGCTGCGGACATCCGTCGGGTTGCGCGTCGCGTCGAATTCTCCGCAGCACGTTATTGTCAAATAACTTCGACGATCTCCCGCCACCCTCTCCCCCAATTCATTCAGTTCATGCTGCGGACGTCTCTCCGGGTTTCGCGACCCCCCCCCTCCACCCAAAGAAAGAAAATGTCGGAAGATATTTTCAATATTGGCGAGCTAATCCTTGCATTGGATTAGTAATCGTGATAAAAAACAACTTTTTCAATTTGTTAAAGAAGGGGGGTCCAAATGAATAGAATCGGCCGCCTATTACAGTAATCCACCACGTCATAGGCCGCCAACCCCAATAAGGAATCGCTTCCTTCGAGCAATTCATCATCAGGGTGGATGCCGTCGTCCACCATCAAGAATATATTCACCTAAAATTAGGTATGCGTTGCCTAGTATATAATTATACGCATATGTCTCTCCCCCCCCACAATCCACACCGACATGAATGGCCGAACATTCGTCATCGACATCGTGTGCCCAAGAAAAAAAAATTGTGTCGTCTCCCTGGCTCCCCGAACTATATTTTTTTTTCGCTCAACCTCATTTTTCGATTTTTTCCTCATCACCATCATCATCATCGTTATCCAAGATTTCCGGTCGGACGTGTCGATTTCGAGAATTGCCGCGTCATTCTAGCATTTTCGCTATCTGTTTTTTTTTTTGGCAAAAAATGATTCTGCACGAAATCGACGACCATGATGATTTCATCATTTTCCATCTGCGGACATTTTCGAATTCGCGTCGTCGAATTTTCGCGATTTTTGGAAAAAAAAGAATAAGGCCACATCAAAAACTTGTGCTACAGTAATCTTAGAGATCTGTTGGAGTCACAATTCATTTCATTGTTGTTAAAAATAGCTACAGTACTCTAATCGATACTGTGGCTCACGCAAATAACTATTGTTACAGTAACCCGCTACTGTATTGCATTTACAAAATACTGTGTGTAAAATTGGAGTTACAGTATTCCGGGAAGTATATTTCAATTTTCGCAGGCTCAGCGGAAACTAAAGCTACAGTAATCCAATTACGGTATAGTAATGAGATTGTGGGAAATATAGTTCCACCTAGGCGCACAGTCAAAACCAACGGTACAGTAATCCAGGTTGTCGAAAGTGTGGTTCCACGTAGCTCTCGCAAAACTACTACTACAGTAATCCGGCACAGCAAAAACCATGGTTACAGTAATCCGTATTGTCAAAAATTTTAGATTCACGCAGCACTCGCACAACTACTACTACTATAGTAATCCGACACAGCCAAAACAAGTGCTACAGTAATCCATTTTGTCATCAATGTAGTTTCATGCAGCGCTCTTTCAACGATTACAGTAATCCGACACAGCCAAAACAAATGCTACAGTAGTCCAAAAAAGTTGAACCAAGCAACGCTCTTTCAACTACTACTACTACTACAGTAATCCAGCACAACCAAAAACAAGTGCTACAGTAATCCATATTATTGTCAATAGCGTAATTCCAAGATTCACGCGACGTTCTCTAAATTATTACAGTAATGCGGCACAGCAAAAACCATGGTTACAGTAATCCATATTGTCAAAAATTTTAGATTCACGCAGCACTCGCACAACTACTACTACTACAGTAATCCGACACAGCCAAAACAAGTGCTACAGTAATCCATATTGTCAATAGTGTAATTCCAAGATTCACGCGGCGCTCTCTAAATCATTACAGTAATCCAGCACAGCAAAAAACGATGGCTACAGTAGGAAAGTAGAATATTACAATCTCGCTCAAATCAATCATCATCATAAGCGGCCAATCGGCTACCGTATCCCTATGGCGACCGGAAGAATAACATCATTTGATGGCGCGCGAAAAAAAAAATGACTAATTGATTCGCTTCGGAAACGCATTAATGCGAGAAGCCGCCTATAAAGAGGCTCGCGTTTTGCGCGATTTTCTCAAAACTCCAATTTGTGTGGTGTGGTTGTGTGCGTCTTTTCATCGAGCTCCCTTCCATATTCGGCTTTTCAAAACGAACCAAAATCAATTTGGTGTTGTAGACGAGATGCTGTCCAACATTGTCATCGCGTGCTGTGTGCTGATCGGCGCGCTCATCAATTCGGCGCCGCTCGACGAGCTTCAGGCCGACAAATTCTGCGAGAAGTTCCCGACGCTTCACATGTGTCGCCTACGCGACGAGCTCACCGGCTCGCTAGTCGAATTGCAATATCTGCTGCAAGACGGTCCCGAGAGTGTCACAGGTTGGTTTGGTTGGTTGTTGACGTCGTTCAAATCTCGGTGTTCCAGTGTTGTCCGGCGACGCGCCGCAACAAATTCAGAAGCGCAAGTCGGCGTTCGTCCGATTCGGCAAACGATCGCCGCCGACCGAGGCCATCGATATGGAGAAGCGCAAGTCGGCGTTCGTCCGCTTCGGACGATCCGCGTCAAGCGATCCATTGGATCTGGCCAAGAAGAGCCAATACATTCGGTTCGGCAAATAAATCACACCATCATCATTTCTCTCATTCTTTTTTTCTGATTCAATCTTGGGTAACCGTTGGGGCGGAGCTCTCAAACCATGCATGTGCATTTAATAAATATTTTCATGTGTTAAAATTCGGCGAATTTCTCGCATATCGCAAATTTTCTCGGATGGCCTAGAAAAATTATCGGTTCGGCCACGGCCGCACTTGATGGATTTATTAATTTAATCAAGTTTGTAGATGAATACGTCTAGATTTTTTTGTATATTTAGGATTTTAAATACCAAATATCAAAATTGCGCTGATTTTGAGCCGAATCATTGAACGAGGTGGGCTCAATCGCAACGAGTTCGCTTTAGAAAAATTCCAAAAAATTCCGATTTTTATTTAAAAAATTCGCGTCGCCTTTGTGTGCGGTGGAGCGCACTTGCAACAATTTCGCTTTTTGTCTCTCGATCGACGTTTTCGCAATTCGCTGCCGCGATTTTCTCAGCCATCAATCGACGCGAAATTTCCATTAAGCGTTTTCCGTCAACCAAAAAAAAAAACTCTAAGAGCAAAACATTCTCGTATTAGAATGAACCCATCGATTATGGCAATGCTTTTGCTGGAAATTTGTTGGCTTTCTCGATGTCGTCGACATTGTCGTAGAACTTTGAATTTGAGCTGCAGGTGGTCGTCGAGCTCGTCTTCTCAAAAATTGTTGGTCAGAGTTTTCGATTGGATTCGAGCAATTCGAATTCTCCCATTTTAATAGACCCCCTTGTCATCAAAACATTTAAATGTAAATTAAACAAAACCCCGCTGGGAGAGATTTTCTTCCACACGAGACCTAATGCCTTCGGCGGCAATTCAAATAAAAAATTAATTTAAAAAAAAATTGAAATTTGAATTTTCGCGCCTATGTTCCCTCACATCAGGATGCTCGATTTTTCCACGAAAAAAATTCCAAGAAAAAATTCGAAAGAGGTCTCGCCGCGCGTTATGCGCCTTTACATTCAGTTTAGCGTCAAAATAGCCTATTTAAGCCACAATTAATAATAATAATAATTCAGACCCTACTCAGAATTGGATCATATTTGCAAATCATCGTTGATCCAACAAAAAGCGACGGAATTGAAGAGATCTCCCCAACCTGTTTAATCGAGAAAAAAAAGTTGTTCAATCAAATCCAAAACAAATCGACGAGCCTCTGTGAAACAATTGTTCGCATAGGATTCCGGATAACCAGAATGCCGCCGAAAATACGATCCATCGATCCAGCGGAACCCGTTCGAATTGTTGAGATCGTTGGCGGAACGAACTCGTACTCGTCATTGCGAATGCCAAATCTCAGCCGTCGTGAGCTCGATAGTACCACTCAGGACCAACTCAATTCGGGACCAAACTTGATTGAAATTGTTGAGGGACCATACAATTTTTTGGCTTACTTCCAATAAATTTGTCGACAAAATTTTTTGTCATTCCTGGAGAAATGACTGATTATTTGGGCTTTAAAAGAACTTGAAAAATAATTTTAAATTGAATTTTTTTCTGAGTAATGGAATTTATCATATCTTGGATATCCTGACAGGGAATACAGGGGCTCTTTTCGCGATCAGGAGGGTCACACGTGAGGGCTGCGTAGGGACCCATTCATTCATCGATTGCTTGAAATGAAGCGAGCCAGTTCTCTCGATAAAACATTCGTCAAAATTTTCGAACTGCAAAAAATGAGCTGAAAGCGGTCATCCAGCATCGTAAGAGCCGCAATCTGATCGAGTACGGTAAGCGAGGTACGCAATATTGCGTGTCGGTGAACATGCGGAAGCGAAATTAAATTTGAAAAAAAAAATTATTTTTTAAGCCAAAATTCGGTATTATTGGTGTGAAATGAGACGATCAAACCTGCAATTTCAGGCGATTTCTTAAAGAGTCAAATTTTCAAATTTTAAAGAATTCCTCAAAAATAAATATCTTTTTTTTTAAATTATTATTTGCAATTATATATTTTGAAAAAAATCTTGCAAATATTTTAATTCACTCTTTTTTTTCGAGAAATTCAGTTAAATAGGCGTAGATCAAAAATGCAAGTCTGCAGAGTTAATTCAGAGCGATTGCACAACTTTTGTCGGTTTTTGATCTACCCCGAGCCAGCCTTATTTAGGTGGCAATTTTTCTTCACATCCTAGATGTCTGAAAATTGCGGACAGCAAATTTTGGCGGTCACTTTCTTTATCAAATTTGTCTTTAAAAAAAAGGTGTGCGCCTTTAATAGTTACAGTATCCAATCTACTTGAATTGTCTTTTTGGGCCCACATTTCTATTTTTCTCCTCTTTCATTGAATATTCCGAACCACCGCAATTCAGGGAAGAAATTAAAGGTTCATAACGCAGAGCCTCAGTTGGGTCTTGTGGCGATAAAAATAAAATAGATGATATTAATAAATCAGCCAAAGGATTGATTTTTTCGGAAAAAAACCGTCGATCAATTTTTCGCGCCAAATTTGATCTACACGTCAAAAATTTGAATTCAATCCTTGAAAAGAATTGAAATTAGGGGGTTCCTAGAATTCAAAAAGACCTCCTCAAAATGGAAAATGTCGAATGGACGTTTTTTTTTCAACAAAAGCGAAACCAGCATTTGATTTGTTTGGCCTTGAACCCGAATTGCCATGTCGGCGACCCCCCCCCCCCTTCACCCTCTGAATTATAGTTTGTATGGTTGTTGAGACCATTCCTTATCATCGTCGACCATGTCGTTTTCTGTTTGCTTTTCATTTTTTTATTTTTCCGCCTCGCTTTCCATTTTTTTTCGCTTTTTTCTGTATGTTTGCTGACTTGTTTTACACGTACTCCTCATGTTTCCACTCATTTTGATGAGAAAAAAAAATATAGTAGGCGGATTAATTCATGCGATGTCACTTGCATATGATGTTGTAAATGATTCACTTCTCATCTTCTTCTTTTTTCTCTCTCAGAAGCTCTCGAATGGCGACGTGGAAGTATGGGCTTCAAACTCTCACGCGACAACATCGTCAAGAAGCTCTCGAGTTTTTGATGAACAATTTCCGGAAAGATGAGCCATTGTCGAGGGTGAGTGCATTTCGAATTTCCATTTTTTCTTCTAATTTTTTTATTTCAAAAATTCCGGATTTTCGAAAAGTAAATCACGGAAATTATTTTCTTTTATTCAAAAAAACTTTTTAAAAATTATTTCTCTTCAAAACAAAAAAATTTGTTGACCCTTTCATTATAAAAATTTTTTTCCAAAATTACTTAATTATTTTTGTTATGAAGTATTTCATAGTAGATTGAATTTCTAGAAGTTTTCATTAAAAAAAAATATTATCTACGCCACCATAGAGCGGAAAATTGGCTAAATGCCAAAAAAAAACGATTTTGGGGGAAAATTAAGTGTAGATTTACAGGCTAAGCAGAAATATAGGTTAAAGGCGCATAAGATCTATTTTAAAATTTTTTTGAATTTTTTTAACTTAATAAATACATTTTTTTAAATACGCAATTGCGGACTTGCATTATAATCGACGCCTAAATATTTCAAGTTTCTTTTTGCGTAATTTTTTTCGAGAATTCCAACTCAAAAAAATTGGAATTCCGCAAAATCTGACGTAGAGCTTTTCCGAATTCAAAAATTTTAAATTCGCGCTTTTTTTAAATTATTTTTTTCTATTGTCAGCGTCAAACAACTAAAAATAGGCGGGACCTTCAAATTCTCGAAATCAGTGTAGATTTAAATTAATCGTTGACTGAATATTAAATGCGCGTACGCTATAATGCAATGTACGCAATCTCGAGACGCATTGGCACACAGCCAATCAATTTTTTTAATTTCATCAAATTTTTCGAATACAAAATTCAAGTCAACTTCAGGCCGCTTCAATAACCTGCTCGGAAATCGAAACATGCTTCAATAGTGTGCTTGATCGATGCCTGCTTCATCCATTGTCTGTCGTAGCTCGCTGCAAGGGTGAGACGCACCAGGAGGAAATCTTAAAAATTTGCGAATTGCAGAAACCAACAAATTAGTCGGATGTATGCTGAATTCGGTGTGGCGAAAGGAGGACGCGTTGAAAGAGGCGCAAAAGAAGGCGGCCGAGGAAGATTTCAAGTTTTCGTCGGAACGACTGCCGGTTCGAACGCTTGGCGAAATTCTCAATGAGCTGCACGACTCGTTCTGGAGCCTCAAGCCGGAGCATGATGTCGTGCTCCATTTGTAAGCTAGTTTTTTTGCACATTCAAAAGAGGATTTTGGAAAAATTGCAGTGAAATCGCCTCGGTGAACCAGAATTTTCGACGACAGGGAATGGCGTCGCAATTTTTGAAGTGGACGGAGGATATTGATCGCTTAAAAGTTGGCTTTAAGCGCAATATTCCAAATTTTTGACATTTTTAGAGTGTAAATGCTAGTGGAATTCTCGCGGAAGCCACCTCTCTCGCTAATCAAACTCTTCTTTCTCGAAAAGGATATGAGGTAGCATTTAATAATAATAAATCCAAAATTGTTCATTCCAGACACTTGCTACAACAATGCTGAATATGAAATGCGATACGAATGGCGAGCAAATTTTGAAATGCGATGATGGAACTGATCGCGTGTTGCTAATGTTCAAGGAATTCAAATATTAATTGTCGAAAAAATGGCATAATTTGAAAAATGTTCAACGTCGCTCCGCTGATGAACACACCGCCCGCTTTTTATCGTAAATTGTTCGCGCAACTTTTTGCACTTTTAGCACGTATTTCACGCATTGGTGGTTTTTTTGTGATTTTATGTAAATATTCATTGTAATCCTTACTAATAATTTGGGAATACGCATTACTAATAAATGTTTTTTGGGAAAAAAAATTTCAAAATGCGTAAAATTATCAAGATGACGCAATTTTCGTGGAAAATCTAATTAGAAATAAATTACTGAAATTTCAAGACCTTTTCGTTTTCTTAAACAAATATGGAGATTTCATTTAGTCTACGATATAGCCCAAAGCATATATTTTGACGACAAGATCAAAGTTCATATTTGTCATCATTTTGAAACCAATGTGGCGATTGTCACGTATATCTTTACTCCACCTCCAAGTCGCGTTCAATTTTTTTCATAATCTCAACAACTTTTAGAAAAATGGTCAACAAGCGTACTCTTATGGAATTGGGCATGTTCACCGGCCTTATAGTGTGTAAGTGTTGAATTCCAACAATTTTCTATTTTTCCATTTTCAGCTATGCATGTTGCTTATTACACTATTCAGAATAACCCGTCGCTTGTAGCTCCGCATCAGGTAAAAAGAAAAATAATTGAATTATTGTTTAAAATTCGATTTATTCTAGAGGCAAGAGTTATTCTACGTGAGATGGCTGAAGGAGAAAATTCCGGCTCTTCGACCATACGGCGTCACTGACGACAAGAGGACCGGCAATGACGATCAATAAACGCAATTTTTTATCCGCCGCGCTACATTTCATTTAGTTTTAGAATTGCTGTAAACTCAAACATAAAAATTGATTTTCCGTTTTAAATTATAGAATTTTTTCTTCACTGCAAATCATAAAAAATAATGACCGTAGGTGGTTGTTATTGTTGTTCCTGGGAAAACCGGATTATTTAGTTTTGTTTTCTGCAAGGTCATTTTTTTTGCGTCACAATTGCCCGAATTTGAAAATGTCAATCAATGAAGCTTTGGGAAATTTTTATACAATTTCCCCTAGAATTTGGCACCTCCCGTCGGATATCAATTTATCCGCTTCATGAATCTCGATGGTGACTGGCAATTGGAAAACAGTTGCGGTCGGATCCACTCGATTCACTTTCAATTCACCGTCGACCGTCAAAATGCGAAAGGGCAGTGCTTACTCGATCCGTCTCCCGGCGGGTGCGCGGGCGCGCGTCGGCTTATCCACACGCGCACGCTTTCTTCTTTACAAACCATTAAGCGTATTTTTCGAATGGAGAGAATGAGAGAGAGAGGCTAGCTTCTACCACGATTCGCATTTTGCCTCAAGACGGGTTTTGGCGCCGCGAAACTATCGCCGGTTTTGCCAAAAAACGCCATATCCATCCATTTCGAAAGAGGGACGAGGAGATCAAGACGACGAATCGACCCACTCATTCATCCTTGGAATGTTTCTTTTTTTCGTTTTGATGTATGCTTGCCTCTTTCTAGTTCCTTTTCATCTAAATAAAGCTAAAAATTGGAAATTTTGATGTTGACGAATGAAAAAGAATGATTTTGTGTGCAAACACGCCGCGCACTATTGCACCAATTGAATTCCTACAGTAGCCCTGCCGTGAAAGAAAAATTTGTTTATCTCCCGCTTTCCGGTTTTAGTGTAAAAATTCGGCATCAAAACACAAACCATACCCAAAATTTTTTGTTTTAAACGAAAAAATGTTGCACTTCATAACAACCATTCTCAATTTATTCCATCCAATTGTGATTTCGATCCATTTATCATCGTTTTTTTTGCTGGTGTGGAATGGGAGGATGAATTGATTTCTTAAGCGATTTTGCGACGACTACTCATAAATCAGACGAATTGCGAGGGAAAATGAGTCTCTCTGTATGTGTGTGTGTGTGTGTGATCATTCAAATTTCCTCTTCCATTTCCATTTTTTTTGATTGTAGGTCGAATTTCGAATTTCGCTTGTTGCATTTCCATTGTTGACCTTTTCTTTTCACCAAATGTTATCAATTGAGTTTGACCTCAATAGAAAATAAATGAGGAACCCAATGTTCTTTTTTATTTCGCTTTTCACAATTTTCTTCACCTCTAGTGATGAATTGCCGCCCTTGGGTCTCGTATGGAAAACCTTTTGATAATGTTGGAACGCGACAATTGAAAAATCAATAAATGATGAATTTTTTTGAATGAAGGGGCGCGCGAAATTCAAATTTCTCAAAATTACCCATCCACGCCAATTAATGATTAATTAAAGGCAAGCTTGAATGTCCGCTTCTCCGACGAGCGTCGAGAAGGGTATCAAGCGGCGGTTGCCGCCGCCGCTCAACAAAATGGGATTGTTCGAGCCGTACATCAAAGACGGCAAAAAGATCACCGAAATTGTGAGGTAGCGAGTTGGAGCCGCCGACGAAAAAAGAAAACCGAGATTTGCAGATTCAATCCGGTCGAGGTGTTCCTCGCCGGTTTCCTGCCGCCGATGTTCGGCTCGATATCGGCGATCGCGATCGCGCTCATCTTCCACCACGACGAGATCAGCAACTACAATTGGCAATGCGGGGTTGATTTTGGAGCGGCCTGATTTGAACTCGCACTCATTTTCCAATTTTCAGCGCGCTCGTCTGCCGTCGCTTTCGCGCATCATCAATTTGCCGGTCGAGCGAACGTTCTGGCAGTTGTTTCTGCTGTTCCACGTGCCGATACGCGTCGTCGAATTGATAACAGGATGTGAGTGTGTGTGTGTGGGCGGGCGCCCGGAACGCCGTCCGCAGACAATATCAACGAGTCGCTTCGGTTTTCAGTTTCACGCTACAAACGAATGCGAAACGTGAACTACACGCGCGTGTGGCTCTATGAGCTCTCGCGCTACGCCTACTTCTTCGTCGGCCTCCTCGAGCTCATCTTTCTGTCGGGACTCTCGATTATCGGCGAACGCGAGAACATCCGTAAGTGCATACATATTTGCCGGCCCGAAAAACTGGATATTTGCGAACGTTCCAGAAATCCACGTCATCTTCTTCTACATCTTCGGCATTTGCGGAATTGTGCACATGGTGTCGAACATCTTCTGCCACGCCCACTCGTTGTACTACCTCAATCCCTACGTGAGTCATTTTCAGCACCGACCGACCGACCGATGTCGTTTTGGATTTCCAGGGCCGCCTTTCATACTATCTGAAAATTCTGTTCACAACGCTCTACGTGCTGTCGACGCCGATTCTCGTCGCCTCGTTTCTGCTCTACTGGCGCAAATGCATCACATGGGGTTCGTCTGGCCTCGACGAGCGTCCGCAGCTATTTATTATTGATTTACAGCCTATGACGTGTTCGCGTTGTGCGAGTACTCGGGCGTGTTTCTCAACATCTGCTTCCACGGTTGCGCGTTCTTCGACATCCGCTACAAGGTGACGTTCAGCGTTCGCAAAATCGAGAACGTCAAAGAGGCGACGTCGTCGATCGGCGCCTCGAAAACGCCGCCGATGATCAACAAATTCTAGCACGCGTCGGCAATTATTTATTATTTTTTTCTTCGATTTTGCTCATTGTTTTCTGTTCATTATGTGTATATAAGGCCATTAAATCGATTGTCCCTACAGTAAGCCACTTGTGATGGTTACGGTGGAAGGATGAAGCCGCGCTCGACGAAGCATTCGTTCCACAATGGCCGTTTCGTCAAATCGACTTCGCACAAATCGAAATAGCGCATCTCTTTGAAGAAGAGCACGGTGGCCCGCTGAAAATTGTAATCGGCTGAAATTGTTGAAAATCAGAGGGGGGGGGGACGGACCTCAATTGCCGATATCATATCATCGAGTTGAAATAGAATTTTGGCTCGCTCGGTGAAATTGTGAGCCTGAAAAAATCGCTTTTGAATGAGCCCATCGAATTGTGGAAAATTCGCGAAATTCAAATATTTTTGACGTGATTTTGCGTCGCCGTGTTTGCACACAATTTTACTTTGAAAATAAGCCATCCATATTGAGCAATTGTGGACCATCGCAAGTTTTTTTTTTTCTGACGGCGGCAATTCAAATTTCGATTTAAATAATGAGAATGACGTATTATGGAAAATTCGCCAAATTCAAAATTTTGACGTGATTTTGCGTCGCCGTGTTTGCACACAATTTAAATTTGAAAATAAGCCATCCATATTGAGCAATTGTGGACCATCGCAAGTTTTTTTTCCGACGGCGGCAATTCAAATTTTGATTTAAAAACTGAGCATTCGGATTAATGGAAAATTCGCGAAAATCAATTTTTGACGTGATTTTGCGTCGCCGTGTTTGCACAGCTCAATTGATAATAAAAAAAACGCATTTTTTTGTTGTTGAAAACCCACATCCTTGAAGAGCAACTGCGTGAGCGCTTTCTTGTGTCGCTCGAACTCGCGATTGATGGCGTCGGTGCCCGGCGGCGTCATCGTCGTCACCGCGGTGCCCTGCGAGTAGAAGATGACGCTTTTGAGAAGCGCGTAGTGCACATCGGTGAACTTCATCCGAATCATCGGCACGACGACGCCGTTGAACAACGATCGCGTGACGGGAATGAACAGCGTTCGAAAGCTGCAATTCGGTGCGATTCGGCCGTCTCGCCGCGACCCAAACCTGTCATCGTCGACGCGATGCCACAAATGCGGCTTCAGCGGGAACACGTCGCCGTCGCCGAACAGCAATCCCTCGCAACGCTCCAATCGCGTGTGATAGGCCATCGTGAGGATGGCGCACGCCGGCATTCGTGTGCTGTACCAGCATTTCTGCAAATCACGCCGATCAATCGGCGGTTTGTTGTGATCTACCCGATCGTGCATACACAACGAATTGAACAGCGGCACTTTGGTGGCGAAATCCAAAAAGTGGACCATCGATCGAGCCCACGAGCGAACGAATCGATTCCAGTCGCCCGGCTTGTAGGGCTTCCACGTGCGCTGGAAATTTGACGAGATTTTTTTCTTTCCAATTATTCTGGAAACCTTGAATCGCGGACACTGCGGTGAGGTCTTGAGGAGAAAATCGCTCAACGCGCTGTTCATCATCCGATCGATTAGCGCATTCTCCTCGTCAATCGGCATCTTCTGCTCGTAGACGGTCGACTCGCAGAATCTGGCGCATGTTTTTTCTGATCTACCAAAACAAGACCAACAAAAAAAAACACCAACTTTTCGAGATTCAAATAGATTTGACCCATTTCGAGCGCGCGTTCGGCGTCGATTTGATCGATCGGCACCTGAATAATTGTCGTTGCGGCTCGTCGAGTATCGCGCCCCCCCCCCCCCTACCAATATCGTCGACATCGTCGGAATCGTCGGCGAGACGGGCGACTCGAATCGCTGCATTTGCATTCGATCCTCGGCCGTCATTTTGTTGCGACCGCGAATTTCTGAAAAATTCGACGCGTTCGCATTTTTTTTTCGTTCTTGCGAATTTCCATCAGCCGACATCATTATACCGACCTCTCACGTTCATTCCGATGCTCAAACATTTTCGATAGCGGCACGCTCGGCAAATGTTGCGCTTCTCTGTCATGAGATCGTGGTAGATCAAACTCGTTTCGTCGTGGCACTCACCTACCGTAATCTCGCAACAATTGCCACGTGTGCACTCCATGTTCTTCGCCGCGATGAAAACGCGCCGAAAAAATCCTTTGCAGCTTCTTAAATAGAAAAACGAAGGGACCCTCCAAAAAAAAGAAAAGACACTCACGGACAACAAATCGTGCCATAATGCGATTGTCCGTTTTTGTCGCCGCACACGCCGCACAAAACGCCGGGCGGCGTCGGCATCGCTTCAATGATGAAAGGTTTTGAAAGTGAGGTGAGCAGCAATGAGAGCTCCGCCGACCGCCGTCGTCATGACGACCCGCCCAATTGATCCGATTATCACATGCGCTAATATGGAATTATCGGAGGGGCATTATTAGAAAGTCATTGTGACGTGAGTTTACGCAAATCCATCTGCGGACAATTCACTCGGACGCTTAATGTGTGATTTTTGGAAACATCTGAACTTGTGCTACAGTAATCCAAACGTATAGAGATTTGGAATCTGTTAAAATTGTCCGCAGATGGAATCGTATTTTTCCATATTTTCTTTTGACCCACACCCATCGGTATTCCGAGAAATCACTAATCCAGAATTCTACTAGTTTGGGTCTCGTACGGAAATGATATGGGAGTACGGCAAAGCAATATATTTTCTCAATTGCTTCCAGATTCTGAAACTGTCGTATTCTACAGCTTCATCTTCTGGCTAGAAGCTTACCGTATTACCACAATTCAAAAAAATCGGCCAATTCGAATTCCTTAGAATTATAATTTTTTATATTAAAGAATTAGTTACAGTATCCATTCGATACGGTAGATTGTGGACGGTCATCTGAAAATAATTAGGCGTCGATTAAAACGTAAGTCCGCAGAGTTCACGCGACGTGGTTGCACAACCTAATCAATTTATATTCGAAAAAAAATATGTAAAAATCATAAAACACTATTAAAATTTGAAAACGTCTGCGATCGTGTGCGTCGAAATCTCGAAGGCGGCTCCATTTCGCCATAAATCTGCTCCAATCTTTCGCGGAATGCGTCATTCGCCATCGTTTTTCGTCGTCGTTCAAATGTCTCAAAAAAAATAGCCAATTAACACTAATTAGCCGCGCATAATTACCATGATTTTCATTTGATCCTTGACTAATTGCAGAGCTTTCAAGTCCAAATCGCTTTGCAATATGAATTGGCCATCGTTTCGCGCGGCTTTTCGATGCTTGCGCCGCTCGTCGGCATAATTTTTGCCTTCGAACATGGCGAGAAATCGCAAACACTTTCGCGAGACGCAACCGATTAAAGGCGCATTCCGCGTGAGGTAGAAGACGGTCTTGAAGATGTAATAGAACAACGATGCCGGTGCCGGCAGCCAAAGCTTTTCCTCATATTCAATGAGTCTCGTGTACAATTTGTATTTCCAATAAATGTGCGAGACCTTATCGATGTCCTCGTATTTTTTCCTGAATATTTTTTCTTTAATCTTATTTTTGGCGCCAAAAACAAAATTTCGCAATGGAGCGCACTTACGACAACAGTGCGGTGACCAAATTGACGAGCAGAACGCTTGAAACGAGCATATAGCAGAACAAGAAGACTGGAATCATGCTTGTCTTAAACCAGCATTGCACTGTGGAATCGGTGAGATTGTCAAAGTTGAGCGGAGCCGATGAGCATTTGCTAACAAGGCCTGAACAGGTGAAGTTATTTCGTTTTTGAAAATTCAAGTGAGCCGAAAACTTGCCCAATTTGTCCTCATCGTCAGCTTCGCCGAAAATTTCGAAAGCTCCACTACTGAAAAGAAGCCAAGGCCACACGACATCGGTGATGTTTGGGGTGCTCTTCAGATGGCCTGAATATCAATTCCAGTTTTAATTTTCTCATCGAATCGCTTCAAGACCCAACCGGCCAAACTGATATGACAGACGGCGTATGTGAACCAGAATGCCATGAAGACGAGCATGAATTTGAGCATTATTGGAATCTGGAAATCATTTCACATTTCGATTTCTAAATGTTGATTTCGTCTCGAGACCCCTCCTCTGATATTTTTTTTACCATTTTCTTCACCATGAGCACAATCGAGCCGAAAAATGCGTCGACGTTGGCGATTTTCATCAAACGCAGTGTGGCGAAAATAAACGAAAAATAAAAGAAGAGATCAGCTAGAATAATGGCAAACGCGCGGACAGCTCGAAAATAGTACCTGAAGCGGATGTCAAGAAAAAAAAATTGAATGCTTAATTACCTTGACGGTGGCGAAACGACGGCAATGGACCATGCAATCAGGGTGCCAAGCACCAAATAATTTCGATAAAGATCGGCGGTGTTGTTGTGCGCCCACACAAGAAATCCCTGGAAATAAACGATTTCGAAATGTCAAAAAATAAACGTCAAACTTTTTTCTTCGACAAAACCAACATTTCCATTAGATACGAGAATTGCCAAACGATAATGACAATCTCGTCCCAAAACTCGTCGAGCTCGTTCATTACCATTGTCTTCCGCGTCATTGTCATTAATACATACGCATAAAATATGACATAAATTATGCGTAATATCTAAAATATAGAATTGTCGCGTATAAAAATAAGAGGAATTACAGTATGAATGACGTATTTCGAGTTTGGCGACGTATAGAAATTGTAAATTCGAAGGATAAACGTGCTGAAAATTTCAAGCATTCTTTTTTTTTCTTGAGAAATTACCTATTTGTTATCGACATAACCGAATTTGATGGGACTTTTTGAAATTTATACGGTTTTATCTCCCTCTTCTTCATTCTTTGCCGACCGCGAAGTAGAAAAAGTACAGGGAAAAAGAAAAACAGGAAGAAGGCGAACTGGCCGAGCTTGAAGCCTGGCTGCCAGCGGTAGTCGATCTCGCGTTGACATGCTGGATGAGCAAGGAAGTTCTGGAAGCTATTGGCTTAAAAAAACAGCAAAAAATGAAGACTCAGCAAATCGCGCCGTAGAAACGGCGGTGAATAGCGAGTTTCGGTGAAACGGCGGTGGAACGATGGTTTACTAAACGCGCTAAACCGTGGGCTATGTGTAATATTAGTAGTGTCGTACAACCTTCTAAAAAAAAACGAAAATTAATTTAAATTAATTTTCGATTTTCTTTAAATTTCATTTAAAGTTTTAATTAAATTTCAAAATGAAGATTTATTTAAATTAATTTTATGAATTTTTTAATTTGTAATTAATTAATTATAATGTATTGATTGTTTTAAAACCTTCTATTGGTTTTAAGATTTAATATAATTAATACTACATTCTTTTTAAATTTGAAAGTTTGATTTGATGAGAATGGTTTTTCCAGAACGTTCGTTTCAACATGAAGAGGAGTAGATTGACGAAAGAAGAGAATGGTATATCTGTGATCAGCATAAAGGAAAAAAAATTTTGTAGACGCGCGAATTCGGGGCTATGGAGTTCGTCTTTTACCTGTTGAAAACGTCAATGATGGTATTGAAGAAGAAACTGTAGATAATAAAAAACTTGTAATAAAATAAGTTCATGAAAATTAATGAATCGAGGTTATTTTAGGAAGGGGGGAATTCGCGGGAAATTTTGCGGACGCTGGATATGACGACTGTATTCTTGTAATAAATAATATGAATGGCGAAAATTTATGAGTCGAGCTGGGTTTAGGATCGTCTGTTCACGGAAGGGTGCGACTATAACGGAACTGACGAGACCATGGAAATGCTGCCAAAAGATAATGTTTTCAGTGTTTGTCAGGAATGGAATAATGGTATGATTCTTGATTTATTGACACATTAATGCGGTTACCACGATATCATAATGTAAAACCCTTTAACCGGTTAACCCTTTGATTGAAATTACTGGTTCCGGGAATTAATCGGCTTTATGAATGTTATTGTAGCAGAAAATAAATGTTATTCTGGTAGAAAATTAATTATAAAACGATTTCGAGAAAAATTAATAATTATCGACCCAACCCATTAAATGCAAAATATCAACGTTAGTCCACGGGAGACCAAAAGAAGGACGCATCCGCGTAAATCTACCCGCGTACAGCAGTCGCTGGACGCTGACTGTACCTAGCATTAAGACTCCGGAAACATTTCAGGAACGCGACATCTACGCATTCCAGGAAAAACTGATCGAAGATTATTGCCAACCAATATCAACAACGTTCTGTACGTCCTGTTTAGGAGAAATTCCCAGTGTCAGAATTTCTTGTTCGAATCAACAATGCAGTAATTATCAGTAAGCACTTCAGCGTAAAGGCAATTTATTAAAGTTTCGACTAAGGTGCAAGCCAGTGAAAGGTACGATTACGGAACCTATTAGGCTTGTGACATTCTCAATTCACAATCAATTGGCAAGAATATTGTCAAAGCAAATTGGAGAAATCGTCAAAACGCATGAATATCACCATCACATTCAGGTAATGAAAAATTCGCGGCTATATATATAATTGTATTGTAGGCTTCTGGAAAACCGTACGAAGATTACTCGAGTTTTCATATATCAAAACATTATGGAGATCACATTGAAACACTGGAAATGTTTTCGAATAACATATTGAAGGTTGTAGTTTCCTTAGCCATAGACGGATTTCGTCCATCAAATTGTAGCCGGTAATTATGTTTTGTTTAAATTTATCTCATTATACAACGTAGGGATGAAGTTGTGCCGATTTATATGAGAGTGGAAGGGGTAAAACGAAAAATCAAAGAGCAAGACGGTTCCGTGATCCTCGCAGCAATAATCCGATGTTTAAACGGAATGAATGCTCAAAATGCAAATATCGTCGGATCAAGGCATTGCTTTGTGGAATCATTTCGTTTGTATAATGCTTATTTTAGATTAATGCACGAAGTAGAATTTCTTAGAACTTCACCACTGCTTATACAATACGAAAGGGTCAAATATTCCGTCATGGTCGAGCCAGCTGTATCATTTTTGGATCTCAAGGCAAGCTTGTCTTGGTACATAATGAAACATTACGATATAGGGCATGCGTCAGATCTGTGGTCTTCCGAATTGGGCAAGTACACAGGGATGCACACTTTGCACGATCATTGGTTCGAAATCGGGTCGGCAAGCGGTTTCTTTTTTTCCGACATTCAATACCCTTCAAGAACTGCGAATGATGTAATGAATATGATGAGAGCTAGCGGAAAATTAAGTAAGCAATTCCCTTCAAACCTACATCTAAAATATGAATTGTTAGACATTCTGTCAATTCTTGCCAGCCCATCAAATCAACCGTTCGATGAACTTCATTACCTTTCCGAAGGGTTTTTGAAAAATTTATTGGAACAAATTTTTGGGCGCGGTTCAAATTTGCCTCGGTTGAAAATTTCGACTAGGGTGGTTCAGGCACTTTCATGTTCTCTGATTAATACCATAGATCCACCGGAAACGCCCTGCAGGTTTGCTAGCCCAGAAAGATTCTCGCGTGCGACCGGTTCAGAGATAAGAAAAGTGAGCAATTTTAAAGTTGGGACATTTGATTATATTTTTCAGTCAGTTCAGTTTACTCTTGCTGCGTTATCAATGACATTTAAGTTTCCTCGCTTCATGGAAACCACGTTTTTGGCTTGCTTGTTCATATTTAACAACTTGCTATATATGGCAAGGACCAAAGCTCATCTCTACGCAATCCAACAACTTTCGAATTTCATAAAAGGATATATTGGACATGAAAATAGCGAATTCTATACGCTTAAAATGCATGTAAGAAAATTGACTTGTTTAAAACAGAAGAATGGTAGCAATTCCAGCTGATTTTTGATCACTGTGTGGAGTTGATTCGTATATACGGCAATTGTTCAACAACTTCAACTGCAAGTTTTGAAAAAACGCACTGCTACTTATCGTTAATGACTAATCAACTATCGATTGCGGATATGGCGAAAAAGTTTATAGCGGACAGTTATTTCACAACCTAAAAGAGGTAAATTCTTAATGTAAATCTCTTAAACTTGAATTTCTTCAGTTCGGATTCGACTTTACAGTTAAGTAGTGATATTGAATTTTCGAGGAATTATAGAATTACGAATACGTCTACAATTTCAACGTTATCACAGAAAGTGGCATCACACGGAGGACAAATTTAATTTTTTGCAGCCAAATGACTAAATAATTTTTTTTTGTAATAAATTATTCCAGTTTTTCGCGAGTACTTTCAAAAAAACAATAAACGTGGTGAAATATGACAATAGTTTGAAAGTACTAAAACGAAGGCAGTACGACACTCCGCGCGTACGCGTGCAATTTCGGAGAAACGGCGGTGGAAAGTTGGAGGAACGAAAGTGTCTGTTCTCTTCACCGATCATCTGCCGCCGTTTTACTCGCTATTCACCGCCGTTTCTACGGCGCGATTTGCTGAGTCGATTTTCAAAAAAGTGTGCAGTTGCACGTCATTTTTGATGCAAAAAATTGCACTACAATTGACGATAATTTGCACACAATATTTAAAATTGCAATTTTTACCTTTGCTTTTCCTTCGGCCGCGAGCTCCATTAACTCCATATCTTGATTAACAGCATCACAATTTTCAGTATGCACGAAAAGGTGGAAATTCGTGTCGAGAATCGCGCGGGTATCTCGTTCGCTTCTATGAAAACACTGATCAAGAAGGGCGGTGCATTCATCATCGAATAATCTGGAAATTTTCGAGTTTCTCGTTTTAAATACCACCAATTTAAGCAGAATCGAGACGTTTGGAGTTTCTCATAGGCTTCCGCGATCACCGGCTCGTGCTGCTCAAGAAAAAGCTTTCGCATTTTATTGGCAATGTAAACCTGCAATCGCGAAATTCTCCACATTTCCAACAAAATCACAATTCGCCAACCGCCAACAGTCCCGCATAAATCGGATGCTCGCATTTCGGCCAAATCTCCAGAATTTCGTCCCTAAGCTACATTTATTTGAGAAAAAACGCTCAACGCCAACAAAAAAGCGAACCTTTTGAAAAATGCGCTAGCGATCAGCTTCAACATATTCGGATCTCTCAGTTGATGAAGATCGCATCTGCAAAAAGAAAATATTGAAGTGACAAATCCAAACAATTTTGCCTTAAAATTGGCTTCATTTGCCGATTAATAAATTCATAAATCGATCCGCCAACCGTCGAATATTTCGGATTCATCTCAATAACATCATAAGTGATAAATAATTTCTCCTAAACATCTCAAATTTCAATTTTCAACCAAAACAAAAACCAACCTGCTGCTCCAATTCGTTCAATTTGCTAATAATATCTCTAGTAGGCATATTGATTGATGTGGAACGGCTAGGTTGCTCCTAAAATTCGAAAATATTCCGAAAAAAACAAGGAACAAAAATTACCCAATATTTGGCATCTTCAATCGAAAAATTTCGCGTCCTAAACCGTATCGTCTTCCTTCGAAAATCCATTTCCACACTTTTCTTCGTGCAGCTCAACGACGGCCGCGTTTTATCATACTACTGATAAAGCGAAATGCGCCACAAAATAGTAAATAGACGTCAAACAGTGGGAAAATTTTGACCGAATTTGGTGATAATGACCGGAAACCACTACAATTTCAATCTACTGTTTCACTGGGAATTCTTCAAAACCAAAATTCGTCTTTCGACAATATCTACAGAGTACAGCATTAAACAATTATTTTTATCAAAACTTAACAAAATAACAGAATTGAGCTAATACGAGCTCGCTTTGTGCTTCGGGATGAACGTGAAACCCTCTGGTGTCGGTCCGAGAAGCCTTTTGGATATCTCAATCTGAAATTTCAGGGCGTCAATGAGAAAAATCCATAAAACCCTTCAATTACCCAATCATCAACTCTAGGGCTCGAAAACAATGTCTCCAGCTCATTCCGACCGCGAAATCTCGGCGGACGATCGTTGATTCGTTGCGGGAGGACGTCGAGGAGTCCCACAGGAATGTACCTAATCAAGTTCTTATCGTCATACGCTTTTGAATTGTGTCAAACCTGCACGAAAATGACAAGAACTCCAGAAGGAACCTTCTCGTCCGCTCAACACCCGCATCGTCACTTCCCCAATGGTCCAATCCATATCCGACAAATTTTTTGAGGAGCTCAAATCGCTCCGTCGCCGAAATGTCCCACGTTCGTCGCTCATCGATTTCGGTGAAAATCCACGGCTTGATGAGAGCACCTCGACCAATCATTATCCCATCAATTTCATAGTTCTCAAGTCTCTGAAGAGCCATTCAATTGGGACCATCATATTTACGTCTGGGGGGGGGACCATCTCACATTATAATAGTCCTCCCAGGCAAAAATATCGCCGCAAGCCCATAGGGGGACAGGCTTGCACGTCTTGGCGACGTCTTCAATAAACTCCCAGTTGGCGAGCTTCGTGTAGCGTTGCTCTCTAAAAATCACACAGAGATTTAAAGGCGCATGGGGGGATGACTGCACATACTTGCTTCTCGGATGGAATGTGATCAAGTCGGGAGCGTGCCACACATTTCTCATCATCACTTCGACCGTCTCATGCGCCTTCAAAACACCCTCTTTGAGCCCAGTGCGGATTTTCACCGTCAGCGGAATCTCGCCAAGAACGTGCTTCATCGCGCCCATGACTGGAAGTAGTCGATTTTGGAAATTTGACAAAAAAAAATTAATGGATCAGATACCTTCGATCATCTTATTTTGGCGAGTGGTCAGTGCGCAACCGCCACCCTTCTGATTGACGACATCAATCGGGCATCCCATGTTGATATCGACAAAATCCACCGAAAAATTTTTGGGAAATTCTTTGTGGGAAACAAAAGGAGATCAAGAAATACCTCATAATTATCGACAATAATCTGCGTTGCTTTCGCCATCGTGTCGGCAAAACCACCAGCGAGTTGAACTCCAAATATTTTCTCGCTTGGGTGCCTTTTAAGGAGACTATATTCCGACGCGGAGCCGGCCAGAATGCTTGTCGCCAACGCCATTTCGCCGCACGTGATGTCGGCGCCATAATCGACGCATATGCGTCGGAATGGGAGATTTCCCTGCAAAAGAAAAAAAAAACATCATGACCTAGATTTCATGGCCTAGAAAATTTCTCGTCCATACCACTGTTGTCAACGGGGCGAGGTATTTTTTGCCAGCCAACGACTTCATATCCAATTTCCGCTTCTCAGGACCCATCGAGCCGATCGTTTCATCTTTAATCATCTCCAAAGCTTTATCGGATTTCGAGAAATCGTACTGCTTTTTTCTCAGCGCGATTTGAACACTCATCGAGTGCGCGTTTCTCGTTTCGCCGTACGGAATTTCCGGCTCCTTCTCTTTTTGCGTTCCGTTGTCGTCGATGTGAGCGCCGCCGAATCGACAAGCATAGCTGAACGGGCATTTGCCGCGCGCATCAAATAATGGACATCGATTATCAATGTCGGCGGGCTTTTCTAGAACAATTTAAGAATTTCGATAAAATTCAGGAAATTCATAAAAAAAAGAAACCTTCAAGAAATTTGGAAATGTCATGCTCGCAATTACATTTTTCGCCAAATCTGTTTAAAGCAAAAAATTTGTATTCCAGAAAAATTTGGCTCGCTCACTTGCACTGAACCGGCTGAATTACCGACGGGCATAATCGAATCGCACTGGCGCGAATTTTAGTTTCAGCATGCTTCATGTCACGCCTGAACATAAATGATTCAACGCAATTTTAGATTTTAAGGACCTTCTCGTTTTATTCATTCCTCGTCGCTCCTTTTTCGGGACTGCTTGCAGTTCCTCAACCGAACAATCTTCTTTCTAAAACCCATAAATTCTAGAAAATTGGTTTTTTTTTAATTCTCACCGGAATGATGTATTCCGCCTTTATTGGCGCCATATTGGTGTCCCTTGAATCCACAACCTCACTCATTTTCAGCTGTTTCAAGCATTTTAAGATTTTTCAAAGCATTCTTTGTTTCAACAAGTAAAGTATGAAATCTAACATCACAAAAATCAATAAAAACCATTAAATTTCTCATAAATAATTTATTAGTGACCCGTAATTTTTGAATTATCCGCTTCCTCTTCCATTTTCTTTTTCAACTCGGCTCCATAGCCTTTCAACGTCATATAATTTCTAGAGTTTCCGCATTTTCCACAAATTTGAGCGACCAAATTCTTTTCCTTCACACAAATTTCCGATTTTTTGACCTTGAAAATAAGAAATGATTGCAATTTTTTTATCAATAATGAATGTTACCCCGCCAATTAACACCTCTCGGCATTTTCGGCAAAATTGTCGCTTTTTTTTCGGCTCAATTTGCACCATATCTGAGTCGATGACCTGACGGAATAGTTTCGAAATTTTCCGGCTAATTTTTGCAAATCCATCGTTTTTTCGGCTACCTAAATAGTGAAAATACTTATTTTTTGCGTAAGGTTACTGTAGGCGGCTAATCGGTGCACACACCGCGGCGCCAATTCACACCTCAACATCTTTTTTTTTTGAAATAGTGTTTCATATCAAAAATTACCTAAATTCGATATGTGTACCGCGCATTTTTGCAAATGATCGGCTCTCAAATATCCAGGCTTCGTTTTCGGGTTTCCCTTTCCTTTATTCTTCGACCGTCCCATCAATTCCTACGCAAAATATTGAAAATTCTCACGTTTATTGCAAAAAATCCAGATATATTCTGTGAGCAAAACATTCAATTAAAGAGTGCAATGGAAAATTACAATAAAGATTAAAGGTTTATTGATGCATAAAAGTCAAGTACTGAGCATATAGCGAGAAATTTATAGCACACGATAGAACCCGTAAAACAATGCGAAACAATTAATACAGAAAACGGAAAAGGTCATCAAAATGATCTACCTCGTAGGGATATTTCCAGCCAATTCGGTATCGGAATGCGATTTTTGCGCAAAAATTTGTACAGCGCCGAATTGTCGATTTCAAAAATTCTCGACAATCTCGCACGCAATTCGACGCTCATTTCCTCATATTTTCGACCCTTGCTTTCACCGAGACATTTCATTTTTCCATTCAGCCACTAATAAAAAAAAACCATGATTTCAAAATGCTCTTAAATATTGAAATGTTCACTTTACAATGGAATCCTTTTGAAGAACTGAGTCTGATATGCGAATTGAAGTCAAACTCGGGAAGCGAAAGCCATTTCGCGAGCTTGACGAGCACCTGAGCCGGAGAAGCTCGAAGAAGCTCGCCGTCAATGAACATAATCTGCTCGAGCGAGTAAAATTCAAGCCATTTATCCAAATGATGAAGGTATCTGAGAGAATGTTAGCAATTCAACATGCAAATTTTCAACTTACCTTCCACCCGATATACACCTTTGCCGAATCTTCTTCCACGCCATTGCCATTCTTGGTGTGGGCTTCAGCTTCTCCTCAAAAGCGTCTAGTATCGTTTCCAAGTTTCCAGCCTCAAGAGCAGCGGGTTCGTCATGAGCAATTAAATGCTAAATTGGCCAATTTCGATTTTATAAATATGTATATATCGGACCAACCTGGAACCATGAGTACGCTCTTTTGGCGGGATCCTCAAGAATGATAACCAGTTTCGCGTCGGGAACCAATGAAGAAGCTTGGCGCGGTGCCAGCGGATTGTCGAAATACGTGGCGCTCTTCTCAAAAATCACCGAGGCGTTCGAAAATTGCGACATGTACCTTGAAAATCGAATTTCAATCGGCCAAATTGTTCGTTTTTTTCTCTTCCAGATGACCTACCATTCAATGCCTTTTCGATAATTGGCGCCGCCAAAAAATTGAACCTCCTCGAAACTGCCGGGAATTTGTCGATTTTGGCTCACGTTCGGATGCAGACTCAAAAAGTCGGCCAACGCCGTCGAGCCGGTCTTTTGCGGTCCGAGAATCAAAACGTTGGGCAGTGTGAGATTTGAGCAATCGATGCTCGGCGGCACAATGATCCGATGGCGCGCATCAACACAGGGATTCTAGAAGGTAAGGTGCCGATTAGACAACCAGCCTCAAAGCAAAAAAAAAGAAAATGACGAACCGTCCAAATCGGCAGCTTCTCGTCGGGAAACTTCTGGAAATACAATTCCGCTGATGACACAGGATCCTGCCATTTGAGCGCCAAATTCGTCCAGCAATTCAAGAAGCGAAATAGATTCTCAAACGTGTACAACGCCAATCGATCATGCGCGTAGTTTTGCTGATGGGTCATGAATATCGATATCTGGAACGATACAAAAAACAAATGAATCGAGTTTTTCGACGAATTTTCGATACCGGATTGAAGACAATGGTGAAGAACAAATCGCCGCCTTGAATCGACGCCAACAATTTGTCGAACCCATCGGGATAGGTGTCGAAGAACTGCGTATGCGTGTACAATCCGCACGTTTGTCGAGGCAGCACCGAAATCCCTTTATGGATGAAGGCTTTTCGTTGGGAAGCCGGCTTGAAGTGCGGGTATTCTTCGGTGGCCGTCACCGAAACATTCCAAATCTGCAAAAAAGCACAATTTTAATTCAACGAAATGCTCAATTCTGACCTTCTTCCATGCGTCGTACATCTCCTCGTGAACCGGAAACACACCGTCGTGCTGCGGGGCAATCGCGTACGGATAGGTGACAGGAAGCTTCATGTTCTGAGCAAACAGCTTATTCTGCGTCATAATTGCTTCCAAATATGTGAAATTGTGGTCGTGCGCATGATTGTGACGCCACATGTGCGGAAACCAGACGAAATTCGCAGCCATATCTTAAAATCGAAAACAAATTATTCTCTAGGCGAACGGACCATTTAATTAGTGCCTATTAGAAGCTCATCGCCAGCGTCCTCCAAATAGTCGCCATTTCGAAAATAGCTGCCCGAGAAGCCGAGCATAAACGTGAAATTCTTAATGTAGGCCTCGCGAAAATGCTTCTGGAATTCTAGAAGGCTTCTCACGTCGCCTTCGACCATTCTGGTCCCTTGAGCTCCGACAAACACGTCGTCAATGTCAACCTGAAAGTTTTGGCAATAGAAACAACGAAGAATTTTTGCGAAATACTTGAATAAATCGGTCCAAAGTGAAGGAATTCCGACCAAGAGCCCATAAAAGAGAGTCCACAAACGTTAGCTGCAATAATGGAAATTGTTGAGCCTCATTTTTCCAATGAACATCACTTTACACCATTTTTGATCAAATATTGAAGGAAAAACTGTGTAATATTACATTGGAGAGCAAATAAACGAGAATCTCTCATTGCTCATTTTTTGCTCCTTTAAATTTCACCTTAATGGTCCAATCGGTCAAATTGCGTCCGAATAGGATGCGCTCAACACCATCATCGATTCCTTTATCGTGAACGACCACTGCTCGTTCCAGATTTTTGCTAACACCGCCCGCCACAATCTGAAAAATGTCCAAAAATCGTAAAAATTAATTGAATTAAAAGAAAACGGACCGTTTGAAAATTTTTCGAATTCTCGAAAACCACCCAATCGCCTCCACTAATATCGCTTCGAATTTTGCCAATTTTCGCGATTTTGTGGAATTTTGACGGTTTGATTATCAAACTTTTGAGTTTTTGATTCTGCCACATCCACAATGAGCTTCCCTGAAAATGGCATTTTTGGGGAAATTTGAGAAAATAAAAAAATCAATTACCTTGATTTTTATGCGTTTTAAAGGGTCATTCGGTTTGCTGGCGACAAATGAGAATATTGGGACGTTGAATTCATGGCAATATTTGTCGAGAAGCTGCCGATTCCATCTTGGCATATTCAAATATTTGTAATAATTCTCCACAATGATCAGCGAATATCTTCCATTGCTGAGCGTTGTGAGCACTGGTAGGTTCTTCGACACCGCTTCCGCCTTATAAGGAATCTTCAACGCGTTCAGTATCTGTTTGATTTGTTTGCCGTTTCGCGAGAACAACGATTCAAGAATCACAAGCACTTTTTGATTTGTTCCATTCGTTTCGAGAAATTCGAAATCGCCCGAAATTTTTTGATCATTTTCCGTCGAACACGAATAATTTGTGACGATTTTTGGCCGCTTTCTTGGTCTTGCATTTTCATGACTCGATGGGAATAGTATACAAAGGGCGAAATAGAATAAGAAGGCGAAAATTGCAAATTTGCCGATTCGAATGATCTTTTGATTTAAAAATGGCGTGATGATCATGATTCTCGTTTGGGCATTGTTCGAATGCCTGAAAAATTGAGTAATTTTTAAAAATTAATCGAAAAAATTGAAAAATATACTGGAAAAATTCGTGTCTCGAGTATACGCTAGAATAAATGACCGCGTATATTTTCTAGGCCATGTTGTTTGCTTAGGCCATGTACGTATTTCCAGAAGTGTTAAGCAAATGTTTTTCGAACTGTTATGGAAAAGGAAAATTGAAAAACTATTGCGAAGGAAAAACATCAAAAATACAATTTTTCCTAATTAAATTTTGGAAAAATTATGCCCCAAATTTTTAATATACATTTTTTACTTTTAAAATTAGTTTTTTTGCGTTTTTTATTGCGAAAATCAAAAATATCTCCCGAAAAGTCGGTATTTCGAAAAAGAAAAAACGAAAAGTTAAAATTCCGCAATGTATCGATTCAGTGTTTGCAGAAATATTTCTCTACAGTACCACTTTATTACTTTTATCGATTAATTTCCGGTTTTCCACTTTGATTAGTGTAACTTTTAATCCATTTTATCATTTTTTGCAACAAAAACAAAGACCAAACCCCATAACATGCAATGAATCATCACTTCACAGCTGTCGCCGCCCCCGAGGTTCACATTTATTCTGCCCAACCCGTTTGTTCTCGCGGCCGAACATTTTTCGCCACCCAATTGATTGTAAAATTCCGACAATGCGAATCGCATTTCTTTTACTTTTATCTTGTATTCTCTCAAATTGCTATCTTCCAGGTAAGAATTTGAATGGAAACTATTCTTAGAGAAATATATTTGATTTAGATGAACCGAGTTCCGAAAAATCGATAGAAGTCACCCATTGGGCTGACGAGGAGAACATCAGAGCTCGAATGTCGAAAATCGCCGAGGAGAAATTTTCGCATAGGTACCATGTCTATCAGGTATCTTTCAAATTGAAAATAATTTTCAAATGTTTGCTCACAAATTGCTCTATTTATAGAATGAATCATTGTCAAATCGGGTGCAAACTAGCCGGAAGCCCAAAACGAAAAATCATTCGCGTCGACCAAAACGAGACGGCGGCATTGTGTCGGGTCCAGTGGCGACGGCGCTAGTCACCGGAATGATCGGTAATTTTTTCGGAAAATATTTAAAAATCAAAATTTCGACAATAGGAATGACAGCGAAAACCGTGTCCGAGCTCACCAGCTTCAATCCAAGATTGAGCGAAGGCGGCTGCGAATGGTTCGGAACCGCGCCATTGTGCAATTTTCCGTGTCCATCGGATTACGACTATATCCGATCGCATAATGGAAGGTAAATAGACTTCAAAAAAATACTTATGGTATTATGCAAATTTTGGGGCGAAAAATTAAAATTGCAAAATGACTATCTCTTTTTTTTAATTTTTCTCTAAAATCTGTCATTCACTTCGATATATTGTGAAATATATTTCTCTAGATGCTCAGCGTGGTGGCTGTCGGGCTTCTGCTCGCCGGATCCGAGCTTCGGCAAACCGTGCACAACAATTCTCGGCGAGTATTTCAACAAGCGCTTTTGTTGCAAGTGAGTCAACTCATTTTGAATTCATGACGTATAAAACCCAAAAACAAAATGGAAAACAAAGACTAATCTTTCGAATTTCGAGAGTAAACATAAAATATTAATAACACACTGAATTGGATTGTTCAGATCCGATCCACTGGAATGCACATGGTCGGGACGTTGGATGGGAGCCAATACGGCGCATAACATTTATTGCCGATACGATAATATTGGGAAGTGCGGGTCCATCGATTGCTCAATTAATCATTTCACTCTTAAAGTAGGTTTTAAAGGAGTGTAGTTAATAGAAGAAAAAAATTTAATCACCAAGAAAATCGCCGATTTTGGGTGAGTAGTCGGTTAGTCAAATTTAAATTTGAATTTCCGCCGTCCAGTCAAGGTGCTCATTTCTTTGCGATTTTAATAATTGTTTTTTTTTTTTGTCATCATTTACAGGACGCTTCTCTTTTACCTGAAACTATTGAAGATATTTTCAGGCGCAGAACAGCTCAATGATCACCGGCGACCGTTGTGACCGGCTAGAATTGTTCGGCTTAAAGGGAAAAGCGACATGCGGCTATATTGCATGGTTCAATGAGAGCGGCGATGTTGTAAATAGTTGGTATAAAACGAGGTAAACTGTTTGCCCCCCCCCCCCCCCCACTCAAATATTTTGTGCATTTTCCCAATTTATTTTTTTTTTGTTGCGCATTTGTGAATCTCATCATTGTTTTCTGTTCTTTTCTTTATTGTTTTTCAGGCGGTAATATGAGAAATCGGACGAAGAACTTCCATAATCATTGAATATTATATGATTTATGTTGTATAGCTTTTCGTTTATTAATTCTTCCTTACGGGTTCCATTTATGTACGTACGCACGTTGTTGTTAAATAGATGTATTGAAAAAAAAAATGAATTTGGCTTGCTTTAATAAATTGCCGAATGATTTGATTAATGTTGGTTGGTTTTGCGCAAATTATATACATAAATTGAGTTTCTCGACGACGCGAAACACGCGTTTTGGCGAATGGAATTTTTGAAATGTGCTCACTGAGCACCTGCTTGCACTTTCCGTCATAATTATGTGATTCCTTTTTTAATAAATTATCACTTGCCTTGATTTATTTATTGAACTTTGGATGAAAAACGTGATTTTTTGTGTTTTTTTTGCAATTCATGAAAAACTGAATATCTGCTCCGCAATTTGTCGTCGCGTGCGCACACACCGTTCATACCCACCGTACCCAAGATGTAAAATAATGTCTCGAATTCCTCTTTTCTGCTGAAAACACTGAAACGCTTACAATTCTTAACCAAAAAAAATCCAATTTCCAGGAGGTATTAAAGACGTATAAAATGGAATTACTCGAGAAATTTGCTCACATAAAAATGAAAAGATATTTTCTGTTTTCGTTGCGCAAAAAAAAAAACAATCAAAAAAAAATTTTCCTCGTCGGAAATTCCTATTTAATTCGAATTTTACGCTCGCAAAGTAAACAATGTGCAAATTCGAAGATTTTTTTTCACGGAAATCCGATTACACGATTTGCAACAGGTACACTCGCATTTATTTTTTGAACTACTAGAAATTGACATGTGAATTCTGGCAAGTCAAGGAGCAGGTGGTTTCTGTTTTTTCAATGATTTTCGACTATCGGTTTTTTGTCTTTTTCGACTTTTTTGGACCCCCTTGCTTAATATTTTTGAATTCAAAAAAATTTTGCTTAAATATTCAAAAATTCACACACGAAGTTTACACTTATCGCATGTTTTGAGCTTCTTGCTCGCTAAAAACCCTTCTAGACAATTTTCTGTTTTGATAATTTCAATCTGCGGACATTCCTATCCCCCGCAATATGTCCGCAGCATAATTTTTCCAATAGGCTCGACCTCGACAGCTGAACCAGTGATTAATTAGAATGTTTAATAATTTCCGCGCATGACGATAACAAAAATGACAAATTGATCGGCAACATTGCTTGTTCGAATTTAAAGGCGCATGCCAATTTAAAGGAGCACAACAAATCGAGCTCAACAACAATTCAATAAATGTACTTTGCTCACCTCATCGAGACAAAAACAAAACATTTGTCTCATTAATTATTTAATTGGTCCCAATGGCGAAAATTTGCACCAAATCTCTTCTAGCATTATCAATTCATCATTCCGACTGGTGCAGCTCCATGAGCACGAGCATCAAAGATTGACTGCGAGCCATTCTATTTAAAAATGCAAAGTGGGGTGGTAGATGGCGAGAAGCACGACGACGAGAAGGGAGAATATGGGTATTAAATAGGAGCATTCGTTTTTTGTGAAAGAAGAAAACCAAAAGCTGAAGCTTCATCTTTTCGTTTAAAAGAAATTTTCTCCTTTGTTTTATTATTTTCGACTTTTAGTCATCGGCCAGAATTTTTCGTTTATGGTCACAACAAGACAAAATCGAATCTACAGTAGTCCCATGATAGTTTAAAGGCGCATAGATTGGATTCTTAAGAATCGCTGACTCGATTATTCTATTGGAAACTCACCTTATGTCGGCTCGTTTTCATGAAATTTGCCCATTGTCTCACCGGGGCGATTTAATCCATATAAGGCGAAATTTTTTTTTGACGTCTCCCACATTTGTTGATATTCCCACGAAATCACCGCCCCCCAACAAAAACAATAAATTTTTGCGTTTCGGAAAATTTTCTAAAAAAAAATGAAAAACACACAAACCTCTCATTCATTTTTCAAATTCTGGTCTCGCGACCGATGCGCCTTTAAATATTCGTTCCTTGTGTTTGCTGGTCATTTGCGTTGATTTGCTTCGATGCTCTAATTCAATTTCGAGAAAAAACCAATTGAATTTTACGGTTTTTGGTTGACACTATTGATTTTTTGACGAGGGCGCACTTAAACGCAAATGTGTTCATAGGCTGTCGGTAGGGATAATGGTCAATTGGAAACATTTTGGGCTAGCGCGCCGAACCATCCAGGTTCGACCCCACCCTCCTCTTTAAGTCTTTTGCTTTTATTTTTTATTAAATTTTCTATACTTTAATATTCAAATCTTGACATTTTTGAATTTTTGGCGTTTGTTGTTCGATTTCTTCTAGAACGTAGGGTCCACCCTCATTGATGCCGTCATAATCCATTCCATCGTCCATATTATGAATAATAAAGCGGATATTTTGAAGTTTCCGGAAAAAAACCCCCGACGCACTTTCGGCACATTTTCGCCTATTAACTTGTTTGGAAAATGTCTGAGATTCTGCTCACCTTTTGGTGCAACTCAAACCCAATCCGACTAATTAGTTGTTGCGGACCGCATCGGCACGCCGGTGCGGACCATTTCCTTCCTGTTCGTCATCATCATCCTTCAAATGACACATGCGAATCTCAGTGTTTGATTGGGGTCGAGAGCAATTCAATTTCATCTGCGGACAATTTTGTGGTTTCCCGCAAGATGTCCGCAGATCGTTTCTAATGAAAAAAAATGAATCCTTTTTTTAAACAACATAAGCTTTTTTTTCTATGCACATTGATCCCTTCATACTCACATTAGTCTATAGTATAGCTTATAGGCAAATAAAGCTCATAGTAAAAAACAATTATCAAGCTTTTTCTTTTTTTAATCTTCGTGCCTTGTGTTTTTCCAAAAGAGACCTGATTCAATGAACTTCAACATCTCGATTTGTCTGTAGTTTGACCTTTTCCCTTTCAAATTTCCGTTTCATTTTTCTAAAAAAAAAGATGCCTGATATCATATTTCCTGATTAAAATATTTAAAACGTGTGACTCAGAAAGTATTACGGTAGATATAACCTTTAAACTAATGTCAGAGAATAAAGCAAAAAAGGTGGAATTGAGGTTGGGGTCGAGTCCAAAACCATTCGCGTTCAACACAAGCGCGCTGACCACTCGACCAAACGTGCACACAGCGCAAAGTGCAAAACTGGAATTAAGCGCGTCCTCCCCCGCCTCCAAAAAACCAATACGTGATGCATTTTTTTTTGCAATGCTTATTTTCGCTTACCTAATCCGCGTATTGTTCTATCAAAAATTGCAAATGATTTGTGGGTGTCTGGCTGCTCACTGAGGTCACCTTAACACCAGAGAACATCTTAAGCCGACCTCCAAATAGCAAAAATCTAGGTAAAGATCATCGCTTTCATTGTACTTCTTGTTTACCCTATTCATCGCTTCCCCCCAATAAGTCATTTTCATTCATTTCCCAGTAGGCTGTCACCAACTACGCCGAAAAAAAGAACGTGGGAGAATGCCGCTTGAAATGTCTGAGAAACCGCGTATAATTCAGCTGCGAACAATATTTGGCATCCCGGCAACATGTCCGCAGATGGATTTCATTAATTCATTCAAAATGCCTAAGCGACTTTTCTTTTCAAAACTTTCCCATCGCCGCCCAATATTTGGTATTCCGCTCGCCACACTCGTTTTCGCGTCGGGACCATCGCAATTCTTTTATGTTTTCTTTTTTTGAAGAATGGACGACGCCAATGAGAACACCGAGGGCAATATCACCAATTTCCGAATGCTCACCTTTCCGCCGCCGACACAAGAGCCGTCAGGTGCGTTCTAACTATGCATTATTATGCGCATAATCAGGCGCCTATTATAAACTGGCAACAATTCAGCGAAACCGGAAGTTCGTTGAGAGGAAGGGGGTAATAAAATAGATTTAAAATTCGCCAAAGGGGTGCTTTTTATACGAAAAAAATATATCTGAAAATTGTAACCTTTAAAGGGGCGTGGCCTAACATACAGAATACACTCAAAATTTGTAGATGGTGAGCTGATTTTCGCCGTCGCCCATCTCGCCCTTCTCACCATCACCCTGTGCGGCAACGTCAGCCAATTGGTGCTCATGGTGAGACGCTCGAGCTCAAGAAGAAAACGCACGCCAACGAGTTTCAGCTCTATTCGAATCGCTTTCGTCGTCGATCGCCGATTCAATTCTTCATCGCGTCGTTGCTGATGGCGAACGCGCTCGTCGGCGCCACCTCGCCGTGGATCGCCATCGAGCTTCTCATTAGGCGATGGATGTTCTCGCGAGGCGCGTGCCGCACGTTCGCCGCCACAATGCAAATCGGCCACACGATTCTGCCGTATTTGATTGGCGCAATTTACGTGTTGACGGTTAGTCGAACGCGTCAAGCGTCGAGCTTCTTCTTCGTCTTTTCATTTCAGACGACGTCAACGTGTCCGTCGCATCGTTGCCGCTTCCGACAGCCCACAATCGTCATAGCATTCCTAATCATCATTCTGGCGCTCACATTTTTCATAGTGGCGCCGGTTGCGGCGAGCGCAAAAGTGAGGCGTGTTATTGTGAACCGTCTGCGGACAACGTTCCGGGTTGCGCCACCATCTATTAATTCCATTGAATCATTGCAGTTGGAATCGCGGGTTCGCAGCAAAACGCTGCAGAGCAACGATTTCAGTGTTCGCTTCGAGACCACCTATTGCACAATTCCATTTCTCACCGATTACTATTCGGCGGCCGTCGCCGCTCTCATCGAATATATTGTTCCGCTAACTATATGTGTCATATTTATAATGAAGCTCAGAATCGAGTCATATCGACAATTTTCGTTGTTCAAAATCGAGCTTTATCTGGTGAGTGAGGCACAATGCTTAAAATGTTTGGAATTTTCAGTGCATCATCACTTTGCTCCATTTTTCGACCAGCTGGTTACACTACCTTCCAAATGATATTCAGGTAGACGCATCTGCGGACAACTCGCGGCAAAAAAAAACGAAACCATTGTAGACTGTGATTTTTTTCTTTCTACCTTCTCGTATTATGCCTTCCGATGTCACCTCGCTTTTTGCTCTTGTCGCCTCATCGCTATCCTGGCTGCCAGCAGCCTGTCTAAGCACTCAGTGGCACAATCATGAGGTCGGTTATGATTTAAAATCGCCGCAAAAATTGATGGACGGGTATGGGGATCGAGCCCGAGATGATCTGTTTGCCAATCCAAAACTTTGGCGATAAGCCACACAGCCATCCGGCGTTGGCTCGAGCAATGGCGTATACGTGTGCGCCCCAAATCCCCCTATCGATTAGAAATAAAAATTTTTTTTGAGAATTTTTCAATTTCAACCCCGAATTTCAGCATGGCAGCGACACCGCTCCAACCTCACACTGTCCGCAGCATCGAAATTCAAGAAGTGCCCGCCTGCTGCTGCCCATAAACGAAATGCAATTCCAAGAGCAATTCGAAAAATCATAAAAAACATTCATTATTGTTCGGGTTGCACATAAAAAAAATAATAATTCAAGCCGAGTTTGTAGTAGTGCTCTTTTGACTTTTGCCATTGTGAAAGAAGAATTTTCGCTGCAATAAAACAGAAAATTCAATATCGTTGTCTCTTTTTCTCTGCGCCCTCTCTCACTCTCTTCAACTCACATCTCCAAAAAAGTGTTGGACGAGAATTCGGGCGATTTTCAGCGCGGCTGAAGCCAGACACGCGAGAATACTGTACTTCCAGGTGCCGGGCGCGTTGATCTCGTGAACTCCGCGAGCCGAGAGCGCGCCGAACGCGCGCGGCACCTGCGCCGGATAGAATTCGGTCTCGATGTTCGATTTCTCATGGGCAATGACTAGAATTAAAAAAAAATAATAACACAATTGATGAGCACTACCAGCCATCGTGTAGATCACCGAGAGAAGCGAGAAGCCGATGAGAAAGCCCGATTGAATCTGGAATCGTGTGAATGTCAATGATGACCATAGATGGCGATTCTTACGTATCCGCGATATAAGCTCAAATCCCAGAGTTCGATGAACGTCAAAAACGCCAAAAGGATGGCGGAAGCGGCGGGAAGCACGATCATATCTGAAAATTCGAGTCGACAATTTTTTTCGGACGGCGTTTTCCACCAATTACACAAGTTTTTCCAGAACGCGTAATGCTTCCATTGAAGCGTATGACAGATTGAGGTCTCGTGACGAGTCGGCTCATCGCTGCAATAGTCGGATGCTCAGAAAAAACAAAAATCGGGGAAAAAAACCGCCTACAGTATTCGGAAGTCGGTTTCGAGTCGGAAAATCGGGTGAGCGAGACATCCGCATGGGTTCTCGTATTGCTCGACTTCAATGGTGGCGCACCTCAAGTGGAAAATTAATAAAGGGGGGGGGTCCGATTTATGATCTACCGATGCGCCGGCCAGAAGAGCAACGCGGCGAATATCGAGAGCAGCAATATCGAATCAATTAAAATGATACTTCTTTGCAATAACATTTTCTGCAAATCGTTTTTGATCTACCTAGGAGACGCTTTTGAATTGCCGCCAACTGTCTGCCCCCCGTGAAGTGTCCGCAGATGGTTTTCAATGAGAGACTTTGTTGCATATGCAAGTGTGGGCGCCTCATTTGCATGAAATGTCCGCAGATAGTTTTCAATAAGATTTTTGCGCGAAACAATCTTGCGAGTCTACAGTAACCCTTTGATTTTTGGGGACCAACATACCAAAACGATTCGACGATTTCGAACGCAATATTAATCTGAGTAATGCGTTGCAAAAAAATTGACCATCACGTGATTATCATTTTATTTTTCTCTCTAGACGATTTTTGAGCCCGTTTCGAGGTAATCCCGTCCGAGTTTCGAGCTCACTGAGCTAATCTCCCCCTTCAATTTGAATTCATTTCAGACAAAAAACCTTTTCAATGTTTTTTTTTTGCAAATCGCTTCTGTGCCGCGGGCCATTTTTTTTTGCGCGGCTCATATGGACAAATAAACGATGAGACGGCGAGAATGCGCATAATTATGAGTAATTCTCGCCGCCGCCCCGCTTTTCACGAATCCCATCTGCGGACAATTGCGATGCGTCTCGTCAAATTGTCGGCAGATCGAATTCACAAATTTTATGGGGTGAAATGAATGAGTGGGTCCCGACGCGATTAGCTGAAATTGTCCGCAGCACTGCGGACACTTAAATTCGTTTTATTCAATGCGAATCTTTTAAATATGTCAAAAACAAAAGATATTCCTCTTTTTTTCGCAATTTCGATTCTTGCATTAAATATGCGCATTTTTCTGGCCTAGAAGAAACCAGAAATAGGTTGGAACATTTTTTTCTGCTGAGAATAGTCTTAAAGTATTACAATTCGAAATTTCGTTTTCAATTCCTCTCTTTCTTGATGTTTTCCCCCCTCCAATTCAATTGAACGACGTCCTTTTCGCAAAAAAATTGGATCTAACAAAATATTTTCCTCTATTTTGTCGTTTTTCAGCCGACTCTAAATTACGCAAAAATGTCAGTGGGCAGCCGTAAATAAACACTGATTTTCGCTTTTTATGTCTTTGGGGTTTTTTTTCAAGTTTTCCTGCTTAAGTTGCCCATTTTTCGTTTTTCCAATAAAATTTAAGCCAAATTGAAAAATCATCATAGTTACCGTAATCATTTTTTAAAGGCGCATGTTAATTTCAATTCATTGTTACTTGTAGCCTGTCATCGCGCACCTATAAGGCGTTTGTCTCCACGGCCCTGTATGTTTGTATAGCGCAGTCGTCAGATTTTGCATTTCACTGATTAAGCGCGACGCAAGCATAATGGAAGCATTGTGGGAAATCTGTGGAACGGAAGCATAATGCTTCCATATAGGAAGCATAATGTAATTCTTAGTGGCTGTGGAAGAATTATGGGACGAATATGGATGGAATGAAAACGGGATGAATATGCTTCCGGTGTTTGCGAGCCGTGGAACAAATATGGATGGAATATGGATAAAATAATCATATGTCAATAAACATTATACAATTGGCGTCTGGACGGCAGACCAAGACAATTTCTAGAAAAATCAATACAAAAAACTTATGCTATCATATAAACAATGAAAATTTGAAAATTACATGATACACAACGGACGAAATTTAGCTTCTACCATTTAATGACTTATGTTACTCAGATTTATGTTAATTCAGTCAACTGTTCCTCACTTTGTTTAAAGATTGCCAACTACAATTTAGTCGTATTAATATATTTTTGCCGGTTTTTCCGAAATTGGCATCGCAAACTACTCACAATTTGCTCCAAACTGGTAGCAGACGCGCGTAGAAGAGGCGTGCCGCAGCATTGCAAAACCGTGCGCCGCTTTGCACAATGCGGCCACGCCTCACATTTTCGAAATTCGTTTTCAAAATTTTTGTCCTTTTGCTTTTTCTCAATGAATTTTCAAGATTTTTTTGTTTTTTTTTTGTCAAAAATTAAAGAATTTTTTTCAAAATTAAAGGAAAAATGTTTTTAAAAAATAAAGGAAAAATTTTCATATTTATCATCAAAATCGAAACCAAAAATAAATTGATAGCATTCGAAAATTTTAAAATCTATACGATGTTTTCAAATCGTTTCCGACACTTTTAAAATCGAATTTAAATATTTTCTCAATCGAATTGTGTTTAATTTCTCATCGAATCCGTTTTATTTTTATTTACTTTAACATATTTTTTATTATCGCTCGCTTTTTTCTTTTAATAAAACATAATGTTTTGAAATTTTTTACAGATGAAGACAAGATCGAGAGTGTTGTCAGATATAACTGAAACTGCTCTAGAAGTCAATAACAAAGAACCAGAAGTCCCTAACATGGAACCAAATTCGCTCGACACTTCAGATCCAGATAGTCCAATTTACTCGCCAACTCAGCAAAAAAATTTTTCTCCACAGTCCTCACAAACAACAAAATCAACGCCAATTCCTAAACCTTCGTACGCCCAATTTGTAAGAAAGTTATCATCAAAAATTGGCCTGTTCGACTCCAGAAATGGTTTCAATTAGAAAAATATGCGCAATGAAGTCTTTATAAAGTACTTCCTAAGTTTAAAGCTTGTTGATTATTTGGTTCCAATCAGGGCTGTGCGGCAATGGAATTGCCGATTGCCGAAATTGCCGGTTTTTCAAATTGCCGAAGAAAATTTCGATCGGTAATTTGCCATTAGCCGAATCGCCGAAATTTCCGATTGCCGTACAGCCTTCGTACCAATATCATTCAGTGGCATTTATCTTTTTAAGTGGGGCTCTAGTACAGAAGTCGCCAGACGCCGACTATATAAAGATCCTATACTTTATTGCAAATATCTATATTACAGATGCTCTTATCCATGGCTTTGGGCAACAACCGACAAATGACTTCAAAGCGAAAGCATTACGCATGGTTCGAGAAGTCATGGATAATCTTCTGTAAGATTTTGAACTATGACTATTAATTTATTTATTTGATTAAGCGATAGAATGCGCCAACGACTTCAAAGGAAATTTGGTGTAGCGCCGGAAGCGCTCGCGGCGCAATTAAGGAAGCTGCTTGATTCTACCAGCAACCCTCAGATGTGAGTATTCATATGTCTTTGAAATTTTAACCAAAATGCCTTTTTGCTTCAAATTTTGGAGTTGTTCTTTCTTCCGCCAATTCACTTTTTATTTTGTGCACTAAAGGGTTTCCAAAAATGCAATAAAAATAAATTATTTTTATTTTTAAGAAAATTATTGATGTAAAAAAACTGATTGTATTTTCTCGAAAAATTTAGTTTACGTAACAATGGTTTACAAGTTTTTCAAATTAATAGGCCCATTATAATCTACTTATTACAGCGTCCCGCTCGATGTCAGTACTGAAAATGATTCGAATAGTTCGGCATTTGCCAGTAACTAATGGTTTGATTATATCTTAATTGAAATTCATTTCATTGTTGTTTTTTTTATTTTAAATTAAATAAATGTGTTAATATGAAATAAATTTTGAATACAGCAATCAAATTGTTTTCTTATTTTCCCATATGGAAGGCATACGGCTCATTCCATATACGAAACACGCGGTTCCGCAAAAAAATGCTTCCATTATGCTTCCATATAACTTGCATATAAGATTCCTATGATATCCACAGCCGTTCCACTATGCTTCCATTGTGCCTATGCCGCCGTTTATCTGTGTGTTTGTATAGCGCAGTCGTCAGATTTTGCATTTTTCACGTCACACGATGCGGGTTCAATTCCGCATTGCGACCAAACATTTTTGCAAGCTTATTTTCTTCTCTGCAAAAGGTTCCCAAAAAATTCTTTTAAAAAATAAAACAAAAACCGGATCCCCCCTCGATGAATAATTAGATTTGCGCTCTCTCAAGATTCGATTAAGCCGCCCGAAATAATATATATTGCATGCATAGTTAACGATAATGTGCCTAGCAATTTTTGGAAACTTCCGGCTGGTTCAGAAATGCAAATACCTGACTCAAGCGATTGCTGAGCAGCAGTTTAAAGGCGCATTGTTTGATCGCGAATAAATATTTACCACAATCTTCTTCTTTTTTATTCATTACATAAATTATGCAAAATTATACAATTGCTAATGCTGCTTTTTTTTGGTCTCGGATCGAAAATCGATTAGCGTCATAAGTTCATATGAATTGACCCCTAATTGCGCCTCATTGTCCATTCGTGTGTAATCCCACACGCAATGGCGGGCAATTCATTTTCTCAAAAGTAAATCTTGCTGCGGACATGATTCGAGGTCGCGTTCAATTTGTCTATAGCACAAATTCATCATGATTTTGATCCTTGTTGAAATTGCTGCTCAAAAAATACACTTTGAGAACTTCCGCATTTTTCTGCCCACATTTGGTACCCATTTCGCCTCATGGGGGATCGGGATTGACAGCTTCATCTACATAAAAGTGCTCAATAAATTTATTGCACAAAAACTTCTCTTTTTTTGCTTGCTTCACTGTTTTTTTTTGTTTGGGATACTTCGATTTTTTGTGGGATTACTGTGGAATTGATGAGTCACACGGCTTTTCAAGTTGGAAAACAAAACAATTAAAATTTTACTAATTTTAATTGATTTCCATTGTTTTGGTGGTGATTAAACGATTATTCATCAAAAATTTCCATTAAAGTCATTTATTCCTCATTAAATATGAATCAGAAATCAGATATTTGTAATTTAAAGGCGCATGGTGGAATGTTAAAATTTATACCGAAAATAATGGATATGGGCTGTGTGACTCAGCGCGCGCATGTACTGATTTTGTAGTTGGCACGGCGGTGGGGTTGATAGCGCATGCGGTAAGCCCACGTTTTTGCACACAAAATGTCATGATTTCGAATCCCGCGCACCTTCAACGATTTTTGCGAGCATTATTTCCTACGAAATATCGTCCAATACGTTCTGCCTACACCAAAAGTGCGTCAATCCAACTTCAACTGACGTCTTAAAATTTCTTGCCCAAATTTCAGTATCTTGAGTTCTTATTCCGATGTTGTGTATTGTTTGTATGCGACGAACCTCATCTATCTCTCAATTTTCAGCATCGTCTCATATTTAATTTCGGTTTTTGTTCATTTATTCTCCATTTTTTTTGCGCTTCGTCATCCATCAAGCGGCTTGTTTGCTTTACGCCATCAAGATCTTCGAACATCCTCGTTTTCCGGCACACGACTTTTTTTTGCATATTTCTACATTCCTTTTAATAGAGTTTCTATTTTAATTGGAATGAGTCACATTTTAATCCCAATCTTTTTTTAGCTGTGGTAGATCAAAACCTACAGTAAACCATAGGTAGATCAAAAAATTCCATCACGTCTACACTTTACGTAAAAAAATTAGTATTCATTAGTATCACTACTAACTAGTTAGCTATATGTTGTATAGTTAACTCAATATTATTTCCTCGACCCCCCCCCCGCCACCCAAAAATCGGGGTTTTTCGGCGTCTCTCGCTCATGCGTGATATTCAATCATTAAATTATAACGCGTATGGTGTCTCTTAACTATGTTACATATAATTTATGACATATTTTCCGTTGTCTCGAGTTTGCAGACAATTTTTGATCTACCAACTTTGCATTCTCTTTCTTTTGCATTAAAACCGCATGATATTAAAAAATTTCCACAATTCCTGCCGAGAGGCTCAAAGTTTAAAGGTGCAAACGCCGCAATCGCGCTCCATTGCTAATATTGATCGTCTACTATTAATCGCTACATTTGGTTTTCGAATCAAACGCGCTCCGTTGAAAAAAAAGGTCTCGCTGGTAGATCAAACATTCAAAACCACTGACTCAACCGTAAAATTCGATTGGCAATCATTTGCAGCTTCAACTCCTTCTTAAAGCCACGCCCCCTCCCTTTGAACACGTTTTTTTTTCCAATGTCGCAATGACTCATAGAAATTAGCTCTCGGGGTAAACAATTAAGAGAACATCAACATTTGTGGTCAGATTTCAAAAATTGCTCATTTTCAGCTGCGAGATGTGCACCGCCGAGGAATGGGGTCCGCGCCTATTCGGCTGCGTTCTCAACCTATGGCTTCTGCCGCTCGTCTGCGGTGTTGGTACGATGGTCCCAATCACAACGACCAATTCTCATTCATTTTTTTCTGTTTTGCAGGCTTGATCCTCAACATTGGGTGCCTCATCGTGTTCTTCAAAACCAGAGGCCATCCATTGGTTTCGGTATTCCGATTGAAGCCTAACTATGTATATGTATTCACACGGGTTTCAGGCTTTGATTTTTCTGTCCTGCTGCGATTGCCTTCAACTGTTCTTCTCATTCTTGGTCCTATTTATTCCGGCGCTTCATGATTTTTCTCAGTTGACCCCATATTCAACATTGGGTATGATAATTTTTGTATAATGGAGGCAACGCGCACTTATACAAACTCTCCCACCCGCAACGTGATTGCCGGTGAGGGCAAGTGATTCAGGCTTCTATTTTTGGCGCTGACCCTTGCTGGTTCGAGTCCCGCCTCAACATTTATTCTTTTGCATCAATATTTCATTACCCCATTTAGGTCAGCTCGCTTACCTGTCAACTGGCCTGCTCTCACCACTCCTTCTCACAGTGAACTGCGCGAGTATTTGGACAATTTGCTTCATATCTTTTCAAAGGCATCGAGTAATTCTCGAAACTTTGTCATCGATTTGAAAAAAAAATAAAATTTTAGGCAATTCTCCGCCCATTATCCAACATGCATTCGCCGTCAAAACCATTCAAACCATTATTTTTCATCGCTTTTCTCGCGTTTATGTTCAACGCGTGCAAATGGGCCGAGTTTCGTTGGTTCTGGGTTCAAGATAATGCCGAAAACGGCACCGGCAATTATTGGCTTTTGGCTCATGAGCCGTCGGAATTGGCAAAAAATGAGAATTATCATCGAGTGGTAAAAAAGCAACCCGCGAATTGTCCGCAGATGGTTCAAAAAATTTATTTTCAGATGGACAACCTTCTCTACCCATTAATCGTCTATTTAATCCCACTACTCCTTCTTTCGATTCTCAATTTTCGAATTCTCACAAACATTGCTCATCGACGGGTTTCAGCGGACCATAAATCGCGTCTCGCTCAGGAACGCCGCTCGGTCACACTTCTCATCTCAATCGTCACCATGTTTTTCCTCTGCCATACCGGTAGTCCGAAAGAATTCATTGAAACAATCTCGAAGTGTGTTTCTAGGCGGTCTTGCGTGGAGATTCCTGAGCCAGGAGCGCCACAGCAACTCGGAACTCTACGTGTTTCTCAAGGACGTCGTCAATCTGCTATTCAACGTTTACTCATTCGCTAATCCATTGGTAAGACTGTTCAAATATTTCAGCTGCTGACATTTTATACAAAAATGGCGTTTACGCAAAAAAAAATAAAGCAAAAATTGCGTTGCAAACAACAAATAGCTACAGTATCATTATTTAAAGGCGCATGTTGGTTTTTGAGTGTGGTCTTGTCACATTTTATTACTGTAGATTAAACTTCTACAATTTTTCATTTTCTCTGAATTTCGTCCTACTTTTCAGCTATATTTCGTGTTCACCCGCCAATTCCGCGATCTACGCACAATCTGGCATTCTCATTTCACTTCTCCATCGTCACGTTCGGAATCCTACGCTGGGGTATCTCCAAAAAATTCAAAAATTCTTGAAACCAACAAAAATTCATTTCAGTTCTCCTTCATGAAACGCCGCCACATTTCAATTCCATCCATCTACCGTTCATCGGGTCCCGAAGGGAAGCTGCTCTCCTAAATTCCAATCACCAAAATCTTGTCGATCTCAACAAAACAACGAAATCACGGGGGATTCCATTTTTTTTTAAATTCGATGTGTTTCCAAAAATTAAATTTTATGCTTGATTTGTAAGTTGGCAGAAACTAAAACGAAATGAAAGGAAAAGAGAACAAAAAAAGAAAAAAAAACAATTAAATAATAATAAAAAACAAAACAAAAAATCTATTAATTACGGGAATGAGATAGTGCCGGCACCGATAGAAACATTAAAATGACCCGTCATTCAATCATCACAAATTGGTCCCTAGACGCTTTTCAAGCTTCTCCGTCAACCATTTCATTTTATATCTGCAATTAATCAGTATGATTAACGACAATCAAGATCAACTCTAACCTCTGAGATTCTGTGGTGGCAAATCGTATCAATTTATCCGTAGATTCCCTCGAATATCCATTTAAGATACCAACAATCTCGTCAAAAGCTTGATCTAAATCTTGTCTCTGTTAATTCTAGACAATTTCAGCAAAAAATCCTACGATTCGCAGGTCTCCGAACAATCGACATAATTAACAGCTTCTTCGACATTATTTCTTCACCAGTGAGCTCCTTGAGCACATTCTTCGAATTTCCTCGAACCCTACCATTTTCGAGCTTCTTCCCGTTCACCTAAATATTTTCATTCAGCACAAGTCGATAGAATTGACTAAACTACCTCGGGCTCAGTCTTCCTCTGTGACTCCATGAGCTCCGTCAACTCATCAACATCATTATCGTCAACTTCTGCGTTCCCATTGGAAGTCGTCGGCGTCTCAAGATCCGAACTATAATCCGCAATCGTCGATCCTGCATCCGATCCAATCGCGCTCCTTCGGATCCTCCACTTCTCGAACGCGTCAAGTCCAAGTGGCCCGCGTTTTCGTTTCGGCGGTCCGCCGCCCATTCGACCGCCATCATTCTCGCGTTTCCCTTCTCGCTTATTATTGTCGACGATTGAGCTATCCATTGAGACTTCGTCGACCGTTCCCAAACTTCGTAGTTTATACGGATTTCCAAACGCGTGCGTTCGCTCTTTCTCCTCTTCGATTTTTCGAAACGGCGCCCCGTAGACTCGAATTCTCGCCTGCTGGTACGGCTCGTACTCTCCCATGATCTTGAGCGGCAGATTATGCGCTTCTTCTGCAACGAAACAAAATCGGGGAAATCAAATGAAAATCGTCTACCTAAAATATGGAAACTGGGTTTCGCGTCGGGTCTCGCCATATCCAAAAGTGTGATCCGATTCGGATCAAACATCAAATCAACGTTGGCCTGCATTTTAGTAAGCTTCAGAGTCAGATCTTCAATGGGCGAGCTCCATGGCGTTCGGAATGCCATATCCTTCGGAGCTTGCTCGACATCGGGAAAGTAGAGCGGAATCTGAAAAAATTCGAATTTTTTCGAATGGTTCCTAGGGCGATTTTTTAGAACCTGAAACTCTTCAAGATACTTCGGCCCCGAATCATCGTCATCGTCTTCATGGATCCCATCGATTTTCGACAATCCAATGATGCCAGATCGAGTTGTAACCCGCTCAATTCTTGTCTGAAAATCAATTAAAATCAATATTAAATAAAATTCCGTCAGATTACCATTCCGTTGTAAAACGCCAAATTTCGTTGCTCAGAAATTTTGCTCTCCACCGCATAGTTTTCAATTTCCTCTTTTCCCTAAATCAAAAAATGCACAATTTTCGCGTCAAGAACCATTCAAGCAAACCTTCATTTTTAATCTATTCAAATAATTAAGAAGGGCCGGCGGGTAAGTATTACTCATTGAGCTGCTCACTTCGACTTTCACTTTGAATTTTTCAAGCGCCTGACGAACGGTCTGCAAAATGTTGTCGAATATAATGCGCTACCGTAACCAATAGCTACCGTAAGACAATAAAACGGAATAGACATGAGGTAGGCATCGAGTTTCGCGCGAAATTGCGGGTTCGTGAAAATCATAGGGTCCTGAATGTGAACGATTAAATGAACAGCGAAGTTGGCCAATTACCTTCAGTTCTTCGACTAATTGATAAAATACGGGGTAATTAAATGGCATCAATATGAGATTCACTCCATTACCAAGCGTGGTGAGTCGAAGGCATCCAAATGGCACATTTCCACCGCCATTGCTTGAATTTTGCATAAAAGTCTGAAAAAGAAAACAATCGATTTTAAACAATCGAGACCATTGGTACCGGAATTGCATAATCTTTTCTACCGGCGAGCATTTCCATGACGATTTCCAGTACACCGCCTGGCTCCACTTCCAATTTGTCGAATGGCAAATCATTGCGTATCTGAAATTGCAAAAATGTTTTTTGTAGCGGTTAAAAGCTCGAAATAAATGTTGAAAATCTAAAATTCGAAACAAAAAATTCGATGGGGACTAGTTTCTAGTGACCGACAATTTCATAGGCCACGGCCAGAAAATTGGTTCGCTTCACGTTCATTTTCTTTGCGACTGAAATCGTCGGTCTCACAACGAACTTTGAATTTTGCAATAAAATGCACAAAATTTGTGGAAGATTGGAGGAAAATTAAATATCACTCACTGCGATTGGAACGGCTTCAGTCCCAAGTAAAATTAAAGGATGCGCGAGTCTTGGAGGCAACGTTTCCCTAAAATATATCAACGTTAACATTCAATTTTCAAAAAAAAAATTGTCTTACATTGATTTTGAAGGGAAGAAGCTCTCAGGAATTTGCCAATGGCACGCCACCGGTCGTCCTTGCGGCGTAATTCGCGAAATGAGGTTCGTCACTGGCCGCTTCTCAAGAACTCGTTTGAATTTGGCGCGCAATTTCACGAGGTCTTCATTGGATTGTTTTCCAGTCAGCGAGGTGCTCAAACAGTCGAATCGAACACCAATTCGATGATTGTTCATTGCTTGAAACATGATATCAATAGATGTGTTGATCTGGCGGACCGAAACTATCGAAAAACTTCGTCCTAAAAAAATGCGGTAAAAATAAATTAAAATTTGCATTTTTTACCTCCAGTAGCCGAGCACAATCGTTCAATATTCGGAATATCAATATCAATGGCTAGAAGTTGCGAAGGAACGGGCCGATAGGGTGTAGAAGGGATTCGGAATACCTAGATATAAAAAAAAAATTCAAAATTCAAACCAAAGAATGCCTACCACACAGAAAAACTTCTGATCCCATCTGAACGCCTCTCTCGTCATTTCGCTTCCTAAAAAGGGCGGATCGAATTGGAATTTCATATCTTTTGGGATCGTCTGAACACCAGTTCCATCGGTTAGCAGAATAATGTGAACGTTTTCAGTGTTTCCCGGAGCTCGACCACTTCCATATCCGTCAATTCCTAAAAAAAACAAAAAAATTATTAAAATCGATATTGTCCTATTAAAATTGGTTACCCGTCATTGTTCTATAAGTATGCATTAATCGGAACGCGTCCAAAATCGCGGTTGGTAGATTATGGGCTCCAGATGGATATGGAATCTTCTTGACTTCGTCTAGAACCGAGCCTGTCATCCGCTCGCCGAAGCTTTTCACGTTTTTTGGATAATTTCCTGTGGTTGTTAGAAGATAATAGCGGTCTCCGTCTCTTCCCATAGCTGGATCTCTCGCAAATCTTATGTCATTCTTCGCGCGACCCTTAAAAACTGTCAATTTAGAAAAAAGTGAGCAATTGAATTAATCCGAATTATTGAACGCTGAACTGACCTTTATAAATGTTTCGATATAATTTTTGGCCAGATCAAAGTAGGTGATGTTTGAGTGCGATCTTGTCGACATTGAGCCGCTCGTGTCCAAAATGAATACGATGCAGCACGGCATTATTTCAGTGTCTCAATCGTCTATTATGATTGCGTCGCATTCATACGGTTCTGAATTAGACACGGTTTTTTCTCAATTTTTGCCCAAAAATGGCGAGACCGTCCACTTTGCGACAATTTTTTCGAAAAAAAATTAGATGAATAAATGAATGTCGTCAATTAGTGCGCACTTGGTGCATTGCGGACAATGCGCACGAATCGACGAGACGATTTGAATTTTCCTCTCTTCATGAACGCCGTTCATTCGATTTTCGCGATTTTCAGATGGATCACGAGGCTCCGCCACATCTTGATAGGTTTTCGCCGCCAAATGGCGAAAATTCGGCAGCACGAATAAACGGATTTGTAAAAAAAAACTTGAAAAAAAAAATAGAAAAATACAATAATTTCTTTAGGTTGGCTCTCGGCCTCCTTCAAATAACCAAGATCACGCACAAGCATCAACTTCTGCGCCAAACGTCGTTCTCGCCGAGCTTTATCAAGTACCCGGTGTGAAGCACAAAGCCCCATTTCGCTCACTCTCGTACCAAGTTTGAAGAAAATTGGAAAAAATGTTCATTTTCATAATTCAGGTCCAAATTTCTCAATTTTGCTTTGCCGCCAGAAGTTTCAAAGTTCACGCAGAGATAACAATTCATCCAAATGAGCCGAATTTAACATTAATTTATTTACATTTGGGAAAAGGTACGTCAAATTTGAAATACTGGTAAAAATTTTGAGTTTCAGATGCATTATTGCCATCAGAATGCGCGGAATTGAATGGATCTGTGACACTGGATAACGTAGAAGTCAAATATCGAAGAAGAAATCCAATAGAAGTGAAAATTATTATTTTTGAAATAGAAATTAATTTTAAATAATTGCAGTACGCCCTCACATCGAATCAAAATCGAAGCCTTGCCGATTTCGAGCCGAAATATTATCATCAATTAAAGGAAAATGACTGTAATTTCCAATTTTTAATCCAAATATCGAGCAAATTAAAGATAATCTGGAAATCCTGATTCCCGAGCAACTTCGCAACAAGGTGAAACAGCGGAGAACCTTCCGACTCGCAATCGATGTATTCGTGAAGAATCCGAAAAAGGTGATCCGTTTTTCGAAATGCTCCTATATTGAATGAGCCGATTTAGGGTTTGAATTTCGTCGACGCAAGATCTGGAGACTCGCACATGTACACTTATCATTGCCCATATATGAGCGGCACTCGAGAATGGCTGCCCTGCTTCGATGAGCCCGACCAATTGGCTCTTTGGGAGATTTCGTTTGAGCTTGATCGCAACTTATTGCCGGTGGCTAGCGCTGAACTAACGGTAACTAATTGTGTTTTTCAACAATTCAACCTGAGTATCGTTTTTTTTTTTTGAAGGATAAATGCCACGATGAGAACACAAATCTAATGACATACGCGTTCACGCAAAATGTGCCAACGAATGCGTGCAATATGGGATGGTGTGTTGGAAAATTTCGCGTCGAGCCGCATCAAGAATCGCCAACGGTAATCGGGAGATTGATAATTTGTCGTATCCGATTAGATTTTCTTCGAATCCGATTTGTTTTAATATTTCAATTCGAATCGGATTCGACAAAAAAACCAACTTATCCGTAGAATTACCAATCGGATACGAAAATACCCAAAAAAAACCAATCGGATACGACAATTTTACAATCTTATCCGTAGAATTTCCAATCGGATAAGGTTAATTCTAGAGCCGAATTTTGTCGAATACGATTGGTTTTGAGTTACCAGAGAATTGCGAAAAATTAATTGAAAATTGTTCGACAAAAATTCCCAATTTCTCATCAAAATTCCTTTTTTTTGCTATTCGAACGAATTGATCGATTCCAGATTCACACATTCTCACTTCCCGGCCTATCATCTTTTGTCAAATACACAACAACCTTTATCGATAAGATGGTCGAGTTTCTCGAGGAGAAGCTCTCGTGTAGATTGGCCTACCCAACTCTGAAAATCGTGTTCGTTGATCAGGTAGGTAGTCAAGAATAAATAGTGAGAATTTCAATACATCTTCTTTTTTTTGCAGACAACTGAAGATATTGGGTGCTACAGCTCGATGCTTGTGATTTCGACAAATCTGCTTTATCATAAGAAAATTATCGATGTGGTTCAAGAGGTCCGACAGCAGCTTATTCACGGAATCGCCCAGCAATTCTTCGGATGCTTCATCTCGCCGTCGCATTGGATTTATTGGTGGATGCTCAAGGCATTGGCGAGGTGCACCAATTTTAGTTTTCGAATCAAAACTATGATATCGGTTATTTTTTAGGCTTCTGACAAGCTTATATGTTGAGACGAAACTCGGCTTGGCCGAATCGCGATGGCAATTGAAGCGTATAATGGATGATGTTTGCGATTATGAGCACCAGTGGGGAAAAGTAGGCACATTTTTTTTGAAACTAAGGAAGAGATGAGAACAATTTTGAAGATTTTACTCTCGCCAAACCTCAATGATAGTCCGCGCATCAATTTGCACTTTGACGCACGCCACGAATACACATGCTCGCCGTTGTATGTCGAAGCGATGATCAAAAAGGGCTTTCTAACGATGCGAATGCTGTTGAAGCGATTGGGACAAGAGCCGTTTTTGAGGGTCCTACACCGAATGCTCACTGTTGGTTTGGAGATGAGCGAGAAGAGATCGACGCCGGGTGCGTGGAAGCATTTGGTGAGTTGAATGGGGCATTTCTGACCGGTTGCAATCATTCAATTTTGAAGCTGACTTGCACTGAAGCGTTTTTTCGATCGGTGAGCACGGTGACTGGAAGCGAAATCCCGACGTTTGTGGAGCAATGGCTCAAAACTGGAGGGCACGCGGCGTTCTCGGCGCGATTCGAGTTCAATCGAAAACGAAATATGATTGAATTGGAAGTGAAACAGGATGATTCGGAGGGAAACGGACGCTCGCAATACGCGGGACCATTGAGCGTCGTGGTCCAGGAGATCGATGGCGCGTTCACGCACACGGTGCAAATTGACGGCGCCACCTCGCACGCGGACCTTCAGTGTCATTCAAAAGGACGAAGGCAGAAGAAGAAGAAGATACCAATATTAACCGGCGAGGAGGTTGAATTCGATCTATCGAATATGGACGCCGAATCGCCGGTGCTATGGATAAGGCTCGATCATGATTTCCTATTGATCCGCGAGATCAGCATCAGTCAGCCGATATTCCATTGGGAGTACATGTTGAAGTATGAGCGCGATGTCATCGCTCAAATGGAAGCGTTGGAGCGCATTCAGATTTTTCCGTCGGCGCAGAGCAAATCGGTTATAGTCGATACGATCTCGAACGACAAATTCTTTTATAGGTGAGAATTGTTGGCAGATTGATGTTGTGTTAATGTGCCATGAGATTTCAGGATTCGATGCAGAAGCGCGTTTGTTCTTTCAGCGGTTCAGAATCGACGAATGGAGGCGCTCAATAGCGGCGTACCAGTGCTTGTGAATATGTTCAAGTGAGGACTGTTCCTTTTTTTCAGACAGCGGTGGCTTTTCTATTTAACTTTGCGATTTTCAGAGAGGTTTATGGCTCAAAAGCCTCGCCGAACATTCCGAAATCCAATAATTTCGTCGTTACCTCTCAGAATCTTCAACAATATTTTGTGATGCAGGTTGATTTGAGCAATAATTTGAATTCGCTCGCAACATTTTTTTTTGCTCGCTCAATTTCAGTCGCTCCCACAAGCTGTCGCGAGACTCCGCAAACAGACCGGCGAGTGCTACGAAGACGTTCTCGCCTTCCTTCTCGATCTCATCAAATTCAATGACAATTCGACGAATCGCTACTCGGATGATTTCTATCGGGCGAGTTTGTACTCGTCGCTGGCCGCGTGTGTCCATCCGTCCGAATATCTGCCGTTGAGAGTTGAGCTGCCGGAAAATTTGTCGCAAGTGATGAGAAGTTTGCTGCAGGTGCCAATTTTCGATCAAATTCTGAAACTTTAATTTTTTTTTTGAAGGAATTCACGTACGCATTGAACAACGACACCATCAATCCGAGCTACGGACGTGTTTGCGGGATTGCAGCCCTAAGCGGCCTCTATCAACTTCAGAAGAATGGCTACATTCCGCTGGATTCGGAACTTTTATGGATGTTCGCTCAGCCGAACGTCTGCTCGCAGATGAGACGAGCGGCGATCGCGTTGATTGTTGATCGCATCTCGTCGGACGGTCACGCAGCCGATACTCGGCATTCGGATCTTCTCATGCTTCTTGAGATGGCCGAGACCGATCAAGATCCTTCCATTAGGCATCTCATCGTGAAGCTTCTCGCCACCACCCCGCCATTCGCCACTTATAACAAGTAATAGAATTCCATAGTTTGTATAGTAATATTAAAATATACCATATATGTATTTAGCACCGATTTTGGATATTTGAATCCTTGCAATACTATTGAGATAGCGGATATGCTTTGGAGATTGTTGACGAATCGCGAAGTGGTAGGATTTCAGCGACTTCTAGACATTATCTATATTTTGATAGGATTGCGCTGTTCGATCGGGAATATCGGATTTATACTTCTCAATGTTCGGATTGGGCGTTCCGCCGGTGAAAGGTGGGCCGGCTGAGGCTCCAGGTCATCATAGGTAGATAAAAAAATTGAATAGGCTCGTCAATTTTTGCATAATTTTCAAGAGCTTATGTCACGATGCCGACGGCGTCTAGCAATTTGGCGAGCTCGCAATGGCACAGTAGTTCTTATGAAGCGGCTCGACGATCGCCACCACGGGTTACCAATTTCGGAGATGACAGCTTAATGTGAATTATACGTTTCATCGGGTTCATTAATAAAATCGTGTAGTTTTGTTTTTTTAGTTTCCTATTTCATTGATTCGTGTTGGTTTTGCACTTTATATCTTTGCTATTTGAAATTGGAATTTCCGATTCGCATCGGATCTTTTAGATGGATGACGAGGATACACCGACGACGTCTTCGGGAGACACGCCGAAGTTTGGCGACTCGTCGCCGGAAGAGGCGAAACCGCGGCAGATGTCGTTTGTTGTTGCCGATTTGGAGGTGGGTCTTGACGCGAATTCATTTCTAGGCGGCTTTTTGAGTTAAGGAGAGAATTCGCGAGAGTGCTCGATTGGATGGCTCGAGTCGTCGTGGAAGTCGACCGGACGACATTCCGCTCCCTGATCCAAATGTTAGTGGATCAAGATATTTGTCGAAATTGGGTGATTTTAGATTCTCAACGATCTCGCGCAACATTCAAAAGAGATTACTAGCAACTTGGACATGCTTTTAAGAGATATGAGGTGGGGCTTCTTTTCAATTTTCGAGAAATTTTTTTCTGCGGGTATTCAGAGAATCACTCAACGGAATGTCGGATTTAACACTGGAATCTTTACAATGCTACAATGCGGCGGTTGAGAAGGCCTGTGATGCCGCCGACGCTAATACTAAATCTACCTATGCTGTAATATTTTTTTTTCTGAAATAATTTTTAACAAAATTATTTGCAGATGCTCGCCAAGATTGAGGAGGTCAATCAATCAATGAACAATGTTGGAAAACTGGCGGCACAAGTGTAATTAGGAGTAATTAGCGCCAAAATTAACACAAATTAGATTATTTAGGAAGGAGATGCGGCGGCTTGTCGAGCTCTTTGAGACCCTATTCCATGGGTCGCTCAAGTGAAAATAAAAAATGTAAATAATAAATTGAAATAAATTATTCTTTATTTTTATGACCCGATTTGTGCCGTTTACAAACTGCACGCGACGCGTAGCGTTTAAAGCAGACGCTGCACACAAATGGTTTCAGATTGTCATGCTTCCTCATATGGATTTTGAACGGCTCGCTTATTTGGAATGCCTCGCTGCACACCGGACAGACGTACCTGAAAATTGTGGGGTTTCGCGAAAAATTAGTATTTTTTTGTATTTTTTTACCGCTTGTTTTCCTGATGAACGCGCTCATGCTTCGAAAGCGCTGATTTGGAACTATATTTTTTATCGCATTTGGAGCACTCGAGGGATTTTCTAAAGAAATGGGATTTTCGAGTGAAAATTTTAAATGAATTCACTTTGGAATAAGATGAATCGCTTTGTGTTTTCTTATCAACTCCCTTGACGCGAACATTTTCTCGCAAAATTCGCATTTAAACGTCCTGAAATTCATATTTTCTTTTTTGTTTCTAGAAAAAAAGAAATGAGCAACCTGTAATCGTCGTCATGCGTTTTTAAATGATTCAATAGGTTTTTATCGTTTGTGAAAATTCTTCCGCACTGTGTGCATTGTAAAGACGAGGATGTTGATGGCGATTCATCTTTTATCATTCCAGATATAGCGAGAAACCCGTGTGAAATGAAAGTAAAAAAATGGCGGCCGTGAATTGTTGGCCGAAATTTTTTGTCGAAAACTCTTCCATTCCAATTTTTTTCATTCAATTTTCTCACACAAATTGTTGTTTTTAGCACGTTTCTCTTCTCATCTTCATTGTTTTGTGATTCAATCGATAAAACAACATTACATTTAATTTTTCGCGACCTTTGCATTATAGAAATCGTCTATTCTCGAATTAAATTTGAGAATTTTTGTTTTTAGGTAAACATGGAGGATATGGAGGGTAAAGTGTGCGCTGGAATTGGGTGTAATAACCAGGCGAAACTTCGCTGTCCGACATGCATCAAAATGTCGCTGCCGGACTCGTATTTCTGCGATCAATCATGCTTCAAATCGAATTGGGCTGTTCACAAGTTTACTCACACCGATTTGAATGGTCCCTACAATCCGTGGCCCTACTATTCGGTAACGATCTTTTGATATTCTAATGAATGACAAGGCTTCTTCTAGTTCTCTGGGAGCCTTCGTCCGGCCCGCTTATCGGATCGCCGAGTTGTTCCCGATCATATTCCGCGTCCAGACTACGCCATCCATCCGCACGGCGTTTCGCTCGAAGAACGCCAAGAGAAGAGCGAGCGAATCGTCAAAGTGCTCACCGACGAGGAGAAGGAGGGTCTTAAAGTCGCCTGTAAGCTGGGAAGAGAGTGTCTGGATGAAGCTGCGAGAGCCTGCGAGCCAGGCGTCACCACCGACGAAATTGATCGGGTTGTTCACGAGGCGGCTATTGAACGCGACTGCTATCCAAGCCCGTTGGGGTAACATTTCGAGCATTTCCCCCCCCCCCCAAATAAAATAATTCTCGTTCGATTTTCTGTTCCAGCTACTACCAATTCCCAAAAAGTTGCTGCACATCAGTGAACGAGGTGATTTGCCACGGGATTCCCGACATGCGCAAATTGGAAAACGGCGATATTTGCAATGGTAGGTCGATTTTAATGCAAAATTTTCCACTTAACATCGAATTTTCAGTCGATGTTACCGTCTATCATCGCGGTTTTCACGGCGATCTCAATGAAACGTTTCTCGTCGGCGACAAAGTCGATGAGGAGTCGCGAAAGTTGGTGAAGGTCACCTATGAGTGCCTTCAGCAGGCAATTGCCATCGGTATGCTCCTTGAAAGCCCGACGAATTTTTGTTTGGCATTTCAGTGAAACCCGGCGTGAAATTCCGCGAAATTGGAAATGTGATTCAGAAGCACGCGAACAACAACGGATTCTCGGTCGTCAAATCGTATTGCGGCCACGGAATCCATCGACTTTTCCACACGGCGCCAAGTGTTCCACATTATGCAAGTCAGACCCCCCCCTCTCACCCCTTTAACCAGTCCATATTGAGTTTATTGCAGAGAATAGCGCAATTGGTGTAATGAAGGCGGGAAACTCGTTCACCATCGAGCCGATGATCAACGCCGGCACCTATCACGACGACAAATGGCCGGATGACTGGACGGCGGTTACGGTAGACGGCGACACCATATAACCACCATCAACAAATGTGTTGCAGCGCGACGGGAAACGATCGGCGCAATTCGAGCAGACGCTTCTCGTCACCGACACCGGCTGCGAGGTGTTGACCGCGCGCGAGTCGCGTCGCCCGTGGTTCATGGATCAAATCGAGCAGAACTACGCGAAATAATCATAATAATTATATGAGTTTCATATAAATATGCGGCCAGTTGGCATTCGACGCGGTTCCGACTCGGCTTCCAATTAGCATGATTCAGGTCATAATTATCGGCGAGGCCGAGCCGTCTTCGGCCCCCCTCGAAAGTTTACGAAGCGAATTATTGTTTATTCATGAGCCGACTTCCATTTATGGGGAATGTTCAGGTAGACGAATTGAATATGCAACATTTTCGTGCTTACGCTGGGCTTTTGTTCCAACCAGGAAAAAAAGAGGGCAAAGGGTGATTCGTTTCTCACATTTTAGCACGCCTTGTATACGGGGAGTGGGGGGTTTTCGCACGCTTCATGGGGGTTTCTTTTTTTTGGTGGATGTTGCGCCATTCGACGCATTGTTACCACAATCGAGCAGATGCGCCTTTAAATTCCAATCCAACCTGCTTGTTCAATTTTCGCCTGTTTGTTTGCACTTTTTTTTTTGACAATTTCCATCTGCGGACAATTTCGAAAAACGTTGCGCGCGCGCGTCTCGAAATAACAATAATAAATAGAATAGAATAGAATAGTTTTGAGTGGTCCTAGCTGAACACAAGAGGGTCCCCAGGACAACGATTAAGTAGTTTCAACACCCGCCCATTTTCAATTTTTGTCCTTTTATGGGTCTTGGTAGTAGTCGTAGTAGAAATAGTAGAAGCCCGCCGAGCTTCTATCACCATCCCAAATCTCGTATCTGATCTTCATTGTTGTTTTTGTTTTCGCGATGGGACCCATCATTTTTCATCGAATTAGTCGTGGCCAAGACGCACAAAAAAAAATTAGTGAGCCCTCATCCTGCTCTCCGGTCATTAGTGAAGACAGGTGAGACGGACCATTAATCCCTAATAACCCTCCACCATATTGTTATTCTTGCCTAATTAGCAGTTTAATTACCATTAAAAAAAACAAAGCTTGCTGCGGACATCTCGCTGGTTTTGCCAAAAATTGTCCGCAGCAGTGTAACAATATTGCGAATCAAAAAATTGTGTTGGCGGCCACAAGGATTACTCTAATGGTCCGCTAATGGCTCGTTAATTGCTTCTCGTGGCGGTTTTCGTCGTTTTTGCTCGCTGCTGCATCGGGCCGCTCATCATCTGCGATGCTCAAATTTCCATTCTCGTCTTGGGTTTCCTGGTCAGAAGAGGAAAAAAAAACGCGCGCCGCCGCGAATTCATCAATTTTGTTTCTTCGTGGGACCCCCCTCCCCTATAATCATGGTTCAACACCGCGTCGGGACCATATGCGCTTCTCGTGCATTTCGAATGAGTCCCTGTCCCTAGTCGTTTTTGTTTCTTGCTCGTCCAAAACGCTTCTTATGCATTTTTGAGTTTTTTTTTTCACATTTATATTATGGCCGCCTGATCGAACCCGATTCGTTGTCCGCAGATGCCCATAAAGACCACCCCCCCCCATCTTTCTTACAATCGTTTCGTCACGCTCAATTTGCGTTTTTTCGACCATCCCCCCCCCCCGCCTCGGTGTGCTTTATTCAATGAAACGAAATCGGCGGTTCGACGGAACCGGCTTATAAAGATTTCCTGCTGCCGACAGTCTTCCTGGCCCCACATCGTCCTACCGGCCTCAATTTTATGGGGGTTTCGACGATGGGGAAATTCGAATTCGATTTGAATGAGTGAAAAGAGAGGTGGATGGTGCCCTCATGGGACGCGAACCACTCCTCCAATTTTTTTTCTCTGCCCCGCCCGGCCCCCATTTTTTTGTTTGTGTTTTGTTTTTTGGGTGCTGCGGACAATTTAATCCCACCCAATGTGTTTATTTTCAAGGTCATTCCATTTCCATCCCAATTTTTCACCGCCTGCTTCATCACCTTAATTGACCGTGACAAACGCGATACGCCGTCATCATCTTCATTTCATTTCATTAATATTATTATTATTATATTAACTATGCATCGTATAATAAAAATGCGAATTACATATAATGCGTCGGAATCTAGTAAAGTGGTCGCCGCTGTGGGAGAAGTTAATTATGGCCAAACTAAAAAAAGCCTTTTTTTCCTTTTTGACACAAATTTCAAAATTTTTCAATTTCAACCACCATTCTCATCGATTCCTGGGGACCATTTTCCCCCGAAATTGTCCGCAGCTAGTAGACTATACTATTCGTTTGTGCAATTAGCCGATTTTTGCGAAATTCAATCGTGTGTGTTTAATTTGAAGTGACTGTTTCAACAATACCTTCCCTCGTCATAACGCTTTTCGAATCTATTCGATTTTTATACCATATATGTATAGTTATGCATAGTTAATCTTCTTTGAAGACAAGCTGAACCTTGAGACAGGATTAGGTTGTCCTTCAAGAAATTTTTCTCGAAAAATTCCCCTCTCCTCAAAAACCGATTTTGGCAATTCGATCTGCAGACAACGATCGAGGCCATTATTTTTTATAAATCGTGAATACTGTAACACACATTTTTTTAATGAATTATTTTAGCAATAATTTTATATAGGATTACGGTAGCACTAGTTTCAATTCAAATGTTGACCGACGGCAAATGTCAAAAAGAAAAACGGACCAAGTGATGCGCAACCCCCCATCCCCCTTTAAACAATTTCATATTTTGGCAGTGCAAACAAATGTGACGCAAAATTGCGGCCCGTCCCAATGTTTACCGCCCAAATAAGGGGGGGAGGGGATGAGCGAACATATGCGCCGCCCGTTTTATCACCTTCGCCTTAAGTGCACCCATTTCCGATCGAATCTCCACTAATCCGCCGAAGCGGGGCGGGGCGTACCCTCCTTTAAACATTTAATGTGTTCTCATGTATGTAAACATCTGTTCTTCGGTGCTCCCAGCCAACATCATGCTAGGTTGAAAAAAAATGCGCTGAATGGTCCGTTAATCCGCCGCGTCTCAAGTTTCTCATAAGCCGCATGTCTCCGGAACACCATAAGGTCCCCCCTCCTCCTTCGCAGTCATTCTTCTCATTTCGCCACTTCCGCTTCAAAATTTTTAATGGGACCACGTTAATTGTTGACACCAAACCCGCGTTTCCCCTCCGTCGCCAAAATTGTCCGCAGATGGATTTGGCTGACAGTCAGGCAGTTTCCCACTACTCCAAATGTGTCCGCAGATTTATTTGGCTGACAGTCAGGCAGTTTCCCACTACTCCAAAATTGTCCGCAGATGGATTCGGCTGACAGTCAGGCAGTTTCCCACTACTCCAAAATTGTCCGCAGATGGATTTGGCTGACAGTCAGGCAGTTTCCCACTACTCCAAAATTGTCCGCAGATAGAATTTGATAACTGTTCCCCTCGCCCACCCCTCAGCCAAAGTTTCAATTTTTCACCTCAAACGTCCGCAGATGTTTTTTAATAATTGTAAAGTGAGAAGGGTTCTGCTTTTTGCCCCAAAGTTGAAATCGGTGAAATCGACGGCAGAGAGGGGCCGCTTTTCCCAGGCGAGAAATTGCTGAAACCAAAGATTCCTTTAGATTAGAAGCATACAATTCTAAAAATCCTCAAATATTGAGCGGCAAAAAAAATTGAAAATAGTCATTGACCCATTATTATCAATTTCTATGGGATTTTTGGCATATTTTTAATGGAAAAATTATCAGAAGCTGCTAATTTTTAATAAATTTTTTGAAATTTTCCAGAACACCTCCCTAATCATCATACATAAATAAGAACCATCGTAGGAGGTGGAGTCGAGCTAGAGTAGCTCACTTCTCATGCTCATGCACACACACACACACATGCACATTTCCTGCCCCCCCCCCCCCTTCGACACATATTAGCGCCGAGAGCGGGTCTCGTCAAGTATACATGAATCTATCGCCGCCCGAAGAAAAAAAAAACGACGACAACTCTTACTTAGTGTGTTTTGAGACATTTTTTTTCCTTTTTTGTTGTTGTGTAGGTTGCACAACCTGCCTGAACATAAATCTCGGCGTTTCTTTTTTTCCGAGCAAATCATTTGTTTCTCCTTCGGCCTCGATGGTCCGCTACACGCGCTTTCTGATTTATGACACCCCCCGCCATCCCTTTGGGACGCGATCTCCTCCGTAGGTACAAATCATTTTTTTTTGTTTCTCGCGCAATCCATCTGCGGACACTTCCCGTGTTTCGCGCACTTGCCAATTTCCGGTGTGTGTTGGTTTTCAGAACGAGTCGCCCCCGTGGAAACGCGGCTATTCGAAACCGAATAAAAACTCGCGTCTACCTATTTTTTTTCTTACACTTTCCTTCCAGACATTCCACCCGCTACCTTATTAGTCGACTAGTCGATGGTGTGCGAGCTCGACGACGAGGAGGAGGAATGAAGGCGAAGCTCATCATCAGCATTCTCGCGCTCGTGCTCACCGAGCATTGTTCTCGCGCATATCCAGGTAAGCCGCAAGCTCAACAACTTCTTTTTTTTCTTCTTTTTTTTTCCTCCTACATGTGTCAAAACTCTCGAATTATTCATGAAGAAGCTTCGTTGTTAAGCTTAGTCAAAAGTCGTTTGACCAAAAAAAAAGACGGAATCGTTTTCACAATGTACATGCATATATAAGACAATAAAATTGGCGAGAGAGCGTTGGGGTCGAAGAGACGCAGACGGGTACAAATCGGGTTAGCCTTCTTCACTTTTGACATGCCTTTTTGACAATTGTCGCTCAAACGTTTTCACGCCGTTCAACTCGCGTGCAGAAAAATTCGTTTCGAATTATGCACGCCCTGCTGCGGACATTTTTGCGGGACGCATAAACTTTGAAAGTGGCGCAATTGAAAATATGGGCAACGTGCTGCGGACATCCAAGCGGTTCCAGACTTTTTTCGTATATTTTTGCAGACTCGAAACCGCATGAAACGGTGCATGCGCCGATCTTCACAGGTTTGAATTCACCGCGAATTTTCATTCTTTCGTTGTAGTGTGACATTCCCTAATAAGCACCAACGATTTTCTAACCCCGAACACCGGCAATTTTTTTTGATTTCCAAGGAATTTGAAAGAAAAATTCAAGACAAATCGCTTCAGATGTCTACGATCTGCGAATTCATGAAGGCGCCGACAGCGGAAGTCGGCTCACAATGGGCGCCGAGCTTCAGAAGGCTATCGAGAAAATGGGCCATTGTTTCGGACAAATCGAAAGCGATGTCGACTGGATCGAATATCGGTATTCAATGGTCCCTATTTTTTTGAGAATTATCAAAATAATATTGTAGATCTCAACGCGGTGCATTTTATACGAGCTCGCAGATGCCGATTTCGGTGAGCAAAACATCAGACAACCTTGTTGGAACCCTGCATTTGTGAGTTGTTTTTTTTTTTCGGAACAAATCATATTTTCGCCGAAAAATTACGCTGAAATAATTTTGCGGTGCGCGAAAATAATGTGAAAAACAATTTTAATCCGCAAGTTGGCGTCAACTACGGCGTAGTCCGCAAACACACATTTTTGAATAATTTCTCATTTTTTGTTTTCTCCCAATTTTTTGCATTTTTTTCAATTGAAATTCGCATTTTTTTTTTCAGATTATGCGCCGGAAATCATATGCACACGTTTCCATTCAAAGTGCACGTGACTCATCGAAACCATCACGCGCCAGTATTCTCAAAACCATTCTACAACATCTATGTGCCAATTTCGTTGCCGATTGGCGCGACGATTGCTCGCCTATCGGTATCCGATAACGATTCGGTAATCTATAATGCCGAGCGTCGATTGGCGTTCACGAAAGAGCAGAAGCTTCTGGAAATTGCGCAGGATGGCGCGATTCGCCTAAAATCCAATTTGGCGTCTTTAACCGCCTACACACCAATTCGTCTTCAAGTGCTCGCCATTGACTATGGAAGCCCTCAAATGTTCACCATCGCCAATCTGACGATCATTCCGGTGACGGTCAGCGCGGTACGAAACGCCCATGTGAACATCGCCACTGACTCCTATCAAATATTTGAATGGGATGCTCCCGAATACGGAAAAGCTGACAAATTTCGACTAAGCATTCGAAGGGACGCGCAAACGATCTACGAGGAGGAATTGGAATCAATGAAGACGATGGTTTTAACAAAGGTTCACCGACGATTATAATCAGACATGTTGGAATCATCGACAATTTTGCAGATAAAAATAGATCGATCACAGAACACAAGCTTCCAAATCGCTTCGATCGACGGCAATGGAGAAACGTTGACTGAATGGGAGCCGATTCGGCTAATCGAAAAAGGTATTCCAAAGCGAGATTCGCAATTTCAAAAAAATTGTTCTCTCTCTCCAGTTCTCAAATGCGACGGTGAGTGCTCACGCGGCGGTCTACCATTGTGCTACTTCGGACCGTACAATCGCGTCGAGCAATTCGTCGACGCTCGCGGACCGCACTGCCTCTGCTTCCCGGGCTTCATCGGCGTCACGTGCTCGGCAATCGGTACCGTAATTGACAGCGGGAATATGTTGTTGACAATGACGAATTGCGCAATTTTTGAGGGCCGTCTGTCGCGCGCGCACCGCCCTTCTTAAATGGCAGAACGTTGCCGACCGGAAGTGCAGTGTGCGCGGCCGCCGTTTTACACGCTTGATTTGGCCAATCATCGCTTATAATTATTATATTGGTCAAGCGGTTCGGCAACCAACCAAATTTCTCCTTGAAATCGCAACCCAATTACATAATCGAAAAAGGGGAGGGGATGGGAGTTTCGAAGCGAATTTCGAAATCTCGATTTACGGTACAAATCGTAATTATAAAGTTGGGTGTCGGTTAAAGTAAGAATATTTATAGTCTGTTTCTTCGCAAAAAATCGGTTACAGTAATTTTTCAATGTCGTTAGACGCGTTGCGGTTCTTGCGTACGCTTAACATTTTCTCTGTTTCGGGAAAAAGAACGCTAGAAAACTGAGTTTTTTTTTAGTTTTTCGAGTTTTCATTCTCAAAAAATGCGTACAAGGTCTTGTAGCGAAAAATTCTTTTAGCCGCTTTTTTTGTGCCCTGACCCAATTTTCTACTGAATTCGACAATGTACAGATTTCACCTCGTTTTTAAGACCCCCCATTCGCGTCATGACCCACTGTCAAGTGCAGAGCCAGATTTAAATTAATACAGTATGCTATGCGCCTTTAAACCCACCCAATTTCCAGACCGTTGTCCGGAGGAGCGAATAGTGGGACCATATGGCGGAATCGATTGGCAGTCGGTCAACACCAACACCACCCTACGCCTTCCCTGTCCCTACAATCAGCCGACCGAGAATCAATTCATCGAGCGCAAATGCGAATGGAACGCGGATTCGGGACGCGCCGGATGGGAGAAGCCGGCGGAACGCGATCGGTGCACCCATCAGACATCGGTGTTGACGCATTTGGGAATGATCGGCACGTTCGCCTCGCGAGCCACAACCGTGTCGGCGTTGAATACGGCGACGACGTGAGATAGCGAATTGAATTTGTGTTCCTAATTGTTTTTCGGTTTTCAGTTTCATTCGAAAAATGCTCATGATGCCCGCGTTCTCGCGCGAAACATCGAAATACGCGCATTTCGATCAGAAAATCGCCGAAATGGCCACACTAGTGCTCGATTCGATTATTCAAACGAATTTGGATCGTCTCGAAGGCAACACCACAATTCTGCGGGTCCCTATTTTTGTCAGCCTCAAAATGATTAATTGAGAATTTCAGGGCGACACATGGGATGTCATCGATGAGTTCTCGCGAAGTCTTCCGGTCCCTTATGCGCTATCATCGCCGGACACCGGAATCTACATGAAATCGATTGAATGGACGAAACGAAGCGACATCAATGACAATCTCATTGGAAAGAAGTGCCGAATTCAGGTGGGACGAATGACGTTCGCCGTCAATTCTTCTGTTTGTTTGCAGCTGCCGACAATTGAAGAGGACCACGTGGTCCGAACAATTTGCACCTCAAATGCCACACTTTTCGAGCTGCTTGATTCAAAGTAACCGATTTTGATTTCAACAAAACCGCTCTCATTTTTTTCGCCTCATTTCCAGGAGCCCGATTCTATCGGTCCAATCGGACAGCGACGACGATTTTCCGTTCAGCCGCATATCGATATTCATGCGATTTCCGGATCGCCGCGACAATTACACATGCGTCTATTATGACGATGAAGGTGACGCTAGCAGATTTGTTTGCCATCAATATATCAACGATGAGTCATTATTCAGAGAAAGCGTGGTCGACGAAAGGCATCCGACGAATCGAGCACAATTACCATGGTTATGTGAAATGCGAGACGAATCATTTCGGCGTGTTCGCGCTGCTTCCCGACCGCCTCTTCTATAATTCGGAATCGTTCTGGAAGGATCTCGCCTCGCACATGCCGACGGTCACCTCATTCGTCACGCTGATTTGCACGATTCTGCTGCTTTTCATGGCCGCCGTTCAAAAGTGAGTCGGCCCATCGCATTGTGCTATGCCGCCCGATTTTCAGGAATCAATCCATCGATTTTGCGTTCCTCCTCTACCTCTTCTTCATCTTCATGATCCATCTAGTTCATTTATTGCTATTCCTTGCCCCTCAGGTATCCTGTCAAGAATAGTTTAAAGGTGCATACCGTATGATGCTTCAGGTCGGCGAGCCGTTCACGTTCACCACAATGCTTCACTTCATCTTACAATTTTGCGTAATAGCTGCATCGGCGCTTTTAAGCCTTGGTAACATGGTTTTTTTGGTAGATCTCAAAGAAATATATTGACTATAGTTTTGTATTCGGTTCATTCGACAATCATCTCCTACGACGTTTCAAAGGTTGACGAGCAAGCCGCTTGCTACTCGAGACCCCTTCACGTATTCGCGTTGGGAATCTGTAAGTTGCCAACCATCTGCCGACAATTTTCGTCGTTGCCCTTTACAGTCATTCCTTCGTTGTTCACGTTCACCACCTATTACTTCCTTGATGGAAGGGACATCGACGTGGCCAGGTAATCCAATCGGATGTCGATGATCACATTTTTGAAATTCGAACGTCTAGGGTCCTGGAACGAATCGACTGGCTCTTCATCACCAATTATCTTTTGCCGACGGCGATCTTCTACTCAATCGCGGTGGTCTACGCGGTCTGGAATATGTACATTGGAAGTGGCGGCAAGAACAATCGCCGCTGCTCATCCGACATGGCGTTGGCGCCGGCGATCAGCGCCTCGGTCACCTCACTATTTATGGTAATTAGCGAGAAGTGGGGTAATTATCGCCAATTTGTTTTTTGAAGATCTTCTTCTTCTGCTCACTTCTTTTGTTGTTCTTCTTCCGCGACGAATCGCCGCTCGTCGTCTTCCTCTTTTGCGTATTCCAATTCTTCCACGTCGTCACCGCATTCTTCTTCGCTTCATATTTGTTCAGGTCCGTCGTCTTCATTTTATGAAGTCCCATAAAATATATGGTAACGTGGGGGGTTTATGGCTCCATAAAAGGCATTTGGGGGGATTTTTGTCTTAAATGGCACAACACAAAAAATTTATATACATATACTTATATTTATATATATATATATTGGTTGTAGTAATATTTTTTGTGTGGGGATTTTTGGTTCCCGAAGCGAAATTATGATTTTCTTCTTGAAGACTTCGATTCCTCCTTCAACGCGGCATCGATGCCGCCGACACGACGGACAGCCTCGAACGCAAACGCGACATCTCGCGTGCGCTTCTCGAGCACGTCGCCACCAAGAGCGACATCTCGTCGGAACCGGCGTGCGCTTCCTACGACGGCGGATTCGTCGACGCCGGATTCAGCGAGTCGCCGAACTACAATTATGCGCCGCGCGAGTACATCGCCAACGAGCAGCAACGATATTTGACATTCAATCACAACATTTTCGAGCGAGCACCAATGGTGAGCATCGTCTAGTCAGATAAAAAAAAGAAAATAATTCTCACAAATTTCATCTCAACTCTTCACCGATCTTTATCGAAAACCGGTATCAAACATTTTGCTTTTCTCTTCTACTATGTCTTTCCTTATGAATAAAATGATGATTTTATTAGATTGCTAGCGTGTTCGCGATATTGCACAGAAGATCAAGAGTGAGAAGAGATCTCGTCAAACTCGTACAAAATGTTACCCATTATGCGACAGAGGGGTTTGAGACACAAAATAAAAGTTGTGTTAGTGAAGTGAGAAGTGAAAAAAAAGATGATTAGTGTTAAGCAATTAGTTAGACGACGGTGCTGCAGAAAATTGGGCGTGGGGGTTTTCGGAATTTTATTCGGAGTCGGTGCACTCTAAAAACGAAATTTTGCTGCCGACATTCATTCGGGGTCTCACCGGCCTCTTCAGACGACGCCGGCGGAACAGTATTCAATAATTTCGCGTTCGACGCATTCTCCGGCGACGCTTCTTTTAAATTCGGAATCTGTGGGCTCGGTCGTCGATAGAGCACAATGTCCTAAAAAAAAACTGGTGGTGCCAAAAATTGCCAGGCTTGATTACCTGCTCTTTATAATATTGGCGGCCACAATCATCGATGAAAATCATGTTGAGCATGTACTTTACGGTGAACTTCTGACAGACGTCTGTCATCGTTGGTGTGAGATTGTAGCCAGCCAAGAAAATGCGAACCGGTATCGTTTCACCCTTATACGGCGAGCCGTCGACAATCTCATATTTGCCGACGTTCTCATAGTTCTCAAAATTGCTCGTCCCGCACCGAACCGTCTCGATTCGAACGACGGTGAGCTCGACGACTTTGAGCTTCAAGCCGACTTGCATGAAATACACGCGTCCGACGATGACGTCGTGCAGGTGAAATCTAGAAAAAAAACTCTCAATAACACTCGCAAGCCAAAAAAAAGAAGAAAAAATACGTTGTATGATTGTATTCGATTTCGACGCTGAGCAAATCGTTGACGCCAACGTTCAACGTCACGCTCGGATTCAGAACAGGCTCTGGACTCAGATTCTGCACGGCGATTTCGATTTCGCGTACCATATTCGCCATTCTCTGGACAACAATTGCGCGAAGAAAATATCTGAAAATTTTCAGGAAAAAAATTTTAAATTGATTCTAAAAAATGATGGGCGTCACCTAAGCTTCACACTATAGCCCGAATAGCTCTCGTACGGCTTCTCGACATTGGCGAATGTGAACGGCAATTTGACACTTTCGGTAATAACGCCGGGCGTCGCCAATTCTTTGCGAAGCGTCAAGAAATCTTTGAGACTTCCGCGTCCGTAGAAAATTTCTGCAACATCGATTAATTCGTATCGGAATGCCTTTGTTTTTCCGGCAATTTCTACCTAATTGCCCAATAAACTCGACGCGAACTCCCTGATGTTCGAGCTTCGACTTTTTGAGCATTATGTCCAACGTGCCGCTAATCGACTCGCCATTATAGTAGAGACAACATTGCGATGTCACGCCGTCGTCGATTAGAACTTCAACCTTCTGCAAAATCGCAACAATTGGTTTTTTTTTTCGATTTTTCTAATAATTATACCCTTCGCGTGTTCTCGTCGGAAAGCGTGATGTCAATATCCGCCGACGGGCCCAAAAATCCAAAAACCATGCCCTGAAATGGCGATTGAAATGAGAAAACGAATCTTTCAGTTGGAGAACAAACAAAATATAAAGCAAATCATGATGAATTTATTTGTTTTCGCGCCGCCCGAAATTGCATTTTCAAGGATATCGCAGGGCCGAAAAAAAAAGATCCGTTTCAAGTATGCATTTAATCGTAATTGTGATTGCGTACACAACAAAACTACAGTAACACGCTGAAAAATTGCTTCGTTTGAATGAAAAAAAAAGCGAAAAACATGAATAAAAATGCAAATTTTTCGTTTACAAAAGAAAAAAATGGAAGTCGTCAAACGAAAAATAGACGCCAAACCATTCAAAAAAAAAACCACCATTTTATTTTCCCACGATTAACCTGACTCAACTATTCAAATTTCGGGGGCGCTCGGCGACCCAGCCAGTTTCAACGCTGTTTTTAAAGGTTCATCGGTCAAAACACTGCAACGGGTCTCATCGAGCCACAAATCCAATTCAGTAGCATTCATGCGTGTTCGAATAATTTATTGCGTGTTAATGTACAAAAAAAAAACAAGAAATTGCTGAAATCCATACGGGTCAGTTTGTTTCGACCCGAAACCCCCCAATTTGTTAATCGAAATTATGAGTCAATCAGTATCGGGATTCTGACACAAATAGAAAATTGTTAAAGGAGGTGCTCATTAGATGGCCGACGTGCTCATACTCGACTCGGCATCGCTCACATCAACGTCCGGCATGAGTTGATCGATAATTTGCCGCAATTCTCGATTGCCTTTTTTCTATAAAAAAAAAAAACAAAAAAAGAATGGAAATTGACAAATTTGGGATGAAAAAAGAAAAATATATATATATACCAAGAGTTCGAGCTCCTCGTTTTTGCCGGACATCTCAATTTCCTGTTTTTTCACGAGCAGTCTCAAGTTCTTCGTATTGTCCTCATGGCTTCGAACCAATTCATCATATTCGCGCGATGCTCTGCAAACATTTTCATTGGAATGAATAGAGAGGGGGGAAATTGAATCTGCCGACAAGCTTCCGGGACACTTAATTTGTTCGAAATGGATTTCTTCGCTGAATCCAATTTTCAATCATTCTAAATTATATTTGTAAATGATAATTTTATTTTAAAACATTTTTGCCGCTCAATATTTTACTGAGAAATTTTAGAGAAAAATCGGAAATTCGATCGAATTCAACGAGCCTACTGTCTCGAAATCCATTAATTATTTAAAGGCGCATACCGTTCAAGTTCGGCTTGCGCATTCTCCCGCACATGCGCGTATTTTCCCTGCCATTCTTCAATTTCAGCAACCGCCGCCTTCAATTTCGACGATACATCGTCATAAGCCTAAAAATTGAGAAATTTTTGAAATTCAACTATAGTTGGCGTCCCGGTGACGGCTGTACGCGGGTAGATTTACGGGAACGCATTTTTCGAAATGGTCTCGCACGGACAAACAGGTTATTTCAAATTTTATGGACCAGTTCGATAATTATTTAATCGAATCACGCTGGAAATTCAAGGAAATGCAAAACTCATCAAGAAAAATGAAGCAGTTCACGTGGAAACAGCAAAATAGGCGTTCACACGTGGCGAGACCTTTTCAAGGCGCATGCGCGTAAATCTACCCGCGTTCAGCAGTCGCCGGACGTCAAAAAAAATAATAATCATACCGATCGAATGTCATTCGCCGATTCTCGAACAATATTATACGAGTTGTACAAATTCGCATAATTCTCATGAATCTTCTCGGCTTCGATTCGCGCTTGATCACGCTCGCGCAACGCTCGTTGAAGCTCCTCGCTATCGACCATCGCGCCATTCGCGCCACCATTATTGAGCCCAAAACCGCTGAGTCGTCCTTTCGAGATAATTTTGTTGTCGCGTATGCGTCGCACCTCATAATCTAGAATTTTTTAGAGCATTTGTCTTTTTTTTTGTTGACGCGCGAAATTCAAAAAAAAAACTCACGTACCATCGCTTTCAAGCAATTTCGATAGCAAATTCGATTGAATCGTACTCAAATGTTTCAGCAGCGTCACATCGGAGATGTTCGCATCAGCCAGAAGCTGTCGGACAGCGACATTGTTCTCAATGTCCGTCGGAATTGTCTAGAAAATCGCTATGCGCCTTTAAACGCATTAACAAAGGAAAAGAGGGGGCAAACCGAAATTTGCTGGACTTGCTCGACAATCTCCGCCGGCGGATCCTCGATGGTCATTGTTCGATTCGCTTCCTCGGCGCTCATTGCTCTAAAATTGTGTTACAATTAGAGAATTGACTTTTTGGAATAAAAGGTAGAACAAATTGGGGACAAAAACCCCCGAAAAAATTTTTGAAAAGTCCCTTAAAGGAGATATTTATTTACAAGACAATTTAAAAACAACAAAAATCAAAAAGACAGTACCAGTAATTTTAAAGGGTCTAAATCTAATTTTTTTTCTAGGAAAAAACCAAAAACACTTCAAATTTTAATGACTAATTGCCGGTTTTGGTGGCGCGATATTCACATTGTGGGATTCTGAAAGCGGGGCTCGTAGAGCAGCTTCCGACGGTGCTCCGATTCCTAGAATTTATGAATAATTTTTGAAAAATGCAATTTTCTCAAGGCAAATTCATACCAAACATGATTGCTCCTCCAACTAATGCGGCAATTGTGAATCCTTGAGCAGCAACTCTACCTCTCATGAACAGTTGAGCATCTTTTGAGCTTCTGCGTAATGTGGCAACCATCATTCCTTAAATAGTTCATCTTCAAATGAAAAAATAATCTCCAAAAACTGCATGCGCTTTTAATTCACATTTTAAATTCAAAGCTTTTTAGGTTGTTTTTCAATAATTCGAATTTTTTGATATTTATGAATGAAAAAATTCATAAGAAATTCTTAGAAATTTGGGTTCAATTTGTTTATTGCCAGTCTATTTAATACGATTTTAATCTACCTATAAGACATCCAACTGTCGCCGTCATTCCAATCGGGACCAACGGGTTCGCGAGGGCCTTCTGAAGTACTGTTGCTGTTGCAGACGTCGCTCTCGATCCAGCAGACATGTCTTGCGGAATCAGTGGCACCGTCGAACGAAAAGCATCGCGCTCAATCTGGAAAAAACAATAAATTGCATGACAATGGTGAAATGAAAATGAAACCTTCCACTGCATATGAGCAGCATGGTCCCTAAAATCATGGGGCTCCTTGTTCACCAAGTTTTTCGGATCGGTCATCTAAAAAATGTGATTAAAAAAAATGCGAATTTGACATTATAAAATAGAAAATTTGCGATTAAAAAACGCAAAAACTTTAAAAATGCAAAAATTCTAGAATAAAACTCTATTTATATTCATAATCACTCTGTACAATGAAAATGATGTTGGCGCAAATCAATAAATTATGTATATATAAATATAAATTTCGAAAAAATAAAAACAATCTTTGCACTCTTCTATACATATATCAATATACTCTGGCCAGGGAAGGGGGGGGGGTGGTGGATTTGTTGGAACGAATAATAATAATAATAATCACAGAATGACAAAATATAACTAATAAGTTATGGTGGGCAATTCGATCAAATAACGGAATATTAAGAAACAAGAAAAAAAAATTGAAAAATCAACCTCGAGCTTCAACTGGCAAGATTATGATGAGCTATCCGAGTTGTTTCCCGGCGTTGAGCGCCCGCTTTTCATTTCTGGTGATTCCGGATGGTGAAGTTCAGGCTCTAAACGATTTCCCCATAATCACAAAAAATATTGTCACGAAATATTTAAAAATCTATTGGCTATGTGCCAATGCGTCTCGAGGTAACGTTCAGTCAACGATAAATTTAAATCTACACTGATTTTGCAAAATTGAAGGCCCTGACTTCCTTCAGTCGTTTGACAATTTACCATTTTTGGTGAACTTCTGGGTTCCGGAAAATTGCGCATCTTCCGACTGGATGACCGCTTCAGCGATGCCACCTCGCACAGCGATATCGGCTTTTCGCCAGAGTGTTACCTCCTGTAATTTGATTCGAAATTTTACGAAAAACAAAAAACGCCAACCTGCTGCTTGAAATAACGCCTATCCTCCTCATCAACTAGCACGAGATTCAATGAGTACTTCACCGAGAACTTTTTGCCGACGTCCCTCATCGTCGGCGTCAGGTCATAGCCGGCCAAAAACAGTCGAATCGGTATCGATTCTCCCCGGACCGGCGCGCCGTCCATAATCTCGAATTTCGCGACATTCTCGCTTTCTTTGAATGTGTTTGGACCCGAGCCGACGATTTCCGTTTTCAGAATCGCAATTTCCATATATTTGATTTTGATGCGAACCAGCAAAAAGTATATCTTTCCGACTATCACGTCTTGCAAATGATATCTAAATAATAATATAAGAATCCAAAATTCATATTTTTTTTTACTTATTCTTGTTATATTCAAATTCAATATGCAGGCAATCCTCAATTCCAACCTCCATTTTGATACTGGAATCGTTGTCAGGATAACTGCTCAGAGCGTGAACTGCGAGGTCGAGCTCTCTGGTGATGTCGGTGATACGACGAACAACGGTAACACGTAGGAAGTACCTAAATTCTCAAAAGAATATACAATTAAATGGAAAATTTGCAAAGAAAACCTCAATTTGACGTTGGATCCCATATATGACTCATAAGGCTTTTCAACATTATGAAATTCGAAAGGGAATTGAGTATTCTGCGTCAATTCTCCAGGTCTTGCCAATTCTCGCGTCAATGAAATGAAGTCCTGTTGGTTACCACGATCATAATACACCTCTGAGTATGATTAAACAATAAATAATTTTAATTGTTGGCTATTTACCAATTTGGCCGATAAATTCGATTCGAATGCCTTGGTGCTCGAATTTTTGATTAGCCTTTTTCAAATTGACATGTACAGTTCCCATTATGGATTCACCGTCGTAATACAAATAATGATCGTGCATGTTGCCGTCTTCACCGCGGGCTTTCACAGTCTAAATCAATTTTTCGTAAAATAGCCAATTTAAAAAATATTTTCACGTACCTTACGATTCTCCTCATTAGCCAGTTTAATCTGCACCTCGGCGGATTGGCCAAACCCAAAGAGCATCGCCTGCAAGAAAGGCAACTTTTCAAAAATTTCACAATTCTAAAATCACCAACCATTATTCACTTTCCAGCCTTCCTCGCGATTCTAGCGCTCCGCTGAAATTCGATATTAGTTAGAAATCGATTCGAAGCATAGCAAAAATGCGCAAAAATAACCGGAATTGTTTATAATTTGGCAAGCGGCCCGCACCCAACAAAAAAATAACAAAAAATTCGGAGATTCTCCATGGAGCGCACTTGCGGCGTTCAATAAAGATAGAGCGTGGAATTGGCACCGATTTCGACAAAAATTCGAAAATTCATGTAGCGAAAAAAGGTTTATTGTCATTTTAATGGCACTGCTTCGTCCCAGGGACCATGAATAGTGCATTTAGTTGACTGTTTACACATTAGAATGTAAGGGCACACGAGGACAACAAAAAAATGAAATATAGTCCAGAAAATTGCTAGATTCGCTGAGAAATCCATAATAAAGATGGCGGAAGCGACAGCGAGACATAGAGAAATTGCAATGGAGACGTTTGGGTAGAACAAGAACATTCGATTTCTGAAAAAAAAAAATTGATTTTGAAGTGCTTTCAGTCGACGAATTACCGGAAATCGGATTCATAGGCATGCAACACGAAAGCAATCACAAGTAATAAAAATGCTGGGGTATTATGATCAAGACGGGACAGCAGAAAAATCGCTGACGACAATCCGCTACTCATCGATATCGGATAAGAAACGCTGAAATCAAATAATAAAATTACGAAATTAAAAAAAGAAACTTCCTTACATTGGTGCTTTGACCCCGTAGTCATGGAAAACGCAGCTGAGAGCCGCTGAAATTATAGAAACCGCGTAAATTGTGTCAGTACTTATGGTTGTTGTCAGTGTTCTGCAAATGGCAATATTGGAGTCTCAGATTGATTTGGTAATCACAAAAATTACCGAATAATTGGTGTGAACGAGTACCCGAATAGGAAAAGCGTGGTGATTGTGCGGCCGTGGTCCATTGATAGGAGACCAGGTTCCGCCAAAACCGCGCAGTAAAATAAATAACAAAAAACAATTATTGAAAATACTATTGTAAGAATGTGCGGAGCCCAATTCGAGTGCAACGTCTCTAAAAAGAGCACAAAGTAGAGGGCAATGGTGTCGAGATGGGAGACGAACACGAGACTCCCGCGAACTGCCGTCCAATAATCGTAGCGAACCACCGAAACTGGAATTTCGCGTCGCGATTATAATTAGCATTGAATTCGATTATTCACCATTTTTTCGAAGCTCTTTCAAAAACTGCTTTTCACCACCGGAATAATTGTCGGGGAATGGCTGGGCGCGGTAGAGGATTTTCTCCCATTTCACTGATTTTCCGCACATCGACGCATAATCGCCACAGCAACGGCAATACTTCTACAAAAAGTTATAAGCAATTTTCAATCAAAAATCGGGAAAAAATTTGCGGAAAAGAGGAAAAAATAATTACAGTAACAGTAGCTTAAAGACGCATGGCGAAATAGCGACCATTTCATTTATTTTTTTCTTTTAGAAATCCTTTTCCGCAATTAAATATTTAAGAAAGAGAAATTCGATATATTTTTATCGAAAAAATGCTATGGATTGGAATTCTTATCAAAACTTTCGGTTTCATCCAACGGTTGTCCCATATATTAAAAATTTTTAATCAAGAGTCCAATAAAAAATCAATATTGCTTTAAACAAATTGATATAAAACAATCTCGCGAAGCATGCATTGCAAATAAAACTCCTGTCTGTACTATCCGCACGCAATAATGCAGAGTCAAATAATTCTGCTCATTTTGCAATTTTTTTTGTAAAACACAAAATTATTTATTGACTTATATACATTAGAGAAAATCATTTATTTTTTGTTTCCAGTGATGTGGAGAATTCCGTAGTTGTCAAGGTTGCTCTTGATCGAGCCAACGTCGACGTTGCCCGGAAGCTTGTAGCAGCGGGTGATGCTTCTCGACACATTGCCGTATTGGTCGTTCTTGGCGTTATGCTCCAAATGAATCTCGAGCAAGTCTCCAGACGCTTTCACCTAGACAAAATAACTATATAAATAATGAACTCGAATAACCATTATTACATCAATCTCTTTTGGAGTGAAGAAGTGAGCTTCAAGTCCAACCTCGAAATGCTTGTCGTCCTCACGGACCTGGAAATTTCAATTTTTTTTGAAAAGATTTTAATAAAATGAATTCGGTACCTTGACAACACCGTCGCCAGCGGAAAGTGGCCAATCCCAGGAGGCTCCGGAATCATGGGTAACTGGAACGTTGAAAGCCATTTCTTATCTGAAAATCGTTGCGAATCCAAGGCTTTTATAATTTCGACAAAAAATGTTTGTTTTCAAGGCAGAACACTTTAGAATTGTCAACATTGTACAGAAAACACTTAAAATGAATCGTCAACAAGAAAATTAGTGGAATTGAAGCTCGCGACGGGACCACTATCCGCAGTAATATTGCAAACGGCACACATGCGCCTTTTTATACGCGATTTGCGGATTGTTTACCGCGAAAGCGCGGCCCACAAGATACCTCGCGAAAATCTTCGATGCTTCTCGAGCAGCCAAGTGTCCTCTGACTTCATGCTCCAAACACGTTTGTTACGTCTTGGGTACAATCGTCGGACCGCATATGTTGTTGTTGCCGACTCGTTCGATATTCCTGCAAGATCGTTGTGTAACAATGACGAGCCTGAGAACTTTGATTTAAAACAATAAAAAACAAAAACAACAATTTCGAAATGGGTATGATCGGTTCCATGTGGCGTTGCGAAGGAATTTTCTAGATTTACGAGTGAAACTTCGAAGAATGATTCCTAGCGCATTTAAAACTTAAAGAATTACCAAAAGAAAGCAATATATTTTAACTTTTAGCTTCTCCTCATCATTTCTTTTTCGAAAATTATGACTTGTATCCGTTTTGACAGAACCTCGAAGAGCTCAAATACGTGCAGTTTCTATCAAGTAGTTGAAACGATTGGATATCTCTATCAACACATCGAGCGGTGACTATTTACCTGTCATAAACATTGAGGAACGCACTTTAATGCTCAGAGAAAGAAAATTGCAGATAAATAATGAAGGAAATTGGATTTCAATTCATTTTCCTTTCGATATCACCAAGAAAAAAAAAACTTCATTGAGAAATTTGAGAAGGTCCGCAACTGTTTGCTAAAGTGTTTACACCATTAACGTTTTATTTGGCGACTATCAAGCGAAAATTAGGTCACGCGATCATAAATTTTTTTTTTTGAAATTTCCGATCAACTTTATCGTCGCATTTAAATACTTTTATTTTCAGATGGATTTGAGGCCGCTTTATGAAAAAGAAGTTGGAAAATAAAAAGAAATGATCTTAAATTCCTGAATTTAGGAAAAATCCTATGTTTTTCCGCCAGGATGTCGCAAACATTACCATAATGTTTTCGCATTGGTCGTTGAGAAAAAAGGCGACAGTGATCGTTCATGTATGAAGCAAAATGAAATATTCTGCTATTCTCCGGAATTCCGGCGCGATAGTAAGATTTAAAATAATTGATTTTAAAGTTAAATTTAAAAATGAAGGTGGATTTCTGGTGATGCCGAAACATTTATGGGATGATTTCAATCCCGGTGATTGGATTTCCTGCGAGAGAATATACGTTGATCGGCACGAATCCGATGATCGACGGTATCAGGAAAGAGAGTTGAAATATGTAAATTTCATATAGATCTTCAATTTTCACACAAAATTCAACAAATTTCAGGTTTCCTATGTTCCAACTCATCTCCACAAAAAACTTAATCTTCCAATAACCGTTGTAAAAATGAACCAAGTTTATATCAAATGCGATTTTATCTTATGCCCAACTTTTTTCAAATATCGCAAATCTCGAAATACACAAGGCGCTTTTGAAAAAGCAATAATGCTTAATATGGGTACAGCATGTGTAATTGAATAAAATCATCAAACTTGTTATATTAATTCAGTTTCAGATTTTCACAAATGATGGTAAAGCCAGCAAGCTGAAACCGGGAATGGTCTATAAAGGCATTTTTGAATTTCGTAGCAAAGAGGATGGAGCTGTGAATTTTGCGTCAGGACGACATGAAAATGTAGCTAAATAGCAAGCTGAATAAAACTTTTTGGATTTTGTTGCTTCTAGACTCTTGACGCTGATGGTCATTGTATCGATCGGGACACGCTATGGTTTCTCAATGGGATTCTGGATGACGAGCCAATTCCATTGGAGAATCACAAAGAGATGCATATATATGTAGAAATATTCTCGTTTCTAGCAATTTTCGAGATATTTTCAGATTTCTTATATGAAAATTTGGAGCAAAGTGTTTCATAACGTTTATGGCGATGGTCTTTTGCCAAATAGAAGCAAATCGATGGTTCCACTGACGAGAAAGATGGTTAAAAAATATTCAAATTGTTTTTTATTGCATTTTTACATTTTCAGTCTCCCAAATACGATAAACCAACCGGTTTTCGGCAAGGTAGTCAAATTTTGCTAGAAACTTGAAAAATGCTAAATTTAGAACCACTTTATGCACGACCAACATCTTTATCTGAAAGTACGTTTATCGATAATAGTGAGCAAACTATTCGCAATGAGAATAGAAAACCGAACGAAGGTTCAATGCGCCTTTAAATGGCCACAGTGAATAATTTTTGTTCAGATTCTTCAGCAATAAGGGTCTTTAGTGACAGTATGTACAGCCATGCGATGCCTGAGCAAGGTAGGTTTGAAGCGAAAAAAAATTTTCTTTGATTTAGAATTTTCAGTCCAATGTAACAATGCTATTGAAGAGTCATTATCTAAAAAGGTTAAAAAGAAGGTCGAAGTTCAGGTAATTCAAGGGTATATTCGCTAGGTGTAGATTTACAACGCTCACAACATCGTGTCAAGACCTCATCCTCAATTTTTGGCCGCAAATACTTGCGAAAAAAAAATTTGTTTAGAAAATTCGGCCGAAATTTGGAATAACTCGTCCAGAAGATATGTTCGATTTTGGGACAGTGGATAGTCAAGAATCACTAGAATTGAACTCGACGTCCAATTTTATTCATTTGAAAGCACCATTGGCCAACTCGACACCTATCGATTCATTTGTTTGCAATTTTAATAGCAAATAATATAGTTTTGAATCAATGCATATTTTCAGATTTTGGAAAGTGCTGGAAATTCGAGTTTCGACGACGAGGAAGATGATTTTCTCCCTCCACAATACACAAAACCCCAACAAAATGTATTCAACAAATTCTCAGAATTCCTCATTTTTTGCATTTCAGGCATTTTACAACAATCAGAGCTTTGGCAGAATCCCAACGAAATATTAAATATGTCATTTTGTATATCTGCTCTTATCGATTTTACCATAAACTGACTAAGTGTTTTATCATTTTATATTCTTGTCAAGATCTAGATAGTTGTTGTATGGTCCCCTCGTATAAATGAATTAGTGCATAATTATTTTGTGTACTTTGAAAATTGATTGGGTGAAACTGTAGCGAATATTAGCGATGACATCGCCAGAAATATATACTGAAGGAGTCTCTCGTAAATGAAGGCTTATTGACGGTGTTTGCACCAAATGCGCACCAATTGACGCGCATGCTTGGGATATTCGAATTTTTATTTCATTTCGACGCATTTTCCCAATAAATAATTTCGATTTTTAGAGTTCTTCTTTCGATTATAACAACTAAGAATAATGGAAAAATTGCCGAAAAAAGGTTTTTGGAGAAACTCATTTTCATTGTTGAAATATCGTTTTTAGCGGCTCCTGATGCGAAATCGAGGCATACGAGAAAAAGGAAAGAAAGTAGTAGTGATGAAGAGGTGAGAATTTAAAGGTGATTGGGAAAAAAATTTTCATTAGGGTCCCGCCACAAGTCAGCCGAGTGTTTCAAAGAAAGCAAACGAGGAATCCGATGATTCTGATATTGAAACCATCGAAGGGAAACTTGATGATGATATCAGGTATTTTTATTTATCCAGTTTTGATATTCAAATATTCATTCCATTTCTAGAGAAAGGGACGCATTCGCTGCAAGAGTCCGACAAAAGGACAAGGATAAAACGCGGAATGTTGTTGAGAAGAATCGTGAAGATAATAAGGATAAAGCTGGATTGTCGGTGGAAAAACTTCGTGAAGAATCCCGAAGGCAGTATTTGGCAAAGCGAAAAGTTGACAAGCTCGAAGAGCTTAAAGCAATTGTTCATGATGATGAAACGATTTTTGCCTCTGAAAAGTACGGTTTTAAAAATGTTTCAATAAAAACTCAAAGTAATTAAAGGCTTACGGCTAAAGAGCGACAAGATATGGAATATCGCAAGAAGGTTCTTGAATATGCGACGAATCATGAGAAAGCTGCGGATATTATAAAAATCAAGCGCTATCACGTGCCGGATGCCAAGAGTAGAACGATTCCAACGGATTATGTCGAGGATGAGGACGAAGTTCGTCATGGCGGCGATGGAGCCAAGTGGGAGCAGGAGCAGCTTCTCGCTTCCATGCTTCATCTAGGAGCCAAAGATGCGAAAATGAAGAAGGAGGAGTATGATCTGCTGCTCGACGAGCAGATTGATTTCATTCAAGCTTTGCAAATGCCGGGAACCAAAGACATTGAGGTATGAGCATAATTTCGGAGGGATGGGCGGTTGGTTCAGAAAAACTGTTTTCAAGCTTTTCACCATTTTTGCAGGACAAAAAGGAAAGCGAAATCGAACGGAAAATGATGACGATCGCCGAGACGAGAAAAAGTCTGCCGGTGTACGCATTCCGCGACGATTTCATTCAAGCGGTTCGGGACCATCAAGTTCTAATTATTGAAGGCGAAACGGGATCCGGAAAAACCACTCAACTACCGCAATATTTGTATGAAGCGGTAGGAAATGATGAAAATGGCCCGAAAGATGAAATGGAATTATTTTAGGGATTTTGCGAGGACGGAAAACGCATTGGATGCACACAGCCGCGACGCGTCGCCGCCATGTCGGTCGCTGCTCGTGTTGCCGATGAAATGGATTGTAAACTGGGAACCAAGGTAGGAGACTTATCGAATTTTACGAGAAATTTTGGATTTTTAGGTCGGTTACAGTATTCGTTTCGAGGATTGCACCTCGGAGAAAACTGTCCTCAAGTATATGACTGACGGAATGCTGTTACGTGAATTCCTCAATGAGCCGGATTTGGCAAGCTACAGGTTCACCATTTTGAGAATCCTTGAAGCGAATTATTCAAAATAAAATAATTTGTAGTGTTATGATGATTGATGAAGCTCATGAACGCACTCTTCACACTGACATCCTCTTCGGTCTTGTTAAAGACATTGCGAGATTCCGAAAAGTGCTGAAATCGTTATATGAGGCGTCAATTTATTCATTTTTAGGATTTGAAACTCCTCATTTCATCAGCAACACTCGACGCGGAGAAATTCTCGTCGTTCTTCGACGATGCGCCGATTTTCCGAATTCCTGGACGACGGTTTCCCGTTGATATTTATTATACGCAGGCGCCTGAAGCGGATTACATCGACGCTGCGATTGTCACGGTAATGCAGATCCATTTGACGCAACCACTTCCTGGAGACATTCTGGTCTTCTTGACAGGTAAGAATGCCTTGTGGTGGGACGATTTTCCAATCATTTTTAGGTCAGGAAGAGATTGAAACAATTCAGGAAGCTTTGATGGAACGCTCGAAGGCGCTAGGCAGCAAAATCAAAGAATTGATTCCACTGCCCGTCTATGCGAATTTACCATCGGACCTTCAGGCCAAGATTTTTGAGCCGACACCTCCCAACTCGAGAAAGGTACTAAAATTGTTCAATCAATTTTTTTTTCAACAAAAAAACGTAATAATTCGAATAGGTGGTTCTCGCAACGAACATTGCTGAGACGTCGGTTACGATTGATGGCATCTCGTACGTCATTGATCCGGGATTCTCGAAGCAGAACTCATTCGATGCTCGCTCCGGTGTTGAGCACTTGCACGTTGTAACGATTTCGAAAGCGGCGGCGAATCAGCGAGCCGGACGCGCTGGAAGAACGGGACCTGGAAAGTGCTTTAGGCTTTACACCGCTTGGGCTTATAAGCACGAGCTCGAGGAGCAACCGATTCCTGAGGTAGATTGGATTGTGTCAAAGAAATCATTTTTTGCGCGTGTGTAGATTCAACGGACCAACCTCGGAAATGTTGTGCTGATGCTGAAATCGTTGGGTATACACGATTTGGTGCATTTCGACTTCCTCGATCCTCCACCGCAAGAAACTTTGGTTATTGCGTTGGAACAATTGTACGCGCTTGGCGCATTGAACCATCGCGGTGAGCTGACGAAACTTGGTAGAAGGATGGCCGAGTTCCCGTGTGATCCGTGCATGAGCAAGATGATTCTGGCATCGGAGAAGTCGTCAAATTTGGAACCGCAAAAAATTGAAATGCTCATTTTTTCTAGGTATGAATGCTCTGAAGAGATTGTAACGATCGCTTCAATGTTGTCAGTGAATGCCGCGGTGTTCTACCGTCCGAAGGCGATGGTTATCCATGCCGACGCGGCGAGGAAAGCTTTCTGGAGTCCGTCGGGCGATCATGTCACCTTGCTCAATGTGTACAATAAATGGAAAGAGTCGGGATACTCGCAACAATGGTGCATGGAGAACTATGTGCAGCATAGGACATTGAAACGAGCGCGAGATGTGAGAGATCAGCTGGTCGGGCTGCTCGAAAGAGTTGAAATTGAGCCGGTAGGTGGTTGGCGATTTGTTGCATAGTTTCTCTTTGTTTGGTTTTTTTTTGCAGAAATCTTCAACGGACACGATAAAAATTCGAAAAGCGATCACCGCCGGGTATTTCTACAACGTTTCGAAATTGGACAACACGGGTTGGCGCGCTAGAAAATGTAATGTCGAAAATTGAGTGTCTGAAATTTCTAGGTCATTACAAAACTGTGAAACACAAGCACACAACTCATCCGCATCCGAACTCTTCTCTATTCGAGGAGACGCCACGATGGGTGGTTTATTACGAATTGGTGTTCACCAGCAAGGAGTTTATGAGGGAGATGTCGGAGATTGAGAGCAGTTGGCTTCTCGAGGTGGCCCCTCATTATTACAAAGGCAGGGAGCTCGAGGATTCGACGAATAAGAAGATGCCGAAGCAGGTTGGAAAATCGGCCAAGGATTTGCAGCGATGAGAATTGTTGTTGTTGTTGTTGGTTTTGTATTTGTCGACAGTTCATCTTGTTTACAATAAATATTTATTTCATTGATTTTGTCGACGCGAACCGATGCCTAATTTGGGCGATGACAGTTTGCACTCAAATTTGATAAGAAGTGTCTATCAGTGAAAAACATGTCGGGTACGAATTGGGTGGAAAATCGATACCAATTGGTCGTCAATCCGGAGCAACGCGTGTTCGATGAGATTTTGGAGCAGGTAATCATTTTCGCATGCTCGTCGATTTTCTTTTTTTAGGTGGTGCTCACCGAGGGCTGGAGTTTCCAGAAGAACGACTACCAAATATGGAATCAATATGAAGGACATTGGTTTCTTGCGATCGTTGATGGCGGTTGGCGGAGATTTTCGACACCAAATAGGCGTATAGCCAATTTTTAGAAAAATGCGCCGCGTGCGTTTCTTTGTGCAAATCGCGTTTGCTCAATGGCGAGCCGTTGTTCACAGTGGCCCTGTTCTACTGTAGGCCAGAATATCGGGGAATGGGCTTCGGGCATGTTCTATTCAATTCCATCAAATCCATTTATGGCAATGCCAATGTTAGCTTGTTTGGTGTCATGGGAATGGTCGAATGGTACGAGAAGCGGCACGGATTTGAACGAATGCTACCGTACACCCATTCTGTTGGTGTAGTTCGCACGGAGAATATTGAGGTGATAAGAAGCTGCTCGAATGATAGCGTTGAGGTATCGATTTGAATTTTAACAACATATTTTCATTTGCGGACAATTTTTCGAGCATCAACAATTGGGAGGAAATTCACGAATATGATGAGACGATTTGCGCGCAGAGTCGACGAAAAATGATGAAAGCCTGGCTTACAGCACCTGGCACGTTTTGCAAGTTGGCCAGGTGCCAAACTACTGGCAGAGTTCTGGGATTCGGCGCTCTTCGAGAAGCGCTCCATGAAAAATTGATAATTTCGCCGCTTTATGCCGAATCATATGTAAGAATCCCATCGGACCAATCAATTTCCATTATATTTCTAGGAGGCTGCGGTCTCCATAATTGTTGCTCTTCTTTTAATGGTCCCGCGGATTCACACCTATAAGACGATTTCAGCGGTGTATCCCACAGGAAATCGGGCAATGGATAGGTGAAATTGAACGTGATTCAAAATTTAAAAAAATATTTTTAGAATATTATCGACAATTTCGAATGGGAAATTCGAAAAAATCGAGTATGCTCGGAATCAGTTCACCAATCGAATTGTGGCGAGCGACACGCGCAAAGTGTTCGCGATTCGCCATTGCGCCCACGGATATGTTTAATTTTTTTTTTTGATTTATGACTTGTAGAATTTAAAAATGGCAATTGTGCAAACAAAAAAACCCATAAAATAGTTGGAGGTCGTTTCGCGCTTAGGCTTCAAATGTCTCGCGAATTTCTTGCGCGTCCTCTTCGCCGCTTGTCGTATCCGCCAGGCGACGATGTTCGAATGGCCGACGGGCTGGTCGAGAAGCATCCGCGAGAATTTCTCGCAGTTTTTTCGAAAACTGCAAGAAAATGAATATTTCACAAATTCGAATTTGTCCGCAGCTCCAATTATTTCAAGACAATTCGAATCTATCTTTTTCAATCATAGGACATGGGCTGCTTGAAAAAAATTAGGATTTTATCTTTTTTTTTATTTTGTAGTTGAGGGTAGATTTACGAGATCGGCTATATCTCTGAAAAGAAGAACCAAAAAATGACCTTTAAAACGGTTAAAAGAACGAAAAAAATTTTTTTGCCATTTCTTTTTTCCAAAAATTTTGACGAATGCCTTACAAATCTGTTCGATCTTTTTTTCGGGAAAAATCATAATGTTTTCCCCATACCTCGAATCGAGAATAATTCTGCCAATAGCGTTTTTCACTTTTCTTCGCGATAGTTGAAGCTTGTCAAGAACAATGGCGATTCCTTTCGATTCGGCGACTTTTGAGTTTTTCGCGTGATCTATAAAAATAATGAATGAAGCGGAATATATCAATGGATTACGGTACCTGCGAAAAGTGGCATTAGAATCATGGGTCTTAAATGAATGATCGTCTCCAGAATACTACTCCACCCTCCATGGGTGATAATTGCGAGGTAATTAGGATGGCCTGCCAATTTATCGATTATGCATTATTCGCTTGTGGCGATTCGACACTTCCTACCCATTAATGCTAGCTGTGGGATCCACGGGGTCAGAATAACATTGTCGGGAATTTGATGGTCCCCAGCCTCACCCTCATATTTCATTATGAATTTAATATGAGAGAATGTTGAAAATGAGTCGAATAGAATGTCGAGCATCGCTCTTGGCATATCAATTGTTCGCGCGATGCCGCCGAAGCTGACGAGCACAAAACCATTGGTGGAATTGGCGGCGATGCGCTCCCAATACTGCAAAATCGATCAAATTATTTGAAAATCAATCGCAAAACCAAGATAATGCCCACATTTTCCAGATTTTCCTTGTTTTTTTCCACTGTGAAACCGGCAATATTCGAGAATTGGTGTGAAATTGGCATGGCGAAATCGAGAAGGGGCATCGAGTTGACCAAAACCGATGACGATTTCTCCGGAAGTGACGATAACGCTGAAAAATTGAACCAGTGAGTTGTCGGCAGATGACAACAACCTTCAGTTAAACCGGATGCTCGGAATGCGCTTTCTTGAAATGACTGAACGATGTTGGTTTGGACGAATGAGGTAACAACGCCGATAAGAACATTTTCCACCTAGGACCAATATTTTTCATTTTATTAAAAAGTTTGAAATACCTTTTGACGGAACGACATCTCATCGGAGAAATGCGCAAACAGTTCTGAATTTTCGCATGACTTATATAACTAGTGCTACCGTACCTGGAACATAGCTGTACGGTAAATTGACGCCCATCGAAGTGGCTTGGGGGCGATAAAGACCGGTAGCCGATAGCCAAACGGTTGAATTGATACCAAGAAGTTTGAAAATGCCGAAGCTAGAAGGCAATTAGGGAAATTTTATTGAAGCGCTAGTTACCCGCAGGAATCATATTGTTCCACTAATCCGACATCGAAGTGAAGGGATTTTAGAAAGTTCAGGGTGTGATTGTCATAGATCATATCTGAAATTGGCAAGCTCACGATTTAACCGTTACATCTAAAAATACATTCGCAAGCTTCCACAAAACTTTTTGAGACTTTGAGAAGCTTCACAAAGATTCTTGGATTGAGCGGTGAGGCGTCTTCATAGGGACCCGGGTTATTCCAAAGCACCTTCCGCAGATGTCCCGGCGGGATTCCGACGTTCCAATGCAACATTTCAAATTGCGACGAGTTGCCAGACACTGAGTCATCAATTTTTGGTAGAAGCATGACCTACATTTACAAAAATTCGAATTAAAAAAAAAAACAATGCTTGGAAATATACCACTTGATGTCCGTCATCCTTCAAAATCTCGGCAATTTTTGTGTTAAACGCCACGTGGCTATGCGATAATGTTGGCACAAACAGGAGCACATTTAGAGAATGGCACGAGAACACGAATAAAGCGAATAGTAGAACAACGAGCATTCGGAATAGTGAGAAAGCGAAAAGAAGGGAATCGCTCTCGAAAATAATGGATGAGGGCGAGGCGTCTTTCACTTTTGAATTGAATACGCACCATCCCGAAATTGCAAAGGTAATTATATATTCTCACTTATTGGGCGACGGAAATCCGACGACGGCTTTTCCGGTTTTCGGGATTTGAGAAATGGAAGCGAAAAAAAAATATAATTGTCGTTGGTTACGGTTCTCTGTATTTGATCTGCATTTTACAGACGGGATGTTTACAGACTTGAATAAATTTTTTCTTTTGAAAGTTTTCGCTTTTCGTTTGTCTCAACAAATCGTGTTGTAGAATCAGCAGGAATAGAGATTTTAATTAAAAGTTGGTGAATTTCCGTTAAAACGGAATATTAGAGAGTGTGTGATATTGAGAGGCGGAGACATTTGTTTTCACCGCCGTTTTTTTATCAATCTGAAAAACTTTAAAAAAGTTAAAATAAAATTTATTAAAGTTGTAATTTTTATAATATTCAATAAATATGTATTTTAGTTTTTGATCAATCAGAATAAATGAAAATTGAAAAATTTTGTCCTTCATGATTTCGTTTTTTCAAAGCCTAATTTTTTCAGGAAACAGTGATTGTGAAGATGTCGTTTATTTTTTTTCCCGCTTTCCTATATTTTCTCCCCTTTTATATTTTCAAGTCATGCACTTTCTGTTTTTTTTTCGTATGGTTTTGTAAATAAATGCTTCATGTCCCTCGATAAACAATTTCTCGAATTTTCGCGAACCTGTTCGTACTATGAATGCTCTTATAACTCTTGATAAACAACACAAGTACGCAATTATGAGATTAGCAATACGACGGGTTTCACAGCTGTCATACACGGTTATTGCTAATAGAAATTGCGGAAGGATGATTTGTCGCAAAAAATGCTTCTAGAATTTCCATTTTATCAACCATTACTGGCGGCATTTCGAAATTCGAATCGCTCGTGAGTAGGAAGAGAGGCCCTAGTTCTAGATTGTTCCAACACCTTGCCGAAACCGTCTTCGGCCACACACTCGCGTTTTTCGGCGAACAGACAGCGAGGGCGCTGTGGAGGGCGCAGGCGGGGCGAGCACAGAAAACTGACCAGCAACGCGAAAGTTCTCGCAAAAAATTGTGATTTCGAATTCAGCAGTAAATTTTTGATGTTTAAAAGCGGTTAATTTTTAAATTCTCCAATTATCTTGTGAAAGAACATGTTTGATACTATATGATGATGTATTTTGCTTTGCAACTATGCTTGAACGTAGAGGATAAAATTGCTCATAAACGAGTGTGAGCGCTCCCTCCTCCCCTCGCTCCATCGCGAACATTCTTTTGCGGAGGAATCTTCCAATTGCGAATTTGAATTCTCCTGGCTTTCAGTTAAAAAGAGCGCCTGTTTGCGTCGTTACCGCCCTTTACGTATATTCTTTTGTAATATTTTACCGATTTTACTTTCTAAATCATTAGTAAGGGATAGATAAGGCTCTATATACAGGCATTGATGCCAGCTTTTGGCCTAAACTCATCTGAAATTTGAAGTCTATCTTAGGACCCGTTTTTTTTGTCGCATGGTTTGTATTTCATTCTTCATATATATTCATTTCAGAAAATGGCTAAAGCTAACGCTGTTGGTATTGATCTTGGTACGACTTACTCGTGTGTGGGAGTCTTCATGCACGGAAAGGTCGAAATCATCGCCAATGATCAAGGTAATCTTGAAATAATATTTCGATGAGGCCTAAAATTTAAATTTCAGGAAACCGTACTACCCCATCTTATGTTGCATTCACCGACACAGAGCGTCTGATCGGAGATGCTGCGAAGAACCAGGTTGCGATGAACCCACACAACACAGTCTTCGGTATGTAAAAATTGCAATAAAAATATAAAGTCGCTTTTCAGATGCTAAACGTCTCATTGGACGCAAATTCGACGATCCAGCAGTCCAATCCGATATGAAGCACTGGCCTTTCAAGGTTGTTTCCGCCGAAGGATCCAAGCCAAAGGTCCAGGTTGAGTACAAGGGAGAGACCAAGACCTTCACCCCAGAAGAGATTTCCTCCATGGTTCTCGTCAAGATGAAGGAGACCGCTGAGGCTTTCCTCGGAAGCGCTGTCAAGGTAATTTTTTACTACGTTTCTTTTCTAGTTTTCCTCTTCTGTTCCGGTCTTTAGGTCTGTAGTTTAGGCCGATAAAAATTGAGGAGATAGCATTTTTGATCGAACCCTACTTTGGCATCTTTATGTTTTCAGTTTCTTCAAGATCAAAACAATAATGAAAATTTTTAGGACGCCGTCGTCACCGTCCCAGCTTACTTCAACGATTCTCAACGTCAGGCTACCAAGGATGCCGGAGCCATCGCTGGACTCAACGTCCTTCGTATCATCAACGAGCCAACTGCTGCCGCTATCGCCTATGGTCTTGACAAGAAGGGACATGGAGAACGCAACGTCCTCATTTTCGACCTTGGAGGTGGTACCTTCGATGTCTCCATCCTTACCATCGAGGACGGAATCTTCGAAGTTAAGTCGACTGCCGGAGATACCCATCTTGGAGGAGAAGACTTTGACAACCGCATGGTCAACCACTTCGTAGCTGAATTCAAGCGCAAGCACAAGAAGGATCTTGCTTCCAACCCACGTGCCCTCCGTCGTCTTCGTACTGCTTGCGAGCGCGCAAAGAGAACTCTCTCTTCGTCATCTCAGGCTTCCATCGAAATCGACTCTCTCTTCGAGGGAATTGATTTCTACACCAACATCACCCGTGCTCGTTTCGAGGAGCTCTGCGCCGATCTCTTCAGATCCACCATGGACCCAGTTGAGAAGTCTCTTCGTGACGCCAAGATGGATAAGAGCCAGGTAATCGGTTCATAAAATTAATCAAAAAGGTTATGATTGTTTTTACAGGTTCACGACATTGTTCTCGTTGGAGGATCCACCCGTATTCCAAAGGTCCAGAAGCTTCTTTCTGATCTCTTCTCCGGAAAGGAACTCAACAAGTCTATCAACCCTGATGAGGCCGTCGCTTACGGAGCCGCCGTCCAGGCCGCTATTCTCTCTGGAGACAAGTCTGAGGCTGTTCAGGATCTTCTTCTTCTTGATGTTGCCCCGCTTTCGCTCGGTATTGAGACTGCTGGAGGTGTTATGACTGCTCTTATCAAGAGAAACACCACCATCCCAACCAAGACTGCTCAGACCTTCACCACCTACTCTGATAACCAGCCAGGTGTGTTGATCCAGGTCTACGAAGGAGAGCGTGCCATGACCAAGGACAACAACTTGCTTGGAAAGTTCGAGCTCTCTGGAATCCCACCAGCGCCAAGAGGAGTTCCACAAATTGAGGTCACCTTCGACATTGATGCCAACGGAATCCTCAACGTCTCGGCTACTGATAAGTCAACCGGAAAACAAAACAAGATCACCATCACCAACGACAAGGGACGTCTTTCTAAGGACGAGATCGAGCGCATGGTTAACGAAGCTGAGAAGTACAAGGCCGATGATGAAGCCCAGAAGGAACGTATTGGAGCTAAGAACGGACTTGAGAGCTATGCTTTCAACATGAAGCAGACTCTTGATGACGAGAAGGTAATTATTAAGAATTTAAATTCAACCGAATAATTGTTTCTTCTTTTAGCTCAAGGACAAGATCTCGGCTGACGATAGAAAGAAGATCGAAGACAAGTGCGACGAGGTTCTCAGGTGGTTGGATAGCAACCAGACTGCTGAGAAGGATGAGTTCGAGCATCAGCAGAAGGAACTCGAGTCGGTGTGCAACCCAATCATTACCAAGCTCTACTCGCAGGCCGGTGGTGCCCCAGGAGGTGCTGCTCCAGGAGGAGCCGGATCAGCTGGAGGACCAACCATCGAGGAGGTCGACTAATTTAATGCGCACTTGATCTCAGCCCTGTTTTACCTTTTAATTATTTCCCATATTTAAAGTCATCGTTTTTCGGTGAAACTCCCCAACTAATCTAATAAATTGTTTTTGTTAGATCTCAAACATTTTATGGTTATCCGAAATAAAATGTTGACTGACTTCGTTGTTAATGTAAACAATCCGAAATAAAAGGTTGAATCAAAATGATTTTTATTTATTTTATTGTTAGGGGAGTGGTAGATGAGGCAGAAATTATTTACGATTCCATTCGAGATCCTGAGTGGGAATAGAAAGATTCTTGTACTGACATTTTTCGCGGCCTTGGCACTGGTTGAATTGAGTTGCTGATTACGGTGGGGCCGGTGAGTGAGTGAAGTTCGGGGATCTTTGGCGGTTTTTTGATGGCCAATGCGAAACCGAGGCAGCATAGACTCAGCTGATCGAGCACGAGAACGATGGCGAGCAAATATGGCCATCGGAGTTGGCAGAGGCCGATGTGGAATCGTTTCGATTCGCAAATCTCGCGAACTCGAGGGTTCTCCCATCCGTAGGGGTATAAAATACAGCCGGCCAGCATAAAAACAACTGAAATTTGGAGGATGATTTGAGCGAATCGGGATGAATTGATAATTACAGGCGAAGAAGTGAAGCCACGAGCAGAGAATGAACGCGTGGCGATCTCTGAGGATCACGAGAAGCTGAAAAATGATTAAGAGGAAATTGGCCAAAAAAGGAGAAAAAGAAGAAAAAGCTCTCGCTTACCAGAATGCAAAAAATGGCGAGAAAACTGAGGACGGTGGCGGCGAGCACGAGAAACGCGGCGATCTCGAACCACATACTCAACGGTCTTATGCGGAACGGACTCCATTGGCAATCATTCGTTCCGCAATAGTCGTACAAACCGAAATAGCCGCCCTCGTCGTTGCCGATCCACGTCGGATGGATGAGGACGAGCGTTTGAAGGACCGCTGAAAACACCGCGTGGCTATTTTTCGAGAGCGTCGCGAATGCGATTTGAATCACTTGTGCACAATCCGCATAGGACCCAAATGGCGCCGACGACTCGCCAATTCCTCGTGTATATCGAATGGTAGGCCAATGAGAATTGCTGCATTCTTCCGTCGTCGTCGTGTCGTGTTGATTTGCGGATTACGGTGGCGGCGCGAATTTCGGATTACGGTAGGTGACGCGTGGCGACGATGTGTTTACACTTGCGAGCTGGAGCAGCGTACGAATTCTGCGAAATCTGATTGTGATGAGCAATTATGGAATATCGAAATTGGTGTGCTACTTTATAAAAAAAAAGACGAAACGAGAGAAATTTCATTGTTAACATCTGCGGACGTTTCACGGGCGGCAATTCAAACGAGTGTGAACGCGAATGATAAGAAATCGAAAATGGCAGTTATTACAGTAATCGTTAATTGCAGCATTTTTAGAAACCATGGACACCAGAAATGGTTTTTCTAAAGAGTATACGAGAGATATTTTTCAACTACATAAAGGTTACTGTAGATCTTTAAAGGCGCATGTGGAATAATTTTAAATAAGAGAATTTCGTCATATTTATTGCGAAAAAATTAATTGAAACTGCTAAAGACACGATTTCCGAAGGGTATTTTAATGGGTACCAAAAAAGGAGGACTTTGGTTGGTTTTTTTTTCCTATATAGATGAAGCTTAGAGTTGAGGGTGAGAAGCTCGAAGTTGAAGAATTTTGATCGAAACAAGAATTTTCGGGAAGCCCCATCGATCGATGGGTGTCGAAAAAGGAAAATGCGTTGATGAGTGCGAATTAGTCGAGGCGAGAGCACATATAATTCGTTTTTTTTCCGCGAGTTCGGCGATGAGAAACAAAAAGCCGCGCACGTTTCGTATTACAAAAGGGAGCTCCTCTCCTCCTCGTTGCCTTACGAGGTGGTGGTGGAGGAGGAGGAGGAGGAGGGGAAGGTGAGCAGGAGCAAAAGTCGGTCAACACACCGTTTTTCGACATGTGCACACGAATCGCCGTCGCCGCCGCCTGGGGAGCGGTCAAACACACGCAGGATGCTGATCCAAACCGTTTTAGTCGGATCGGATCGGATCGGATCGCCATGCTTTGTTTATTTTTAATAGTATATACGTAATTACGATTTTTGATAGAATATTAAACCGTTAAAATCGGTTTTTTTTGGACTTTCTTCGAGAAAAGCTCAGACGAAAAAAAAAGACCAATAATTCCAGAGTCCGCAAACACAGCCAATTAAAAAAAATCCAATTTTGGAGGCGCCTTCAAAGGGACCCTATTGGCGCGGTCAAATTGGGGCTCACCACATTGTCCGTGTGGAGTACACGGCGCCTCGAGACCTTTGTGGAATCTCAACGATGGTTATGGATTGATGGAGGGATGAATTTGAAAAAAATTTGAATTTCGCGCCCTCTGCGATTCAGTGAGTCACGAAAAATGAAATGTGCTCATAGTCCGCTAATTTGACACTTTGAAAAATCAAAATGTTGAAAATTCATAAAAATTTTTGCTTTTTCATATTTTGATAATTAAATTGGAAAAAAGAAATTGAAATTAAACAATAAAAAATTCAAATTTTGAATTGCCGCCTCGGGTCCCGTATGGAAAGCGTTTAGCAGCGGCGTTTTTGCATTTTCCAGTCAACATAATTAAGAAAAATGGGAATAATGAATATTAATTGCCAATTACATTCAAAATTTTCAAATTCGTGAACGGCGAGACCAAAAATTATTTTTTTTATTCCCTGCCTTTAAATTTTCGTAATTAATTAATTAAATTGTTGTTTATTAAAAAAAAAGGACCCATAGAAACATAAAAATTATACCAACATTTCTGAATTTTTTTTTGAATTTTACAACAATGAGCAAAACCACAAAATCAAATGCAACACCAGCTTCGACTCTTGACGTTTGGCTGCATGTCGAGCTTCAACGCCTCCTGCAAATGGTTGTCCTCGCGACGTTGAAGGCTTCTGAAGACGTCGAGTATTGTCGACGATGAACAAGAAGCGACAACCTACTCGGCCATTTGCCGCATGCAATTCTCGATGCCATAGCCGGTGTAAGCGCTCGTCTCGAAGAATTGAATTCGAAACTCGCTGGCCAACTTCTCGCCGGCGCGAAACACCGAATTGCGGGTGATGTCGTTGCCGAACAAATCGACCTTGTTGCCGACGAGACACATCACCGTCGTCTCGTCGACGCCGGCCTTCACCGAGTCGATCCAATTGCGCACGTTGAGGAAACTCTGCTCGGAGGTGACGTCGAACATCAGCACAACGCCGTCGGCTTTTCGAAAATATTGTTTGGTGATCGACCGGAATCTGGATGAATCATTTGATTGTTGTTGGAAGTGGTAGATCAAAAAAAAGAGAGCACCTCTCCTGTCCTGCGGTGTCCCACAATTGCATTGCGATCGTTCGATTCGGCGCGATTTTCATCGTCTTCACCGTGAAGTCGACACCGATCGTCGCGTTGAACAGCGGTTTGAAGCGATTGTGGCAGAATCTGGAAAATTTTTGAGTTTTTTTTGCAGCGAAAATTTGTCCGCAGATGCGAATTGTTATTGTGCTGGCCCAAAAATGCTCTTGAATTTCACTTTTATTTTTTGTTTTAACAAACTTTTGACTTAACATATTGTCAGCGTCAAACGACTAAAAATAGGAGGGACCTTCAAATTCGCGAAATCAGTGTAGATTTAAATTTATCGTTGGCTGAGTATTAAATGCGCGTACACTATAATGCAATGTACGCAATCTCGTGACGCATTGGCACATAGCCAATATGATTAACTTGTTCCTTGTTTTTTTGGCACATTCCAACCAGGGCTGTGCGCAATCGGAAATTTCGGCAATTCGCCGAAAATCAAAATTTCGGCTATTAAATGCTTTCAACGATTATTCGAAATATAAATACCGAATTTTCACGGTATCCCAAATTATTCAATGGACATTGATTTTTGTTTCGCCGATTTTTTTTGTGATATCAAATTGCCGAAAATCAAAATTTATCCGGCAATTTCGGCAATCGGCAATTCCATTGCCGCACAGCCCTGATTCCAACTACGCTTATATCGCGCGAGGACTTGCGCCCTACAAGTGGTGATGATGTAGTGGTATGTGCGTAGGTTATCAGGCGAGGCGTTTTGGGCTCAATTCCTTTACCCTCAAAAGCTTTTGCAAAGAATTGCGCGAACTATTTGTGTGCAAAATTAGAAAAACTTTCAAATCCCTTGATAAAAACATTCCCTTTGTTCATATCAAGTTTTATATATCATCCAGAAGCTTATAAAATGCTTTAAAAACCTGAATTGTCCGTGTGGAGTACATAGACGTGTCACTTCAGCGCCATATGTGAATTTTTTTGTCACCCGAAATAAAAAATGTGAAATACGAGTTTTTAATTTTTTTTTACAAATTTCACATAATTTTTTGAAAATCAATTATCAAAACATATTTTTGAGATTTTTGTTGGCGCAAGTTTTTTTTTCACTTAAAAATAGTGATACAATTTTTTTCTGAATGAGAGAATCAATGCGCCTTTAAGAAACTCTCAAATTAATAAAAACTCCAATGAAGGATAAATTGAATCTTCAAAGATTAGTTTTCAGTGCAAGAAAAAGGCACAAACACGTCGATCAAGGATGCGAGCAATTCAAAAATTGGATCTGCGGACAATCTTACGGGCCACCGACCTGTGCAGGAAGCACGTTTTGCCAACCGCCGAGTCGCCGACGAACACCACTTTGAATATGCGATCGGGTTGGACGAGCTCCTGGAAGAATTGACAGATGATCGATGAGAATCGAAAGAAGACCAACGACCTGCGGACCATCATTTCCATCGCCGCCGCCGCCGCCGCCATTCTCAATCGCGTGCAGCTCATCGGCCAACGACGACACCTTCGGAATATTCATTTCGGGCTCAATTGGACGATACAAAGGCTTCTGAAGAAAAGGGAAGGTGTTATCATGGGGAAATGATGGTCCCACCTTTATAATGACGTCTGGAAGTTGTGAGACGTCGTCGGCGTTCGACTCGAACTGTTTGATCTCCTCGAGCTCCTTTCTGAATCAAATTGGCATCACAAGCATCCTCTGACGCCCCACCTCAACATCTCGGTTATCGGATCGTCAACAGGATCGGATTGAAGTTCGCGCATCTCGTCGTCGAGACTCTTCGCCTTCAGATGGCTCGGGACCATCGACGATTCCGGCGAAATCAAACTCTGATTGACGATGGTCTCTGCAAAAGAAAAAAAAAAGAGAGAATCGAGAATGAGTAGGGCGAAACGTGCTCAGAATTCGACAGAACGCCGATTCGTTGACGCGCTGATCGCCGATGAATTTGCGGATTTTCAGCAAATCATCGGGCGGTATCAATTCGACGAGCGCGTTCAAATTGTCCTGCAAAAAATCATTTTGTCGATGGTCCCGCTTGTCAGATTCAACCTTTCCGATGGTCCCTAGGCCATCCTCGTCGCAGAGTTGGTAGAGTTTTCGCGTCTGCAATAGCATGCAAAAATTTTTTTAGGTTACTTTTATTTCAATTTCTATTTTTTGCTCGACTCACCTGCTCGTGAAAAATCGACTCCTCCGAGCTGGAGTTCGACGCGGACTCCATCTGAAATCGGCAGGGTTCTAGAAGAAAAAAAAAACCAAAGTGAAGGGACCATCAAAATCGGCTCTCTCTCTCTCTCTCAATTGCCCCCCAAAAAAAAAAACAAATGGAACAACGACAAGAATGACGAGAAAATTGTGGAGATTTCTTGTCATATAATAAAAGAGGACGAGAAAAAAAAAAGAAATTTATTATAGCAATAGTTTTTGGGAAAAAAACGAGTCGAAACCAAAAAATGGTGGACAAATAGCGTCGAAATGCATCAAATTTCGTCCGGGCAGTCTAAAAAAAATGGAAAAAATGGCGAGAAGAATGAGAACATTAATTCGGACCCCAAGCGGTGAGCCCGGGGGGGGGTCGGCGATGTCTTTAAATTCTATATAAGGAGAACAGTGTCGCGAGAATTGAGACGCCAGTTGGTGATTGATTTGTTCTGGGGCGGCAAAAAAGTTTTTTTTTTGTTATTCGAATTCATCTGCGGACAATTTCAAGGTTCCTCATTTTTCAATCGCAATCCCTTAATTTTTCCAATCTGCGGACACATTTCTGTGAACCCGCGAGACGTCCGCAGATAGGGGTTGGGGAGCCCTCTTTTTCAAAACGCGAAATTTGGCTGGTCTCAAGCGGAAGAAAAAAAACAACAAAATGAATCGGGGGGGGGGCGATCAAAATTGTTTGGCAAACAATAATCTCCGGCCAGCTGGATTGACATATTTGGAATGCGAAAATCAATAAATGAGTTGGAAACACACACACACACAAAAACACATTGCAACTAGTGCTACAGTAAGTCGCACAATGTCCGCAGATGGTTTTTTTTAAATTTAAATTTTTGAAATTTGGCTTCACGAGAGAGAGAGAGCGTAGAACAATTATTGGATTGAAAGCGGTGGGGAAATAAATTGAATAAAAATAATCGAATGTCTATATGTCGAAAAGCGTTCCAAATATGGGCATGAGAAGAAAAATGATCGCGGCGCCGCCATTGAATCGATTTTGTCAATAAATGTGGCGATATTTTTTTTTTGAAATGCCGAAAACCAAATGTTGTGCTTTTCTGATGCCAATGGCATTGATCGGACCGACAAGAGCGCAACAAAATGAGAAACATAAGTGGCGCTCGAAAAAAGCGCCATAGAAAGGGTCCTCTGGTGTGGAGGCGGACAAAAAAAAAACAAATTTGAATAGAGCCTCCCGTTCGGCTTTAAGTTATTCATGCTGCCGACTTGATATTTGAGAAGTGACGAGAAGAAGAAGGGGGAGAAAAAATTTTTTTTTGCTCCCCCATAGCACACAAAAAATTGAATTTCAAATTATCCCGAATTCGCCGTCGCTGACTAATTGGCCGTATTCGAAATTTGCGGAAATGCGCGATATCGAAAAATTCGAGTTTCGATGGAATTTTGAGAATTTTCGGAAATTTATCGAAAAAAATGACGTCTGCGTGGTTTTTTGATAAAAAATTTTTTTTTGAAAAAATTACAAAAAATTATTTTGCCGCATTTTCATTTATCATTATTAAAGCTCTGCTCGAATATGCATAATTATCTCTAATTAATTAATTAGCGCAGTGTTGCCGTCGATGATCCATTTCGGCGTACGTGCACTTGGTCACCATTTCGAGGTTCTCGAAGCGATTCGTCCGCAGGTAGGCGGCGACGAGCAGCGCCAAAAAGTAGATCAATTGCGCGTAGACGACGATCGGCGTCGCTGAAAATCGCGAATATTATCTGCGGACATCATTGCGGGTCGCACCCATCGAATCGCAATAGGGCGTCTCGAGGAAATCGTCGACGTCGGCGACGACGACGTTGTGCGACATGACGACGCCGGCCGACAACGCCAAACAGCCGATTTGCCATTTTTGGGAGGTCTAGAGAAAATTTTGCAAATGTTGGGTAGATCAAAATTGGCGCCAAACCTGCTCCATTGCGCACACGAGAAGTTTGAGAATTGTCGAAACGGTGAGAATACAAATCGAAGCGCGCGAGAGGAATATCACTGAAGGCAAAAAAATGGTAATCGAAAAAGTTTTGATCTACTCACATTTGGCGTCCTGTTGGTAGTGCAAACACGTCAGGTAGAACAACGCCAATTTTTGCGTGAACTCGAGAAGAATTAGAGGAAGGCCTGAGGAAATGATAAATAATGCCATCTGCGGACACCTCGCGGGTTTTTGCGTTTGTCTCGAATTACCGAAAAATCGCTGAAACGTGTTGGAGCAGCTCGTTCGCGGCAAATTCTTGACGACGACGCACTCGAACAATGAGACGGTGAGATTGAGGAGGACCGCCGCTCGGAATAGCACCTGAATAATCGATTGAGCCGATCGATGGGATTGCGATCTTACTTGCGCAACGACGATGTGGTTCATTGAACGGAAGATTGACGTCATCCACTCGTTGTTGGGCACAGTGCGCTCCTGAATTTTTTTGGAACTTTGCTAACTAGAAGGCCTTCTGGGTGTGTTCACCAAATTTCAGCCTACAGATGAGTTATGGCCTTCCATTATCAGCAACCATTTGGGCAAGAGGTTACATATATGCCTCTTGGCGCCGCACTCAAGCATTCTTGTGAGGTGGAGGGGCAAGTGTGCTGGATAGTAATTTTATAGCGAGGGTTCGGCCCCGGTACCCCCCCCATTTTTTCTTTTTGCCATAGTAATTAACAGTGTATTGCAACCTCTTTGCCCATGTGGTTGCTAGCAATGGAAAATCGAATTTCCAGATGGTCATCGGCAACCCCTCAGGCTGGAATTTTATGAACACACTTGTCAGAAGGCCTTCTAGTTTAGATGCAAAAAATTCCAAAACGGGAGGTAAAATGAGATCTCCTGTGAAACGAATAGGCACCCACCACACAATAATTGAAGAAGGAGTTGCCATAGCTGAAGCGGTACTTGCCATCGAGCAGCTTCCGAAACCAGTCGCCGAGTTCGCCGTACTGGTAGTTGCCGTCGTTGTCGACGAACTCGAAGTACATCGAGCCGTTCTCGCGCGTCTAAAAAAACTGGATTCGATTGTTTTTTTGTTTTGTCTGCTGCGGACATTCTCGGCCGACCTCGAACAATGTCCGCAGCAGGTTTTGGCTAAAATGAAATCGCCGATTGCGGAACGCCAAAATGACGCAGATGAAAAAAAAAAATCGAATGGCGGCTTTTTACGATTTCGACGCTCGTGACCAACTGTTTTGGTGATCGCGTTTCCATTTAAGGCCAACATCATCTCGCAGTGAACTGGAAGGAAAAACGAAAAGCTGGGCAAGTTCTTTTCAATTTAACGATAATCGGCACAGTGTTCTTCATTACACATGCATTCTTTTTTTTCGGGGGGCGGCGAATAGCTTCGTTCGAAACTTGACAGCCAATTTCAATTAATTTCCTTCCAAAACACAATTTTTTTCGTCATTTTTCTAATTTCTATAGAGAGGGGTCAATGCGGAAAAATTTGAAAAAAAAATGGGAAAAAGAAAAAATATTATTTTTTTTGGGTGTGTGTGGCCAGAATTTTTTCAGCGGCAAAAAAATGATGAAAAAAAATCGAGACGAGACCCATCGCATAAATAAATGGCATGCGTCTTTAAAATACCGTAAGCGAAAACATTTCATCGAAAAATTTGTAAAATTCCGAAAAATAAAAAAATGCATGATTTTAAAGACGCATGCCGGTTTTGTTTTGTACGAAAAAAAAATTTTTTTTGCATTAAAAATTTTGGATTGAAAAAAATTTTTTTGTTTTCATTTCATCGAAAAATTTGTAAAATTCCGAAAAATTAAAAAAAAAAATTTTTTTTCGCCAAAATTTTTTGACCCCCTCACCAACCCACCTTGTAATTTTCGATGACATAATTCGTCTGGTTCGAGTGCATCGACTCGTCCAAATAATGCGGAAGCGCCGAGTAATAGAGCGCGACGGCGACGAGAATTGTGGTGTAGATCAAAAATTGGCGCGAGACGCGCCGCATGTCGAGCACCAAATACGTGGACTCATCGCTCTGCTCGCTCATCATCGCCTCCTCATCGGATAAATACAATATGAGGATATGTCGCGACATGGCGATTGATGGATGGACACCCGATTATGAAAATGGAGTTAAAGGCGGGGGAAGATGAGGAATGGGGGGGGGGGAAGGAAAGGAGTGCCTATTAACGACCATTTTTTTTGATCTACGATGGGAGATTAATAAGTGATAAAAGATGAATGTCATCGGTTTGGGATCGTTTTTGAATTGCCACATTCTCTTATGAAATTGTTGCTGCCGACATTTTACGGCATCCGTTTTATTGTCCGCAGCATGCCATCTTCACAAATCCGTTGTAAAACCATAATGAACAAATAAATAAATAATTGAGTCTCAATGAGATTTTAAAGGCGCATGCCATTTTTTTTCGTGCAGCGATTCTCAACGCTTTCATTGCAAATTTTTGAAACGAAAAATGTGACTTTTAAAGGCGCATGGCTCGCTCATCATCGTGGTGCAGAGTCTCGCCGCGAAAATTGCGATTTGTTTCGATTTTTCGATTCCTCTCCAAAAAAATCTTGCAAAAATTGAGAAGAAAACGGAAAATGTTTTTTTTTTTTTCATGAATAAATTATACGAAAATGTTTGAAATAATATTTTTTCTCAAAAAAATATTTTTGACTATTTTAATATTCATTTTTTTGCTGGCTAAAATCGCCCTAGAAAATCGTCAAAAAAAAGGGTCAGAATTCTCAAAAAATGATATTTCTTAAGAAAACCTGAAAATCAGCAAAAAATGCGATTTTCGCGATTTTATGCGCCTTTAAAGTCTCATAGCATAAATGCCTGGTTTTTTTGCTTCCCCGACATCAAATTTCGCCTCTGCGGACATCTCACTGGTTTCAGGTCAGGTCAAACGAGTCAATGGTGCAGAATAAATCGTGGCAAAACGAAAATCAAAAAAAATTGGAAAAGAAAACACGAAACAGTCATTGGTGTTGAGAAATCTGGCGGCAATGAGAGGCCCAATTTGGTCGTCATCACGCCAGGATGGCTAGGCGTCGAAATAAAGAAAAAAACGAAAAATTGTGACACAACAACATTTTTTTGTGATAACATTGCGCAATTAGGGACGGGTTTTTGCCGTCGCAATCAAAAAAAAAATTTCCTAGAGACCCGCGAGATGTCCGCAGGTCGGATAGCTCTTAGTATCATAGACATTCGCGGGCAATCTGAGATTTTCCCTCAAATCAGCATTCAATATTATTTCAATTGACATTGCAGTTAGTTTTTTTTCTCGAAAATCCGGTTCGTGAACATTCTCAAAAAATGTCCGCAGCTAAAAATATGCAAAATGTGATAAGAGATTCAAGTTTTCTATTGTGTAGGGGCGTTGGTGGGAGAAAAAGTGACGTCGGACGACGTTTGACTGCTGAAATCGTTGTTTATGGCCGATGAATAGGCTTAACGTATACTATATACATATAATAATCATAATAATAATATGGCATAATTAAATTCGGGCCTCCTGCCAAAACCGACTGGATTTGCCGTTTTGAGATGGGCGCCTGCGGGCAAGCAAGCTGGTAATGACCGATTGGCGAGCGATTGAATACAAGTGAATTGTCCGCAGCATGCTCTCTATGAGGTCAAGTGTTGGTGATCTCGCGCATTTGGTCGAAAATGGAATGTTCGAGGTGACACCCGCGAGGTGTCCGCAGCTTGAAGTGCATAGCACACGCTGAATAGTTGAGAATCAACTACAAAGCAAAACGCGCGAGATGTCCGCAGCTCGAAGTGCATAGCACGCGCTGAATAGTTGAGAATCAACTACAAAGCAACACCCGCGAGGTGTCCGCAGCTTGAAGTGCATAGCACGCGCTGAATAGTTGAGAATCAACTACAAAGCAACACCCGCGAAGTGTCCGCAGCTTAAAGTGCATAGCACGCGCTGAATAGTTGAGAATCAACTACAAAGCAACACCCGCGAGGTGTCCGCAGCTTGAAGTGCATAGCACGCGCTGAATAGTTGAGAATCAACTACAAGGCAAAACCCGCGAAGTGTCCGCAACTTAAAGTGCATAAGACGCGCTGAGTAGTTGATAATCAACTACAAGGCAAAACCCGCGAGGTGTCCGCAGCTTAAAGTGTATAACACGCGCTGGGTAGTTGAGAATCAACTACAAGGCAAAACCCGCGAGGTATCCGCAGCTTAAAGTGTATAACACGCGCTGGGTAGTTGAGAATCAACTACAAGGCAAAACCCGCGAGGTATCCGCAGCTTAAAGTGTATAACACGCGCTGGGTAGTTGAGAATCAACTACAAGGCAAAACCCGCGAGGTGTCCGCAGCTCGATCGCGCCAAAAGAAATGAATTTCGAGAAGTTGTTGAAAGGACAAAACACAACAACGATATTAAATGGGACTTGTCCTCAACATTCGTCAAGAAATACTTTCGGCTGGAAAACGTTTATTCACGCGCCATAGAATTGTTCGAATGTGTCCTCCTCCTCCTCCCTCCCTCCCTGTACGCAAATCCTCATCGTCACTCACTTTTCTGTATGCGAAAAGGGCGCCGACGGATGAATTGGTGAAATGTCGCCGATGAGGTCAATGGGGCAGGGGGAGGCCTCCCGCATGCTCCTTGAAATATTCCATGATCGTCTGAGTCCCGAATCGCTCTGTTCAAGCTCTGTAGCACAAAAATACGGGTAAAATTGGATTTTATTCAATTCGACAAAAAAAAACGGATTATCCTCTTTCAAATATTCATATATTTCAATTTTCAATGTGCTCGCTTTTAGACCCTCGAAAATCGTCAACATTTGATTTATTAATTGCATTGTTGAAATACGAGGATATTCAATTTCCGCTAGAACATCTGCGGACATTCTCCGAAGAAAAAACAAAAGCGATTAAGCGATCTGCCGACAATTTTCCGGGTTTCGCCACCATCGCCTTCTTGTGTTCTTCAGCATTGGCCGCCAATTCAAACCCAGGGGGGGAGGTCGAGGCCAGGAGACATCTCGACAATTTGCCTAAATTAGGCCAAATTCAGTTTCAATTCTTTTGGCGCGAACAAATTCTCGGCGTGCGCCTTTAAACGCCGATAGTTCTGCCAAATCCTTCTTCATTATCATTTCGCAGTCTTTGCTTAATAGTCTGCCATAAACCGCCTTATAGCGGGCGTTGCGTCGATTTTAATGCGACCCCCCCTCCCTCTCAGAGCCTCCTAATCCGTCGGGTTGAACTATTCAAATGTAAGTAGGGCTATTCGAAAATCGCCGTCTGCGGACAAATTTTGGGCAAAAATAAAAAGTAAAAACGAAATTTGCGTTCATAAAGCTGTCAATATGAAAATATGCACAAACGGACTAGGCGAATAATGAAGGAAACAAAAATTTCAACAAATGCACCATCAAATTGAACACGAGGAATCATTGACCAGTCAGATTCGAAAAAAAGTGAAACAACAAAAAAAAAATGAAGCTAAAGTGAATATGATACACGAATTAATTTTCAAATAAAAAGTAATTTTAGTCCTTTCCTTTTTTGGGCTTGACTCAAGACTTTGGCGATTCGTGTTTGACTCGCTTCAACGTCCGATTCGGATCCGCCTCCGTTCTCGGCGGAAGCGGCGGCGCAATCGGCGAATGGAACAACGAGCTCATCGATGAGACATGCGGATGATGGGTCCTGAGGCGAATTCCTAAAAACACACATTGCAAAAAAAAGAATCGCGTTCCAAACCGTCAGAATTCTGGCTCGTCGGCGTGCTGCTCGTGTGAATCGACGGCGTCGACGGCAGCGCCATCTTCTGATGCGACGACGATTGTCGCGACGTCGCAAACGAGTGTCGAAGGGCCGATGACAAATTGTCGAACGACGGCGCCGAACGATTACTGTAGATTTGTTTGAATATCAAAAATATGAGATTAATATTCGAAAAATTTAAAAAATTTTCATTGAATTCGCATTTTTTTTTCAACCCCAAATTCGAAAAATTGTAATTTTTATGAAAACGTCCACAAATTTCGCAGATTGCAGAACAAAAAAAAAACTCGGCCAAAACCACACTTTTTATTAATTCGCTTCAAGAATCATGAAATTTTATTTTATGCGCCTTTAAGCGCAACCAATAAGCCGTTTTTCTTTTAATTCAAGTTTTTTTTAAAATTACGCGTATGATGCGGTATTGCAGGCTTCGAATATCATGGCAGTGGCCGAGTTTTTATTTTTTCGACAAATTGTTGTCTGCTATCAACATAGCGATTTTTCGAGCTCTTTTTTCAGCCATAATTCATATCTGCCGACAAAATCGACTTACGAGATCGCCGCCGGCGAGGCCGTCCCACTCGTGCGCTTATTCGACGACAACAAATTGACGACCGCGTTTCCGAGCGCCATCGCCTTCGTCGATTTCAACGTGGCCATTCCACTGAAATCATTGGGTTCGTTCATCCAGCGCCATTCAAAATATGTATAAAAGTACCTAATCTCGCCAACTTGCGAATTACTATCCGATTCGTCCGATTTCGACAATCGAATCGAGGCATTCGGCGGTAGGCGGGAGCGCTGGAAAAAAAAACACACATTGAGAAATATTGTGGCGCGGAAAATTGGCGAAATGCCAAAAAAATTTAAGAACCGGTCTCGATGCGCGGTGTGCGCCTTTAACCTCTCCATTTACTTAGGCCCGTAAATCTAAACTTCTATTTTTGTGCCAAGAATCCCCACTGTCATTGTTTTTTGGCATTTAGCCAACTTTCCGCAATCACTCTGAATTACGCTGACTTCTCTACACTCTCTCCATTTTCGTGGTCTCTATCTCGAGGCCACGCCCCCTTTACTATTTTTCGCAACAAAAAAAAACAACGATTTTAAATAATCCCTCAAGAAATCGTATGCGCCTTTAAAAAATCGTAAAAAAAACTTTTCGCGATTTTATTATTTTTTCAATGAATGCGATTTCGCGATTCGGAGACTTCTTCTCATCGCCGCCAAAGGCGCATACAATAAAATTTCATGATTCTCGCAGCGATTCATCGACAATTCTTCATAGCAGAAACAAAAAATCGAGAGAGAGAGAGAACGCATATTTGAGAGAGTGCAGAGAGGAATTTGATTTTTCGTTACCGTTTTTCCAAAATGCAACTCGACAAATGATCGATGCGACTCAAACGCGTCGGCTAGCGGCTTGTTCAATCGAGTCTCCTCACCCTGACTCTTATTCGAGTACACCCAACAGCAATATTCGAGAATCTCCACCTAGAAGGCAATTCGAAAATTCCAAAAAAAAAATAGCACATTCTCGAAACCTGCTCAATGATGAGACTCGTCAACTCCATGATGATCATCTGCTCGCCGCGCTCGCACACCTCGGGGCATTTCTCATCGAGAAACACCACGTAGTTCTTGATGCCGCCCATCACCGCCGCCTGGCATACGCCGAGAATCTCGCGGCTCAATAGTTTGAGATCGTATTTCGAATTATAAGCGACATTCGTCGCGAGCTCGTTGAGCTCGCGATTCTTCTTCTTCATCGTCTCGACGGCAATCTGAAGGGGGCTCAGATAGATCGGCTCCGATATCGAGACGATCTCCGAGAAGCGCAAATCCGACGGCAGTGTGTCTTCAATCGTTATCTGCCGCTTCACAACCCAATTGCGCATGAACTAAAAAAAAACAACAACAACACGTATTACTGTAGCAATTGTTCACACTGTACATCAGACTTCTCATCAAGTTTCGTCCACTTCGTTTCTTTTCGCTCCTCCGTCTTACTGTACTCAAATTTTTTGATCTCAAAATTGATTACAAGTTGATTTTTGAGGAGAAATTGAAAGCCCTACATCATTATGCCGATAGAACATTTTGATCGCCGGATTGATGGTGGGCACACTATCAAAAGAGCATCCCTCTCCAATCGGCTCAATATTGAACACCTGGATGTATCGGCCTTTTGCGGTTGTCAAATGCGAGCAATCATCGGTTGTCATGACTTTTTCCGGATTGTCGAACATCTAAAATCGATGATTGTCAACCCGAACATTGTCCGCAGATGTGGTTGTCACCTTCATGATTCGCGCCATAAAATCGCCATGCATTTCCAATTTGTCACTTCGATACACAAATCTGAAAGCGATTCGAAATTTCGACGACTACCAATCGACGCGTACTTATGACCATTCAGGTAGTCCGGAAATCCTCTGCCATAAAATGCCACCTGATAATAATAGCAATAGGCTCTCTCTTTTTGATCAATGTCCGTAAACAGATCGGCTATCGATTTCTGTAAATGCGCCTTTAAATTGGAAACTCAATTGAGCTGAAAATTCGACCATGAGCTCCGCCAACTTCGCATAGTCGACAATCACATTCTCATAAACGGGCATCAACTCTCTGAAACAAACAAAATATGATAATTTTTTTTGTGTTTTCAAATTAACTTACTTGTAAACCTTGATCGCATCCTCCCAATCCTCCCCCTCAGCCAACAATTTTCCAGCTTCAATCATCAGATTCTCTTTGAGCTGCCTATTCGTCGAACATCCGCGATGCCATGAGCGCAACACCATAAATTCCGGCAAATTTCGATCGTCCCACTTAAAAAAACAACAAAAACAAACTATAATATCAATTTTTTCTTCTAGATTTTCAGCCAAATCGGCTAGAAATAAATATGTGCCAAAAAATGCTTGAATGAATTTTCTTGCAAAACTCACATGAAGCATGACAGCGTGTCGGAGAAGCGTTTTCGCCGCTTCAATCTCATGCCCATACGACATATGAAGATTGTAGAGCTTATAAATATACTTCACATACAATTCCTCATGATTATACGTGTTGTAGTATTTCTGAAGAAGAAATCAAACTTTAATAATTGATTGCAAAATTCACAACATTCTCACCAATAACTGAAGGGCTCGACTCATCAGAATATCGGCGCATTCGGTTAGATTCGAGGCGGCATCGTGATATTCAATGAGATGCGTTAGTAGTAGATCAATTCGATCGATAAGCTCCTTGCCGCCATTCGACATCAAATCCTTATCCGATCTGACCAATTCAAGAATTTAAAACAAATTTGAGCATCGCTTACTGGCAACGAATAATCGACAACTGTCGGAACTGCTCTTTGAACGCCTTCGTCGCACTGTGCTCGCCAACAATCGAGTCGAGTTGGGCGACGAGCTCCGACGCGAACTCTTTGAACGAACGACTCGAGCTCGTGTTGTACTCGGTCTGCATCATGTCGAAGAATATTGGTATGATCGCCTCGCGAGCATCATCATCATCGACCAGTGACACTTTCAGAAACGCGCCGACCATACTCGGAATGTAGATCAATTTTTGAGAAGCTGAAAATCGCACGTGGGTGAGCTTCCAATTTTTTCCGTTCTGTTGGAGTTACTCACGACTCAATCGGAACCACATGCTTCGCAAATCTTTCGCCGCCGCTTTTCTCAATTGCACACGAAGGTCTTCATCCTCCTGTTTCAGCCATTCATATTTCGAGTCGAGACCTTCCTGCGTGATGAATGACACAACCGTATTCATGTATTCCTGCCACATCTGCAACCAGTTTTCGCATTTTAAATTCCGAAAAAAATTTTTGCATTATGCGTCGAAATTTCAATTCACTGTTTCATTGCTAATATGAAAGCAATCAAAATTCTTTTCGTTTTCGAATTGTGCAAGTCGATTAATCGACAAATTCCGTCAAAATTCGTGCCAAAACCCAATCAATCAAAAAAATAATGAGAATTTTAATATCACCATTTAATATTATAGGCAATATGTCTCAAAATGTCTCACCTCAGCGCAAAAATTGTCGTTGGAGAAGAACGATTGAACGGCGCTCATCACAAATTTGAGCGCCTTGTGGATAACCCTGAAACACGAGCATTTTTAAATATACATAAAAATGTCCGCAGCATCGAAATCACATATCAAAGAGAAATTGGGATAGCGAGAAAACTTACACAAACACACCTGTGCGGTAGTTTGCGTGTGTTGTGTGCAAATACCAATTCAAAGTGGGGGGCAATCATGTCTATGAATGACATTGTTCGGAAATACTCACTTATTCTGCAGCATGATCATATCACGCCATGTGGCCGGAAACGCGTTCCGATTGAGCAGATCTCGAATCATCAGCACCATTTCCATAAGAAAATCGCGTTTGTCAATGTCGAACGGCCTACAATTTGTTTCGCCTATTATTTTGATGATTGAAAATTGCCGATTCACATTTCTTCAACGTATTCGCCGAACATCTGGGCCGACATTTTGTCGAGAAGCGCCAATATCACCGAGAAGAAGTGCCCGCGAGCGTCGTCGTCCTTAAATTCCAATCAATTAAATCCAATGTGTCAAAACGCTTTTTCGCTTTACCGTATGCCGATCGTCTTGAATCACACGAATCATCGCCTGAACGAGCGGCCGATAAACGGCGAGGATGAAGCTCGACAATTCGCGATTCTCCGCCTCACCGTGAGTGGTCTTAACACGAATCGAATTGAATCCTTTTAAAGGCGCATTCGACCTACCGCGTCGGGAAACAATCGCTCAATGATGGCGGCGATGACGCTGGCGCATTCGGCGGCGCGATCGGCAAACTCGGCCCTCTCAAATGAGGCGTTGTCCAAATCAATGATACTCAATGCCATGTGAAGGCACGGAGAGAGAAGCTGGTCGCGGCATTGCGGAAGCTGAGAAAAAAAAAACAACGCACAAATTATTGATGAATCAACCGAATTCGATGGTCCCTCACCGAAAACAATTTCGTTTCAACAATTTGCGCGATGAATCCGAGTCGCTCGCGAGTGACAATATTCTGCCCGAAGTTGTCCATCAGGTCCACAATGAAGTCACTAAACGATTTGAATGGTCCCTATATCGACATTTGTTTTTTTTTTATGCAAAACCATATAATTCGCGTCGCACATGCGCCAGAATCATTGAGTAGATCGATAATCGTCGGAATATTTTTGAGCGCCGTGTTCTGAACCGTCATTCGCGGCCGCTGATCGGCCATTAGGTAAACTAACGCCTTCATGAACTCTTTCAGATATGAGGCGAAGCTTTTCGGCGGTTTGTAGTCGTCGACAAATCTGAAAATATCACGTTTCGCTTGGGGACCGCCATTTTTGAAGCAACTTTTTCGAGCATTTCTCCGACGCCACCACAATTTTGAACAGCGATCCCATCACTTTGAACGAGTTCCTCGACTTCTCATTGCATTCATCCGAATCCGTCATCACATAGTGAATGAGGCATCGTAAAATTTTGCTGGAAAAAAAAACCAACCAAAAATCGATTTCGCGACAAAAACAAAACGAAATTTACGTGGACGCCGACGTGAACGAGAATCGCTTGAGGTAGGCGTCGAACAGTTTCGACGCCTGCGCGTGTCGTTGATCTTCGCACAATCGCATCACCGCAACGATCGCGTCGAACACCGCCATTTCGGCCGTCTCGCGATCATGCCAAATTTCGAAGAGCGCGTCAAGCAGTGGCGAGAGGAAGCGAATCATCTACAAAAAAAGAACATACAAAGTAAAGGCAGATTTTTTTTTCAAATTCCAGAAATCCGGAATGATCTCGGCAAGAAGTTTCGATTTGACTGCGTATCAAACATAAGGCACATGCAAAAATAAATAATTGTTGGTCAAAATTCGTTGAAAACAAGCTTTAAACATGACCCGAAGCACACCTCATTCTCGGTTTCGCCAATCGGCTGCGACAACGCCACCAGCGAGGCGTTCAATCCAATGCAATTCATGCGCCAACGCAACACCGTGAGCAGATCATGATTCTGGGTGAGCAGCGACGAGCACGAGTGCGTCGCGATCAGCAGCGAGCTCTTCTCGCTCAAACTGAAACCGGGCGCGTGCGGTTTCGCGTGACCGCCGGCCATCGACTCTTTGATGGTCCTGCAATGAGCAATTTAAAAAATGCACCATTTTGGGTTCGTTCGTCACTTTTTCGTCGCCGGCAAACACATGTAGGACGTGTTCTCCTCGTCAAATCCATTTCCAGACGAATCAATCGAAAAATTTTCACCACATATTTGGAAATTCTCAAAAAAAAAAATGAAAATTTACCTTGTAAACCGCCAATTCGTGCTCGCCATCACCAATAAGGGCGGCATTCCGAATGAGCTGGACATGAGCAATCGAGAATGGTCCCTTCTCAGATTTGCTCTTGTCATAAGGCTTCCTTGAATACAAAAGAATCCGCAAAAACAAATCATGGGAAGCCGTCTTTGGCAGATTGATCTAAACGAACCATCATGTGTATTTGCTATTACTAATTAATCAATTAATTACCTTAATTGGTTCGACCCATTGCGGTTTATCGGTTCTATACAACACGACACTCTTATAGACGGTTCCTAATCGGGACCCTGTCACCGACATTGTCTCAAACGCGTTCGTCACCACATTCCCATTGGATTCGACGACATGCAAACGTGCCTCAATATTGCGATCCGACGATTTATCGCAAAATTCGCCTTGAATCAATGTCACATACATCTCATTGCGGAATTCTTCTGAAATCGAGCGTTGTCGTCGATTACGACGGCATAAAATAAAAATTACCAATCGAAATTGCCGTTCGATCGGCTCTTCTCAACATCACCGCCGGACTGCGACTGAACAAATGAGGTTGGCGCGTTTTGATCTCCGCCGAAGTGCCCGGAATCAATTGGGTGCTAATAAGGAGCTTCGAGGTGTCTGAAATCCGAATTCATTTGAATGGACCACAAAATGTGCTTCTCACCGAGCTCACTAGTAATCGACTTTGGTATCCTATTGGTCAATTGCAAGGATTTAAGGGCAGTGCCAAGGTCCTGATCCTTATTGAGGAATATCACACGCTCTTTGGCTTCATTCAATGGTCCCTTCTGTTGGAAAATGCTGGAAACGTTGAGGACGTCAAACGCGTACGCTGAAATTTACAAATTATATGGATCATTGCGATTCCGAACCTTGACGACAGAAATATGATTGTGGGATGACGGCGTCACCTCCGTGCCGTTTGATCGTCGAGCTCGGATTATCAATTGGGGCGATATGTACAACGCGAGTGATCATGACAATTTTGCGATCAACGTCATTCTTGTTGAAATCGGCGAATAATGCGCGAAGGTTCAAATCGCGCTGTTTGCCGGTGCTCGGATTCCACAGGAACACATAGGCGTCTCTAAAACACTCAAATTTAAAGGCGCATCGATTCGTCGATGGTACGTGGTGAACATCTTCTTCTCCATATCATACAGAACAATCGACACCTCACAACTATGCTTGGTATTCAATTCGACCGACTTTATCGATAGCAAAAGTGAGAAGCTGCCGCTGAGCAACGAATTTTCATGACTATTTTTCTGAAAAAAAAAACAATAGTGAGATTTTTAGAGGAAAATCCGAAAAATTCGAATTACCAGCTGATTGGAGACCCGTTTTTGAGATGAGATGTGAGTTTCGTAAATTGTGAGAAGCGTCAGACCTTTTTCGGCGTCCTGCGGTACTCCGAACTCATCGCGAATAATTACATCGAGGCCGAGAAGCCTGAAAATGAAATTTAAATAAATATTAGAAGAATTGAAATTTACATATTCCCGCGATCCACTAGATTGGCGACGGTGAGGCGAAGAGAGTTCAATTCTTCGATTGGGAGGCCGCCTGAGCAATCATAGACTAATTAATATCTAATTTAGAGGCGCAATTACCGTTTTCCAGCTTCCTCTTGATTATCATCAATTCGTTGAACGACTCCATTAGAACGTCGATCGACGGAACATCGGTGCTTTTCAGCATGATCTCTTTTATCTTCTTCCACCACTCGTTCAATACCCGACTGATTTCGGCGATCACGAGTGTGCCATCGGTCACAGAAGCGCATATTGGTTTATCGACGAATTTGAGACAAGCCACGGGGAAAATTCCCCACTCATCTCGAACATCGAACTTTTTTCCGTATGCCCAACCGTCCAGTTCGCCATACACACAAACGCGATCGCCAATATACAAATCAAGCTTTTTATGAAATTCGGCATCGTCCGCAACCGATTGCTCGTCGAAGTTATGGTTTGCTGAAAAAACAAAATGCGGGCGATGTGTACGTTTGAGCGCGACGAGTTGTTACCTATTGCGTAGCGGATACCCGTGCCAGACATTCCGACATCTAATTAATTTAGTCTGAAATTTTGAAACTCGCAAAAAGTCCGCCGAAATACAATGAAAAAATGTCGAAAAAAAATGATTTGAAAAAATTAACAGAATGTTGCAAACGCGCCCCACCGCACAATACGAGATTTCTTTGAAAAATTTCTATTTTTAGATTTTTTTGTATTTTACTACGGTATTTTCTGAAATCAGCCAACTGAATCTTCAAAAACAAATTTAAAATAATTAAAAAAAGCATGAATATTCGAAAATTCGCACGTAACACATTCTATAAACGGGGCAAAAAAAACATGTTCGGATTTTCAACGATTTGCGTAGATTTCAATTCTATGGCCAATTTTTTTTTGCAGTAAATGACCAGAAGCGATAGTGATAGCGATGAGATAGACGCAATTCCGAAATCCGCCATAAAACCGCCGCCGCCGAAGAAGAAGAAGGTGCGTAAGAGGGCACCGAAGAAGAGGAAGACGAGCAACGATGACGACGAGGAGTGTAAGAATTCGCGAATCGCCAATAATCTCGATTCATTTTTTTGTAGATCACGAGAATCGCGCGATGGTCAAGACGCTGAACGAGAAATTCAAGTCGAAAAAATTGAAAAATGATGAAGCGCCGACATTTACTGTAAAACACGGGGTAGCCGAGTTTCGCAACTCGGAAAACCATAACACAATCGTCTCAAGAGCCTGTGATTATAATATTAATCGTATTTCTCAGGTAATTCCATTATTGTTTCTTTTTTTCATTTTGGAGCCATTCATTTCAAAATTTGGATTACAGTTTGAAGAGCAGTCCGACGCGTTCGAGACGCCATATGTATGCAGTTTGTGCCAATTGGGCGTTCAATTCGACGAGCTCGGCGATCTTTTTGGTCCCTACTATGTGAATTTGAATTCCGCCAAAACGTGGCCCGCGTTTTTCGGGAAACGGCCCGCGAAGAAATTGGTCCGTGTCGAATTATGGTTTCACGGCGATTGTGCACTCTGGGCTCCCGGTGTGCACATGATTGCGAATGAGCTTTCCAATCTTGAGGTGTTAGTCGAAAAATTCTGGTCAAAGGTGAGACAATTTTCAAGTGTGCATGCACACACACGCAAAATTGCACACATTTTTATATTTTCCAAAATTTTTCTTTTTCAAGAAATTTCTCCACATTTTTGTTTCACAATTTTGGCGCGCAATTCAAAAATTCACTCGCTTAAAAAATTAAAGGGGGTCATTTGGGCTTTTTTTCAATTGAAATTAAAGGCGCATGGATGTGACAATCCATTAAAGGCGCAAAATCTATATACATAGCCAAAATGAGCAATTGTGGACCATCGAATTTTTCTCGTGGCGGCAATTCAAATTCGAGTTTAAATTATTGGAATTCGGGTTACCGTAGTCCGGAAAACCTGCGAATCAAACTCGTAGTGAATATCAATTTTTCTAACTCATCTATTTTCAGAAATGCGAGAATTGCTCGCTGATAGGCGCCACCATTCAAACTCCCGCCCATAAACCGCATTTTTTGCATTACAAATGCGCTCTAAATCGCAAAGGTATGATTAGAACTGGAAGAAATGTGCCGAGAAAAAGCTGAAAAAAAAATTTTTTAAGTATCCAGTGAAAAATTTTATTTTTCCTACTCTGCCCCTTTAAACAGTAATCACTGCTTCAAAAAAGAGTGTTGTTTCGGCAATGTCAATTACAAATTATTTTGAATAAAAAAAAAGATTTTTTCCGTTTTCCCATATGTGCCTTTAAACAGCTACCGTAATCACTGTTTGGAAATAATTGATTTTGTGTGATAAAAATCGAAAAAAAAACTTTTTTTTTTCAAAAATTTTCCCTTTCCCTGCTCCTTTAAACGCCCACAGTAAATTTGTCCGACGCATTTCTGAAACCGAATCGAACCAAAAATGCCGAATTTCAGAGTACAAATTGGACTATCAATCCCTAACATGTAAGCTGAAATAAATCATTCCATTTCGTTTTATGCACGTTCTGTTTTATGAATAATGAATAATTGACATTCGGATTGTTCTCTTTTCATTTTTTTTCCTCTCGCGGGGAAACTAATTTTAATAAAATGCTGCCCTCAATTTTTTTTTTGAAAGGGCAAAGTCCACATTTTTCTAGATGTAGCATTTCGCAATTTTTTCCGATTTTTTTGTGTTTGTTGGAAATACAGCGAAAATCTCCAAAATGCCGGATTGCCATATGATTAGGCCATCATAATCACCGAATACGGGAAAACAACAAAAATAGATGTTAACGTCGAAAAATGTGTTTGATGACGTCATGAACCGATAAGAATCCAAAATTTGGCATTTTAATGATTTTTTTTTCAAAATCGAAATGCGTCCCGCAATTTGTCCGCAGCAGCATTTGATTAAATCGCCGCTTTCAACCCTCACCGGTTATTAATTCCACAAAATATTGCTGCGGACAATTTTAGCAAAGAATTTCAATGAATTTCAAAAGCAGGCTTATCACAAATGCCATCTGCGGACAAATTCTTGTCAAAATTTTCTTTTTTTGTCCGCAGATGTTTGAAGCGGCATTCAATGTCGTTTTTTTTTCGCCCTATTCATCGTATTTTGTCTTCCTCGTTTTTTTTTGCCCGGGCCCACAATAACGTCATTCTTGGAGGCTCGACGCTATCGATCCGTCGTCGTCGCCGCCCTTCTTCTTCTCTGCCTTATTTGGAGTGGCGTCTGCTTCTCATTCAACTCCCTCCACCCACCCCCCTCAAAGCTTCAGCCGCCCGGCTCGGCGCGCCTTATTTTTCGGCCCAATGCTGCTCAATCGGCAGCCGCTCGTCGCTGTTTTTTCATGCCTCTTTCTTCTAATCGTCGCGACGACGCCCGTCGCCCACGCGTTTCTCGGATTCGGCGCCTCGTCGCGGGATCCCGCCGTCGACAAAAAATGGTCGCATTATCATAATCAGGCGGAACTTGAAGCGGCACTCGATGAGATCAACAACAAATGTCCGCAGGTTGGTAGGGGATTGAAAAAAAGAATAGAGTGAACACAGTCAGCGCGTGTTATGCAATTTCTGCTGCGGACAATTTCTCAAATTGATAATACACGCTGCACGTGCTGCGGACAATTGCCGGCTTCTCGCCGACATTAATATTTCATGGAAATTCTCATCGATTTTTCTGATGACGCGCATTAGCCAAATTTGCGCCCGCGAAATGTCCGCAGCACACAATCATGATAGGTTTTCTGCGATGACTCGCTTGATGACGTCATCCAAAAAATATTTTTCTGTTCTACAAAAGTAATTTCGCGTCTTATAAGCCGCCATAAATTGTTCGGCTTTTGGCCAAATGTGCCAAAAAAAAACCAATTACTTTGTCGACATTTCGCGTTTCCATTAAGATGAAAAAAAAAACGATGGAACGCTGCAAGTGCGCTCTATTGCCAATTCCTGGTTTCCGGCACGAAAAACGCAATTTTCAGATCACGTCGCTCTACGAAATCGGCAAATCCGTCGAAGGCCGCCCGCTCATCGTCATCCAGTTCTCGACAACCCCAGGAATCCATGTGCCATGTAAGGGACCATTGAAAATGGAACCAAACCAAAAAAAAACAACTGACGACGATATTTTCAGTGAAGCCCGAAGTGAAGCTCGTCGGCAATATGCACGGCAACGAGCCGATCGGTCGCGAGCTTCTGCTGCGCTTCGCCGACACACTGTGCACGGGCGCGATCAACAACGACGCCGAGGTGGTGCAGTTGCTCAACTCGACGAGCATCCATATTCTGCCGTCGATGAATCCCGACGGTTTCGAGTTGGCGCTCGCCACTGAGCCGTCGAAACGCCAATGGCTGACGGGTCGCGGCAACGCCAACAACGTCGATCTCAATCGCGATTTTCCCGATCTCGACGGCGTCTTCTATGAGCTCGAGAAGATGAAGGTGCCGAAGTTCGATCATCTCCTCGCGTTGTTCGACGACACGCAAGACCGCCAACCGGAGACGTTGGCCGTCGGCCAGTGGACGCTCTCGTTGCCGTTCGTCATCTCGGCCAACTTCCACGAGGGCGACCTCGTCGCCAATTATCCGTTTGACGCGGCGCGCGACGTCGACGCGTCGACCACCGAATATTCGGCGTCGCCCGACGACGGCACGTTCCGATGGCTGGCGAGCACCTACGCCAAGAATCACGCGCATATGGCGAAGAACGATCACGCGCCGTGCGACGGAACGAGTCAGGACGCGTTCGCGCGACAAGGCGGCATCACCAATGGCGCCAAATGGTACTCGGTGGCGGGCGGAATGCAAGACTTCAACTATTTGGCGACGAACGCCATGGAGATCACATTGGAGTTGAGTTGCGAGAAGGTTTGACATCAGCAGGGTCCCACCAACCATCTAGTTGTTCAATTCCAGATGCCGCCCGGATCGCAGCTTCCGCAATTCTGGGACGACAACAAGAAGGCGATTTTCGAGTACGTGTGGAAAGCGCACAGCGGCGTCAAGGGGATGATCGTCGACGCGGTCAGCGGCGAGCCGATCGCGCACGCCGTCGTCTGGGTTCGCAACGGCACCGACGCGACGCCGATCCGCCATCCGGTCACCTCATCCATCGACGGCGACTATTATCGCATTCTGCCGGCCGGCAAATACGAGTTGTTCGTCGCCGCCGACGGCTACGCGCCGACGTCGGCCAACATCACCGTCGAGAATAAGGTGCGAGACGGCGCGCTTCGCGTCGACTTCGCCCTTCAGCCGGAGGCGATCGCCGACGATCAGCTCGCCGATATTGTCGACGAGATTCAAGCTGAAGCTTATGAGCCACACGAAGCCGCATATTAAACAAATCGCTACGAGTTCCAACCCCCGCACCCCACACGCAAAAATGACATCTCACGATTCTCAATCATCCTCCGATTATGCATTATCAAACCAATAAAGCGATCCGTCTGTTTCCTTAATTATTTATTCGACACGATAATTATGTAGCTAATTGGCTAATATGGCGCAAATTGGTACCCAAAATCATTGAAAGCCTCCTACATTATGAATTTGCCGCAGTATTTGTACGTGTCGGGATATGTCGCGTTCATGATTGTGCTGAATTTGCGGAACGCGCTGAAAATCGTCATCATCATCGTTGGCATCGTTCGATTGTTGGCTCACCGCGCGCGAAGGCGTCGCTGATGTGTGAGCACCGCCGACGACAGATTCGTCTCTTTCGTCTTGACGCCTTTGTGCACGTTGAACACGTGCGAGACGAGCAGAAATTTGTAGCCGGCGCGGCACAGCTCGTAGACGAGCGCTTGTTGGTCGCGAATTCGCGTCGGCATGAATTCGGCGTTGTGCGGATCGTTGCGATGGAGGATGAATTGCGCCTCCCATGAGCTGCTTCTGGAAAATCGAATTGACAAAAGCTGTGTTGACGTTTTTTCTTGTCATCGTGCCTGCATGACTTTGTTTTTTTAGGGCTTCCGTTTAAAAAATACCCGCCGGAATCGTCCACAAGATAAAATTTAAAAAAATAGTATTTTAAATTGTTGGGCTTGAGTCTCGCATAGAAAAACCCCAAATCGATTTCTTAAGGCCATAATATCAAAAAAAATTCCAATTGGCAAAGTTGGAGCATAATGGTTCGAAAATTCAAATTCATTAGTCCGCAACAATATTCTTAGAAATTATTTTGATTTCCTCTAAAAATCTAATTATTTTTTCAAATATTTATTGTGTTAAAAAGAAGCGGCAAACTAATCTAAAAATCTCACAAAAATTCAAATTATAAATAAAAATTTTCGAAATAATGGCGGACGTGATATGTGCCATGGCCGAATAATTTGTGGCCGCCCGATAATTCGGCCACCTAAATGGAACCCTTAAACCAAATGGTACCATAATATTAAATAAAAATTTACGCATGTATTTCTATTGTTTGCGCAAAACATTTTTAAATCGCATTACTGCAACCGAAAAAATATATTTGATGGCGAAAATCGTGACAAGATCGATTTTGACATTAAAGGCGCATATTGAAACAAAAAAAATAGCTCACTTGTAATCAATCTCCCATGCATATGGCTCAGTAGTGTTCTTCGACATTCTAAACCATTGCCATAGCGATTCGATAGTGTGTCCCGCCGGAAAATATTTGTGATGAAATTCGAATGCCCTGGAAAAAAATGAGAGATTTGAAAACGACAAAAAAAACCCAAACCGAAACGCTTTAATCATGAGAAAAAGTTGGCGAGTGTCTTTCGGAATTTTCGCCTTATTGTCAACCTCGAAGCGCCTAGAATAATTCACCAAATTTTTGAGAAATTGATTTCAAAAAAAAAATGTTTTCTACCGTATCACTAGAAGATTCTTCTGCTTCCCATCGATATATTGATTGGCGAGCTTTTTCATTTTGAGCGCGAAACCCTCGCTGAACACCATCTCGATGTCGGCGAGCATTTGGATGTCCGACGGTGCGCCGATGCGCGCCACGTTGCGCATCACATTAATCGGATAGATGCCGAACGGCGGAATGATGCGACTTCGCTCGCGGGATCCTAAAAATCGATTTTGACGTTTCGCGCGCGTTTCGATTATTGCTATAATCCTCTTACACTTTTTGTTGTTCTTAACCACATTTATATTTGGGTTCAAATAAAAAATTGGTACCTGATTGAGCAATGGGGAGGACCACCACAGACGACAAAAATGCAATTAAGCAATGCTAGACTTTTTTTCAATATATAAAAAACTGTAATTTTTAAAGTTTTCCTTTCAATTTTTCCGCCAAAACTCGGGAACTTTTCAAGAAATAAGAAATGTTTGAATTTTCGCCAAATTTTGCTTACATTTTTTGGCCTTTGATCTCGATTTATTAATATTTGAAATTTAAAAAATCGCGCGGAAATGTGTGAAAACTCCGTGACGCAAAGTTGCAGAAAAAAAACAACACCCATTTCATTTGAATTAATTCGAGATTAGGTGGTATCTTATCAACTAGTACTTTTAAAATTTTAAAAATGAAATCTTATAGTATTGATTCGTCAAGCTTCCAAGTATCAGGCAAAATTTCGAATTTAATTTAATCGGTTTCCACCTGCGGACATTTAAGCTTACGAATTGTTGCGTTGAACGTCGCGCATTTTCTGAACGACCTCTTGATTGTCACCGGATTGCACTCTAACTGATACGGCGATTTTCTATAGACGACGTGGACATTCAGCTGTAAACTACAGGGTGTCATTTAAGTTCCCGCACAAATGTTAGACGCCATGAAAAGCTTGGCTGTCGCACTTTTCGTGCACCAATACAATTTATTTTTGTTAAATAAGGTGTATTTTACTTACTTTTCAAGTTTCACTTCATTCGGATGTGTTTCCGAGAAATGGCGAAGGCTAACATTCATCGCGCTTCCATTATCGAACTTCATAAGCAAAATGTGAGCCCGAGAGACATCATTCAACGCCTCGGTGTGCCTCGTAGAACGGTTTAAGACACCAACAAACGTTTCAAGGAGCTAAATACGACCAGTGACCGTCCCAGACAGGGAAGACTCGTCTCAGTAACCACTCCTCAGAAGATCAACGCCGTCAAAACGAGGATCAGGCGAAAACCGCACAGGAGCATAAGAAAGATGGCGTCAGACATGGGAATGAGCATCTTCGCTATGGAACAAATCGTCAAAACAAAGCTTGTACTGACCCCATATCGTGTCCAAAAAGTGGCAATTCTATCGGCCGTCAACAAGCAGAGACGCTTCGAAAAAGCAAAACAACTTTTTGCTCGCACGCGGTCTGGAGAACATCTCGTCACTGTCTTCTCCGATGAGAAGCTGTTCACTGTGGAGGCGGCATTCAACTCACAAAACCATTGAGTACTTGCCCAGACATCCCAGCAAGCTTCAGAGAAAGGAATAACAATTTATCCAGCCTCACATCCTGCCAGTGTGATTGTTTTCGGTGCCATCTGCTCAACCGGGAAGTGCCCCTGGTTTTCGTGGATCAGGTGGTGAAAGTGAACAAAGAAGTCTACGTTCGGGACATTTTGGGGAAGCATATGATGCCCTGGGCCCAAACGCATTTCGGTGGGAAGATATGGGTCTTTCAACAGGACAGAGCACCCGCCCACACTGCCAAAACTACTCAGGAGTGGTGCCAGACCCATTTTCCCGACTTCATCAAGTCATCCGAATAGCCTGCTTGCTCCCCAGACCTGAACCCGCTTGACTTCTCCGTGATGGGGTCTTGCAGGAGAAGGTCAACGCAAAACCCCACTCAAGTGTAGAGGCTCTGAAGAAGACATTACTGGCGGAATGGGACAATCTTTCCATCGAATACCTGCGTACCACAGTCACATCCTACCCGAAGCGTCTCCGCGAAGTCATAGCTGCGAAAAGAGGCCGAATCGTAAAGAGTTAATAGATAATTATTTGTTGTACTATAGATAAAAAATATTTCGAGTCTCGTTTGATTTGGACTTTTAGTTTCAGAAATATACGTCTTCAAAGTTGTGCGGGAACTTAAATGACACCCTGTATGCGAATCGCGCTAACTATGCCGAGAATCTCTCGAACGCTACCTTGGAATTGATTTTCGCCGAGCAACGATGCACCTCATGAATGTAATCAACAGCATCGACTGAATATTGATCAATGAACAGCGACACCGAGATGGGACCATTCCAATTTCGCGTTGAGCATTGCGTTTCGATGTCCCTCATAAAATGCGAGGTGGCGTGCATGATCAGCGATATCGGTTCGAGACCGTCTTCGCGAAATCTGCAAAATGCGCCTTTAAACAGTGAGGGGGGAGGCTCGAGAGGATCTCACGTTGACGATGCTTGCGTAACATTAAAAGCCACACAAAATTCTGAGCCGTGTTCGATGGTCTTGAAGCGAATAGTCGATTCATCGTTGTCTCGGAGACTCGTCGAGTTTTGAACCGATTTTGTTGGAGACAATTGCTGCCGCTGAAAATTGTCCGCGGATGGAAATCATAATATCCGGTCAAAAATGTGATTTCAAACACTCACATAGGTGGTATAAAAATAGGCGCAGAATAGGATTTGAGTGATAAAAATGATGCGAATCAACGCCGATGATGGGAATCGCATAAAGAATCGAGCCAGTCGGATTGTGGTGTCGCGATTGGCCGAAAAAAATTTGGCGAGCGCGCATTTTTGAAAACGTAATCCCCCGCCAACGGATTACATAAATCAACGCCTCGTTTTGTCGTTTCATTCTTTTCTCGCTAAAAAAAGGACAAATTTTGGCGAACAATTTAAATATAGTCAATTTTGACCCGAAAAATTTGCCGGGCCTTATTTTACTTTCACAAATTCATTAAAATACTAAATTATCACACAATTTATTTTAAGAATTAAAAATTGAAGAAAAATTGTTTTATAAGCAAATTTGAGGCATTTTAAAATTTATTCAATAATTTTCATTTGGTTGGCATTATGCGCCTTTAATATATATATACTGGAATTGAAATATGTTTGATATTCAACCAATACGAGACTAAAAATTTGATTTTTTATTCCAGTGGAATTAGCGAGATCAAAATGTGATTTCGTGTCAGAGTCTAAATAGGGACCAAATTTTGGCTTCCTGTAGTGAATTGATGATTTTATGGCCTTTAAAAAAAACATTACTTCCGGTTTTGCTGTTGATACCAATTTTTCTGTCGTCTTCTCGTCATCCTTCAATAGCTATCGTTCACACCCACGCCAGCCGGTGGTCTGCCATGACTCGAAGAGGGCACTCGTGAGAAAATCGCCCAAATCAAACGATTTTCTGAAAATTTTGCAAATAAGCGAAGCGATGACTAATTTTCACACAATTTTCGAAAAAAGAAAATTTGAGAAAAAATGAATTTTCAAAAACAGTGCGATGGAGCGCACTTGCTGCATTGTCTGGATTTTTTTTTCGTGAATTCTTCAAAAAAATGACTCAAACAATTCAAATTTTCCCATAAGTGTATTTGTTTGAGCTAAAAATTAGCTGAAATTCCATTTTTTTCGCATTCCGATTTTCCCACAACTTTCCATAAAAAGAGGAAATAAACTAGACAAAATGTCGAATAATTTTTATTGAAAAAAAAAGGCGATTTCAGCACGTAATTCCACCAGTATGATTATGATTTCCAGTTTTGGTGGTGATGAGCACGCGTGAACACCTGGAACGAAGGGAAAAATGATGAAAAATAGGATCATGCAAAAAGCGAATCGGCTCAAAATTTCCGGCAAAACTGACCTAGCTAGGGCTTGGCAATTTTGGCCGGTTTTGAGCTTCTAATATGCATCACTACAGAAGGCACCTAAGATTATTGGTGAGGGGAGAAAATTGAAAAAAAAAAGTTGATTTTTGTGCGCGACTTACAACACTCGAATTATGCAAGAAGATCTTCCAACGAAAATGGAATAAACAAACGACGAGTCTGAAATTTGCGGAAAAAACTCTGAAAATCGGCGTTCAGCATCGTTCTCCTACCCATCAAGAGAATGGCAAATCTCCCAGGCGAACGTTGACGTGAAAAATACGAACCATCGATTATCATTGAGTGTTGAGACGTAGTAGAAATTGAAAATCTCGTAGAAGAATAGGATGCCCTGAAGGCAGGATTGCACAAAAAATCGAATTTCGACTTTTCGCCGCTTCACACTTTGCTCGTTCGTCGTGAAATAGGTGTGCTTTCGATGGAACACGAGAAGCGTCTGCAAGCCGCCCAAATGTCCGCAGCTGATTCGATTCAATTCTTACCAATGTCGCGAAATCGACGGTGCTCATTATTATAAAAGTGCCGACGCTCGTATAATAATCGGTATAAGTGGAAATGACGAATCCGCAATAAGTCTCGGCGAAGTTCCATGTCCATGAAGCCGGCGAATAATAGACATAGCATTGATCGTCTAGAATTTGAATCATGTAATAGAGCGAGGGAGCCGCCACCGCCTACACCAGAAGTATGGGACGACGTGCATGATGGCGACGAGCCAAACGAACGCGATGATCAGGTAGGTGTTGGTTCTTGAGAAGATCCTACCCGCCTTTAAACAACAATTCTCATCATCGAGGCCACCCCCCTTGGAAGCTTACATTCGATGGCGATAAAATTGATATCAATCGATTCATTGAGATCATCAGATGCGAATAAACGCAAACATCCCAGAACATGATATTGATTTGGCCGAGGATTTTATTGAGCATCCCCTCAATTTTCATCGATTGTCTGAAATTCTAAAGATGTTTTTTTTGGGTGGCTCGTCGATTACACATAGGTCGCCGGCGCGGCCCACGCGAAAAATACTAATAAGACACCCGAGTCGGCGATCGAATGGCTCAGGCACATTGTGCCGAACGAGTTGCGCAGTATCGGATTCTTGAGCACCACTATAATTCCGACAATGTTGAATAGAAGGCCCGAGAAGGCCACCTGGAATGTTGTTCGAGGCTGGCTTCATTCGAATGCAATCCAATCGCTTACCATGAAAATGACCAATGAAGCGAGGAGGACGTCTTCTCGCGGCGCGCCGCCTTCAATTTCAGCAAGCGGCATTTCTGGAGTCAGCGAATCTTATTAACTATACATCGCATAGGTAGCGCAAATTCGTTTTTTTATATATAAGGCAATGATTCCCACGTTCTCCAAATTGAACTCGTGCTGATTCCACAAAGACATAGAGAGAGAGAGAGAATAATCAAATTTTTGCCATAATCAAATTTTTGCCATATTAATTTTGAGCACGTTTCAGTGAAATTTGGCTTTCTCTTTCCAGCAAAAACTCAAATTTCATCAACTGATGCAATATTTTGAACGCGATTTCCACAAATTCAATTTTTTTTGTGAAATTTACCCGATTTTTGAAATTCAGTTCAGTTATTGAAAAAATTCGAAAAAAAATTGTAGCGTGGGATCACGTAAGCCGATTTTTTTTCTACTTCTCCGTTTCTACTTCTCCGAGCAGTTTGAATGACCCGATGTGTTTTAAGATCACCGAGATAAACGAATGACAAAAATGCGGACTTGTGCATTTTATTTGACGACAAGGTGCCCCCCTTTAATCTTGAGCGCATTCGAAGAATGACACGCAAATTCACGGCCAGTGAATTCGAAAACAATTTTAAAGGCGCATATCAGGTCTCGAACGGAATTGGAAGCTTATATAAATTATTGAGATCGATGTGCGCCTTTAAATATATACTTAGGTCTCGAAGCGATTTCAATTGTTAAATTTAAAAAAATCCTCAACAATCAAAATTCTAAAATTGTGTGATATTTTACGTGGCGGTGTTTGCACAGATTACCATTTTTCTACATTGAAATTTACCTCATTTTTTTCTTTTTTTTAAATGAATAATTTTCAATTTTTCACACTTCAAATGCTAATTGATCAATATTAAAAACCAAAAAATCAAAATTTTATCCATTTTTCAAATTTTGAATTTCTTCAAAAAATAGGATTTAAGAATTTTCGAAAAATTGAAAACTCAATATCGCATCAATATTTTTAAAATTCAAATTTTCAATTGCATGCGCCTTTAAAGCCTACTGTATTTTTTTCAATTGGCTTTTCATCAAAACCTCGTGATCGAGAACGAAACTTAAGAAAAATTCATAATACTTCAGCTATACATTTTTGGGTCCCGGCACGAATGCTCATTCTTCTACAGTAATCGGAAGAATGAAAATTCAAAAAGAATTGACAAAACGAAATTAGGTCATTTCCATCTGCGGACATTCTTCGAGTGACCTTGAGCGTCCCCCAAATTGCCACAAACCCCCACATTTTCTAATATTCTCTCACATTGTTCATACAATTTCAATCGATGCCTTTCCTAACTATGCTTAACTATGCCGATAAAAAAAAATGGACAGAAATTGATAACAACAAAAAATGCTAGAGGGGGGAGAACTGCAGACGAGTTTTAAGCGCGCCGCTGACGAACGGAAATCAGTCGGATGTTGAAAATTGGCAATTTTTATTCGGTTCGTCGTCGATTCATTGCATTTCTTTTTATTTTTTGTCGCTTCATTTCAAATCGTCTCATTCTCTGAAACGCGTCGGGGCGGGCTGAAAATTTTTTCGACTAAAAAAATTTTTTTTTATTGAAAATGCAAGTTCGACATCGAAATTTTGCAAAAAATCCTTTTGTCTTGTTCACGACATTTTTTATTTCTGCAAAATTGTGACTTTTATCGGTTTTTTAGTTCAAATTGTGGTCGTGGCCGAACTTTTTTGAGGACGATTTTTCTAGGCCACGACAATGAGTTCGACACCCAAATTCTACAAAAAATCTTTTTGTCTTGTTCACGACATTTTTTATTTCTACAAAATTGTGACTTTTATCGGTTTTTTAGTTCTAATTGTGGCCGTGGCCGAACTTTTTTTGAGGACGATTTTTCTAGGCCATGTCAGTGCGGTCGGCGTCTTGTTCGTCAAGATTCATATGCAAACAAGCAAAATTGCTCACATTTAATAATTTTTAATTTCTTATAATACATTTTCTTTTAAAATTCATTTCTTCAACATGCTAAGCCATAAAATATTGAATTTTTAAATTTTCTATGTAAGATTTTAGTTGGGAATCTTAAAAAAAACCCACGCACATATTTTAATTTATTTATTTTCCTGAACTGACGAATTCAGGGGGATGGGTTGCTTATTGTTCAAATTTTGTCTTATTTTCGATTTGTCCTAGTATAACAGTAGATATCAAAGGCGCATGCGAAAATTTATTGATTTCGCGCTAAAATCAAAAATGACTAACGCGTTTGATCATTCAAATTCGTCCGTCTTCGACAATATATATCGTTCAATGTACTATACCAGCTTTTGCATAGACATGGGCGGACTGTAAACTGTCCGCAGCTGGTTCACGTCTTAACTTTGTCTCCACAGAGGGGCGGTCTGCAAATTCCCGGTGGCCGCGGTGTTTTCACACAAATTTCACGCTTGCTTCATTAATTTCACTATTTTCTTTTGAATCATTTTTTCAGTCTGCATTGGACCCCGACGCAAAAATGCAGAATTGCTATATTACGATATGCTCATGATTTTCAATAGAAAAAATCCGGATACTGTATCTTTTATTCTGCATTTGTGCGTCAGGTCCTGGCGCGGACCACATCAAATCATTTCTTTTCAATTTTCTTCAAAAAACCATTAAACCTCTAATTGTTTGACACAAAAAGAAATAATTTTAGAAAATCGCTGTCATAAGAGGTCAATTTTTTTCGACCTCCACCTTATTATTTTTTATACACCAAACGTTTTACTAAAAATAATAATAACTGCTGCTATTGATTATTCATCGCCATCTCCTCCATTTTTAAATTGTTTTCATTTTTATTGACGTCATTATTTTCGATGCGGCGCCCAACGCCAGTCACTCCCTCTTCGTTCTCTTCTCCGCGATTTTCAATTCAATTTTTTTTGTTGATTTTTCTTTCAGGAAATAATGTACCACATTTTAATAGGTTTATCATGGATGATGATCGTCATCGGCATCCTCACGGCATTCTATCTCACGTTCAAGACAGCGGCTGGGTATGGGCGGTACGCTAAGGCATCACGGGTAATTAATAATCAGTTCAAATAATTAATTCAGATGATTGATTTCTAGGTAACAGTGCCTGCAAAAATTTGCTGGTTTGTCCAGGAGGCGCCAGCGTTCTTCATTCCTCTCTATTTTACATTCTACTGGCAGACAGCATACGGGCTTCTCGCCAATAGCCTTTTTATGTATCACTATGCCTATAGGTAATTTAATTTGGTAAAAAAATAATTATTATTGGCTCGCAAATCATTCTAGAACGTTCGTCTATCCGTTCTCGCTGAAATCCGGAAATAACACGCCGCTTCCGATTTTCATCGCCGGTTTTTCGTTTTGCGTCATCAACGGCTTCATGCAAGGCGCCTGGAATTCGAAATATCAAATGAATTTTGGAGAATTGTCGACATTTCAAACGATGCTTATGATTGCTGGTAAATTGGATGCGAAAAGAGCGAAAAATTAGAAATTCGCGAAAGAAAAAATAAAAAAAATGTCTACAGTAATCCATCGTTTCAAAAATTTCCTCCCAATTCTACGTGCGCCTTTAATGAAAAGTACTGTAGTTAATTTTTTATTCCAATTTTCAACAAATATTTTTCTGTTTTTTTTTCCCGCTAATTTGTTTATTTTCGACGCGAAATTCCACAAAAATAAAAATATTTGCAAATACTGCAAATTAACTATCAATCTACGCTATTTCGTTCTTATCAATTTCTGTCTAGACACAATTTTTATGTTTGCAGGAATTCCAATTTTTGTCGCCGGTCATTTAATAAACAAACAATCGGATTCGATTCTCTCGAATTTGAGAAAACCAGGCGAGACGTCATACAAGATTCCGAAGGGTATTTTTCTTCATTTCTTAAAAAAATCCAAAAAAAATGTGACATTCGGTAGGCGGCATGTTCGAATATGTCTCGTGCGCGAATTATTTCGGAGAAATCGTCGAATGGTGCGGCTACGCCATGTTCACCCAAAGCCTTCCAAGTGTGGCGTTCGCCATCTTCACCGCCAGCAACATCGGACCACGCGCGCTCACCCACCATCAATGGTACCTCGAGAAATTCCCCGAGTACCCGAAGCAGCGCAAAGCAGTTATTCCATTCGTTTTGTAAAATTCCATGTTTTATTGTCAAACATAAATTTATTTCAATCTTTAACCATTTTTTTCACATTAATCACTGTAGATATCGGCGACGTCTTTGTAACTTTTCGCGAGTTCTCGGCGCTTTTCGCATTTATACATAAATATCGCTTCCGAAAATGGAATATTATAACAACTAGTCTTCAAAAAAAAATGAAATTTAAAGCAAAATCTGAAAATGAAACGACTTACCCATCTAAACAATGGCATATCATCCAGGCAAACGTTGAGGTGAAAAATACGAACCACTGATTTGAATTCAAAGTCGTAATATAATTAAACATAAAAACTTCATAGAAAAATAGAGCGCCTTGGATGACTGACTGCAATTAAGGCCAATTAACATCTTAATTGAGCAATTTGAAAAGTTACCTGTACGAAAAACCGAAGCTCCATTCTCCTATCGGCTTTTGCAGTATTCGACGATTTCGAGTTCGAGACATGCTTATTGTAAACTACTAATAAGGTGAACGTGAGCAAATCCAGCGAGCTCATTATCACAAAAATTCCGACGCTTGTATAATAATCGGTGTAGGTGGTGATGACATAGCCGCACGGTGTGTCGGCGAAATTCCACGTCCAGCTCGCCGGATCGTAGGCCATGAAACAGGCGGCGTACCAGAAGTACGGGATGATGTGAGCGATCGACATGCACCAGACGACAGCGATCATGATCGTCGTGTTTTTGAAGTTGAAGAACGTGGGAGCCTGAAAATTTTGGAATTGTTTTATTTCGCGTCGAGACCTAACCTTGGTCGGCATCGATATCGAGACGAATCGATTGAACGAGATGACGAGATGCGAATAGCAGCACGCGTTCCAGAAGAGTATCTGAATCTGGCCGAGAATTTTGCCGAACAGCGAAGTGGTGTTCTCGAATTGCCTGAAAAATTGGCTTTTCACATCAATCATCGTTTTCCATACGAGACCCATCGTCGGGGCAATTCAATCACGTACTACAGGGTTGCTGGTAATACCCAGCCTAGAAAGACGGCGAGTGTGCCAAAATTGGCAATCGAATGGCTAAAGCACAGAGCTCCGAAGGCATTGTGTAGAGCTTTCGTCTTGAGCACAGTGAATAATGCGAGAATATTGAAAAGCGCACCGGAAAATGAGACCTGAAAATTGTCGAAATTTTTATTTTAAAATGAAAAGCACAAATTTTGGAAATATTTTACAAAAAATCAAAAAAAAATTCTATGATTGATCGATTTCGAAAAAAAAATGAAAATCAAAAACAATCACTAAAATCCGCAAAAAGACCCGACGCACAAATGCGGAAATACGCAGAGGGTCTTGACTACCGTATCCGAATTTTTATTTCTACTAAAAATCACAAACATTACGGCTACTAGAATTAGTTGCCATAGGTTCCAACTCGTTTTTCGCGTTATGAGCCTTTAATCGATTATTTAATTTAATTGAAACTCGAAATTTTCCTTAAAAAATCTATATATTCGAATAATTCCAGGAAATTCGAAAATTCGAAAATTTTTCTTTTTGGATTCGTACGGTTATTTGCGTCTTGCAAACAAACTTTACCGTAATTTTCGAATTTTCTTCATTCTTTTTTTTTTTGGCCGCCCAATTCATGAGAGAAATCTTACCAAAAATATGACAAGTGCAGCCAGCTCATGATCAAGCATCGTCGAATTGTGCGAGCCCGGAAATCGCCGAAACTTCCCAGTTCTCACGCCTCGCGGTGTGTCGACATGTGCTCGAAGCCGATGATGATGATGATGAATAGATCAAAAACTATTTTGTCGACATCCGCGGAAAATTGGCTAAATGCCAAAAATAAGCTATGGGAAAGAATGAAATTGTGTAGGAATAATTTAAAGGCGCACACCGCTTTCGATATTATTTTAAAGGTTCATAAGGCCTCCAGAATTAAAATGACGTATTTTTTGAAGCATATGCAAAACGACAGTATCCTTCAAAGGCGCATACTGAAAATTTGGTAATTTCGCACCAAGAAACAAAAATAAATCGGGTCGAATTTTCGGAAATTGTCTGCCTTCGACAACAAAATTAAATCATAATAATAATTCTCCGATAATCCATGTTTGAATTAAAAAAAAGTTCAAAATTCGTGAAAGTTCAAAACCGAATCACGAATTGACAGCTGAATATTATATAAAATGATTTATTACGTTTAATTCATTTTTTTGCGGAACATTTTTTGAGTAAAATCACGAAAGGCTTCCAAAAATGAAACTAATTGAATTGTTTTATAGCAAAAAAAAATCGATTAGACATCAAAAATAAAATGAAATGTGCAATTTTGGGTGTCGGTGAACTCACCAAAAAAGGATTATTCATTTTTCCAATATAAAAAGTTGTGTGATCCCATTTCTTGACGAAAAATCACAAAAAAATATTTCTTCAATTTTTTTCTTCGCATTTTCCCACCAACAGTCTCAAAACAATCAAAAATGTCATTCATAGAAATCACCGAAAATGATATTTTTTAAAATCTCACCTGCGGACAATTTGCATTGATTTATACGATGAGTCTAACTGGAGTAGATGAAAAAGAATCGAATGGCAACAAGGTGACCAAGTAGAAGATGAAGAGCTCAGGTCTGCTCCGTCTATATATGGACTTCCTGGAGAGAATAAAACTCGAAAGCAAACAGTTATTATGGAAAAATGACGAATGTGAAAAACTGCAGCAATATCCTATGCATTGTGTGCGTACACCGAGGCGCACAACTCCATCTTAGCCTACAGTAATCTCAACTGAAAATTATTTAATTAATTATTGATTGTTTCTTTTATATATAACAATTAATTTTGAATAATATACAAAAATTATTACTATTACACTTTTTCAATACACAATATTAATAAAACCATAAATTCGCCAAGAAAACTAAAAAAAAAAAACGAAAAAATGAAATAAATTTTAGTTTAGATTACTGTAGCTCTTGTTGAACTGTGCGCCTCGGTGTACGCACACAATGCATTGGATATTGCTGCAGTTTTTCACATTTGTCATTTTTTTCCACAATTTCACACAATTTTCCGCCAATATCCAATCATTTCCTAATTTTGCTCAATATGACCCTTGCTCACGGAAGTGAAGTAGCTGTCATTCAAGATTTGCAATTCTTCTACTCGTCTCATTTTTTTTTCAATTTTATTTATTTTTAAAATTTGAAAGCACAACAAATTAAAGAATGACACCGTGAATGAGAGTATGACACAATAAATCACAAACAACAATTTTTATACAAATGTGAGAACTGAATGAGACAGCGCGTGAAGATCCGGCCAATTCTTCTCATTAGGGTTCAAGGTGACGAATCATGTTGGCGGCCTGAATGCCGAGTAAGAAGAATGCCAAGTAATTCGTGATCCTGAGCCGGCATTGGTTCCAGTATGGCGTGTAACCCCGGAGTTTTGCGAAGACATTGCTCATGTTCGCGCAAAATTTATCATCTAGAACAACAATTTAATCATTTTTAACCATTTCATTTCCAACCTGTCAACCGTTCTTTCACCGGTTTTCCGTGCGTGCCCTTCTGAATGCGTGCACTCGTTCCCATTATCGATGCCAGGTCTCGCTGCTTCCTCAATCCGTACATGAAGAATAAATACATTATATTTTTTTTTCGCATATGTGCCTTCATTCGACGCTGCTCCGAAAAATCGTTATTCCCCATGAGGGGAATAACTCCACAAATACCATTTCGTTGGCTGGTCTACACTTAGCGGTGCGTATTTGTCCCTCTGAAAATGTTTAATAGTCATATATCTATATTAGTTTTATGTACCAAATTTTACCTTTAAGCCGAAATTCTAGAGACACATCTTTTCCAAGTTCAAATTTAAAAGCCTCGTTGATAACAATGTCCTTGTAATGGACATTGTTCTCTTTCAGCCAAAACTGTCGCCACATGATCAACCGTCTCTTCCGCGAATACGGGTACCATGATCATAGCACCTGATATAGTGTATTTAATTTTTTTCATTTTTTTTAAAGACTAACCTTTGGTTGCTTTCATGGCTGTCTTCCGATCATGAAGATGCACGATGCTTTGAATTGGCCGAATTCTTTGAAGCATTCGTTCTATGAGGTTCAAATTATTCAGCACCTCTGGACCTTTTTCGATTTCCACCAAATAACAAAAAAAAATGTAAATTGTGCAAAAATGCGTGGGACTTGTGAGAAAGTCCCACTCGACGGGGTTCAAAACCGTCGACATTCGAATATGAAATATTTCCGAATTGATTGTTTATTCTGTAGAAATACATTAGCATGATCAATCACAAAATTTATAAAGTCGGATGAATTTTGAAACATTCTTGGGATCTTGAATTTCAGTTTCGGACCATCTCTTTCTGCGATATTAAATTGGAATTTGAATTACCGCCTCGAAAAAGTGCGATGGTCCACAATTGTGCAAGGCGCTTATTTGCAATGGTGATATTGTTGAAGTCAAACGACGAAATTTCAAACATTATTGGCTATGTGCGTCTCGAGACAGCGAGAAGTACGCAAGACTGCGTACATTGCATTATAGTGTTTAATATTCAGCAAACGATAAATTTAAATCTACACTGATTTTGCGAATTTGAAGGTCCCTCCTATTTTCAGTCGTTTGACGCTGACAATATAAACGTTTGAAAAAGTGTGTCGGATTTTCCGCGCGAAAGGCGATTTCAAAATTTGTTAACAAAAATAACTAGGCGACTCGAAATGGGCACTGATTCTATTTTTTTTTTTTCAAAAAAGAATGACATTAAAAAAAATTAACATTTGAATTCAAAATAGGTATTAGAGACGCAAAAAAACGATGGCAAATTGTGGACCATCGCACTATTTTTGAGGCGGCAATTCAAATTTGAATTGAAACGGCGTACCCTGGATGAAATGTGGATACTATTTCGTCTTTACAAACAATGAATACTCGATTTGTGGAAAATAGCCAATTCAAATTAAAATAAAAATTCAAGAAGAAATAAAACGAAAAGCGAAAGACGCGACGGCCTTGGGCAATTAATAAACAAGAGGCGCGAATGGAAATTCGAAGAAAATAATCAAGAGCAAGGAACACATTTGAATTTTAAACAATGTCTAGAAATAGGACGCTTGGATGTTGTAAAAAAGAAAATAATAAGGAGAGGAATGGTGTGGTCAGCAAGTACGCAATGGAGATGAATGAATGGTCGAATGAGAGGTGATAGCCAGATGTTGTCGGTGCCTTTTTCGCACCTATGTGCAAATCCCAGCGATTGCAATTCGCAATTTTCACGGCACAAAATAATCAGCGAAATTTAGCAGTTTGGGCAGTTTTATTTTTTTCGGATTTTACATGTCCACTGCCATTTAAGCTCCGTGAAATTGAATTGAATTGTCTAGCACAGCTCATCGCTGATCTATAAATCCTAGAGTGAATCGAATTAATCAATTCCCTAATTTTATTTTTTACCTCAGATGGATGATATGACGAATAATTTATGATGGAAAGAATAAAATGCATTGGTCCACTATAGAGCCAAAAATGGAAAAATGTGGTCCGTGAGAATTAACTATATGAGAAGCTGTATTCTTGTTAACTATATAAAATTGAATATGCAGTTTCGACTTCTCTGCCTTCAGGAAAAAAATCTACACCTGCGAATTGCTGGTCTTCCAAAAAAATTAACAAAATTCAAATGCGTTCCTTGCTCCTGATTTTTTCTTCGAATTTCCATTCGCGCCTCTTGTTTATTAATTGCCCAAGGCCGTCGCGTCTTTCGCTTTTCGTTTTATTTCTTCTCGAATTTTTATTTTAATTTGAATTGGCTATTTTCCACAAATCGAGTATTCATTGTTTGTGAAGACGAAATAGTATCCACATTTCATCCAGGGTACGCCGTTTCAATTCAAATTTGAATTGCCGCCTCAAAAATAGTGCGATGGTCCACAATTTGCCATCGTCTTTTTTGCGACTCTAATACCTTTCTTGAGTTCAAATTTTAATTAAAATTTGACATTTTTATTTTTTTTTAACGAATAGAACATTTTTAGATAATCAGCATGGGAATTAAGAACATTTTGCAACTACTATGAGTAGTTTCTCCGAAAATTAACAAATGAGTTAAATAACAGAAACTTCCACGAAATTGAGAGTAATTGAAAGAGTGTTTTAATGGAGTAATTAGTAGCAATTAGTAGTGTAAGTCATCTACTAATTGCTACTAAGGCCAATTTTTGTGCTTCTATGTCATTAATTACAACCGGAAAGTAGTCTAAAGGCCATCACAAATCGAGCCGTCGAGCCTCGAAGCACGACAAAATCTCCAAGGCCAAATGCAAAATCCCGAAATTCGTCATCCCAAGATCAAGCAGCAGGGAAACACCCAAGTCATATGCGAGATCAAACACGAAATCGAGATCACGAATCACAATCACGATCCAGAAAAACATATCGTCATCGACGAGAATCAGAAGATCGCAACGATCAACGCCATCACGGAAAAACCGGAACTAAATCAACTGGACTCATCATCCGACGGATAGCCACTGAATACACCCGCGATGGAGACGATTTGAATTGTGCGTTCTGCTACAGAATGCACTTTTCTGACAAATGCTTCGAAATCACAAACGCCAAGGACCGAGAGCGTCATCTGAAGAAAACGGATCGATGCAAACGATGCGTGAAGCGGAACCATCGAAGAATATGCCATTCGAAATGCTCCTACTGCTAAACTCCCATTATTTCTTTACAATAAATATTTAATTACCCAAGTTTGAGGTCTTCCATCCCCTACTGGTTGATAAATTCTTCGCCTCCAAACTTCTCTCACACGAAATGTATTTAGCATTATGATTCACAAAATTTATAAAATCGAATGAATTTTGAAACATTCTTGAGATCTTGAATTTCAGTTTCGGACCATCTCTACTTTTTAACTAACATTTGACATTCTCCCAGTTCACAAATTAACAACAAGAAAGGTTAGGGTCGTCGATAGGAAACTAGAGTTCCGAGAATAGTCGGTAGATCTTGTTCTTGATGATCGGATGCTGTGCCAACTCTTGCTTGATCCTGCTGATGGTGGGGTCCTGTATCTGTTCAGTTATGATGGTGGCTCGGATCTTCATGATTGTGGCGACCAAACACACATCTTATTTAAAAAGCTTTATTAAGGTATACGATAGAATAAGATAAAAAAGAATTTAAGGCAAGTCCGTTGGACGCTCCGCTTCGTAGTCCGAATACTCGTACTGTTGTGGATAGTGGCACCGTGGCGAAATTGATGCCGTCCGTTGTAGGTGCCGCCAAAGCAGGTATGACGTGTGCTCCGTTGACTGCACGTCGGCCAGTGTGGTCGTCGAACCTCTTCTTCGCCAGGGGAACAAGCAGCAGAGGGGTAAGGGCAGATAAGAAGACAAGCACGAACGCCTGTCTCTTGCAGTGTCGCTGGTATCAGCCGTTCGGTGTTTGGTTCAATTTTGACGGTTTGCACGCATACCACTCGATACGCCCTGTGAGCAGTCTGGGGGGACCCTAGCGCTAGATCAGTCTCTCCTATTCGCTGACCGTGTCGTTGGTATCCTCGGTCGAACCTGTCGTCGTTGGGTCGTGGTCGATTCGGGCAATTGCGTTGCACGTGACCTTCTCTGTTACACCTCTGAGCCGGCAGCACATTCTCCAGTGTTCTTGCCTTTTGGACTGCGTCCTCGATGGTTGATGAACGAGGCGTCCTGTCGGAGCCTGCCGATGAATTCTTGACATAACCTGTTTTCGAACCCCCGTCTCGAGGCGTCGCTTGGCATGATCCTGGCGAGCATCCGTGTCAGCCGATCAAGAAACCGCAGTACATTTTCTATTGGTTTCTGCTTGCAGTTCTTGAGCGCTGCTCAGGATGTCATGATATTCGCATCGTCTGTGAACTTCTCTGCGGTTCGTGTGTCGGTCGAGCGTTTCCAGGAATGCTTGCGCGGGTCCGTCGACAAAGAATAGCAAAATCCGTGTGCCACGTGAACCCCCGGGCACATCCGGATTCTCACGTAAGTCATCAGTTGTTTCCACGGCATCTTGTCGTCGAGGGATTCGCGGATCTCCTCCGTTGCTGAAGCAAGGCTGTCGTCCATCAAGTTGGACTCGTTGAACAACGTGCCGAATTACTTGAATTCGCTTCGTTCCAAGTATGGTTGCCAACTCGACTGTTTGGCCTGGCTTGGGTGATCACCGTCCTCGATCGTCTCAGGACGTCTGCTCTCGTCTCCCGATTGCCTCTTCAAGGAATTTACGATCCGCCGACGCGAGATAGATGCTGATTGTAAATTCTGCAAATATGGCGCACATTTCTTCGTGTCTTGGATCGATTTCAAATCGGACTACGTATTGTTTTCACTGCTGAATTCATCAAGGATCTAGGTGCGACTCACGTATCTCTATATCTTATCCGTTAAAATGTGTCCAGTATCTGTTTAGTATGCATTCTTGGGTTCTCATAAGAGTACTTACCGGAACAAAAGAAATAACACTTAAGGTGGCCAACATTAAGCGATGTCTCTCCTTCTTCTTCTCCTGCTCTCCTTCCCATCGATGGTTGAAGATGCAACCCGTCGGAGCCACTCGCTGCTACCAATGTACGAGTTGTTAATTTCAAGAGTTGAGTTGCTTATTATAATGGTTTATTGATTAAATAATATATATAACATATAAAATAATTGAACAAAAGGATGAATGCAATGGGGGCCACGTGGGGAGTCGACGGGGGAGCTAGACTGCCGATTCATTGATAACGGCGCCTTTTATACTCGGCGTCGCGGCTCCATTCGGTTACAATATTAACAAAAAAAGATGTAAATTGTGCAAAAATTCGTGGGACTTGTGAGAAAGTCCCACTCGACGGGGTTCAAAACCGTCGACATTCGAATATGAAATATTGTAAGAGTGGGTGATGCACGAGTTTCTTATTATAATGGTTTATTGATTAAATAAAATAATAACAACTAAGATAATAAAATAAAAGGTGAGTGCGATGGGGGCCACAGGGGGAGACGGCAGTGGGGAAATTAAAACTGACGACTCGTTGATAACGGTGCCTTTTATACTCGACGTCGCGGCTCCATTCGGTTACAAAATTAACAAAAAAAAGATGTAAATTGTGCAAAAATGCGTGGGAGTTGTGAGAAAGTCCCACTCGACGGGGTTCAAAACCGTCGACATTCGAATATGAAATATTTCCGGATTGTTTATTCTGTAGAAATACATTAGCATGATCAATGACAAAATTTATAAACTCGGATGAATTGTGAACCATTCTTGGGATCTTGAATTTCAGTTTCGGACCATCTCTTTCTGCGATATTAAATTGGAATTTGAATTCACAATTGCGCAAGGCGCTTATTTGCAATGGTGATATTGTTGATGTCAAACGACGAAATTTAAAAAAATTATTGGCTATGTGCCAATGCGTCTCGAGACAGCGAGAAGTACGCAAGACTGCGTACATTGCATTATAGCGTACGCGCATTTAATACTCAGTCAACGATAAATTAAAATCTACACTGATCTCGCGAATTTGAAGGTCCCTCCTATTTTCAGTCGTTTGACACTGACAATATAAACTTTTGAAAAAGTGTGGCGGATTTTCCGCGAGAAAGGCGATTTCAAAATTTTTTAACAAAAATAACTAGGCGACTCGAAATGGGCACGGATTTCATTGGAAAATAATCAGTTCATATTAAAATAAAAATTCAAGAAGAAATAAATTGTGTAGAAATAGGACGATTGGATGTTGTAAAAAAAAATAATAAGGAGAGGAATGGTGTTATCAGCGAGTACGCAATGGAGATGAATGAATGCGGGCCGGTCGACTGAGAGCTGATAGCCAAATTTTTTTATCTATGCGTTTTTCGCACCTACAGTACCGCAAAAAAAGATAAGGAATAATTATTGTTTTACCAAAACTTTTGAACGAGTGGTCTAATCGAAGCGAAATTTTTACTGAAAGTAAAAAACACAATTTTAAAACAAAGTGAATTACAGTAGTTGGCCAAAATTGGTGCTAGTGGACATTTTTTGAAATCTGCAAAAATGGAAAAATTTAGGTTGCCTATTTGTCAGTATTTTTTTTAGTTTTCGATACTTTGTGATCATAATAGTTAGTTTTGAGTTTACCTAGATTATAATAATTCATATATACATATTTTATTTCATGTTTTTTGCTCCCACACCGGGTAACTTTGTCGGTGACCTTCCCAATCTCTCTCTCTCTCTCTCGTTTTTTTTTCTGATCCCCGTTAATGCTTCCTTTTGAAGAGGGAGGTCTAAGGTCTGTGAAGGTCTAAAGCTGGTCGCGATTATCAGAGGTCGACAATGTGGGATGTCGATTATCGGTCTGGCCACGAGTATTTCGATCAGCTTGGCTTCAATTCATTTTCGAAGCCAATCAAAGTCAACTGGAAAACCACCAAAACATCTCCAGCAATTGAGAAAGTTGCTAGCCCGATTTTTTATCTGCCAGCGATTGCAATTCGTAGCGGTTGATGTTTTTTTTTCTTCTGAAGGCAGAGAAGTGGAATATTCAATTTTAAATAGTTAACCAGAATGAAGCTTCTCATTTTTGTTGATTCGCATGGAATACTGAATAAGTCAATGGGTTGGAAGAATGGGATGACGCGGCCAAGTTTTTCCGTACCGTTGCCTAGGTATCGGATGCTGTGCCAACTCATGCTTGATCCTGTTGCTGGGTCGGATCTTAATGATCCAAACATGCTTTGCTTTTAAAATACTTTATTAAGGTACACGATAGAATAAGATAAAAAAGGTTTCAGACAAGACTGCCATGGTGGTTCAGTGGATGCGGTCGACAAGGTTTGGATGGTTTTCTGGGTGTGAAGTTGGATTGACGTTGACTGGAGTGGATGATCTAATCCATGCCAGCTGATATCGCGGTTTAATAACAACTTTATTTTGACATTGTGACAACCAAACACACTTTGTACTCAGAACACTTTATTAATGTTTATTATGTATATGCTGAATATGTAGAATAAAAGGTTGTAGTTCAGTGGATTACGGTCGTTCTTCGTGAAGGGCTGGACGAAGAGCGTTGGAGATAGAATGAGCGACAGGTCTCCTCTATCTGGTCCTTTTATTCTGATTAAACGAAACAATTATGTTGGCGATCGAAGGATCGCCTCATCGTCCATTTTATCGCCTTCGCGGCGGTGGTGAATGAGCTCCGGCTCAATCTTATGAGCTCGACATTTCAAGACGTTGTGTCCTCAGATTTTTCACATTCCTTTTTGCCGCTGCATCTCTTGTCTAAAAATACTCTTATTAATAAAATTCTATTAAAAAATATGTTACCTTTGCTGCTGTCATCTTGGGCCCGTCTGGCTACGTCGCCCACTCCTTTTCCTGAACTGTCAAGCTTTTTGCTTATTGCTTTCCAGGCTATTCCTTCGGAATCTTATGTGTGCTAGCTGACTCTACAGATATTAATACGACCGCGTTCCACAAACACGGCAAATGTCTTTCGAGTTGAACGCAGTAGATAGAAAGACTCTTCAATCCTGGCCTTATCGGGTGACCTGAATCGTCGGGTCCGCTGCAAATCATCCCTGTTTGATATTCCTTCGCGATCTTATCTGTGCTAGCGCAGATTGTGGCGATCAAATTAAACACTCTTCGATTCTAGAATAGTTTATTGAATAATATGAAAATGTGATCCGATTGTATACATATTAACAGTTTTATTTTTACTAGTTGAGCAACTACAACAATTATTCGTCCGATTGAGGTCCTTCGGCGGACGTTAGCCCTTTCTTTTAACACCGCTTGATCGTGTGTGCTTGTCTTGGGAACCCGGCATTTCAAGACTCTGCGAAGACAGATTGGAGATAATCCTTTTTTCCGTTGTCTTTGCTCTAACAAGGGAGGTCATTTTGCTGTCCGTCTTAAAATTTTTTTATTTTTTGCATACAGATTCTTTAGAAAATTTCCAATCGAATGAACTAGGTCCCTACCCCAGATTATAACCTACACACCACTGAACCACAACTGCTTGCCGAATCAGGATATAAGCGCGAGGTAAGACATCACGTTATTTCATTTCGAATTTCCGCACATTTGTGTGTAACATTCACGTGGGGAGGGGCTAAAACTTTGAAGGTCCATATCTCGATAACTAGAAGTTTGCGCAGGTAGCGACCTAGTTCATTCGATTGGAAATTTTCTAAAGAATCTGTACGCAAAAAATAAAAAAATTTTAAGACGGACAGCAAAATGACCTCCCTTGTAAGGAGCTGTGCTCGTTGCCGCAATCGACGGCCCAATGATCATTCTGACAGAATGGAAAGATTTTTTGCCGCATGAGTCCTCTGGACCCTTGGCTAGATAATACTTTACGTAGCTGGGTTTCGGAGAGCCTGAATATTGCGTTTTTCGTCGATATGACTGTTCTTCTCGAAGACGACAAGAAAACAGAAACAGAACTTTGATATACATCATTTATTCAGAACAATAGGTAATACAATTAAATTAATTTATTTGGCGAGAGCGAGCGGAGAATCTCCTCTGCTTCCATTTCTTCGACGACCAGGCTCCTCTTCTTTTCCTCGCTGTTTCTTGCACAATAGTGCGTGATGGATGAGTCCCTTCTTATCGCACCGTTTTACCTTGCAGGTCTCTGTACGTGGTGCTCGGCAACGTCTCTGGACCGTTTGGCGTTCTTCGACCGTCGAGTGCATATTGTTGCACTCACTAGGCCAATGGCTTCTTTCGCATAATACGCAGATGGGTATGCGCGTCGGTCCGCGAGCTCCTTGTTGGGCAATGACTTTCATTAGCTGCGCTTGCGACAGCATGAATATGGCGTTGTTGGCAGACATGAAAAGTCAGTTCAAATTATCAGATCTTCTCCGAGGGGTTTCAAACCCTCTTTTACTTTTTCCGTCATGCCTTTAATTCCGTCCGCCAGTTCCCCGATCATTTCGATCTTTGTCTTTGATTCCTCTTTGAGTGAACGCTTTCACGTCTTTCAGAATCTTTTTAGCTTCGTCCATATTTTCGTGGACATTTTCGAACATTTCGTCGAGTAGAGACATTCTTTCTCGACTTTTTGAGCCTTTTACGGCTCTTTATTCTCTTGTGTTAATTTAGATCGATGCACCAAATAATGTGGCGATCAAATTAAACACTCTTCTATTATAAAATAGATTATTGAATAATATAAGAATATGGTTTAAATTGACGGTGGTTCTGTGTGTTAGCGTTGACTATTCGATTACGTTTATGACGGGTGACGGAGTAGCGGGATGGAGATAGAAAAAAATGAGAATGAGCGGCAGGACTCCTCTATCCTGCCCTTTTATGCTGACCTTATCGCGTGACCTTTCCGGACCAGTCGTAAATCATATTAGTCCCCTTCGTAGGGGATCTTATCACAGATTCTTTTATGACCGCGACAATAGCGTTCTTCGTCGACATGAGTGTTCTTCTCGAAGATGACGTCTTTTCCCATTTCGAATTTGAAGGCCTCGTTGTTAACAATGTCCTTGTAGTGGACATTGTTCTCTTTCAGCCAAAACTGTCGCCACACGATCAACCGTCTCGAATACGGGTACCATGATCATAGCACCTGTCATAGTGTATTTAATTTTTTTCATTTTTTTTAAAGACTAACCTTTCGTTGCTTTCATTGCTGTCTTCCGATCATCAATTACACGAAGATGAACGATGCTTTGAATTGGCCGAATTCTTTGAAGCATTCGCTCTATGAGGTTCAAATTATTCAGCACCTCTGGACCTTTTTCGATTTCTACCAAATTCAATAAATTTAAGAAAAAAAGATGTAAATTGTGCAAAAATTCGTGGGACTTGTGAGAAAGTCCCACTCGACGGGGTTCAAAACCGTCGACATTCGAATATGAAATATTTACGAATTGATTGTTTATTCTGTAGAAATACATATATATATATATTTAGCCTGATCAATTACAAAATATATAAACTCGGATGAATTGTGAAACATTCTTGGAATAACTAGACGACTCGAAATGGGCACGGATTTCATTGGAAAATAATCAGTTCATATTAAAATAAAAATTCAAGAAGAAATAAATTGTGTAGAAATAGGACGATTGGATGTTGTAAAAAAGAAAATAATAAGGAGAGGAATGGTGTGGTCAGCAAGTACGCAATGGAGATGAATGAATGGTCGAATGAGAGGTGATAGCCAGATGTTGTCGGTGCCTTTTTCGCACCTATGTGCAAATCCCAGCAATTGCAATTCGCAGGTGTACTCGGCAAAACCTCGCAACTTCTGCAGATTTTAAACAACTTTTAGATAAACCGAGTTTAAAAGTTGCGCAGAGTCGGTTTAAAAATTGCGCAAAAATCTTTCAAAAGTTGCCAGTCGTTACTCATTGATCTATAGAAATATACATTTCTCACTACTGAAAAACTATTTTTGATTAAACAAATTGTTTTATTCAAACAAAAAAGAAAACAATGAATTAAATACAAGAAAAAACAAACGAAACAAGATATAACAAACAAAAAAGACACATATTCTCAGGCAAATCAAATAAAATATTTTGAGAAATTCTAAAGTTTCTTGATATTTTCGAAAATTAATCGAGACTCGATAAACATAAAATTATTTTTTTTTTAATTTTATAAGATTTTCTAAAATTTAATGAGCAAATTCTAAATTATCTCAATAAATTCTAAAATCTTATAATAAGTTCTAAAATTGATTGAGAAAAATCTAAAATTTTATAGAGACACGTTAGTTTTGCTCAATGAATAGAGCACCATAGAGCGCACTTAAGTGCTAGTCTTCACCATTAAATAAAATTTAAATTCAAAAACGTAAATAAGAAGCGAATTTAAAAAATAAAAGAATGATTTCATTTGTGTTTCGTAATATCGACAATCTTAACACACAAAATAAATTAAAAATAAAACAAACACAATTAGAAATGATTTTTGGTGGGCCACAGAATAAGAACAGAAGAAACTTTTTTGACGGAAGAGGGTATACGGTAGTCGCAATAAAAACTGTGTTTGACGGAAAACATAACAGTAAAAAATGCCGGAAGACGGAATTCCGTGCAGGACAATAACGATGGCATTGGGATTCATTTCGAGTAATTGCAGTTCTGAAGCACACACGAAAAGTAACATTCGGCAAAAGAAATTCTCGAAGCACGTACCGCGAATTCGGCCAATGATTCCTCACTACCGATTTCTCACTCCACTACCGATTTTTCACTACCAAATTTTCACTACCAAAATTATAGTTCTTTCACTACCGATTTTGCACTACCGTTTTTTCACTTTCGATTTTTCGCTACCGTTTTTTCACTACCAAATTTTCTTATACTCATTCTTCTTGATTTTATCAATAATTCACTTAATTTCAGAAAAAAAAAAACGAATTTAAAGAAAATCTTTTTTAAAAATCTTTTTATTAAATATTAAAAAAAAAGCAAAATTAATTTAATCTTTAAACGAGTGATAAATAATTTTTTTAAAAAAACTTTACAAGAAACACAAATATTTCAAAAATTATTTAATGGGACAAACAATTATTATTTATATATTGAATTTTCCTAAATTCAATCCTAACTTCGAATACAAACTTTTCTGTGTTGGAAAAAATGCGAACAACATCTGTAAAATATTTTTAGAAATAACCTTGTTAATCACACGAATGGAAAAAATATTGAAAACAACGCAGTTAGGCTGATGGTTATGGCTGCGGACGAACGAAAATTTTGAAATGCGCGAGCTGCCGTTTAATTGGCCTCGTAGAATGAAATGTACTTATTCTGCGTCATTTGAAACTTTTGTTTATAGCCAAGATACAAAATTCAATTTCATAAAAATTAAGCTCTTTCAAATTAAGGTCATAAAACGAAAAATCGCAATAAAGAGTTATTCCATACGAAACACAAGGACACAATTCAAATATTAAAACCCCCTAATGCGTACGGTCACATCTACATACACAACCTAAAACCAATTAGATTTACTAATGGTAATTAACAAGTTCATAAATAATTTTTATGTAGTTAAAATCTCCAAATAATCATAAAAAATAAAATTATAGGCCAAAATATTAATAAAATATGCAGCGTACAGTAAATTGTGCAATTAGTCGTACAACGTTTTGCGGACTGTGTGTTTTAGGCATTTATTTTTTTTTGGCCTAAATTTTTTTTAATCGTTAGTTGCAGGTTTCGACCTCGGAAAAACATCATATTATTAATTGGAACATCGAGTATATTTCACAATGGCATACTTGACAAGCACGGAATCGTCGAAATCGACAAAAAGAAAATTAATTTCGATTTGGAGAGAAGTTGAGAGCGTTGAATGTTCAAAAAGGTGTTTTAACAGGGTTTCTTTTATTAATCTGGATTTAGGGAACTATCGACGATAGACCAAGTTGCCAGTGAAATTGTAAAGGAATGGAAAGGGACGAAATTGTTTGTTGTCGACAGAAATAGTTTTAATGGGCAACCATTAACTTATGATGGTCTGAAATGGTTCCGACAAGTTGAAGGTTGGCATTTTCAATTTTATAACGAATCATTGGCTGTTTAGGAGAGCCGCAAGTTGTTCCAAAGTATCGGCATTGGATAGAAAATGGGCAAATTTACAGAACTATTAAGTGCCGATCGCCCTCGACCTCGAGCTTTACAAAAACAGTATGAAAATCTATATTACTGTTGCCATACATTATAACAACGAATATTTGCAGGTATTATATACGGAAAATCGTGATTTCGTGATAATTGAGTATCATCGTGATGAAGAAAAAGTAAATTTCGAGTTCGCAAGTCATCGCATGACAGGCTAGCATATACATATATTATACTTATTCATACATTTTACTTTTTTAGACGCGGAGGTTGATATTGTAAGAACTGAACTCAATGGGAGATCTATAAAGGACACGTATGAAATTCTGCAAAGCAAAGGTTTCAAGGTTACCCTTGCACAAGTATGAAAGCAGTTTAAATTATTATTTAATTTAAATTGAATGGTTAAGGTCAAGAACCAAAGAAAAAATGTGCCCAATTCAATTGTTTGTAATCGCGGAACGAAAGCAATTGCCACATCAACACATTTAGGAAATATAGTAAGAAGCGTTGAAAATGCGAAGTATGCAATTTTCGAGTGTAAGTTTTTAAATTGCGTTTCGTAGTGGCAAAGAGAAATTCACTTTTGCAGCTAACGGAACAATGATGGACTGTTTGTCTGTTATTTTAGACGAAAACTTTCGTATAGTATTAAACTCATTACCGACCACGAAAGAATACGAAAATCATTTGAGACTATTCACCGATTTGGAAGAAACAAATAAACGAAAAAATCTCACCTCTCTTTTAGGTATTCTATTAAAACTATTTAAAATGTATTTATCATTTCAGAGAAATGGAAAAATGAAAGTGGAGATGGATTTTTGTTTAGCGGACTCACTCAGTTGGATACGACATTTGGCTTAAGTGAGTTATATGTCACTATCATGTGCAGTACGATAAGGCAATTCAAGTAATTTCTGTTCAAAATGTCAATATTTCAGTTTTAAACCGTTGCAGATCCAAAACGTCCAACAAACCACGAACTATTGTTACAAGTTTTTTGCTTCATTCAAACAAAGCGGCTGAATGCCACAATTTTCATGCGAATCACATCAATGAATATATCCAGAAGCTGAAAATAAAGAATGACCGAGTGATTCCCGGATTTATAACAGATGGAGAGAAAGCATTCGACGAATACTTCAAAGTTTCAAGGTTTGAATGAAAATGTTCATTAAATTTTTTTACAGATAATAACACTGTTCAAAAACTCGCAACGCCTTCGATGTGATTTA